ACAACCACGGGAAAGGAAAAACGGGGAAGGCTTATTCTATGCCGGGATCACACGGCCAAATTAGGTCAATTTAATTTACTATAATCAGGGGTTATTTACATAACTAATTATTACAAATTAGGTATTTTTTTCAGTGGGTTTTTTTTTGCTATCTTTTTTTTTTAAATATATATACTTTGTTACATTTTTTACAAAAATTGCTTGAACGAAGGAGTATGAAATGTGACACACTTATAGTTTATAAAGAGAAGAAGTGCAGAATGCTAATATTTTTTTTTAATTATGTATATATATAAAATGTAATAAATCAATAAAAGAAATACATTACACACACTACCATGTATTTGACACATACATACATATATATTCTCTTTTGTTTATTGTTAAAGTCAGTAATCAAGTTGAGAATAGATTAAATTGTTTGTGTTTAATATTATTTGTCTACAGTCTTGCTGAATGTCAAACATAGGCACAATACACTAATTTATCACTACATAGTATAAAACATAGTCGCTTCCCGTCTGTCTGTCCTTATGTATGCTTAGATCTTTAAAACTATGCAACGGATTTTGATGCGGTTTTTTTTTAATACATAGAGTGATTCAAGAGGAAGGCTCATACATTACATGCATAATATAGTAGAGAAGTACTGACAATTTTAGAGGTTTCTACTGTGATGTCGTAAATAAACTCATTTTTTTGCATTTCACCCATGAGAAGCCGGGGTGGGTTGTTAGTTTCAATATATGTTATGGTCGAATATCGACCACATAACGACCACTTGTACTAATAGAGAGAACAACAAAATGAAATTTCGAGATAAAATTCATAGTGTTATGTATACATCTACATACAAAATGTTATACGACCGTATAACCCTACCAAATTCAGATGCAACTTGCTTGCATACTTTCTATATAAACTGTGTCGAATATTTAATCTAGTAATGTAAAATTTGTCATTGACAAATGATTGACATATCAAGACATTTTCTATACACTAGCCTGCTATGAATTGAGAAAAATAGCAACTGATGGTGTATCTTTCGTCCTCTTTTTACTAATTATATTTGCATAAGAAGAAAAGAGGCGACCATATGATTTACAGTTTTTATTTTATCATTCCTTCTCTGTAATTACTTGTTTTTAAAAATTTGCTAGTAATTTACTGTACACAATCATAATAACAGATTAATTACATTCACAGAGTAAGAAATAAAATATCTTCTTACAACCAATGATTCATATCGCCGAAGGCACAATTCTAGATTTAAAAATCGAAACAATGAGAGTGAAAAAAAATAACGTATCGGCCATAATGCGCTCCAATTTGTGGAGTAAATGGCGCTACAGATTAAAAATTATAAATTAGAGCCAATTTGTTCTCTATTGGACGGTGGTTAGTCCGCAATTAGAATTAATATCTGCCAGGCATAATTTTGTGCTCGATCGTGTTCGGAATGTTGATTTTTTTTTAATGAGTGAAAATTCCGTCAGCGTATACCAGGAAAGCAGGCGGAGTTACCATATCATTTTGATTCATTTTTCACCAATTAAAAAATCGTATCCTACGATATCCTATATATGGTAAGGGTGGATAATATTGTATGCTAGCGGCCCGTCCCGGCTTCGCACGGGTGAACATTTTTACATTTTAAAAAGTGATAATTGTGACATAACGATAATAGTTGGACATATAGTATCGCGAAGTTTTCTGTAGTTATTGACCATTAAGGCACGCGACGGAAGCTTAAAAATGGAGTAACTTCTCCCGTTTTCCCAACATTTCCCTTCACTGCTCTGCTCCTATTGAGCGTAGCGTGGTGAAAAGTATACTATAACCTGCCCAGGAGTATGAAGAATAATTGTACCAAGTTTCGTTAAAATCCGTCGGGTAGTTTTTGTTTCTATAACGAACATATAGAGAGACAGACAAAAATTTTACTGATTGCATTTTTGGCATCAGTATCGATCACTAATCACCGCCTGATAGTTATTTTGGAAATATATTTCATGTACAGTATTAACCTCTCTACAGATTTATTATAAGTATAGATTATCCACCCAATATCTATATATTTTAATTACAATATTTATAGATATTGTTACTATGGCACACGCATGAAGGAATGTTAACAAAGGAGATTGTTAGATTATGTATTTTGTTTTTGTATTTTTTTTTTTTATTTGTGCTTTTTTTATTTTTATTCTTTTGTCTCTTTTGCTGTGTATTACGTGTATGTTTTTTTTTATTGTAATTTGTGTGCTGTAAGTAATGTAAATAAATTGTCTATCTATCTATCTATCTATATTGTTATATCTTACTCATTTTCTAAATCAATTTACAACTGATGGAGATATGAGGTAACATAAAAAAGAAATACAAAAATTTGAAAGAAAAATTAAAAACCTCATTATTTATATAAATCACTAAACATATATGCATACAACTTCATAATTTAAGAACCATAATTAAAATTAAATATGCATTAATAGTTTATAAAATGCACCCATATACCTATACCGACGTTATTCGAACGTATTTTACAGCACGATAGTGTAAATTGCAAAGATACCTACTTTCGGTTACGTAGCAAAACGGGACACCGAGAAAACGGGACTTAGAGAGGCATTCCAACAAGTCGGTTGTGTCAACAGACACGGGCATAGAATGAAAATATTCTTGACATTGTATAATTAATGCTTTTATATATATAAAAAAAGATCGTTTTAATAAAAGCATTTAGCGTTTCATTCTTTCTGCCTATCCTAATAGGAGACAGGCGTGACAGATATGTATGTACCACAGGGAAACTTTGTACAAAAGTCGTTTGCTTGGGCACCTTTTTTTTAAAACACAGGGGGCAAACGAGCATGCGGCTCACCTGATAGTAAGTGACTACCGCCGCCCATGATCACCCACAACACCAACGGCAATGCAGGTGTGCTGCCGGCGTTTTGAAAAGGAATATACTATTTTCTTGAAGGTTATGTTGTCGTATTGGTTCGGAAATACTGCTGCTGGAAGTTGATTCCAAAGAATGGTTGTGCGTAGAAAAAAGTGCCTTGTAAAACACACGGTGGAAGACCGTCACTCGTCCAGATGATTGGGATGAAACTTTAGTTTGTGGCGGGTTGTACGGTGGTGAAAATCAGCAGCAGGTATCAATTCGAACAACTACTGTCCCAGTCGTGTTTCGACCGTGAAGCAGTTGTGTTTGCATGGCTGTGTTTCGGTTTGAAGGGTGCGATATGGCAGTGAATTTATCATTTCATTGTAACCAATTATAAAGAGGTATAGATATATGAGCGGGTAAGATAGTCACGAAAGAACATATCCTATATATAATTAAGATTGCGTGCCACAAAAAAGTCGACTTCAATTGTGGCACACCGGTTATTTTGATTTAAAAACTAAACTACCGAACCGATTTTGATGTTATTATATCCTTTCAGATTAAATAAAAAAACCTAAAATCGATTTATAATCGACGGAATTAAGATTAAGAAAAAAAAACACAGCGGAAACGAGAATTTCCTTCTTTTTGAAGACAATTAAAAAGAACATAAAAGTAAATTCAAACCTGGAATACGGGAGAAGCATTCAAACAATAAAAATACCAATATGGTGTACCTATTTTTTTTTAATGGCTGATAATGATCAGGTAACCCCGCCTGCGCTATCGGTAGACACTGGAGGGGGGGCACCAGTGGGAGATGATAGATGAGGATGAAAGCAGATCAGTTAGCTCATCCTGACGAACTCAACTAGAATTAACCACGATGGTTTCCGGGGGAAACCACGTGGAGATCGACCTGACAGAAGGTATATTGCTAGCAATGGGACTATTTGACCCCATTACTAACGATTTTATATAATTTTTACAGATCTATTTCTTTTAACGCGCCACCTACCTATTTATTCTTTAATTCTTTCTACCCAAAGGTTGTCTGGAAGAGATTGCTTAGCAATAACACCGCCTTTTGTACTACACTATACTTATTGAAAATTGTTCAACAAATCCTTTAATGTTGGTGCAATAGAATGTTAAATAAATAAATAAATAAATCCCTTTCCCCTCTGGTGTACGTATTATATAAAGTTATCGGAAACTGACAGATGTAACTAGGTCCGCAAAGGTTAGGCGCAATGGAACGTAACATCGTCGATATCCCACTTGTTGGTACGTTGCGTAATAAATGAAGCCATGATGATAAAGTGTACCAACATCATATTTAGTTAGAGCTAGTATTTGTACGTTTGCGAAAGTACATCTATGTTACCATTTTTCATACGACTTTGAAAAGAATAATGTTCTCAATTTGGTTGCATTTTTTTTACGTTTGTTACGTTTACCAGAGGGAGACTTTGTACAAAAGTTGTTTGCTTGGTTACCTCCGTCCTATTCGTGTTTCTACCGTGAAGCAGTTGTGCTTGCATGGCTGTGTTTCGGTTTGAAGGGTGGGATATGGCAGTGAATTTACAGGGTACAGAGGAATAACACCCAAACCCACAGGAATGACAATGCCTATATGTCCATTGTAACGTTTATGTCTATAGGCGACGGTTTCCACTTTCCATCAGATGGACCGTTAGCTTGTTTGCCGTTCAAAGTTGTATAAAAAAAAAACATAAGGGGGTTTTTGCCAATAGTTGCCACGCTTGACAGTTTACCAACCGCTGTTTCCTCATCCCTCCACCATAAGCTCCCGTAGTCGCTTTTTATGACATCCACAGGAAAGAAAGAGGCGGCCCATTCCATACCCGGACCTATACGGATTTAATTTACCATACCTAATTTATACCTCTATTATTATATTTATATTTGCACCATCGTGTTTACAGTATACTCTGTTATGTCCATGGTACTGCTCATGTCTATAGGCGACGGTTACCACTTTCCATCAGGTGGGTCAACAGCTTGTTTGCCATTCTAAGATGCATAAAAAAAAATCATAAATATATATTAACTTACGATGGAATTCATTAAAAAAACTTACCTAGACAAAATTATCCTATTGTGCCACAGGCGATAAGTCGAGCGGTACTAAAACGTGAAAAGGCACTCACAGATCACAAAGTTTCAGAATTAAAACATGCAATATAAACACAATATGACCAAAAATAATTCTCCATTCGAACACTAACTTGTGGATAAACACAACGTCACACTGGTATTTTTATCGATAATATTTACAAAGTTCCGAAATATCACAACACTGTGCAAGATGGCGACGGGCGGCCGTTCTCCTCAGGCTTTCGAGGTCGACTGAGCGTAGAATAAATAAATTCGATTCGCTATCGAGAGGACTGAGGCTTTGCTCGTAGGAGGTTGTTTGCAAGGAAAACAACTAGCTCTTTTTTTTTATCTATGCAAAAATATTTTGTCAACATAATTTGGTGCGCACCTTCGCTTATTTACCCGATGGAGACTTTGTACAAAAGTCGATTGCTTGGGTACCTCTGTTCCATTTATGTTTCAACCGTGAAGCAGTTGTGTTTGCATGGCTGTGTTTCGGTTTGAACGGTGGGATATGGCGTGAATTTACTGGGTACAGAGGAATAACACCTGAGTCCTCAGGAATGGCAACGCATTGGGGGTATCATGGGAGAAACAGTATACTCTGTTATGTCCATGGTACTGCTCATGTCTATAGGCGACGGTTACCACTTTCCATCAGGTGGGCCGTCAGCTTGTTTGCCATTCTAAGTTGTATAAAAAAAAATCTGTGAGTATATCCTTTCTGATAAAAAAGAAAAATTTAAATTGGTTTACACATGACGAAGTTGTGAAGTAACAAACACTAAAACAATATCTACGTATGTATGTATGTATACATTCAAATATAATACAATATAGTTTTGTATAAACTTAAGTTTGTCTAGTTTTTTTTATTTATAAATTTTCTTTAATATTGTACACCGCTCTACCGGCTGACATTAATTCTCCTTTCCACTTTGGGTTTGCTGAAAGAAGACTCTTGTAAAGTTAAGCTCACCTTTGTTCATTTACTTACCTCTGTCATATTTTTATGTAATATTTTTTTATGTAGTATGTAAAATAAAGTATAAATAAAATACAATCGAATTGAAAACCTCTTTTTTTAGAAAACGACTGAAAATAGAACATTTGTATTTTTTTTTAATTATTAATATATAATTTATAAATATTTTAAAAATATTTCAATTTTTTTCCATGCAACTTAGAATGGCAAACAAGCTTTTTTTTATACAACCTAGAATGTCAAACAAGCTATATACATAACAGAGTATACTGTTTCGCCCATGATACCTCCCCATGTGTTGACATTCCTGAGGACTTAGGTTTTATTCCTTTGTATCCTGTAAATTTACTGTCATATCCCACCCTTCAAACCGAAACCGAAATGGGACAGAGGTGCAAAAGCAAACGACTTTTGTACAAAGTCTCAGTTTTCATCTAATGTATGTACCCATATTTGTGCAATTAATGACTTGAATTTCAATAAATTGAATCAGCTATTACTTTAAGTGTATGATTACCAAAATTACACGCTCTAAGGTGTTATGATGTCATAATTATGTTATTCTGAATCGTACTCAAAACATAATAATGAACACAGACAGATACATGTCGGGGTCATGGAATTCAGCGCCACTGGCAAAGTTTTGATGGTCTTACGTCATTACACCAACACTCTCATTAACAGCCCACCGCTGGGCTCGACCCCAACACCATAAGAAGTTACATTAGCTAATATTAAGTAGGTACCACTCTCACTTGACCTCTGATATAATGTTTCAACTTTGAGGGCGAATCTCTGTAACTATTATGGGAATTTTAGATATAGTTTTTTACTTTACTAATATTATAAATAGGACAGATTTGTTTGTTTGTCTGTAACGGATAAACTCAAAAAGAGTGTTTTCTTTAATATTTTAACGAAAACGACTCTCTGCATTCAATCGTGTGGCGTGAAAATATTTCATTCGGATTTTGCTTTTAAAATTGTACAGTAAAACAGTCCACAGTTACCATCAGGTGAGCCGCATGCTCGTTTGCCCCCTGTGTTGTAGAAAAAAAAAGTGAATTCAACGGCCGAGTTTTTTTATTACTATGATTCCATTACCTCTTCTTGATTTATAAGGAAATAATGTTCAAAATGAACCTTTTTTAGATACAAATGTATTTGTTTTTAAATGAAAATAAAAAACTAATGATTTATAACATAATATATATTTAATCAAGTCAACAGACGGCATCTTTACTAACAATTTACTTTATAAACATACTTTATGAACAGGTAAATAAGCTGACAGGTCATCTGATAAAAGCAACCGGCATTTACGAGTATAAATATGAATAAAGATCAACGGTGTCACTACTCAGAATATTTTAAGGAAGGCATTAAGCAATATGGATAGCTATAGGGGCAGAGAAAGACCTAAAAAGACATGAATGCATTGTGTGAACGATGATATGGCCAGAATAGGAGTGAATGCGGAAATAACTAGTTGTCTGTTATTACCCTAGTTAGAGATTACCCTAGCGATAGGGGGGAAAGGGATTGTTAGTAATGGAGACTGAGAATCCCATTGCAAGCAATATACCTAACCAGGTCGACCTCCTCGCGGTTCCCTCTGGAAACTATCATGGTTAATTCCTGATGAATTCATCATGATGGGCTAACTGGCCTGTTTTCATTCTCATCTATCACCTTTCACTGGTGCTCCGCCAGCGTATCCCGTTAGCGCAGGCGGGGTTACCATACCATTTTCACCCATTAAATAAGATTACGAATTGTTTAAAGGAAAAATAGGCAGAATTTTTATTTAGTAAGTATAATTAGCCAGTAACAGAAAGGTAACCATAGTTTCATCTACATAGGTTGATATGCTACAAAGTCTAACAAAATCTTCCCACTATTATTTATAATTCGTATAGAAAAGAATGGAAGAGGAAAACATATTGCGCCGAACCCAAATAATAATTGGGCTAAGGGTAGGAAGGTGATGATGATGATTATTTATAATTCGTAAAAAAGAAAGATTCACCGATTCATCGATGACGTGTGTATGACTTTTGAACACGCACTTATGGAATCCTCGTGTTTAATATTGCAATTATCAATAAAACCTCAAACAGACAGCATGTAAATATGATTATTACAACTTATAAACCACAGATGGCAATCAATATTCATAACAAATAATATTTATTGTTTTTAAACTTATAAATATTTTGATGAAATGGAATATTGCAAAATTGTCTTATGTTACAATGGTAAATATAAGTAAAAAAGTATAAGTAAAAAACATACTTATAAAATACTATTTAGCTCCTATCTGTGTAATTATCTTAGATAAAGTATGTCCTATAAATTCATCATTCATAGACAAAGACGACCTAATGGAAAATGGCGCGCTTTTTTGACATATAAAAAAAATATTCCCTCCATAATATATGAAGTTAGTAATTATAGTTTTATCACATAATCCGTCATAATTACTTATTTACTTAGCAATCCGCCCCGGTTTTACACAGTTAAATAGATAAAAAGATAAACTAGTATTTTATGTTAATTTTAATAGGCAATTTTTATACTTTGAGTTATCGTTGGGCTATATCTTACTTTTTTAAAATAATATATATAGCTGATAATATAGTTTTCTATAGGTATAATATTTTTTTTAAATCAGTTGAGTAGTTTTTGGTTTTATCTATTACAAGCAAACAAGCATACAAAAAATGATCTTATGTACAAGCATCATCTAGTTAGAATTTTAACCGTTAGAAACTAAGAACCCTTAGATGGATCGCCGAATATCAAAAATATAACATAACAGGCATCACAGTCTATTCTGTGATATCCGTGTTCCTGTGACGTTTACGTGTATAGACGACTGTAGTCACTTTCCATCAGGTGAACCGTCTTGTTTACCATATTATCGGTGACTGGTGATTATTAGAAAATCACAATCGTCATCATCATTGTATCAGCCATTTACTGCCCACTGCTGAACATAGGCCTCCTTGTTAGGGGATGTTGCTAGTAGTTGCCACGCTTGGCAAGCGGCCTGGCAACCGCAGTTAGGCTTTAATGATGTTTAAAGAGGAGCGCTGCTGCCCACTTTTTAACCATTAAATTCCCTTAGTCGCCTTTTATATATATACCCACGGCAAAGGAAGGAATGGTCCGTTCTATGCAGGGACCACATGGCAAAATTACAATAACGTAACCCAAAATATCAAAAATTAGTTTATTAAAGCAAATATAAAAAAAAAAATAGAAGGAACACTAGGTGTCATGTCGTATAGGGAGGTCAAGGATATGGCCTGGGATAGATTATAGATAGAACTAGCTGGAAGAGAATGCATGAATTAGCTGCACCGACAAGAGGAAACTCTTAAATAAAAAAAAGGCTAATATAAAATAATAAATTCTCTTTATATCTATCCACCCATGCGACGCCGCGACAGATCGCTAGTATTGTATACAATTAAAGTAAACTCATTGTTGTTAAATCGCAAAATAGTTAAATTATGGATTTGTTGACTGCACCGATCTCCCAAGCTCAGCGGGGTGACGCATGATTATTGGAAATGGATCCTTTACGTGGCTTATAATGAGGATAACCGCTTTCCTACGCCAAAGTGGCGATACAGTCGCCAGCGGACGCATTGCTATAGTAATAATGAAATTTTAAGCAGTCGTATTTGCATGGCTGTGTTTCGATTTGAAGGGTGTGATATGGCGTGAATTTACAGGGTACAGAGGAATAACACCTAAGTCCTCAGGAATGGCAACGCATGGGGAGTATCCCCATGAGGAGTAGCATGGGGAGTTATGTCCATAGTACTACTCATGTCTATAAGCGACGGTTACCACTTTCCATCAAGTGGGCCGTCAGCTTGTTTGCCATTCTAAGTGGTTTTAAAAAAATTATATTCCACTGATAAAAAAAAAGCTGATTTTAATTGTAGCAAAAGCAACTGGTTTGATTTAATAACCATTTTGATTTAAAAACTAAGCTACTGAACCTGCTTTGATAAAATGTCTATGACTCAAATCTGTAAGTATACCCGTTCAGGTGAAACCTATAATTAACGCATTATGCGAAATAAAGAATTGCTTCATTCAAAAAAAGAATTTTTCAATCGTTTTAGAACTAACGGAGTTGTGATGTTACAAACATAAAAAATACAACCTTCTTTTTTTGAAATCAATTCAAAAATTTATCGAAATTAGACGGAAATCGCACATACTGAAAATCATCTTATTTTTTGACAGTGGCCAAATGAACATAAAGTCATGAGGTAGTGTATATGGAATTAATGATTGAGTACTCTCATTTGCATTATACCACATGGCGAATCACAGAACATAAGCAACATTGATGGACAAACGTGCAAATGAGGGCAAAGGCGAAGCCGAGGCACACATACGTGAGTCCATCGATCTCTAGTTGTGGCCAAGGCTTGTATAGTCCTTTTTTCAAACAATGCGCGGAAATCAAAAACACAATTTTATTTTATAAGTTCAATGACGAATAACGAACAATAATAATTTTTCACGCGCCATAATGTTCCTTTGCTTTTTTTTTCAATAAACAGCTTTCTATTTGCAAGCCAGTTCCAAATTTAAATAAAACTTTTTATTAGTTACCTCCTTGGTAGCCATGTTTCGAAGTAAAAGGTATTTAAATATATTTAATTTATATTTATTTTTATTTATTTGGTATTTTTCCATTTTTAAATTACAGGACAGATATGAGTTTACATTAAGTATTGAGTAATTTATCTGGCCGCAAAACACAACAGATATGGATTTTCATACAACTTTTGCCGGCCGCTGCCCGCATGTATCTGGCCAGTACGGCAATTTTGATTTATCTCTAAGAAGATTGTCAAAATAATGCTCACATTTCCAAGCATGTTTGAGAAAATATTACTTAATTCTGATCAAATAACCAGTGATTTAAATAATCATTTTGCAGTTTTCTACGTGAATGTACGTAATAGATAAGGCAACACGCCACATTCGTTGCTGATCCTGTCACCGGCACACCTACGCGCCATACAACCTATTAGTAAATAAAATAGCCCAACTACTTACAGATTGTACAAATAAAAGACTGTTTGTTTACGCCGTCTTTGATACTTTTATTGGACTACCTAATGAAAATTTAAAGGAGCGAAAGGTAAAAGTTAGTAATAGGAACTAGCGACTTAAAAAAAAAATGTTTTCTCTATGATAGTTGGTCTATTGTTGGTAATAAATTCAAGAAAATACCAACTACCTATAATCTTAGTAACTATCATTATGATATTTACATACTAAGTTACAAACATGCACAACGGGAATTTATAAATATAATATGCACCCTGAAGAAGACTGTTTTAACTTTTGTTTGAAATGTCAAAAAGTCCATAAGATTCCCATTATATATGTATGTAGACATCGTTAAGAAATTATATAAATAAAAAAAAATCATGATATCGATAGCCATGTGGTAGAATTTTATTTCTGTTACTGACATCTATTATCAGACAACTAAACAAATATTCCAAAATGACATCTAACGGCAACTAACCTGAAACTTATAGACTACGCTACGCGCATTATCCGGCCAATTCCGAAAGATCGTAATATCAACAGATTACCATGATTACTATGTTCATTTTAATTTTGTCGTTTAGTCTATAATTTGCGTATTGAACCCTACTGCCCCTATTGGCATGGTTTCATTCACTCGATAGTGAAAAAGCATTGTTGTTTCCGAAATGTGACTTACTTGACCTAATTTTAAAATATATAATAATAATTGTGATTTACATATTTATTACTGTTAAAATTAATAGCTATTTTTATTTATGTGAATAAGTACAGTGATGTAATTTAACGTACCCAGAGAATTCAATAAAATATTGGATACTTACGTATCTGTAAACTTTAATACTACTTCTATAAATCTAAATAGATTTTTGGACTCAACATAGACTGACAATAATTTTACTGTTATAAATTAAGTATCTTTGAAGACATTTTATTGTATTGTTGAAACTAAATTTATTTGTGCTCAGTGTTTTCCTGTTAAATCTTTTTATTAAATTTATTTAATCCCATAAAGAATATTGTAAATAATGTCTTTCGTAAAATGTTGTTTTGAAGCTGGAGAAGGGCATGATTTCTTGGATTCTTTCGTTCAAAAATGTACAGATCCTGGATGTAAGTATATTTTTTACTTATATAAAGATAATGTAATTCTGATAAACATCTTGCATGATTATAAATTAAACAGTAGTGGCTCATATCCAAAATCATTCTATTTTTAGATCATACATACATAACGTAAACACCGCTAAATTATTGATTGTCTAGTTAAAATTGCCGCGAAATTTTACTTCCGGGATATAAAAGCAGATAAATACGGAAGCAGTATTAATTTGATTTTTTCAATAGCATAGATAAAGTAGTTATTTGTTAAATTCATGTTGAGATCAAATTATTTATGGTATTACATTATCTGTGTTTAAGTTATGAGTTCCTTATATAATGGCATACACATCTATTACCACATATAAAGCAATAGACGAAGCTGCAGCAGTTTCAACATTAGTAGATTGGTAATGTCAAAATAGAATATATAATAACCTAGAATGAGATAGAAAAGCAAAATCTTAACTTATACAATATATGCTCAAAACTGATTTGGCGGAGATATTAAGAAAATAAATTCTATTTATTTTAAAATTTTGAAATGTAATTCATTTCAAGTAAATATAGTTAGTGAGAATTAAATGTACCATACTTGAATATAACATAAATTAAATAAATATACTTTAAATATTACTATTTTTATTATGATTAATGTTTTTTCATGTAATTACGCTGTGAATATTTTTATTTGAGAATAATCAGAATTTTGTATAAGAATTGGTATAGAAAAAATGTACTTCAACCGAAATTAAAAAAATAACAAACATGTAAATTTTCCTATATGCATCTTTAATTTTATATAAATTCGGAATGTGTCACGTGTACGCATTTAAAAAATACACACACTAGTGTAACTAATAATTTTCTTGTTTTGTTTTTAATGAATTTTTATGTATGCATTACCAATCTATCAGTATGTAGTATACAGATGGGCAAAGCACCGGGTTTAAACCCGGTGCTTTGGTAAAAACCCAATAAACACCCATAAACTCCCATAATCACCCAAAAAAATAGGTTTTTACGTATTTTTTTGAAAATATGTAAGTAATACCAATAAATTATTTTTATAAATTGTATTGATCAATTCTACAATATTAAATAAAACGTTAACTAATAATATTTCAGGAAATTTTAAAAATCTATATATAATAAAATGAAAGTAATTAATTTTCAGTGTTTTCATGTTGCAGTTGATCAACATGTTGGCCTTTTGCTTCCCGTAGATACTTTAAAATTTCTTCATAACACCTCGTTCGCACACATGGCCGTATATATTTAAATTCTTGAGCCACTAACAGTCCGAAATACTCATTTCTTTTATCCTCTTCTCCATAAATTAAGCATTTAGAACAGTTTGTTTCTTCTTTCAGTAAATTTTCTTTTACTTTATCCTCGTTTTTTTCTTTGTTGCGACGACGCTGGGTAAATCATCTGGACACTGGGTCTCACTATCGCCAAATATATTTGGAGATCGGCTTCGGCTACGGCTTGGCAGACATTTTTTTCTTTCTACAATTTTAAATTAAATTTATTAGAATAAATGCTTCGAACACACGCGATCTAAGTACCTTTTGTGTTTATTATACCTTACCTACCTAGGTATAAAAAGAGTACTTACGTAGATTTTCTTTTATTAACTGTTTTATACGAAGATCTTGATCTCTCAAATTAGCATCCATTTTACTTCCAGTGATTATCAACTAAATTAATAATCCACAAAGTATTAAATAACGTTTTTATGAAATATTTAGCACAAAAACAATACCCTTTAAATATCGATCGTCAGTAACTGTGGCTGACTTACCTATATTCTAGCAAGCAGGACTGCCAGATGTGAAGGGGAAATCCCCAATAAATTGTTGCATGTGACTGATGATGTGAGCATGTTCGTTTCATAATAAAAATGTTGCCAGGTAACCAAAAAGTCGTATGTTTTTGTGCGAATTACGATCATAATCTTTACGATCGTACATTAAAAAATAGACAAATAATAGTATGAGTACGATTTAAATCGTATATCTGTCAACCCTGCTAGCAAGACAGCGACAAAATCACGTTGCATAACAATGTAGCCCAAGCTTATATCTTATGAAATATACGGAAGAGATACGGACTTAGAAAAAACAGAAATGTTGTTCTTTGTGGAAGTCATTGATGAAATTCTATGTATTTTAGCCCGCAAACTTTCTTCAAACAAAAACAGCGCCATCTAGTATCGAGTTCTGTAATTATCTCTTTGTTTATGGATTTGAAGTAAGACCGCCACGCATGCAATACATTATGACTGGGGATTCCCCTATTCGTCGACGCTGAATATGAGGCGACGACAATCACTGTCAAACGTGTTCACTATTACTCTGACTCTGGTAACGTGACTTCCTGGTAACGTGTTAGGTAGGAAAAGCAGTAAAAAAGTGCATATTAAGGGAGCAGATTTGAAATAATATTTATACTTAACAAGAAATAATTAAAGGTAAGTGGATTTTTGAATGATACAATTATATCATGATCACTTAACAATTTTAACTTAAAATTAGATGTATTATTACAAGCTTTTATTTAGCTTGCGTTATGTAAATAAAAGTATGTAGGTATGTTCGTATGTTGATGCAATTATCCTCAATCCTCAACCGACTGGGATAAAATTTTCCATACACGTTTATTTTGGATGATAGTGCATAGTTAGCTGAGAGTCGTCATTGGATAATAATGGTGGATAGCCTAAGATGTGTACTAGATATTTATTTTTAACATAATATGCGTAAGTACCTAATCGAATTAAAGAAGTTGCTGAGAAAAATACAGAACAATACGATAATAAACTAGCGTCTGCGTTTAATCCTCCGAGGAGATGTAATTTTACAAAGGTTTTTTGTATTTATTTTATTATTTTTTTAATAAATTTATTGTAAATAACAAGAAATAATCATTGTAAAAAAATAGGCACTCTATTGTTGAATTTTCGTCAGACCAACTAATCATCGTTCATTTTTTTAGGTTCAATGGGGAGACCTAAAGATTTACGCATATGGGAGCACTACCGTACTTTACCAAACAAGTCTGTTTCTTGCAAGCTTTGTAATAAGGTCTACAAATTCAGTAATGCTGCCAAAATGCTTCAACATCTTATCACTTGTCCAAAATCTCCAGAAACATTAAAAGACTCTATGAAACTTATAAAAGATAGCTCGTCCAAAACCAAAATGTCTGGACTGTCAGAGATAGAGACAAATGATTCTTTTATAAGCCCCTCGTCGTCTGCTAACACTACAATAAATGCTGAGTTTCAAGACACCGATGATCATATAAAAACAGAATTAGCGAGAGCTATATTTGTAACAGGGACGCCATTATCGATGGTGCAACATCCTTTATGGATACAATTTTTCGAAAAATTGCAACCAAAATTTAAAATACCTTCACGTAAAGCTTTAGCGACAAAATACTTAGATAAAATATATAGAGAAATGCGTTTTGAGTTAAATGAGGAACTAAATGCTTGTAGTTACTTACACCTTCAGTGCGATGGCTGGTCTAATTTAAGAAATGAAGGAATAATAAACTTTCTTATATCAAAACCTCAACCTGCATACGTTAAAAGTTTGAATACAGAAAGTAATCCTCACACTAGTGAATACCTTAGCCAAGAAGTTGAAAAAGTAATGAAAGTGTATGGAGCAAATAAGTTTCTTGTACTTATTGGCGATAACGCTAGAAATATACAAAAGGCATTCGAATTAACAAAACTCAAATATCCACATGTTGTTCCTCTCGGTTGCTGTGCACATATCCTTAACTTGTTGTGCCAAGATATTGTAAAGATACAAGAAGTAACTGTGTTTATTATGCAAGCCATAAATATAATAAAAACTGTTAAAAGGAGTCAACGATTAAGTTCCTTGTTGATAAAATCAAGGCAGGGTGAAGATTCTACACAAACACTAAAATTGCCTTGTGCTACAAGATGGGGAAGTCATGTTACTTCGTTAAAAAGTTTGAAAGCAAATAAGATAGCTTTGCAAATATTAACAGTTAGAGAAGATGTGGTAATTTCAAGAGATATTAAAGATTTAATTCTAAGTGATGATTTCTGGACGAAGACAGGGGAATGTATAAGTATTTTGGAACCAGTCACTGAAAGCATATTTTACTTAGAGAGCGACCAGAATCGTTTGCATCGCACATACATTACATTTAGAGATGTACAAGCTAAGATACGTTTTGCATTAAATGAGATTTCGACATTGAGCGAAGAAAGCAAACAGCAGATTCTAACATCAGTATCTTCAAGATGCAATATGGCAATGAGGCCAATACATTTTGCAGCATATATTCTAGACCCCAGGACTCTAGGAGTCGAACTTACTCAAGAGGAAGAACTTAAGGGTATGGAGTTTATCTACAATTTAAGCCAACACTTAAGTTTGTCAAATGTAATGGCAGATTTGGCGTGTTATAAAGCTAAAGAAAACTTTTGGGCCAGAGGATTTGTATGGAGCTCATTAGATAGCATTGAGCCCCTAATATGGTGGAAAGGTATTTGTGGTTCCACTGAGTTAAGCAAAGTAGCGATTCGTATTCTATCAGCTCCCTGTACTTCGGCAGCCACTGAGCGTTCCTTTAGTATCCAAGGCTACATACATAATAACAAAAGAAATCGACTTACAACTGAAAGAACTGAAAAAATTTCATTCATTTGTTATAACTGGAATCTTAAACATAAAGCTGAATGCGAGGACATTCAGTTTAATGAAGAAAATACCTTAGAAGCTTTCATTGAGCAAGTAAATGAACATAACAGTTTAGACGAAATAGAGCCTATCGAACCTATACAATTCATCGCTTGTAATAACTCTGAATCTGACAGTGATTGACTGTAGTTTTACATTTTACTTTCATCTCTTTCTTAATAAACTCAAAATCAAATTAAAAGTTTTTTATTCTGTAGGCTGCATAATAATATTGTCTATGTCCAGTATAGTGGACGTCTTGCGGCTGAGATGACGATGATGAAGTACAAAATCATAAACACCCAAAAATTTGGGTGTTTATGGGGTTTAAACCCAATAAACCCAAAACACCCGGTTTTTACCCACCAGACTTTAAACCCACCCAGGTGGATTGCCCATCTCTAATGTAGTATGTTATAATACATATACAATGTCTAACAAATCACATTCCCTTAAAACTTATTCTACTTCAAAACGTAAAAATAATTAGAAATTATTTTGTTATATTCTCACCAAATCAGTTTCGAGTATTTATTGTGCAAATTATTGTTTTATTCTCTATCTCGGTCTAACATATAGATTACTATATTTTCTCTTTTATATTGCGAATCTATATTTTTCATAATCTAAGTTATACTATGTCTATGGTTTCAACTAGGTACTTCCACAGACTCACAAAGAAGATTCATTTCACGCGGCAATAGCAGTTTCCTTCGTAATCGTATATAGCTACCATTACAATAAAGTCAAAAAGAATGTTATGTAGAATAATCCCTATCTCAAATATTATACATATAAAGATATATATTCTATTAAAACCTTGGGTTATTATTTGATTACTAGTTGAAATTATGATTTGTTGTTTTCTCGACTTACAATTTTCAAGACGTGAATCGAAACGCAATTTAAAAAAAAAAATTTTTATATGATTAATCTTGTACGCCCCAGAATATTTTAAAAAATTCATGTATCTTGTTTATATTGAGCAATAAAAGTGTATGAAACATAATGGCACAAGGTATGTTACATAATTTAGTCAATAGTTTCACTAAATACCCGAAGGTGTAATTTATTTTTCCAATTACATTTTGACATATTGTTTTGTATACCAATTTTGTGGCGCCATCTTGTACAATCTGTCACATTTTGGTTTCAATCTTTTCTAGTGGCGTTGTTTTCACATTTATTATAAATATTTTAAATATTAATTTTCAATTGCAACGTTGATATTATAAAATACGAGATATGGACTATTTATAAGTATTGTGATTAATATTTAAGTCACATAGTGATAGTGAAAACTTACGGCATCAACATGACAGCAATTTCTGCACCAAGCCAGACGAAAAATACTACCACGGTGACTACGACAAAACCACAAAAGAACTATGGGAAGATTATTCTCACTCTCTACAATTGTTTATTACCAGAAAATGTGTTTAAAGAGACCCCTTCACAAACTGATGGATTGGACATTGAGACTGAAACGGACCTTCGTATTTTGGGTTGCGAACTAATCCAAACAGCTGGTATATTGCTAAAACTTCCGCAAGTGGCCATGGCTACCGGACAGATATATCTCCAACGATTCTATTATTCAAAATCCTTTGTCAGATACCCTATGGAAACCATGGCAATGGGAAGCATCTACTTAGCTTCGAAGGTCGAAGAAAAACCATGTAGAATTCGAGACGTGATAAATGTATTCCATCATATTAAACAGGTGAGATCTCAGAAGACCATAACCATAACTCCACTTATAGTCGACCAAAATTATATCGAGATGAAGAATCAGGTTATCAAAGCAGAGAGAAGAATACTCAAAGAATTAGGATTTTGTGTACATGTTAAGCATCCACATAAGCTTATAGTAGTATATTTGCAGCTTCTGCAGTATGAAAAGAATAGACCACTAATGCAAATTTCATGGAATTATATGAATGATGCATTAAGAACTGATGTATTCATGCGGTTCCCTCCAGAAACAATTGCATGTGCTTGTATTTATTTGACGGCGCGGAAAATAGGTTTACCATTACCGAACAACCCACATTGGTTCTTATTATTTAAGGTAACAGAAGAAGATATAAGGGAAGTATGCCATAGGATCTTGCAGTTATACAAAAGGCAAAAAGTGAATCCAGAGGAGTTAGAAACAAGAGTAGATATGTTAAAGAAAATTTATCAGGCCAATAAACACATGCAAGCACAAAAAGACCGTGAGAATGCAAAAGCTGAAGAGAAAAAGTTGGAGTCACCTACAGCATCAACTTCGAAGGATGTTAGGAGGGACTCAAAGAAGGAGAAATCTCCTAAGACACCTCCATTATCATCTAAGTACCACAGCAGTCACAAATCTAAGAAGGAGAGAAGATCCCGTTCTCCATATGATCGTAAACGTGAATACTCAAGTAAAAGGCATAAGTCTCGGTCTAGGGATAGGGATATAGATCGCTCTCGAGAACGTAGGTTAGATGATAAACGGAGTAGAGTTTCGTCAAGAAAGTATGACGATTATGAACGCTCAAAATCAAGTAGAGACAGTAGAGATGATAAACGGAAGCATTAGTTTTATGATATTGCATTTATTTTAAATATAGATATTGTAAATTCATCATGTTGTTTTAATTATCATTCATATTTTTACGGGATTAGAAATGGGCAAAGCTGACATCCCACCCTATGGAAAGTGGTATCAGTCGCTTATAGACATAACAGCACAATGGCACAGTATACATTATGATTTATATAGTACCACTCATCTATTGCCATTCCTGAGGACTAGTGTTGAAATCCCTTTCTTGTAATTTTATTATAACCCATCATTCGAATGTAAATAGCCTTCTTCTAACTTTTTACTCTAAAATGTATAACCATATACAGGTAATGCTGCTCTGTTTTTGAGGAAATATTTTCATTAGCAGACTGGCCATAGATTATTATATTAATCAAAACCTTGTAAATATTTGTATTTACATTTTTTTAACCCTTGATTTTGGAGCTGTGTTCCATGTTATCAGAGACAATTTATATTAGTATGAAGTGGTAGGTAAAGATGAATTAAGCAATCAAATAATGTGATGAATTTACCATAGAAAACATGACAATTTCTGTGGAGAACTGTAGAAAGGTCAATCTTATAGGGTTTATTTCAAGAATGGAGTTGCAAGTCTGTTACTAAGAATCCCCATGCCAACTTTTTGCCACTCCAAGTTGAATTAAAAAAATGTCTAAATTAGGTAAATTAAAATGATTGAAAAGAGTAGTGCTAGCTAATATAGGGTATGGTCAAAGGAAGTGTTGACAATTCTAGTATTGCAAGCATTCAGAAATTTTACATAGTCTCCATTTGCTATCATACAAGACATAAGGCTCATGTATAAAACTTACAAAAATATTTGTAATAATAATAGTTATTTAAATAAATAAATATTGAGCAAAATAAAGTATGGTACAAAAGGCGAATTTAATGCTAGTAGCCTACCAGTCAACCTTTGGGGTAAAATATGAGTCTGTATACTACTTTCAGCAATCCAACTATCTTTATATCTATGTAAATTTATCGTGAATAATAGAAATAGAAGTATTCTCTTTGAAGTAGGATGTAGCTTACCATTGTACATAGGTGGATTTAAGGGAGACAACACAGTGCCCACCCTAGAATAGCCTGGTAATAATAAAAACATGTCTGAGAGTATGTATGTGCCTTTTATATAGAGTCAAACCCCTTGGAATATAATTTTATATACGCCAATAGTAATGTAGTATATGTATAGTTGTAAATGTTCACTAGGGCGAGGGATTGGCAGCAGTGTCCCTCTTAAAACATCTTGACAGTTACCACTTTCTATCAGATAGGCGTCAGCTTATTTGCCATTATGAGTTGTATAAAAAAAAATCTTTAAAAACCTAATTGCGATTGCTAATCCTTCTGCCAAGCGTGGCAACTATTGGCTAAACTCCCCTAATGGGGGGAGGCTTATGACCAGCAGTGGACAGTTAATTACTGAAATAATACGTTTACTAATTTCGCCTTTGTGTACAAAAATTATTAGGCATAATAATTTGAGTGATCGGGCAGCAAATGTGCACCTATTAATATAAGGCTGCGTTCACATATCGACTATTTTTTGTTAATGGGTGAAAATGGTATGGTAACCCCGCCTGCGCTAACGAGATACGCTGGCGGAGCACCAGTGAAGGGTGATAGATGAGAATGAAAACAGGCCCGTTAGCCAATCATGATGAATTTATCAGGAATTAACCATGATAGTTTACAGGGAGAACCGCGAGGAAGTCGACCTGGTTGGGTATATTGCTAGCTAATAGGATTCTCAGTCTCCATTACTAACAATCCCTTTCCCCCCACATATCGACTATTGTAAATTAATAACAATTGTTCATTTGTACAAAAATCTTATACTTTACAGAGTTTGATAATACTCGTAGATTAGAGAGGTGCTAGTTTTTATTTTTAAAGTAGCCCAGTAACTTTTATAGATTTGAGTATATTTAAAAATCTAGTAGTTTTTACAAGAATGTGCCCAAAAATTTCGAGTCCGCTAACTATTGCCGCCAAAAGGAATTTATATTTGTTTTGAATGCTCATTACACTTTTAAGATTTATATAGTACATTTTCAGTAGTTTGTTTCTTTGAACACGCTTGTCTCTGGAACTTAATTAATAGATATAATGGTCAACTCCACTTCTCGGCAATATTTGCATGTTTATATACTTACTTTCTTTATATAGCAATCGGTAGTTAACGTTGTTGGTAGTATTATTAATCACATTTAAATGTAATCTTATTATAATTATATATTGTATTAGAAAGAAAGAAAGAAGAAAGAAAGAAAACATTTATTGACAACAACAAAAAGTTACATACATTATGAATTAAAAAAAAAAAACTTTACATTTATTATTGCCAACATGGTCACCACTCAGCATGTGCTGCAGCAATTTAATTGCTACAGCGCTGATATTCTGTGGTGCCCATACGTGACATTACGAACGACGACAGCAAACATACGCATATATATATATACACACATACATATATATATATATATATATGTATGTGTAATACATATATATATATATATATATATAATACATATATATATATATATATATATATATATATATATATATATATATATATGTATTACTGTTTGTTAACTTTAATAAAATAATAAAAAAAAAAAATAAAAAAAAACTACCAGTTCAATTTAAAAAAAATATTCTTGCATTCGATAGCTCATTTCTTGAGGACAGTTATAGGTTAAGTAACATTACGATATGACTGCAACATATAGAAGTGATTTTTTGTGTCTTCGCAATATTTTCGCCAACTCTTGATGATTATTTATGCAACTGATAAGACTTATATTAATCCTGATTATGTCCCAACTGAAGTTGGTTTGAGTTTTCGTATAGTTATGCCATCAATCCGCATCAGAAAGGTTTTAAGATATTAAAAGTCATGCTCTCAGTACCCACTTAATGATGAAGCCCAAATTCTTTATCCATACAATTACCTAATAGACTGCAAACCTTGGCATATGCGAGCGTATACCGAAAGCGCAACCGCAAGTGCTTGGGAATCCAAATCTAGTACATAGAACAAAAAAAAAATAGTTATGTTGTATTTTTCCGAAACAGCCATGTAAGCACAGTTACTTCATAGCAGAGCCACAGAGTGAAATATAGGTACCTATGTAGATAGATGGATACTCTTTATTGTTTCCCCCAAAAGATTACAATAGTAAACTTATTATAAATACAAACAATTGGATGACTTATACAGTCTCCCTCTAGCGAACGTTTACGCTACTTTCGTGCCCATCTGCCGCATGTGTTCTGTGAACACACCTTTACTGGTTGCCCTGGAAATATTGTAGCCGTCTCTTTCGTCGTTCCAGAGCGGACCTTTTTAAAATGTTTCCTCTCAAAGGTTGATCTATTTCAGTTACGTAGGTACGTTTATATTTAGCTTAGTGAGTTATTACGCGTTCGTCCATATACACCGGTATCAGTGTGTTAATTTAATTAACATTAAAAAAAATCATAATCTGTATGAGATTTGTTTATTATAAAAAAATATTTAATTTAATTCACAATCCGTGTATCCACGTGTGAGATTTGTTTATTATAATAAAAATATTTAAAATTAATTCACAATTAGTGTATCTACGTATGGGATTTGTTTATTTAAAAAAATATTTAAATTTAATTCACAAACAGTGTATCTACGTGTGAGATTTGTTTATTATAAAAAAAAATATTTAAATTTAATTTACAATCAGAGTATCTACGTATGGGATTTGTTTATTTAAAAAAATATTTAAATTTAATTCACAAACAGTGTATCTACGTGTGAGATTTGTTTATTATAAAAAAAAATATTTAAATTTAATTTACAATCAGAGTATCTACGTATGGGATTTGTTTATTTAAAAAAAAATATTTAAATTTAATTTACAAACAGTGTATCTACGTGTAAGATTTGTTTATTATAAAAATAATATTTAAATTTAATTCACAGCCTGTATATCTATATGTGAGATTTGTTTATTATAAAAAAAAATATATATATTTATATTAAATCTGTGTATCAACATATATGGAATTTTGTTTATCAATTATCTATTTAATATTAATATTTTGAATGTTTGTGTCACAAGAGTGCAAGGTACAAAGATAATGTATTTTCATGATTAACTTTAAATATTCAATAAGGTTTCGTGTTAGTTTGTTGACCTTCAATGACTGATCGTCTCGAAGACATCTCAAATTTTCTATTCAGAATTACCTGTATTCAGTGTATAAATGTGCAATAATGGACTCTGTTCACTTGACATAAGAGATATAACATCGGGATCACTTCCAGCTTGTTTCCGATATTTTATAGTGTAGGGTGACCACAATTACAGTGTTTACTGATATTTTTTGTTACCATAGTATACCACGAATTATAGAAAAGTATATAAAATTACCTAGTTTTTACCCATGACTTTTTCCGCGTGACTGGGATAGATTTGCTGATCAGAAAAAAATAACCTGTAGTCTATAGCTTTCTCTATCCCATATAGTGCATGTATACCAAATTTCATAGTGATTAGTTAAGACGCTATAAGGTAAACAAACACTTTCACATTTATAATATTAATCAAGGAACGATAAGTTTAATAAATAATTGAGGAAATATTTGCCCAGTTCGACTTGTTCCTAGTAATGTTTCCCCACTGAGGGATAAAAGTGGAGTTTTATTCCACCTATTTCCACTGGTAGAGATTTAAATAGATAGGTGCCAATAAAAAAACAATCGCTTCAAATAAGCTTATTTTGTCAAACATAAATACAAATATTTGATTACGTAGATCATGTCCGTTTGGTGTTAGAATAAGAATACAATGTACCACTTATCCTTTTCATCCAATTTTTGTAAGAAGTGCCTAAGGGAACAGGAATGTACGATAGGTCACACTAATAGCTCTCAGTAACATAGACAACTCTAGAGTTCCATAAATGAACTACTACTAAACCCTGATCTATCTTATTACTACGTCTACTATTACCCCCAGCGTGATAAGTCGAATTTTGTAACTTTCCTTTCAGTCTTTTTTTTTACTTTCTACAAGTTATGAATGAATGAAAATTCTTTACTGTTCCCTTCAAAGAATAATACAGATTAATAGTATATTACTGCAGCGGCCAGCAACTGAGGCATTGATGGACAAACGTGCAAATGTGGGCCGAGACGCAGCCGAGGCACACATACGTGAGTCCATCAATGCCTAGTTGTGGCCAAGGCTTGTATAGTACTTTTCTCAAACAATGCGCGGAAATTAAAAACACAATTTTACTTTTTAAGTTCAATGACGAATAACGAACAATAATATTTTTTCACGAGCCATAAAGTACCTTTGTTTTTTTTTCAATAAACAGCTTTCTATTTGCAAGCCAGTTCGAAATTTAAATAAAACCTTTTATTAGTTATCTCCTTGGTAGTCATGTTTCGAAGTAAAAGATCATTCCATTTTTAAATTACAGGACAGATATGAGTTAACATAGTAATTTATCTGGCCGCAAAATACGACAGATATGGATTTTCATACAACTTTTGCCGGCCGCTGCCCGCATGTATCTGGCTAGTACGGCAATTTTGATTTATCTCTAAGAAGATTGTCAAAATAATGCTCACATTTCCAAGCATGTTTGAGAAAAAAGATTAACAATATATTAATACACAAATAAAATGAGTTATTGACAAACAATGAGTGGTATTTTGTGAAGTTAATACATACTCATGATACTTGTTTTAAAATAAATCAGGTATATTTAAACCACAATTATTATTTACTGGTCAACAATAAATAATTCATTATTAGCACCTATTTGTTTGTATATTTTAATATCGTAGCTAACTGTTTTTCCTTATTAAATAATATACTTAATTATACTTGATCATTGGTCGTGACGAAATGTCCGTAGGTACACGTAATTTATAGTGATACTAGTTGATTAACATGTGGCAAGCGTTATCACTCGTAAGACCCGTCTTATCAATACGTACTAGATAGCGAAATGTCCATCGCGAGACATTTAACTAACGGACCAACATTGCTTGATTATTTGTATATAACAAAATATGTTTCTCTAAAACTGTGTGTGCGGTGTGTTTTGATTTATTAAAAATAAAAAAAATAAAAATAAACATAATAAATGAGATGTGATATTAGCGGGGAAATTTAATGACTTAGCCACAAGACAAATTGTTAAACTGCCATATAGTGTGAAGTGTAAAGTTTTAATATTTATGTTTTGATTTTGTAAAACTTGTTAAAATAATCTGTTGAAAGAGACATGTTGTCGTTCGGTAAAATGGTGCATCGCACGTGTTTCTTTGTTAGTCGGACTGTTTACATGACATGTGAGTACATTGAGTTTTGGAGCGTGGTGGTCTGTAAGACGGCTTATCCTAGAGGAAAAAGGATTGTTAGCAATGGAGTTTGACAGCCCCATTGCTAGCAATATCCCTTATTAGGTCAACCTTCACGTGGTTCCCCCTGGAAACCGTCGTGAACAATTCTTGTAGAATTCGTCACGATGGGCTAACTGACCTGCTTCATCCTCACCTATCATCTCTCCCTGGCGCCCCGCCGGTGTATACCGATAGCGCGGGTGGGGTTACCATTCCATTATCATCCATTTAAAAGACGTGTTATCCTAGTACCGACAGTAGTCTCTCACAAAGATTGTTTTAAATTGTAACCCATGTAGCTGTAAGTTTTATTATGTTGTTATTTTATCAGAGAAATAAATATATTATAAAGTATATAGTACAAAAAAATATTAAATAGTTTACCAAAAGGGAGACTTTGTACAAAAGTCGTTTGCTTGGGCACCTCTGTCCCATTTGTTTCAACCGTAAAACAGTTGTGTTTCGGTTTGTAGGGTAGGATATGGCAGTGAATTTACAGGGTACGGACTCGTGAATGGCAACGCATGGGGGGTATCATGGGTGAAATAGTATACTCTGTTATGTCCATGGTACTGCTCATGTCTATAGGCGACGGTTTATCATTTTCCATTAGGTGGGCCGTCAGTTTGTTTGCCATTCTAAGTTGCATAAAAAAACAAACACAATCTCAGAATATTTTTTTTTAACTAGGAACTCTAGAAAAGCTAATAGACCTAGCTATTTTTTAAAGTCTATGTGAGATTTATGTTTTTTCATATAATTAAACCACATAAGCCTTTTTAATCCCGAGTCCCTGATCGTCATCAACTCTAAACACCCTAGACAAGTGGTAAATCAATCTATCAGTAGATACGTTCTCGTTACTGCATGCATGAGGAAAAATAACACCCCGGCTTTATCTAAGAAATATCTGTCGATGTATTTGTTTCTTGGTGGGTTGTTGTGAGATAAGGGGTCATGCGTACATTGTCAACCCTTGTGTCTGGGGGAAGGGATTGTTGGTAATGCGGACTACTAGTCCCATTATTAGCAATAAACCTTGTCAGATCGACCTCTACGTGGTCCCCTCTGGAAACTATTGTGCTGAATTCCAGGTGTAATCATCACGATGAGCTAATCGACCTGCCTTTTCATTCTCACCTGTCATTCCTATAGTCTCACTGGTGCTCCGCCAGTGTATACCGTTAGCACAGGCGGGGTTACCATTTTATTATCATCCATTAAAAACTTATTAGTTAAGACATGTTTTTAACTTATTAGTTAAGACATGTTTTTTTTTAATATGTTTTAATTTATAATAATAAATTAACACTTATTATAAATAAATTTACATATTATTAAAATTATGTCTGTCGTCATGAACCGGAAATGTTATTCACTGGCGAATCGCTGTTGTTGTCTCTACCATATAGTCTCTGATGAATCATTATCAGTTTGTTGTTAACAGGCGTATCAGTTATATAATACTTACTGTAACCCGCGGCTGTTGCCCGCGTAATTCAATACATAAAGTATTCTATCTGCTAAGTCAGGATGTAACATACCCGTTCACCAAATTTCATTACAATACGTTTCGTAATTTTTGCGTTAAAGAGAGACAAACATCTATCTATCAATCGATACAAATGTTGCCATTTATTATAATAATAGGATTATTATCATTGCTGTACATAGGCCTCTTCCATAGACTGCCATATGGAACGGTCCTGAGCTACCTGTATCCACTGACAATGCAGCATCAACTGACAATGCATCTGAGGTTGTCACTCCATCTAGTTGGGGTTTGTCCCACACTGCATTTGCCCGTACGGCCCGTCACCACTCAAGAACCTTTCTTCTCCATCGGTTGTTGAGTAGGATTATAGTTGTGAATATGTAAATGAATTTACAGAACTTTTAAGATTAGAATATTGACAGCACATAAACATGTTCACTGTACCTATAACCTTCTCTGTCATTATATTCTCCAGGCTGCTGCGGCTGCTGTTCAGCCCTCCGGCCGCGGTACAAGCGTCTCGTGGATAACATATTCCCAGCGTCGCCGCAAGATGGCCTCGTCAAGTCCAATATGGAGAAGCTCACCTTCTACTCGCTGTCCAGCCCGGAGAAACTCGACCGCATCGGAGAATATTTGTTCCAGAAAGCGTCTAGAGATATATACAGACGGAGACATGGGTGAGTAACAGCTGTTATAATCTATTAAAAAAAACAGCTGGGGCAGCTGACAGTGTGGAGACTTTACGGTGCAGAGGATTGTGAGATTCAGGTGGGTCCCACTAGTGCTCCCGAGACTTTTAGTTCACAATTAAGTTACTGATGAATAAAGAAAAATCAACAGTCATGTATACCCGCTCATGATATAGTCGAATACATCAGTGGGATATACAGTAAAGAAGCACGCAAATGTCCACTGCTAAACATAGGCCTCTCCTATAGACTGCAATAAGGAACTGTCCTGAGCCATCTGCACCCGTACATAAGTACAGTAAGGCGGTAATCTTAGGTTAACGAATTAATTATTGTACAATGGTCTCGTACCCTCCAATTTTGCAGTCATACGCCACCCTTCTAATTGAAACAGCCGTGCAAGCATAAATACGACTTCACGGCAGAAATACGAGTGAGACAGAGGTGTCCCTCTGGTAAAATTAGTTCAAATATTACCCCTTTACTCTACTTCAGGTTCGTGATAATAGCCATGGAGGCGATGGACCAATTGCTGCTAGCATGCCACTCGCAGACCTTGAACCTGTTCGTGGAGTCGTTCCTCAAGATGGTACAAAAACTGCTAGAGTCCACCGACCCCCAGCTCCAGATATTGGCGACGCAGAGCGTGAGTATTGGTCATTTGGCATTCGTAATCTGATAGATTAAAGGTAAGGGGTCGTTCAAGTATTACATAACGCAACGGGGGGGAGGGGGGTTTAAACAACTAGTTACGTAATATTTTTATTTAAATAAAAAAACACGGGAATCTAAATCTCCAATAATATCGTACACAGTTGAACATAAGTCTTCCTCAATTTGCCACAAAGTTACCACAAATGATCCCAGGCTTACAAGCGGTATCGAGCCCTTAAACCTTAGAAGAGATTTTGCCTAACGCTGCGTGTTCTACCGCTTGTACAACGGAATGTGCTTAGAAGAATTCTTCAATATGATGCTCACGGCCACCTTCTACTATCGTACAGCTAGCCATCGATAGGAAGTTCACCCCATACCTAAGAGCTTAGTTGGTCGCGTACAGCGCGGTTTTAGAGATGATTCCTCCCACAAACACTTAGGTTCTGGTATGAGCTCCCCCCTGTCGAGGTTTTTCTAAGACACTACAGCATGGGCTTCTTCAAAAAAGGGATAAAGAGGTTAAATGTGCGCGTAATGTTTCTGGTATTGTTCATAAGCAACGACAACCGCTTACCATCAAGTGGGCCGTATACTTGTTTGCCACCTCAGTGGTATAAAAAAATTTGTGAAAAAGGGTCACATTTTTTGTTTGGTAATGTCTATATATGATATATTCTAATAGAACTGTTTCAGTAAGCCTTATTTATGCTTAGATCCACAATCTGGATCTGCATATGGATTTAGAGATTTCATCTCGTATAACTTCTGGCGTTTGCAGTTCGTTCGTTTCGCGAACATAGAGGAGGACACGCCGTCGTACCACCGCCGCTATGACTTCTTCGTGTCCAAGTTCTCCGCGATGTGCCACAGCAACCACGGCGATACCAGCACCAGGGACAAAATCCGCCTCGCCGGCATACAGGGCTTGCAGGTAATATTTTGTCTTTTGCCAAACATAGAGGCTGTCCAGGGATTGGCAGCAGAGAAACCTGTAATGTAATCCTATCCTCTATAAGTTATCAGCAGAAAGTCAACTCTACGGGTACTCCGCAGTTGAATGCTAAGGCGATTGTCTTTTGTCACCATCCACAAATCCATGCAGAGACACATAAACAAACATTTTTAGTTTCGCTTATGAATTATGCGCTTGTAATGATGAATAAATAATTTATCTAGTTCTCTCTAAATGGGAACATTATAAATTTATTACATATAATAAATTTTCAGTCGACACTGTTTGCATAGGAAAGTGTGATTTCAAAGTTCAGAAGTAAACTGATGCAAGGAGAATGAAGGAGATGCAAATATATTCAAAATTTTCTACCAGGAAATTTTTTATGTGTCGATCATAAAGTTTCAAAACCTATATATTTTTTCCTTCCTATTTTAAGTTAGTTCTAATCCCCTCCAACTCCGGAAAGATCTTTCAGCTGAGAAGAAGGCAGAGTGAGAATCGTTACTGTTACTCTTATTGAACAAAGATAACGTGTTTAGTATAGGAAGGTATATTCATATGATTTTTACATTGTTCCAGGGTGTGATAAGGAAGACGGTGTCAGACGACCTCGTGGAGAATATATGGGAAGCACAGCACATGGACAAGATTGTGCCATCTTTGCTTTATAATATGCAGGTAATTGTCCAAGCAGGATTCTTAAGATACTTCTGCATAATTCGTCAATAATAATAATTCTCTAAAAGCCCAACTGCGGTTGCCAACCTGTCTGCCAAACGTGGCAACTACCACCCTAACGGGGAAAGCAGTGGACAAAGAACGTCTGTAATAATAATAATAATTGACTGTAGTCCCTTTCTTAGACTAAATTACCAGGGTTTTGGCTCAGGAGACCAGGAATTTTGACTCTACAGATGCTCCTTTGGTAAGATACCGGGGTCCATCCGTAGAGACAGTTCCGGAAGGTCTATATCGAGTCATTATTTGGCACTTTGTGTAATTTGGCGTATGTCACATAGGTTTCAATGTCTGAGAAAATGACAAATTCCCAGCTCTGGCTTATTCTCTGAGCGGGCAATCCTACTCTGTAAGGCATCTGGTATAAAGGTGAATATGAATCGTTGGCAGAGTGCGGAGAAGTACGAGACGGTGTCGTGCATGGAGACGGAGGCCCGCGACGGCGCGGAGGAGGAGCCGCCGCGGCTCGCCGAGTGCTGCCTGCGCGAGCTGGTCGGCCGCGCCTCCTTCGGACACATCCGCAGCGTGCTGCGCCCCGTGCTCACGTGCGAACACCAGCCTCATGCGCCACCACCGCCACCGCCACCACAACCGTCACCATTACCACCATCACTACTACCACCGTCATTACCACCACTACCATTATCACCACTACTACCATCATCACCACCACTACCATCACCACCACCACTACCATCACCACCACCACTAACACCATCACCAACACTACCATCATTACCACCGCTACCATCATCACCACCGCTACCATCATCACCACCACTACCATCGTCACCACCGCTACCATCATCACCACCACTACCATCACCACCACCACTACCATCATCACCACCGCTACCATCATCACTACCACTACCATCACCACCGACACTACCATCATCACCACCGCTACCATCATCACCACCGCTACCACCATCACTACCTCCATCATCATCATTATCATTACTACCATCACCAGCACCACAACCACCACTCCCATCACCTCTTTCGCTTTCATGTGTTTAATACTTATTTTTCTACTGTTGTAGGCACTTCGATCGACACGAGCTGTGGGTACCGAACGACTTCGCTGTTCACACCTTCAAGATCATCATGTTCTCAATTCAGGTAACCGTTGTCATCTACTCATTGTCTATTTACATCATAATCCGTCGTCATTTGTTATTACAGACAAATCAGAGCTAGAATCACGGACTCATTTCTTAGTGTTAAGAAGTAATCTCCATCCGTGATTCTAAGTTCTTTTATTGCTCCTCTAATTTTGTAGTTTAATAAACGTACAGCGGTTTCCTTTCAAACCATAGTATTTTTTTATTTGAAAAATTTACTTAAAATTACGACAATTAGATATACAATATAAAATAAAATGGTGACTTGTAACACAGGTTCTTCAAAACCTACTGCAAGCACCATTCTCTCACAAAATTGGTCTTATATATCTAATTGTATCTCAAGATGTCAGCTTATACTACTTTTTTTGAAGAGAAAATAAACCATTGAGTTAGACATTATGTCGTTACAATTTTGTTATATTAGTAAAATTGAATCTAATTTTGTTTCAATGTTACAAGAACAAGTGGTATTCTAGTTGTTGCCATTGTTGTCTCTTTGTCTTGTTTTTATGTAATTAAATATTCATTTTATTTCGTGTATATTAATGTGTATCATTCTTTTAAGGTAACAAAAAAGAGTTTTATATCATTCAAATATTTTTTTATAACTTAACTAGCTGACTTGGTAAACCTTGTTTTACCATATACATTATTTCTAGAACTATACATGAAAATATATCGTACTACAATTATTATATTCGATTGTCATCTTGCAACCTTATTGCGAAATATAAAAATCGCGATTAAACAACAAGGGTTGATCGTAAAAGCGTGAAAATTTGAAGTTGTATGTATTTTTCGATGCAAAATCATAATAAAATAAAAATATAAAATTAGTCAAAAAAAAAAAATTTAGGGTTGGGTCACCCTTATCATTGACGGGTATGAAAAATAGATGTTGGCCGATTCTTAGACTTACCGAATATGCACACAAAATTTCATGAAAATCGGTAAAGCCGTTTCGGAGCAGTTTGGTAACAAACACCGTGACACGAGAATTTTATATATAAGATTTTGCTTTGCAAACTTAAAATATAATTGACATCCTAATAAAAGAACTATTTAAAAAAAATATAGTTAGTATCAGTCTGGATAATGTAGGGATATTAACAATACCCACACATATACAAATATGTTAAGACATTGTATACACAATGCACTGAACTATAGACGAGCGTCCTCTGGCGTCGAAATGAAACAAACCAGTGATGCTGGATCGTTGTACATGGGAAAGTTTTTTATTCAATAATAATACACGTACCTAGCCTACATAATAAATCAAACTATAGCGCTAACCTTTTGACAGCGCCATCTGTTCTGTATCATAGGTACTAAACAATTTTATTACAAACTTATAACAGGCATTTAGAAAATTGTGGTGGAATAGAAAAGCCTAAAATATAAGAGTTTTTGTCCAGTGGTGTATGTGTTTTTTTTGATGGGTGAAAATGGTATGGTAACCCCGCCTGCGCTAACGGGATACGCTGGCGGAGCACCAGTGAAGGGTGATAGATGAGAATGAAAACAGGCCAGTTAGCCCATCATGATGAATTCATCAAGAATTAACCATGATAGTTTCTAGGGGGAACCGCGAGGAGGTCGACCTGGTTGGGTATGTTGCTAGCAATGAGATTCTCAGTCTCCATTACTAACAATCCCTTTCCCCCCGTGGTGTATGTGTAGTGTGTAGTGTGTAGTGTGATGGTGTGATTGGGTGTGCAGGCGCAGTACTCGTACAGCGTGGTGGAGGCGCTGATGCAGCACGTGGAGGCGGCGGGCGCGGGGGGCGCGGGTGAGCCGCGTGGCCGCGCCCGCGTTCGCGCCGCCTGCGCCGCCGTGCTCAGCCACATCGTCGCCATCGCCGCCGCCGACAGCGTCGGTACGCAGCCTGCCCGCCGCCCGCCTGTACCCACACCCACACGCAGCCGGCGGGCCGTCCTCCCAACTAGCGCCGTTCATTCCGGATCAATTCACCATGATGGGCTAACTGGCCTGCTTTCATTCTCACCTATCACCCTTCACTGGTACTCCGCCAGCGTATCCCGTTAGCGCAGGCGGGGTTATCATACCATTTTTACCCATAAAAAAAAAATCACAGCACATAAGCGACGCACCACTAACTTCACTCACAGTTCTTGTTAATGGGTGATAATGGAATGCTAAATTCGCCTGCGCTTATACACTAGCGGAGCCCCAGTGAAGGATGATAGGTGAGAATGAAAAGGCAAGTCAGTTAGCCCATCGTGATAAAATCCACTAGATTTAACCAAGTTGGTTTCCAGGAAAAACCGCGCGGAAGTCGACCCGATTGCTAGTAATGGGACAGCTAAACCCTACCTTTTCCCCCTAATCCACAGCTAACAGCCAATACCAGAGGAAGACTGTACAAAAGTCGTTTGCTTGTGCACCTCTGTCCCATTCGTGTTTCTACCATGAAACAGTTGTATTTGTATGGCTGTGTTTCGGTTTGAAGGGTGGAATATGGCAGTCTCAGGTACCCTGTACAAAAGAATAACACCTGAGTTCTCAGGAATGGCAACGCATAGTAGGTATCGTGGGCGAAACAGTATACTCTGTTATGTCCATGATACTGTTCATGTCTATAGGCGACGGTTACCACATTCCATCAGGTGGACCATCAGCTTGTTTGCCATTCTAAGTTGCTTAAAAAAAAACTTGCATACTTGGAATAGTATGATGATATGTAATTCTTATCAATATTAAAATTTTACAGTTTACAACTATAATATCGGATTAATTTGTACTTCTGCTGAGAAGTACTTTCGGAATCATTAACTCTTGATTATGAATAAAAAATTAAGATGTCTACTTACAAAATTTTTCAAAATATACCAATAAGCACTGTTTTGTTTTTTTTTTTTTTTAAATGTACATCATGTATTAATAATTTTATATTTCAGGTCCATCCGTGTTAGAGATCATCAACAACCTGCTTACAAATCTAAGAGCGTCGGTGGCCAGAGATTCAGAGGTATTTATTTATTAATACATACCAACAGCATATGTATGATATATTAAAAAAATATACAAAAAGAGATCTGATACTAAGACCTATAAAAAGCAAGCATAATACTCAGGATTTAACTGACGTACTGTAACTATTAACAATAAGCAAGATATATGCAAACAAGATATATTCAATTTATAACATAATAAAATATTCATATAAGATTTTTACAAAAGTCGTTTGCTTGGGCACCTCTGTCCCATTCGTGTTTCAATCGTGAAGCAGTTGTGTTTGCATGGCTGTGTTTCGGTTTAAAGGGTGGGATATGGCGTGAATTTACTGGGTACGGAGGAATAACACCTTAGTCCTCAGGAATGACAACGCATGGGGGGTATCATGAGCGAAACAGTATACTCTATTATGTCCATGGTACTGCTCATGTCTATAGGCGACGGTTACCACTTTCCATCAGGTGGGCCGTCAGCTTGTTTGCCATTCTAAGTTGTATAAAAAAATATACAGTAATAATAACGAATTAGTAGTAAAGTAAGCCAAAGCGAACTTAATATACTTAACACAGTGGCATAAGAAGTAGTGCGTGGACGGTAGTAGGGCTAAACAAAAGAGAACACATCATAACCTTCAAGAAAAGAGTATATTCCTTTTTAAAAGGCCGGCAGCACACCTGCAATACTGTTGGTGTTGTGGGTGATCATGGGCGGCGGTAGTCACTTACCATCAGGTGAGCCGCGTGCACGTTTGCCCCCTGTGTTGTAAAAAAAATAAAAAAAAATTAAGTATTAGTAAGCTCTTTATAAAATTGCACATTATATATTTTATGTTTCTTTAATTTTAACAGAAAGAAACCGACGAGAAACTGTACCAGGAAGCGTTGATTAATGCCCTGGGCGAGTTCTCGGACCACTTGCCCGACTTCCAGAAGATCGACATTATGATGTTCATAGTGAACAAAGTGCCGAGCACGCAGCGCGGCGCTAAGGGCACCAAGGCGGACGCCATGCTGCAGACCATACTGCTGAAGTCCCTGCTTAAGGTACGTTGTATTTAGAATATAATTATGTGTCTTCTTAAATGATAATTATTTTTATTATAAATATTTAAAATCGTAATTTTTTTCTAATTCTATTGCTAGTTTTTTTTTTTAATGGATGATAATGGAATGGTAACCCCGCCTGCACTATTGATATACGCTGACAAAGCACCAGTCAAGGGTGATAAGTGATGATGTAAGCAGGTCCGTTAGCCCATTGTGACAAATTCCACTAGATTTAAACATGATGGTTTCCAGGGGGAACCACATGGAGGTCGATCTGCTTATAAGTTCTCCATGATCAATCTTATCTATTGAGGTATACAAATTTGCAATTATATAAGAAAAGAAAGCAATTAAGCAAATTGTATGCAATTTGATGTATTAATATTTTACGTCTCAAATAAGGGTGTTGAAGGTTTAGCTTGTATGTACGTGTGCGTAGGTGGGCACGACGTACAAGACGACGGAGCTGAGTAAGGCGTTCCCGGCCGCGTTCCTGGAGGCGCTGCTGCGGCTGGCGGCCGCCGCCGCGCCGCCCAGCCGTGCCCTGCTGCAGCGCCTGCTGCACACGCTGCTGGACCGCCGCCACCACGCCGGCCTGCTGCGGGCGCCCACGTGAGTACTGACGCTGCTGCAGCGCCTGCTGCACACGCTGCTGTGTCACACGACATGTGAAATTCCTCATATAATACCTATAAGGGAAAAGCAGAAATCGGGAGCTCATTCTACAACCTATTTATACGAGGTAGAAATGAACGAGATGCACGAACAGTAGGTAGTATGCCATGCACCCAAGAAATGAAGGTAAGCATGAACAAAATCGATAAGTGATGATCAACGTTTTCATTTGGTAAATACCTTGACTACCTTAAATTATTATAAATCTTAAATTGCAAATTATTTTCTTAATATGTAATATTTTCTTGTAATTGTTTGTATTTATAATAAGTTTACTATTGTAATCTTATGGAGGAAACAATAAAGATATATCTTTCTATAAGCTTTAAAAACAAGTTAAATTACATTTTTAATAGCTCATACAAAAAACAAAAAGAAATTTAAACTAAAATGTGTATTTCCAGCGTGGACTACGCGGAGCTTGGCCTCACGGTAGAGAAGTGTTCGCGACAAGACTTAATATTCATAAGCAAACATGGCTACGCCATATTCAGCTCGCTGTACGAAGGTAACATTATCTGTTCCCAATTTTAATTTATTTTTAATCTCTAATACGCATATATGGGACGGAGAGGGATTGTTAGTAATGGGGATCTTAATCCCCATTGCTAGCAATATACCCTATCAAGTCGACCTCCACGTATACCTCCTTGGGAACCCTCTTGTTGAATTCCAAGTGTATTCATCGCGATGGGCTAACTGACCTGCCTTCATTCTCACCTATCACCTTTCACTTATGAAAGCAGGCCAGTTATCCCATCGTGATGAATTCCACTAGAGTTAACCACGATGGTTTCCAGGGCGAAACACGTGGAGGTTGACCTGATAGGATGCATTGCTGACAATGGGTCAGTTGGATAACTATTACTAATAATCCCTTCCCCCCAAATAACTACCGGTTTAACTTACGTGGTTTTTGATAAAAAAGATCTTATCTGTGACGATGCGGCAAGCGACAGCTCGCGCTTATCAATCAGGCTCGTGCTCGCATTATAGTCGCTCATGACTAAGGATCACGTATTGATTCCGAAATTAGTCGAGCTTTCTTTATCTTATTACACGTAAGTTAAACCGGTAGTTATTACATTAGAAAATAACGTGTGCTCACGAAAATTTTAACATTAAAAATGTATTCAACTGAACGCGAAATTACCTAAGTTTTGATACGTTCTTAATACTCGATGCTCTATCTCAGTGATTCTCGACCTTTTTTTTGTTGCGGCACATATTTAACGATTTCAAAATTTGGCGGCACACAAAGAAAAAGATGAAAATTATTTACTTACTACAACACACTGCATAAATAGTTTATGACAAAAATTTTAAATATTTGCAAAATTTGGCGGCACACTTTTAAAATTTGGCGGCGCACAAAAGTGCCGCGGCACAGTGGTTGAGAATCACTGATCTATCCACATATTTTGAGTCGTAGGCTACGTTCAGAATTAACCTTTTTACATATATTGACAATTGTAGAAAAGAAAATTTATAAACAATTGAAATAGAACAAAATATACATGCAATACATCAAATCAACAGACGGCATTTTTACTTACATAATAATAATAATAATAATAATAAAGAGAAAATACCTCGACCTGGCTCACGAGGTGACCGAAATGTGGGGGGTGATGTCCATCGAAATCATTCCAATCGTTATGTCGGTGAACGGTCTTATCCCAACCAGTCTGGAACAACATCTCAGACGGTTGGGATTCCGAGGCGGCTCACTCCCGGGAAAGATGCAAAAAGCGGTGCTCTTAGATTCTGCCCGCATTGTACGCCGGTTTCTCTCCCTGGGGCCCTGAACCCCGGCCGACTGTGCTTCTGCCGGGGGTTAGTTGCCATCTCCTCTCCTTAAGAGGGGAGATGAGAATTTTAGTCAAATTTAAATAATAATAATAATAATGAAGCAGGCGACGGTCGAAAATAGGGCTACTGCCTCGACATCAACCAACCCTGCCAGAAGTGTTTTGGAGGACATGATGCCTTCAACCACTCAGGGAGGCCGAAATAGACAACGGATGAAATGGACAAATAAAGAAAACCAGCAATTGCTCCGTTGCTATTATATAGTCACTATTTTAGAAAGTAACCTAACTGGATACAGGCCATTAGTCCAATTCCTAACATTCCTACTGAATAAAATAAAATATGAGAACAAGTGACTTGGTAACAATCCCGTCCTTGTCTCTACAAAACCAGCTATAAGCTGAGAAATAATACATATGATACATACATAATAATAATAATAATATAAGCCTTTATTAAATAAGTAACATAATAAACAATTCAATGTATTCAATCAGTAACTGTTCTGTCACCTCTCTCTTGTCCAAAGACAAAGGCCTCCTTTTTTTTTACAACACGGGGCAAACGAGCATGCGGCTCACCTGATAGTAAGTGACTACCGCCGCCCATGATCACCCACAACACCAACAGTAATGCAGGTGTGCTGCCGGCCTTTTAAAAAGGAATATACTCTTTTCTTGAAGGTTATGTTGTCGTATCGGCTCGGAAATACTGCTGCTGGAAGTGGATTCCAAAGAATGGTTGTGCGTGGAAGAAAGTGCCTTGAAAAACGCACGGTGGAAGACCGCCACTCGTCCAGATGATTGGGATGAAACTTTAGTTTGTGGCGGGTTGTACGGTGGTGAAAATCAGCAGAGTCTTCCATTCTATTCTGTCTTTGGCTATCCTTGTCCTTACAAATAATATAATTAATTAATAATATATACATACAAGAACCAGCATATTTTACAAACAGGCTATATCTTCCACTTGTGGGCGCAGCGGTGTCCAGCAGCAGGACTCTAATGAGTATCGTCGTTCCGTTTCCAGGACTGCAGCTGGAGTCGAACACGTTAGAAAATATCGAAACTATATACACGACCCTCGCGCTGCTGTGTATCGAGCTCGCATCCGAGGAGACTATATGCGACATCATGCAGCTAATATTGGCGTGAGTTTTATGTCATTATAAGAATGTCACTTAAGTAAAAATAGCCAAAATATCAGCTGTCGATTGAAAGAAACTCAATTTTATTTTTTTCTTACAATGGCAAACAATTAAAATTGTCTTTGACAAAGAAAGCCAACTTCAATTGTGGTAAAACCACAGTTATTGTGATTAAAAAGGCAAGCTACTGAACCGATTTTGATAAAATTTCCACGAGAACAATCTGTAAGTATATATATACTTTCAGATAAAAAAAGAATTTTCCAAATCGGTTCACAACTGGCTGAGTTATGAGGTAACAAATGTATCAAACAAAAATAGATAGATACTCTTTGTTGTTTCCTGCAAAAGATTACAATAGTAAACTTATTATAAATATAAATAATTACAAGAAATAATCACAATGAGAAAACAATGGGCGACCTTATTCGCTAAGAGCGATATCTTCCAGGCAACATTTGGATGGAGAGGAGTAATTGTAAATAATGTGATCGGAGGCACGATGAAATTACCAGGCACAATTAATTGAGAACTTCCGTCTTTTCAAAGTTGGTTGAAAACATTGAATTACAGTCGTCGACTGTAATTTAATGTTGGCTACGCGTACGAAGTCGCAGGTAAAAGCTAGTATTTTTACAATCGTGATAAGGGTAAGATGATAAGATATGTGCTTACATATGGTGCAGTATCCAGCAGTCGTCGGTGTCGAACCCAGTGCTGTCGGTGGCGCAGCAGTGCCACCTGGTGGCCGTGTCGGTGGCGCTCGCCGCGCTGCTACCCCATGTGGTGCTGCTACCTCTTGATCGTCTGCAAGACTATATCGACAAGGTATGCGTGGACACTACATTGTCTCTACTGAAAACTAAATCATATATGTATATTTTTTAAGAAACTTAGAATGGCAAACAAGCTGACGACCCACCTGATGGAAAGTGGTAACCGTCGCCTATAGGCATGAGCAGTACCATGGACATAACAGAGTATACTGTTTCGCTACCCCCCTACTGTATGATACCCCCCATGCGTTGCCATTCCTGAGGACTCAGGTGTTATTCCTCTGTACTCTGTAAATTCACGCCATATCCCACCCTTAATCATATATAGTTTAGGACTCCTTCAGTACCAGTTCCATCCGCATATCTGTTTGGTGGGTCTAAGTATCATGAAAGAGGGTTCAAGGGTAAATTGTTCATGTTCAGATAATCGAGTCGCGGCGCGAGGAGGCGCCGCACCTGCTGCCGCCGCTGCAGCCCGACTACCCGCAGCTAGGGCCCGCCGCGCTGCCCAACAAGCTGCCCTACCTCATGATCGACCAGGTCAGCGGTGCTCATCATCTCTCCCCACATACAGTCATACCTTCCACCTCTCGCATACCTCATTATCAACCAGGTTGACCTATACACTGTCACATCTTGCATTCTCATGATCGACCAGACACAACTGCTTCACGGTTGAAACACGAATTTATATATATATATATATATATATATATATATATATATATATATATATATATATATTCTTTATTGCACTTGTAAGTTACATATAAAATAATCTATTTATAAATGTTGTGAGCAAGGGTGGACTTATCTCTGACAGAGATCTCTTCCAGTCAACCCAGTACAGTAAGAAAGCATTTCGTATGTTCTAAATTAAAATGTAACCTATCTGTGTACTGAATCATTCGTTCAGTAGTTATTGTGTGAAAGAGTAACAAATATTCGTCCATCCATCATTGTAAACTTGTGCTTTTATTATATTTATAGTACTTGTTAGTTTGTCTGTTTGTTACTTCTTACGGACGTGAACGAAGTCATAGGTTTTTTTTTTAATGGATGATAATGGAATGGTAACCCCGCCTGCTCTATCGGTATACACTGGCGGGGCACCAGTGAGGGATGATTGGTGAGAATGAAAAGGCAGGTCAGTTAGCCCATCACGACGAATTTAACAATAAATTAGTCACGATGGCTTCCAGGGGGAACCACGTGGAGGTCTACCTGATAGGGTATATTGATAGCAATGGGGACTAGTCTACCCATTCTCCACGAAGTCATGAGTGAAATCTATTAATGTAATTAACAACGGTAACAACAGATGGCAGTGTGCGAGTGCCTGAAGGCGTGCGGCGTGGATGCGAGTCGGCTGCAGTCGCCGTCGCCGTACGCCGCCGGCGCCGCGCTGGCGCTCGCGCACAGGCACAGCTGGGTGGAAGCCGGTACCACGCATACACTTTTATTTTGAAGCTAGTCAAAATTGCCACACCCCATCTGAGGGTAGGCAGTGTAGTCCATATATGAGGGTTGTTATCACAGTAAGTTATACTGTGTTGGTACTCGATATCTTGATTGAAGTGAAATATTTACTCTCTACTAGAGGAATTTAGAAATAGCCAATTAATCCGAGGCTTTGTATAAAAGTCGCTTGAATAGGAACTCGGGCCTAGTGATTGTTCATCACTACATAGTATAAAACAAAGTCGCTGTCGTTGTCTGTCCACCTCTATATATGCTTAAATCTTTAAAACTACGCAACGGATTTTGAAGCGGTTTTTTTTAATAGATAGTGATTCAAGAGGAATGTTTATATGTATAATACATGCATAATATTGTAGAGGAACGCTGATAAGTTTAGAGGTTTCTAATGTGATGTGATGTAATGTGTACCCGCGCGAAGCCGGGGCGGGCTGCTAGTTATATATAAATTTGGCGAATAAATTATATGACGAAGCATATTCGAATTTAAAATATTTGTTTTTTCTTTTAATTTTTCGTTGTTATGTAAATTAATTGTGGGTTGTATATTTGCATTGCAAATGCCGTGTTAATTGTAAAAATAAGACGTGTAGATTGGTAAATATATCAAAATTTATAACGGGCTTTTTTTTTGTTTAAATATTTTTTTTTTCTACAACACAAGGGGCAAACGAGCATGCGGCTCACCTGATGGTAAGTGACTACCGCCGCCCATGGTCACCCACAACACCTACGGCATTGCAGGTGTGCTGCCGGCCTTTTAAAAAGGAATATAATAAAAGAAATATTTCATGTTCATGTTTGTACATTATCTATTGCATCACATTGCCTTATATTTCAGTGTTCAGGGTAGAATAAGAGTGGACTGTATAATAATATAGACTGATTTAATAATTACTGATTTTAAAGTACAAACTTTAGCCCGACAATTAAATTTACAGAACGCGTATGTGCGCGTGCAGTCCACTAGGCGAGTCCGCTCGCCGCAACTCCGCGTCCCGCGCCCCGCGGCCTCCTCCGCAGACAATTAGATGGCTTGACCGTACAGATTGATATAATTTCAGACCTTTGTGTCTTTATAGCAGCCTATGGGGGAGGTTTATGTCCAATAATGGACGGATAATGGCTGAAATGATGATGATATTAAATTTGTTTTTGGTTGCTGATCATCCGCAATTACTGTCAGTCACATTGAGTGGGCTGCTTGGTCAGAGGCGTGCCAAGTTTTCGTTGACAGTGGATAGGCAACGCAGCATTGCATGTTTTCTTCCATGACGTGCCAGTTTCAGATGGATTATTCTCACTGATCGCGTTGCTAGGCATATGATGCTAGCTGTTATAGTTCGAGTATATATAATTTGGTTGTAAATGTAGTGAGTGAAGTGTGGTGTTATTGTGGCAGGCGCGGCGCAGGGCCGCGACAGCCTGGCCGACATCGGCGCGCCGCCCGGCGCCGGCCTCGAGCTCGACAGCGCGCACAGCTCGCCCGGCGTGCAGCGGGTCAGCACGCACGCACGCACGCACACACACACGCACGCACGCACGCACACACACACGCACACTCGCACACACACACACGCACGCACGCACGCACGCACACACACACGCACGCACGCTCGCACACACACACACGCACGCACGCACGCACACACACACGCACGCACGCACGCACACACACACACGCACGCACGCACACACACACACGCAAGCACGCACACACACGCACGCACGCACACGAACCCCTACACACGCACACACACACGCACGCACTCCTACACACGCACGCACGCACACACGCACTCCTACACACGCACACACGCACGCACGCACACACGCACGCACGTACACACAACTCACACGCACCACACACACACACACCGCACACGCACCACACACACACGCACACGCTCCACCCACGCACGCACACATCGGCATATACGTATGAAATCTTCCATACATACATACACTTAGACATGCCCTTTAAAATTATAAACAAATATCTTTCCCATAGATGTAGTAATTTCATAGTCACGTCGCATTTATTTCCTTCAATTTGCTGACATTTCAGCGAATCCAATACGACGCATTGGACGAAGAGTACAGAATGTTCATAGAGAAATACAACCATAACCACCGTCCCTCTATGCAGAACTTTGGCGCATACGTAATTATATTGTTTTAATGAAATAAAAATTCACTAGTTACAAAAAACAATTTATATCGATAAATCAGTTATAGACTGTGGTGTCCCACTGCTGACCAAGTGCCACCCTAACTGCATGTAACTTCCATGATTGATAGCCCACATACACATAAAACTTTCATGTTGTAATGAATGCAGTGTCCATAAATTGGCGAAAACTATTTTTATAGTCGATTTTCCGTGACTGACTCCCAATGATTTTATTATTAATCAAACGATAGCGTAGCGACAACGAATTTTGGCACTGGGGCCACTCCGATGAGGACTTGTTCAGTTCACACGACATGCGACAGGGCAGATGCAAGCGGACCATCAAAGTGGTATTATAGGTAGACGTAGATTAAAAAAAAACTATTTAAAAATGCTTGTAAACTAGTCTATTTTAATAAAGATAATTTGAATTAAAAAAAAAAAATAGAACAAGTAGTAGCAACACTGATTTAATTTGTAACAGTAAAAAAATGTGCAGTAGTTCAAAGTTTAGTATTGTCATAGTATAAATGAACTTACAGTAGTGCAGCGCCCATAAATTCGTGTACAGCTGAAATATATATTAACATATAGTATACTGCAGTAGATCGAAGCCGTATATTTGTCTTAAATCAACATTACAAAGACCTCATATGTTGCCATGTTTGTTTCGACTTCATATTAACATACTGTTTGTTTATTTATGAATAAATAAAACGTATGTTACAGTAGTCCAGCGTTTATAAACTACTATGTCGTTACAGTATTTATATTGGTGGGTAAAATACCGTTTTATTAATTATAATACATTTAATAGCCTACGTATTTCTCGGTTTGTCCAATGGTTGACTGGTAGATAACACCGTCCGGTGTTAAGTCCGCCATATGTACATAGAATTTTACTGTGCATTAAAGGTTAAATAAATGAATAAAAAATATTTTTTTGTTGTTGTAGTGTTGTTCAAAAAAACTTTAACAATAGCACTATTGAATTTCAAAATTAATACATACCTTTTTTTGTGAGTTGTGACAAATATTTTAAAAATCCAAACAAATAAATCTTCTCTTGAAAGGGGACCATTATAGTCCAATACATACATATACTTCATACTTCACGCCGGCTTCTAATTAGAGTAGGCAGAAACTGTCGTAAATTATAATTAGTTTAGAAAGGATCGTTTACAAACGTTCATGCGTTTTGTAAACAATCTCTGTATTGTCATTTTGACATTTGTTTATGATATCGATCGTCTCACGCTTTGCTTCTGTCTTGAGTCTTTGAAAAATAAAGTATTCACATTAAGTACTCTTTTTTTAATATTAAATTGAAATCCAAATGGGGGACCCAAGAAAATACGTAACAGAAACAATGGACCAAATGCTACGATTTAAACACGTTTCTTTCGCTTCCTCCACACTCATCAATCTCTTCACACACACTCGTTGATTACGAGTATTTTTAATCAATAGTCTGATATTGCCAATAATTTAGTCTTTACCATACAATAATTAGATACATACATTGTTTATATTTTAAGTTTTAATTTGTAGTTTAGCTTCACTTACATATGTATTTTTTACCAGAGGGAGACTTTGTACAAAGGTCGTTTGCTTGTGCACCTTTTTTTTTACAACATAGGGGGCAAACTAGCATGCGGCTCACCTGATGGTAAGTGACTACCGTTGCCCATGATCACCCACAACGTCAACGGTATTGCAGGTGTGCTGCCGGCCTTTTAAAAGAGAATATGCTCTTTTCTTGAAGGTTATATTGTCGTATCGGTTCGGTTTGTTCCATTTGTGTTTCAACCGTAAAGCAGTTGTGTTTGCATGGCTGTGTTTCGGCTTGAAAGGTGAGATATGGGAGTGAATTTACAGGGTACAGAGAAATAACATCTGAGTCCTCAGGAATGGCAATACATGGGAGGTGTCATGGGCGAAACAGTATACTCTGTTATAACCATGGTACTGCTCATGTCTATGGCGACGGTTATCATTTTCCATCAGGTGGGTCGTCTGCTTGTTTGCTATTTTAAGTTGCTTTTTTTTCTTAACATTGATCTCCCATCATATTTGATATGGTAACACCATGATAACAAGTTCAGTATTTGCTTTGTTTCAAAAAGTAAAGGTAAATTGCAAAAAAAGACTCTGGTGCATTGGAATATGTCCTGAATTGCCTTGTTTGGGCGGGCGGAGGTGTGTGTCGCGTTAGTGAGATGTGGCGGTGCGTGTGCATGCAGCACGCGGGCAGCACGCAGGCTGCGGGCGTGAGCCTGGAGGCGCTGCGGCGCGCGGCGGGCGGCCCGTCGGACGCCGAGCGCCGCGAGCTGGAGCGCCGCCGCGCCACGCTCAACAACGCCTTCCGCACCGCGCCCTTCCACCACCTCCTCACGCTCACGCAGCCCAAGGTACGCCACCCGCCACCCGCGCCCTTACCACTTTTTCTGTGGGATACAAATGGCACAGACACCCCACCTGTACTGTTGGAATACGCCGGTGGAATACCAGTTGTTTAGGAAGTGTATTTTTTATATAAGAGTTTTAGTTTGAAATCAGATACTAGATGGCGTTAGTGATTGTGTACATGTCGCTATTAAGATTATCTTTTGTTTCGATGATCTGCCTAAGATACGATTAATTCGAGTCATCTACCATTCCTACACAAGTCTGTTTTTTTCGACTGACGGTACCTAATCGTTCACCAGTGAAGAAACGATAGATTAAAATAAAATCAAGTTATGTAGTTGATCTCTGGTAAATTGTCCCATTTTGATGAACTTACCGGGAGACACCGTGGAGGTTGACCTGATGGACATATTGTTAATCATCATACCTATCCTTCCAAGTAAAAAATCCTTAAAAGTCGATTGCTCGGGTATCTCTGTCCCATTCGTGTTTCAACCGCGAAGCAGTTGTGTTTGCATGGCTGTGTTTCGGTTTGAAGGGGGGGGGGGGATATGGCGTGAATTTACTGGGTACAGAGGAATAACACCTGAGTCCTCAGGAATGGCAACGCATGGGGGTATCACGGGCGAAACAATATACTCTGTTATGACCATGGTACTGCTCATGTCTATAGGCGACGGTTATCACTTTCCATCAGGTGGGCCGTCAGCTTGTTTGCTATTCTAAGTTGTATAAAAAAAAATATGGTTTTATAACTGAGCTCCTAAATAGGTTAATATAGTAACCTGTGTTAAGGAGCCACAGATATAAAGAATCTAAATTCTCTAAATCCTTTCTAATCGAAAAGTGAATTATTTGCGATCGTCGTTCCCCCAGTACGAGATACAGGAGAAGCTGGAGGAGATCTTCAGCAGCATCTCGGAGGAGCCGCTGCTGCCGGCGTCGGGCGCGTGCTCGCCGGCCGGCAACACCAAGTCGTACCAGCAGAGCGTCCCGCCCTACACCAAGTACTTCCCCGAGCTGTTCCTCTACTAGGTACGTCTTCATTTATTTATATAAAATCTGGTTTGAAGATTACAGATTTACATTTAGTATATTACGTACCTGGCCGCGTGGTCCCGGCATAGAACAGGCCACCCCTTCCTTTCCCGTGGGTGTCGTAAGAGGCGACTAAGGGACGGCAAGGGCATCAGCGTCGCTCTTAAAACATGTCCAAAGCCGAACTGTGGTTGCCAATCCGCCTGCCAAGCGTGGCAAATACTGGCAAAACCCCCCAAGGGGGAGGCCTATGCACAGCCGTGGACAGATAATGGCCGGGATGATGATGCTGATGATGCTGATGATATAAAGTACACTATGTGTTGAGATATAACCTATCCATTCAAATCTCTTCAGCCCTTAAAGCATGATTAAGTAACGAACATGCCATTTTATTTTTATGGGTGAAAATGGTATGGTAACCCCGCCTGCGCTAACGGGATACGCTGGCGGAGCACCAGTGAAGGGTGATAGATGAGAATGAAAACAGGCCAGTTAGCCCATCATGATGAATTCATCAGGAATTAACCATGATAGTTTCCAGGGGGAACCGCGAAGAGGTCGACCTGGTTGGGTACATTGCTAGCAATGGGATTCTCAGTCTCCATTACTAACAATCCTTTTCCCCCCACGAACATGCCATTACCTAGTTGCGGTGTGGTCCCGGCATAGAATGGACCACCCCTTACATTCTTGTGGGTGTCGTAAGAGACGACTAAGGGACGGCGAGGGATGGGCAGCAGTGTTCCTCTTAAAACGTCACTAAAGCCTAACTGTGATTGCCAACCCGCTTGCCAAGCGAGGCAACTACTGTAAAACCCTCCTTTACGAGGAAGGCTTATGTTTATTATTGTATAAGCAGTAAATAATTAACGGCTAATATAAAAATAATTAAAAATAAAAAGTAAAACTAACTTATGGTTAAATTGTCACCTTTCCCAGTGAACACCTGGCCCTCTAGACAAGTGACAAGCTAAATCGTCTATGGAATTGACATCGCTAGCGAGTCCATAAGGTAGAAAGAGATAGCAGCATCGGATATCTCATTCAAACACATAGACTAGCTAGCGATAACGATTCCATCGATGGATTCGCTTGCCACTTGTCTATAGGGGCTGGTGTTTTTAACTTTTTTTTTATTTTCTGTTTCAGATGAACGCAAGAGAGAAATGATCTTTGGAGGGGATAGGTTATATATTTGTTATTAATTTTACATTATTATATACTTAACGCTTCCATATAAGTATTAATGCTGCTTGATTATCCACACATAACCACTGTAGATGTTCTGCAGGGATTAAATAATAACAATAAAAATATTTCTTTATTTATAGATTACAAAGATCCATTTTTGTTACTAACAATTGACTTAAACTATGTTAGTAGAAGAAAAAAAAAATTCTAAATTCATTTTATGGCCCCCATAATAATTTTGACCCACAATGAGAGAGGATCGGGCTATCGTATTTATTACATAATATTCAAAATACATAATATATGATTATAAAATTGTAAATGACGGAGGTTTATGCAAAAAGTCTAATACAGCATGGCTTTAAAAAAATTGTTTATTTCGACAGCGATTTTAATAATACATGTCTATATGTATGTATGTATGCACTAAAACGACTGTAAAAAAAAATATTTTAAGTTATTATAGAACATGGCGGGTGTTTAGATTAAATTTACCGTAAAAAAAATTGACATGTGTTTCATATTTTAGTTGTGAATTATTGAAATTGTATATTTATATTAATGACTATTTAATTGCTATGTTTTTTTTAATGTATCATTGTATTGTATTGTAAAATCTTTATTATACATAATTCAGATTGAACACTGATAAATTATTTAATATACAATGGCGGACTTATCCCATAAAGGGATCTCTTACAGTCAACCTTTGAGATGCTGAAAGAAAACTGTAGAATGTACAAGGGTAATAACCGTACAGTTAAATATAAACTAAATAATACCCAGTAAAAAATTTGAATATATAATTTCATTATATACATATATACGTTTTGTTTATAGACACGATGAAATACGATAATGCAATAATATGGTGAACTATACAACATAATAAAACCATGGACTATAGTAAGTGACCATTCTAAGAAGTATAGAACTATATTATTTGACGGTATTGATGGTTTAATGGTTTTTAAAATATTGTTTCGTCTGTCAATGGTAAAAGGTTCGATTCCCGAGCAATATAATCATTTGTATTCAATAGTATGTTTGTTTGTATTTATCTGGGTGTGTTTTGTGTATAATATATGTTGATATTTTCAATATTTATTTAATTTACAAATTGTTGCGTCCACATCTGTAATCGTAAACGAATACATTCCAAAATCTTATTAATATTTTTGTAAAGAAATGTAATAAATAAGTTTTTCTCAAACATGCTTGGAAATGTGAGCATTATTTTGACAATCTTCTTAGAGATAAATCTAAATTGCCGTTCTGGCCAGATACATGCGGGCAGCGGCCGGCAAAAGTTGTATGAAAATCCATATCTGTCGTGTTTTGCGGCCAGATAAATTATTATGTAAACTCATATCTGTCCTGTAATTTAAAAATAGAATGACCTTTTACTTCGAAACATGGCTACCAAGGAGGTAACTAATAAAAGGTTTTATTTAAATTTCGAACTGGCTTGCAAATAAAAAATTGTTTATTGAAAAAAAAAAAAGGAACATTATGGCGCGTGAAAAATTATTATTGTTCGTTATTCGTCATTGAACTTAAAAAGTAAAATTGTGTTTTTAATTTCCACGCATTGTTTGAGAAAAGTACTATACAAGCCTTGGCCACAACTAGGCATTGATGGACGAATGTGAAAATGTGGGCCGAGGCACAGCCGAGGGACACATACGTAAGTCACAGTTGCTGGCCGCTGCAGTAATGTACTATAGAATCTCATTAGAGCAAGTATGTGGTTACTAATTGTAAGAATTTGGAGTATATGGTGTAATGTAATGGAATAAGGATATATATAAAATAAAAAAGAAAACACACACACACAGTATAGAAAAATCAACTCTAACTTTTTTTTTAATGGATGATAATGTAATGGTAACTCCGCCTGTACTAACGGTATACGCTTACGGGCCAGTGAGGGATGATAGGTGAGAATGAAAAGGCAGACCAGTTAGCCCACTATGATGAATACATCTGGAATAGAGCACAATGGTTTTCCAGAGGGGAACACGTGGAAATCAACCTGATAGGGTATATTGCTAGCAATGGGACTGGTAGTCCGCGTTACTAGCAATCCCTACCCCGTAATCAACTATAATACCGCCTGCGCTGTCGGTATACCCTAGTGGGGCACCAGTTAGACACGATAGATGAGGATGAAAGCAGGTCAGTTGGCCCATAGTGGCGAATTTAACAATAACTTTGGTGGTCGACTAACAAAGGATAACTAGGTCCCATTATTAACAATCCCTTTCCAAGGGGAATAGTCTAAACTATGTCACAATAGGGGTATTATGGTTTAGTTAAAACTCTTCTAGAATTAATAAAAGTTATTTGGTTTAATGCCTAAAGGGGTTTAACTTTACAGGCGTCCATTTAAAAGGGGCCGGAGAGGTGGTGGAATATAAAGATAAATTGGAATTATGTTAGCACAGTATTGATTTGTACCAGGGTCACAGAAATTTTAAGAAGGTTACTTTATATTATGTATAACATCTTATTAATATCTAAATTCCTGGTGTGATTCGTACGTAGACTGCATTCGTGTTTACGTCGATAAGTTTGGAAATATGAATTTCCGAACTCATCCGCAAGTAAATTTTAAATACAAACACAAATGCAGTAGTAACGTAAACTTTTGTATGATTTTGTATCTATATAAGATACAGCATCAAGCTTCAAAAACAGGTCAACTTTTTGTCTTTTTTTTTATCAGTGTTCTATATATTTACGCATAAAATGTATCTTGACGTATTATTAATTAAATAAAATAAGTGTTTACGCATTAAAAAAAGTGTAGGATTTATTAGATAAATTAAATATAGAAGTTATAAAGGAATCACTCATAACTATTTATCACGCAAAATTGTATGAAAAAGTTGACGCGTTTTTTCGAAGCATTTGTATGGAGATACTCTATCTATATAATCTAAGGAGTTACACTAAACAATCTGTAACGCAGTACAATCAAGTTCCATTGTGAACTAGAAATTACTGCAAATTAATTTCATTTTTATTAATTGTATCACAATTTTTATTTTATTATATATTTTTTTAAATTATTACCTAAATTATTATTAATATTATTATACTTGTTGATAATTAATTATTTATATGACTAAATCTATTAATGCAATATGACTATTTCTATTTATTTGTATGTATATAATTGGCTGTAATTATTATTATAGAAATTGGTGTTTAGGAAGGAATTTTGGATCAATGGCGGATAAATAAAATTGAACTGAATGTCGCCAATATTAAGATTCAATATTTAAACTTAATATTTTGTTATTTAGTATTATTTTTTGTTCACAAGACACGAGGGTAGAAAAGTAAGGCATTTTTTTTTTAAGAATTTTGTTCAATGCAGAGATATGTCTATGGTCGGACCAATGTTAGATACCTTTATTTAGCTAAATATTGTGCAAAATCAAAATATATCTATGTTTTCTATTGACTTTTTTGACAATTAGACCAAAGTGTGAAATTATTCACTTCAATTGATGAGAAAAAACTTTTTTTTTTAATATTTTTATTGTAGTATACGATGCAAATGTGACGTTGATAAATACTTAAAGCATTCATATCTAAGTGTTGTAAAATTGGAAGCGTCTAACATTGTTTAAAATATTTCTAAATATGTCAAAGTGCTGTAATAGTAAACTAAAGTTAATGAATTAATTTATATTTATTGCATACACAAATTACATTGTTTTAATCTATTTTGATCGAAGATGTACAACAGGCGAGCTTACCTCTATAAGAGTTCTTATCCAGCAAACCCAGAGTGGAAAAGGAGTATTAATTAATTTTAAAATGTTAAATATTTAATAAGATTCTTATTAAGCTATAACTGAAAATTTTTACTTAGGTTGTAAAAAAAATTCGAAACTTTATAAGCATAATTCAAAGTAGATGCATAATTTTTAGTGCTAAATATATATGCAATGTATTCTATGGTTATAAATTCACTTCGCTATCACTTTTCAATAATAAAAATTGTTTATTTGTTTTTTTTTTTAATACATTTCGATATGGACGCTAACAGTTAAGTGATTAAAGCAACTATTAAATGATAATCATGTTGATGTTTCGTGCGATTTGTTATCCTGTGTCGTTGTAAATAAAATTCATATTCGCTTGGCAATAAATACTATCCGTTCTAAGTAATAATTTGATAATGGACGTATCTTTGACAGTTCGTAGTTTTTATATTCTGTGCGTTGTAGATGACGCGAGTGACAGCTGACAGTGGCAGATGACAGTATGGCGATTTATACTGTCCACTATCTAAGTGCTAGAATGAGATCCAATAATTAAGGTCACCAATCGTGACATAACCTCGAAATATTTTGAATTATAAAAAAAACTGGTATTTTTATTTTAAATCTAAACTACTATTTTGCTAAAATTTCTATGGGACCAATCTGAAAGTATGTACTTTCAGATAGAAAAAAAAATCCAAATCGGTCTATAACTGACGGAGTTGTTAGCCAACTAACGTACAAAAAATACCTACCTTAACCGACACCAGGTGGGCCGTCAGCCTGTTTGCTATTCTAAGTTGTATAAAAAAAACTCCTTGTATTCGATTAAAATTTTTATTTCAAGTTTTTTTACAGACTCAAAATATCGCCTAACAATTTTTTTTGTAAAAACATTATCGAGGTATTGCAAGTATTATTCGAAGCTACTGATGTATATACATAATTGCTGATCTATTTAAATACGTATAGTTATAAACACTGGTTATTTAATATGTACTTAACGTGTGCGCGGTAGAGGGCGCTAGGTTGTGTTTACAATAAATAAATGTGGTTCGGACAAATGTTGTTTTTTATTTCTAACTAACAGAAGATAATTATGTCATTTTGTTATATACATTAATATTAAGAGGATCATGATCGTAGTTGGGGGGGGGGGGGCATTGAGGGGCAATGCCCTACTTTAAAATGAAAAGCCCCAAGGTTTTTTTTTAATGAATGATAATGGAATGGCAACCCCGCCTGCGCTAACGGTATACGCTGGCAGAACACCAGTGAGGGATGATAAGTGCGAATGAAAGGGCAGGTCAGTTCGCCCATCGCGATGAATACACCTGGAATTCAGCACGTTAGTTTCCAGGGGGGGACCACGTGGAGGTCAACCTGCTAGGGTATATTGGCAATGGGACTGATAGACCGTATTACTAACATGCTGTGGTCGACCATTTCTTGAAGGGGATTCATACCGAATTGTGGAAAAGTTGAATTATTCTGCCATTCATTTAAAAAATAAAAAAAACTTAACAAATTAAAAAGTTGAGCCGTGTGGTCCCGGCATAGAATAGGCCACCGCTTCTTTTCCTGTGTCGTAAGACGCGACTAAGAGGAGTTAGTTGTCAAAGGAAAGCAATAACAACCGTCTTCAAACATCAAGTTTTCTCCCACCAACACTCAGGTTGTGGAATGAGCTCCCTGCCGAGGTTTTCCCAAGAGACTACAGCATGGGGTTCTTCAAAAGGGGGGTAAAGAGGTTTCTTCAGAGTCGGCAACGCGCGCGTAATACCTCTGGTATTGCAGGTGTTCATAGGCTACGGTAACCACTTACCATCAGGTGGATACGGCCCACCTTGTTTGCCATCTCAGTGGTATAAAAAAAAAAATCAAGGCCAAATTATGCTTGCCAAACCACCTGCCAAGCGTGGCAACTATTAATAACTTAGGATTCAGCATAATAGAATATTCTTAAGCGATTCATTGCACTTCCCTTCTGGATCTCGTGCTGAGTAGACGTGTGTGTATATAGATATATATATACACACACGTCTACTATATATATATATATATATATATAATTCAATAAATATTGCCTCAATAATTCGTCGCAGTGACTAGGAGAATATGACATCGAAGAGTTATCGGAACCACGCAATACATTTGCTGAATGGGAGTAAGAAAGACACAATATTTCATTGTTATTGCTAAACATCTATGCAACAGGTTTCTGCTTTGGAGTGACCGAATGTCAAGAGATAACTACAGTGTAATTAAATGTGAAAGAGCGAAAGAGACAACAGTATAGGCTCGGTTACGTCCGCTGCGCGTAGTGCGTACGCGCATTAGTAGAGTGCAAAGTACTTAATTTAAAGCCATACTATTTGCGTCAAATTCACCGAAACCACGATCGTAATTTTGGTTCGAGTATTGTCATCACGCCTACTATTTGTTCCACGTTGCTTTGATAGTAGTAATATAGCTAACATAACAACATATAAATAATAATAATAAGAAAATAAGTACCTATCGTGATACAATTTCAATGACTGGATAATATTGTAACAGATCCTTAGACTATTTCTAAAGTGAAAAAAAGTGTTGGCCTCCACTCTCCTACTTGCTGTGCCTAACAGGGTCCGTAATTGAAATGTTATGTACTAATTATATTATGGAATGCAATAAGAAATAAAAAAATAAAAAAAAAAAACAATGCAGCGCGATGTGCGTTGCATTATGTTTTTTTTTTATATTAAGAAGATGCAACAGGTAGATTCTGACATTGCCACCAAGACTAATACAGAGACTGTCAATAACAGGAACAAAAGACCACGTATTGAGGACTCGCCCACATAATCGGAATTTTGCAGCTTTGAAGAAGAAATTAAAGAACTACTATCTTGTTGGAAAGCAGATCAAGATAAAACCTTGAATAAACTGACAGAAGATTTAAAGGAAATTAAGGCACAAAACATAGAACTTCAAAAAACTCATAAAGAAATTCAGAAATCTATGGAATTTATATGGCAGTCTTATGAGGTCCTTAAATACTAAAGTTACAACTCTCGAAAACGATTGTATTAAACTATAGCAAAAATATTGATTTCTTAGAAGAGAAGACTTTCTGACGGCTCACCTGATGGAAAGTGGTAACCGTCGCCTATAGATATGAGCAGTACCATGGGCATAACAGAGTATACTGTTTCGCCCATGATACCCCCCATGCGTTGCCATTCCTGAGGACTCAGATTTTATTCCTCTGTACCCAGTAAATTCACGCCATATCCCACCCTTCAAACCGAAACACAGCCATGCAAACACAACTGCTTCACGGTTGAAACACGAATGGGACGGAGGTACCCAAGCAATCGACTTTTGTACAAAGTCTCCCTCTGGTAAAATTGCACACTTGTGGATCATGGTATCTCTAAAGCGCCTATTTATATATCTGAATACTTAACAAGTAAAACTAGACGGCTTCACTTTTTGCCAAGAGACTTGGTTAAAGTAGGCATTTTTCCTTACTGCTGGATAGTAAATGGAAGAGTTTATCTTCGCAAGAGCGAGGCTTCACCGCAGATTCTTGTTAGGGACGAAGCTCAACTGGATGTACTTAGGTATAAATGACTATCAATATGCATATACGTATATTTAATGATTTTGCTTGTATTGTCGGTTGTGTTGTTGTTATATTTTCTTGTTATTAAAAAACATTTTTTGTTTGTAAAATGCTCTTTCGCACACGTAATGAAAGTTATAAAATTTTGTTAAATCAATTGTATATTGAAAAAAATAAAATTCGACGCCGAAGAAACGGCTGCTCACGTAATCCTGGAATGTGAGGCTGTGGCCCATCAACGTTTAGAAATCCTCGGAACGGTGAGGTCGCTCCGTGAGGCCTGTGAAGAACCCAGGTAGCTTCTGCGCTTCTGGGCGGAGCTAGGTTGGCTGTACTAGCCACGACTCATACGCGCAACGGCCCAAATGAGAGGCTAAGCACGAAAAACAGAGTCTTTCTCACATTCACATTTGTATATTGAAAATTTTACACATCATGTTTTGTTGCACGCTTATAAGTCACGTGTTTGTGTAATGACTATGTATTCATAAGTACACATATATTATTATATGTGTCACTGAATTACAATCAAAACAATGTAACTTTGAAAGACCATTTGCGTGATAGAAGATTCCCATTTAAAAGACCATTGAAAAACACTAAAACTAAATATGGCTAATCCATATATTTTGAACGACATCGATACCGGCTTTAATCAAATAAATTCTATATTTCTCCAGAGCCCGCAATCCTGCAAGAAAATCTTATATAATTAAAATAAAAAATAATCTTACTATACTTACCCAAAACAAAAGAAGCATAAACAAAAATCTTTATATGTGTGCGTGCGTGCGTGCGTGCGTGCGTGCGTGCGTGCATGCGTGTGTAGCGGTGCGTGTGCGTGCGTACTGACCCGCTGCACGCCGGGCGAGCTGTGCGCGCTGTCGAGTGTGTGTGTGTGACAGGATATGTGTGTAAAAATGTGTATAAATCTAAATTGTTTATGTATCTAAAGTTTGTATATTAGTTAATAAGCTTTGTAAGTAGAAGAGGGCCCAAGACTTCACGACACAGGGAATCCTAGTGTGAAGTTTTGGGAACAAATGTAAAATTGAAACATGTATTTTTGGGTTCAATAGATTTCTAATTGCATATGCGATTAATTTATCTTCGATTAGGTACATTGTGATAATCAAAATTTTCCCAAGAGACTACAGCATGGAGTTCTTCAAAAGGGGGGTAAAGAGGTTTCTCAGGGACGGCAACGCGCGCGTAATGCCTCTGGTATTGCAAGTGTTCATAGGCTACGGTAACCACTTACCATCAGGTGGGCCGTATGCTTGTTTGCCACCTCAGTGGTATAAAAAAAATAGTTTTCTTACTAGACAAGGTTCAATTTTTGGGCGTTGTAAATTATAAAGAAACAATTGTAAAACAATATATATATATATTTATTTTAACATATATCTCCTATCTACTTTACAATTTCTTAGGTACTTACAGTGTTCAAGTCTTAGACTAGCAAATATTTGTATTTGCTTTGCTTAAAACCAATAATTAGTAGGTTGACAATACGTATATGTATAATAATAACAGTATAATAGTTTCCCGCTTCCATCAGGCGAGTCGTATGCTTGTTTGCTATTATCAGCTATAAAAATAACTAAAGTGTGGACGCCAATCCATAAACATTTTCTGAATTATATTAATTACACACTTTTTTAATATAATAAACTAAATTCAACGACGTTTAAAATTAAATCTTATATCAACGTCTTTACGTAAAATTTATTGTTCCATATTTGGAACAAGGCGTAGAATATCCTGCCATAATTGTAACATGGACCAGTCCGTCCGTCCGTTTCAGTCAAACGACAAGTGATGCGTGGTTGACCGTCTACGGAGGCCATAAGAGGAACATAAAAACACTCCTATAAATCTGTAAGTACACAGAGATCTTTGGAAACGATACTCGATCACGTCGAATCGGTGGCGTTCGTTCGTTTTCACAGAATATTATATATACATATATATATATATATATATATATATATATATATATATATATATATATATATATATATATATATATATATATATATATATATATAATAATCATATATAAACGTACTTACAATGTCGTATAGCACCTGTATTAGTTAAATTTTTTATACAATTATGTACAATATATTAATTTGTTTACTTATGTACAGATTTCGTTTAGGACGTGGGATAGAACAGTCTTGTTTTGTGACACTAATTTTTTTTATATATATTTTCTCTCTTTATATCATCACGATTACAATATGTTTTTTCTAAATTCGGCACATTTTCAAAAACAATCTTAGCATTATTATATCTATTTTAAAAGAATTTTTTAAAAATTTGAAAAATAAAATAGATAAAAAGTAACAATTTGCTTTAATAACTATCGTGAGTCATACTGTAATTATTCATGTCTGTTTTATTCACATTTTTAAGTTCAAAGATATCCGACTGGTTTCAAACTAAATAGGAGCCCTTTTTCATGAGCGCGGTACACCGTGTCGCGAGTAGCACGTTTTAAAATATAATGTAAAACCGACATAAATAATTACAATTTGCCATAATATTATTTATTAAGTTTTATTGGACCTTTTGATTTTATCTATCTATTTTATGCCCTGTTATGTATTTCGATAAATAGGTATTAAAAATGTTTACTATTTACATGAAATATAAAAAGAAAAATTTATAATAAATAGTATTTGTCCGATACTTATATCGAGGGATGTAAAAGAAAGGATATGACAAGCCAAAACCCAGCGGTATTTATTATTCATGAAACTTAACAACTTTCCCAACAAAAAGGAAAAATGGGGATAGAGTTAACTCTTGCACTTCCGATTAGATCGGTCTTGTGACTGCACGATTTATATTTCGAACTAGTCATTTCCCGCGGCGTTGCACGCTTCTATGTAGTTCCCGTATATCATCCCCGTTGGAACTCTCCATGGATCCGGTCTTATATTGTTTTATAATACTTAAATGATAGTTACATACCTAATACCTTCATAAAGTTTCAGCCAATACAACTGATCGGTAATTTTTTTTCTATACAACTTAGAATGACAAACAAGCTGACGGCCCACCTGATGGAAAGTGGTAACCGTCGCCTATAGACATGAGCAGTATTATGGACATAACAGAGTATACTGTTTCGCCCATGATACCTCCCATGCGTTGCCATTCCTGAGGACTCAGGTGTTATTCCTCTGTACCCAGTAAATTCATGCCATATCCCACTCTTCAAAACCGAAACACAGTCATGCAAACACAACTGCTTTACAGTTGAAACACGAATGAGACAGAGGTACCCAAGCAATCGACTTTTGTACAAAGACTCCCTCTGGTTATTTTATAGCACTTCACACCAGATAACAACATGTTGAACCCAGCAGTAGAGTCTTAAAAAAAATGAAAATTTAAAAGAGCTTCTAAACAAACATATTTGAATAAAGACTATTTCTACTCTATGATATGTAAGGATTTATAATAACATTTCAAAGAACAATTACTGTATTTTATTGTCAGATACGGGTCATATGATCCTGGCATAGAATAGGCCACACCTTCCTTTCCCACGGGTGTCGTAAGAGACAACTAAGGGAAGGCGAGGGATGGGCAGCAGCGTCTCTCTTAAAACATCTCCAAAGACTAACTGCGGTTGCCAATCCGCTTGCCAAGCGTGGCAACTACTGGCAAAACCTCCCAAGGGGAAGGCTTATGTTCAGCAGTGGACAGGGCTGATATGATAATGATTGTCAGATATAGGATTAGAATAGGGAATTTACATACATACATACATATCTGTCACGCCTGTCTCCCATTAGGGTAGGCAGAAACAATGGAACGCCAAATGCTTCGATTCAAACAAACCTCTTTCGCTTCTTCCACACTCATCAATCTTTACATACACGCTCGCCGGTTACGGGTACTTTTAATTTACAATAATTAGACATTAATAAAATGGCTTTTTAATTGCCCAAAGGTGGATGGTAAGGTATTAAAAATACCAGATTCGTGCCAATTACCCACTGAATTGTTTGGCGTATCTATCCTTTCTATATAAAACATATATGTATATACAATTCCCGCCCATAGGCTAGAACCAATCTGTAGACAATAGAGACAAATGGAGTTTTGCGCAATAGACGCTTCGTAACGTAAAGTTGTTACAGCAAGTCGTAATATGGTATTAAAATAATTATTAAGTTATTTTCCAGTGTTTACGCCATATACAGTGTCTAAATCTAGATCGAGTGTCGAGTTTCATAAGAAGTTCGACCACCAGTTTGGCCATTGTATATTCTTCATTGTATATATAAAATTTATTTAGATTTTTACGCAATACGGCGCAAACGAATTGTTTCGCTGTTGGCTAGGGTGCGTGTTAGCTCAAACAGTGTCCTGAAGACAATTGCTTATAAAATGGATTGTTCCATCCTAAAATATTGGGTGGGACAGGTTATCAATGTAAGAGCGTTGTGACCGCTCATTTACTAACATAGGTTAAGTCAATTTGTAACTAACAAGATGGGCCTTATGTAGTCTAATTAAATAAATATTATTATTATTATTATTATAAAATATATATTGAGTGTTACAAGTAATTCTACTAATAAAACTTCATAAAAACCGTAATTAAAAATCACAATTTAAACCATAATTTAAAAATAAAAACCGTCTTCGATCGTGGCACAATCAAATATTTTAAATTAAAAATTTGATTTGAAAACTGAATATACTAAAGCAATTTTGTACAATTTTTTATTGGACCAATCTGAAAGTATAAGACCCTTTGAGATAAAAAAAAATATTTAACGAAACATTTAACGTAATCTTTATTGTAAGAACAAATATAAATAAATTTCAAATAGGTTTAAGTAAAAATTGTTATAAATTTAGTTTATGACGGTCCATAATACAGTAATTTGGGGGGAAGGGATTGTTGGTAATCGGAAGCTTAGTCCTCATTGCTATCAACATACCCTACCAGGTCGACCTCCACGCGGTTCCCCCTGGAAACCATCGTAACTAATTTATCGTTGAATTCGTCACGATGGACTAACTGACTATTCATCCTCACCAATCATCCCTCACTGGTGCCCCGCCGGTGTATACCGATAGCACAGGCGGGGTCATCATTCCATTATCATCCATTAAAAAAAATTAAGTAATTTAGTGAAAATATCACATTATTAGGCTAAGAGGTAAATTTAGAGAAGTGACGCCCAGAATCGTCCTTCTGGCGAGATGCGCGTGTAAGGTACACTTTTTAATTATCGTGCGTTTGTGTTGGCGAAACGTTATCGACACTCTATCTAGACGATATAAATCTATGTATATAAAACGGTTACAGTAGTAAAGTGTTCCAAATAGACATAGAAACAGGTATAGACGATACAAATGCAGGAACTATTTGTGATGGTGGTGGTATTAGTGGTGGTGGTGGTAGCTACTAGGGAAAGCGGACGACGCTGGTGCCGATGGCTGCGTCGCTGCACGCGTGCGCCAGCGCTGTTTCGTACTCCACCGGCAGGAACACCTGGTGACGAGCGACGGTTTGTACATAGTGTAAAAAAAAAAAAATATTTGTTAAAATATGGTACATCAAAATTACACTAGTAAATAAATTCCCATCATATTTAACGAAGAGAGGGTTACAAACAATCTCGCTTACACATTTATAATATTGGCTGTATCCCGCGGTTTCGGCCGTGTGAATCACTATAAAGTATCATGTGTTTTCGGTTATGATATAACCTATGTTTGCTGTCGTCGTTCGTAATGTCACGTATGGGCACCACAGAATATCAGCGCTGTAGCAATTAAATTGCTGCAGCACATGCTGAGTGGTGACCATGTTGGCAATAATAAATGTAAAGTTTTTTTTTTTTTTAATTCATAATGTATGTAATTTTTTGTTGTTGTCAATAAATGTTTTCTTTCTTCTTCTTCTTCTTCTTCTTCTTCTTCTTTCTATTGGTGTATCAAATTTAATTCCAATTCGTTCGGTAGTTATTGTGTAAATGAGTAACAAACATCCATCTACATATCTTTATGAACTTTCGCAGTTTACATAATAGAATATTTATTTATGGGTGAAAATGAAACAGCAGTTGTGTTTGCATGGCTGTGTTTCGGTTTGAAGGGTGCGATATGGCAGTGAATTTACTGGGTACAGAGGAATAACACCTGAGTCCTCAGGAATGGCAACGCATGGGGGGTATCATGGACGAAACAGTATACTCTGTTATGTCCATGGTACTGCTCATGTCTATAGGCGACGGTTACCACTTTCCATCAGGTGGGCCGTCAGCTTGTTTACCAGTCTAAGTTGTATAAAAAAAATGCAGATGGCACTACAGATATACACTGGTAGGACTAGTAGGGCACCATTGAGAGATAGGTGTGGATGAAAGCAAGTCAGCTGGCCATCGTGAATTCACCAAGAAATAACCACGATGTTTTCCAGGTGGAACTGTGTAAAGGTCAATCTGATGAGGTAAATTTTTGACCCCATTGCTAATAATCCTTTCAGTCAGGCCAACAGTACCTTATCGACGAGCGGCGAGAGGGCGCCACTGTCGACCAGCTGTGCGAGCTCGTCGAGTCCCTCGCGCAGCTGCAGCGGGTCCTCGAGCCAGTCCGTGTGCGTGCCCAGACCGACCATCCACTGCGGCCAAATAACATTATGATATTATACTAAATGTAAATCAATTATATACAAATTATCAATTTATAATCATTTGATGATGAAATGATTCATTAATAAAAAAAAAATTGATAAAAATAAAAAAAAAATTTTTGCCGAACTCCAATTCCGCACTTTACCAAAAAAAAAAAAATTATATTTTATGACAATAAAGATATATAGTAACATTCCAAAATGTTACTATGTAACTTCCACCGTGCGTTTTTCAAGGCACTTTCTTCCACGCACTACCACTCTTTGGAATCAACTTCCAGCAGCAGTATTTCCGAACCGATACGACAACATAACCTTCAAGAAGAAAGTATATTCCTTTTTAAAAGGCCGGCAGCACACCTGCAATGCCGTAGGTGTTGTGAGTGACCATGGGCGGCGGTAGTCACTTACCATCAGGTGAGTCGCATGCTCGTTTGCCCGCTGTGTTGTAAAAAAAAATACGGGAACTACCATTAAGTTATTTTAAATTTAATTCCTTCTACCCAAAGGTTGTCTGGAAGAGATTGCTTAGTAACAAGACCGCCTTTTGTACTACACTACACGTATTGAAAATTGTTTAACAAATCATGTTATGTTGGTGCAATAAAGTGTTAAATAAATAAAGAAAATCAATCTAAAACGATAATCAAGAGATCGCTCTTAGCGATAAGGTCGCCCATTGTTTTCTCACTGTGATTATTTCTTGTAATTGTTTATATTTATAATAAGTTTACTATTGTAATCTTTTGGAGGAAACAATAAAGAGTATCTATCTATCTATATATTTCGTGATCATTTATGTTAAACAAACTGTGGTAAGGTCGCGGTAATATAGCATAAAAATACGAGTTCTTACTTTATCTATGTCAACTATGTTTTGATGTGACACCATGGATAATTTGATATTGTAAATACATTTATAAATTAATACCTACCATAAAATACCGCGGAAAAATAATTTTTTAATTTTGTTATCAGTGTTGCCGTAGTAAAATTGTATTTTATTCAATAAATTATTCACTTGTACGTTCTTATTTTTTTTTATGCAACTTAGAATGGCAAACAATCTGACGGCCCACCTAATGGAAAGTGGTAACCGCCGCCTATAGACATGAGCAGTACCATGGATATAACAGAGTGCACTGTTTCGCCGATGATACCCCCTATGCGTTGCCATTCCTGAGGACTAAGGTGTTATTCCTCTGTACCCAGTAAATTCACGCCATATCCCACCCTTCAAACCGAAACACAGCCATGCAAACACAACTGCTTCACGGTTGAAACACGAATGGCAGCCCCATTAATTTTAACTTTTCAATATATTAGTCAGTTATCGGTTAAATGAACTAGTTAATGTAACTGTTAACTGTCAAAATTATTATAACTTCATACATTTTAACTGTTTATTTTGAGTATAATTTAACTGTTAGTTTTGAGTTAATTAATTTGTTTTAACTTTTCTAGATAACATTTATTGACCAGGGCGACATAACAATGCAGGAGTGTACCCTGAGCAGCCTGTAGGTGTGGAAGGAGATCGCGAACAGAAGCGAGAACGGCGCCGGCAGCCGGTCCGACAGCAGCGGCTGCGGTCGCAGGTCCACGATAGCATCGCGCGGCGCTGTCGCCCTGGTAACGTACACGCATATTATTCGATTAAAAACAAAAAAGAAATTTATTACTTAATAAAAGACAAATAAGCTCTAGTGTAAAGAGTTATTCATATTTTATTTCAATAGAATTTTATAAAAAAATAAGCATTTTTTTGGAATTAATCTTTTAAAAAGATTTGCTGTGTGATAGCTTCTTTTTTTAATGGGTGATAATGGAATGGTAAGCCCGTCCGCGCTATCGGTATACACCGGCGGGGCACCAGTGAGAGATGATAGGTGAGAATGAAAAGGCAGGCCAGTTAGCCTATCGTGACGAATTCAACGATAAATTAGTCACGATTGTTTCCAGGGGGAACCGTGTGGAGGTCGACCTGACCTGAATATACCCTATGTTTCTAGAGGGAACCGTGTGGAGGTCGACCTGATAGGGTATATTGATAGTAATGGGGACTAATCTTTCCATTACTAACAATCCCTTCCCCCCGCTGTGTGATAGTTTGCAAACATAAACTACACACGGTAACAGAATAGATAAGAAATACCAATAGGGAAGTTACTTGAGTATAGCGCTGGGGTCGGCGCTGACGGCGGCGTCAGGCCCCGCGTCAGCGCCGTCGGCGCCGGGGCACGCCACGGCCGCGTCCCAGGGGCCCGTGCGCGCCGCCGCCCGCGCCAGCCGCCGCCACCACGCGCCGCCGCCGCCTCCTCCGCTGCACCCGTCCAGCTCCAGGACTTCCGCCGCGCCTGACCACCATACCACAACATAACACTATATTAGGGGAAGGGAGTTGTAGCATTGGCTTGTAGGCAGCTATGTTAAAGAAAAATATATGTATTTGTAGGTATTTGGACTACAAATAGAGTTAACATATTTCACGAATTGCAGTGAGCAAATATTTTAGACAAGAGATGGCGCTTCTGTAAACAGTACTTTATATATAAAGAAAATAGAAGTCGTATTTAAAAATATCAATATAACATAACGTCAAATTATTATAATGTTATTAGTGAAACGTCAAAGAAATAAACTATAAAATTTTATAATTAAAAAAAAATTACAAATAAAATACAGTAATATTTAATTAAAGTTTGTTACGGAGGAATTAAAACAAAAAAAAAAAGAGCTCGTGAAATGATTTTAAAATAAGAACAGTTTAAATTTGAAATTAGAATCTGCATAAGGAACATTTGAATTCAAAACGGACAGTAATGTATACAGGGCCGTACCGAGGCCGAGCAGGGCGTGGGCGGCGGGGCCGGCGGCGGCGGGGCGCGCGCCCCACGCCGCCAGCAGCTGCACTAAAGCGCAGCCCTCGCCACTTGCAGCGCCGCACACCGCCACGCTGCCACAAGCGGGATATCACCATCACAACACCATATCACACAGCGTCGTCCAGCTACAAACTTAGCACAGCTTGTACTATTCATAACTGGTACATACAGGGGGGAAAGGGTTTGTTAGTAATGAGGTCTAGTAGCCCCATTGCTAACAATAATAACAATATATATTCTCTCAGGTCGACCTCCACTCGGATCCCTCTGAAAATCATCATGGTTAATTCTTGTCAAACTTATTATAATGGGCCAACTGACCTGCATTCATTCTCACCTATCATCTTTCACTGGTGTTTCGTCGGTGTATACCGATAGCGCGGGCTGGGTTACCATTCCATTTTCATTCATAAAAAAAAAATACTTGTACAAATAAATTTGTAAAAATATAATATACATATATACAATTGTATAGAAATCAATTGAATTCAAAATTGTTTAATTTTATTTTTTATACAAGTTAGAATGGCAAACAAGCTGACGGCCCATCTGATGGAAAGTGGTAACCGTCGCCTATAGACATGGGCAGTACCATGGACATAACAGAGTGTACTGTTTCGCCCATGATACCCCCCATGCGTTGCAATTCCTGAGGACTCTAGTGTTATTCCTCTGTACCCAGTAAATTCACGCCATATCCCACCATTCAAACCGAAACACAGCCATGCAAACACAGCTGCTTCACGGTTGAAACACGAATGGGACAGAGGTACCCAAGCAATCGACTTTTGTACAAAGTATTGTAATTTGTATGTCAAACTTCTAAACAATAAAATATGCAGTAATTTCAATAGTATTTTTCAAAGCATGTTTGTTAGAGTTCAAAAAAAGATTTTTAATTAATTGTCAAAGGTATTGTACAAAATTGTGTTGCCATATGATTCCGGCATAACCGTAACCTACGTACGTAACCTTCCGTAACTTAAGGGTCCAGGAATTGGCAACAGCATTCCTCTTAAAACATCACCAAAGCCTAACTGCAGTTACCAAATCACCTGTCAAGCGTGGCGATTACTGGCAAATTCCCCTAATAGTGATAAGTCTATATTCAGCAACAGATAGAGAAAGTCAAGTAGATAAAATAAAAGACAGTAGATAAGCTATATTTGAAATTAAAGAATGAAATATGACAATGAATTAACTGGGTACAGGATATTAGTTCTATATCTATGGTGTTATTCAAGTTTAGGCGACGGTTACCACTTACCATCATTTTGTATTTTATTTTTATGTATTATTATATCACACGATATCATTAGCAATTGTGAAACAAATTTGTTATGTTTTTTACATTACATTACATTTTTACTAGAGAAAGACTGTACAAAAGTCGATTGCTTGGGTAACTCTGTCCCATTCGTGTTTCAACCGTAAAGCAGTTGTGTTTGCATGTCTGTGTTTCGGTTTGAAGGGTGGGATATGGCGTGAATTTACAGGGTACAGATGAATAACACCCGAGTCCTCAGGAATGGCAACGCATGGGGGGTATCATGGGCGAAACAGTACACTGTGTTATGTCCACGGTACTGCTCATGTCTATAGGCGAATAGGCGACGGTTACCACCTTCCATCAGGCGGGCCGTCAGCTTGTTTGTCATTCTATCAATTTTTTTTGTCGTTTGTTCGGAGAGAGTACTAGTAGTTCATAAGCGTGTGAGGGTGTCGCGCGTACCGCTTGCCCGTGCAGTGGTGCGGCGTGCAGCGCAGGCGGCGCAGCGCCCGCAGCGCGCGCGTGCCGCCCCACACCAGCGCCGCGCCCTGCGCCGCGCCCACGCCCCGCGCGCGCCGCCCCGCGCGCGTGCTGACACGCGCCCACGCACACGCCCACACACACAGTTTGTTACAATCGTAAACAGTGTTATGTTTTTCTCAAACATGCTTGGAAACGTGAGCATTATTTTGACAATCTTCTTAGAGATAAATCAAATATTGCCGTACTGGCCAGAGATACATGCGGGCAGCGGCCGGCAAAAGTTGTATGAACATCCATATCTGTCGTGTTTTGCGGCCAGATAAATTACTATGTAAACTCATATCTGTCCTGTAATTTAAAAATGGAATCACCTTTTACTTCGAAACATGGCTACCGAGGAGGTAACTAATACAAGGTTTTATTTGAATTTCGAACTGGCTTGCAAATAGAAAACGGGTTTATTAAAAAAAAAACATGGGAACATTATGGCGCGTGAAAAATTATTATTGTTCGTTATTCGTCATTGAATTTAAAAAGAAAAATTGTGTTTCTAATTTCCGCGCATTGTTTGAGAAAAGTACTATACCAGCCTTGGCCACAACTAGGTATTGATGGACTAACGTATGTGTGCCTCGGCTACGCCTCGGCCCACATTTGCACGTTCGTCCATCAATGCCTCAGTTGCTGGCCGCTGCAGTAATGTACTCTTAATACTTTTATTGTAGCAAAAGACACAAGACATTATACAAGCAAGACATTTTTCAATATATTGTGTACAGTATTGCCATACTAATCTATATAATTCTAACACTTGTTATACAGTTATATGCGTTTTATGTCTCGGTACATCAATTCAGAACTCACTAATCTGAGGCACTAGAGCTGAAGCACACATACGTGAGTCCATCAATGCCTAGTTGTGGCCAAGGCTTGTATAGTACTTTTCTCAAATAATGCGCGGAAATCAAAAACACAATTTTTCTTTTTAAATTCAATAACGAATAACGAACAATAATAATTTTTCACGCGCCATATTGTTCCTTTGTTTTTTTTTTCAATAAACAGCTTTCTATTTGCAAACCAGTTCGAAATTTAAATAAAACCTTGTATTAGTTACCTCCTTGGTAGCCATGTTTCGAAGTAAAAGGTCATTCCATTTTTAAATTACAGGACACATATGAGTTTACATAGTAATTTATCTGGCCGCAAAACACGACAGATATGGATTTTCATACAATTTTTGCCGGCCGCTGCCCGCGTGTGTCTGGCCAGTACGGCAATTTTGATTTATCTCGAAGAAGATTGTCAAAATAATGCTCAAATTTCTAAGCATGTTTGAGAAAATTATATATCTATCTAATTATAAAAAAAATTACTGGACATATATTTCTTACTTAAAAAACAAAATTGCTCCCAGTTCCACTGAACTCACCTGCGTATAGTGAGCAGCTCAGTGGCGGCGCCGCCGGACCACTCGCTGACGCAGCCCCACACCTCGTCGCCCAGCTCCAGCGACGTCACGCCCGGACCCACGTCCAACACCACACCTGGCCATAATAACACTAGCGTTCACCTATGGTTGCGCTCGCGTTAACATTGATTTTGTTCAACAATTCAAGCTGAGGTAAAATAGTTACAAAAATCCATTTAAGATCAATCCTTTAAGATGTTTGAGAAAAAAAAAATGTTACTTTAATTATGACCAATAGTTCTGCAGCTTGAAGTAATTTGGATGACGCAATAAAAAATATCATAAAAAACTTACCCCTTCCTCCTCCTACCCCCTATAAGTAAGAAAATGTAGCTCTAAGGTCATATCTATCTATACCCTTACATCTTGGAGAAGACGCCACAAAATTCAGAGGTGGGCGCGAGACAGTTTTGGGGTGGGCAAAAGATCCTCCTCACATCTAGGGGTGGGCATTGTTGAATTTGGTCGGGAGTGGTTCAAATTTAAACAATTTTGGGGTGAGCGCTAGACGGATGGACACGGACAACGTTTTTTTATACACATCTACGCTTGTATGTACCAGGAGCGCATAAAGCTACAAGGAGTAGTTTGTACTCGTTAGGAGGTGTCGTTACCCGCGAAGCCGCGGCCGACGGTGACGGCGGGCCGCGACAGCAGCGCCCGCAGTGCCGCGCCGCGGCCGCGCAGCACGGCGCGGTCCACGCTGCACACGCTGAACGCCTGCACGCGTACCAGCACCTCGCCGGCGCCCGCGCCTGCGATATTACATTACTACACCTGCCAATATTACTATCGCCAACACATAAATTTCTCATTCACTAGCTTGTAGATTTGCCCGCATCAATATAGCATTTACCTTATAGGGGGTATGGTGTACATAACGTACGTGTATACCAAAGTTCATTCAAATCCATTCAGTATTTATTTACCAGAGAAAGACTGTACAAAAGTCGATTGCTTGAGTACCTTTATCCTATTCGTGTTTCTACCGTGAAGCAGTTGTTTGGATGGCTGTGTTTCGGTTTGAAGGGTGGGATATGGCGTTAATTTATTGGGTTCAGAGGAATAATACCTGAGTCCTCAGGAATGGTAACGCATGGGGGGTATCAAGGGAAAAACAGTATGCTCTGTTATGTCCATGGTACTGCTCAAGTCTATAGGCGACGGTTACCATTTTCCATCAGGTGGGCCGTCAGCTTGTTTGCCATTACAGTCGGATAGGACAGACAGACCACAGTGTAAGTACTATCTGGGTAATATATCCCCATAGTTTTCTCCCACAAACACTCAGGTTATGGAATGAGCTCCCTGCCGAGGTTTTTCTAAGAGACTACAGCATGGGGTTCTTCAAAAGGGGAGTGAAGAGGTTTCTTCAGGGTCGGCAACGCGCGCGTAATACCTCTGGTATTGCAGGCGTTTATAGGCTACGGTAACCGCTTACCATCAGGTGGGCCGTATGCTTGTTTGCCATCTCAGTGGTATAAAAAAAACTATGTTTAGTAGTAGAGAATTAACAGCTGATATGATGATGATGATGTGGAGGTTAGAAGAGAGTGATTAAGAAGTTAATAAGGCGCGAGGTTCTAGGGTGGCAGCGGTCGCGTGGAGGTAGTCAGTAGAGTACGTACATCGCGCGGGCGCGTCCTCGACGAGCAGCACGCTGCGGTCGGGCTGCGAGTGCAGCGCGCGCGCCTGCGGGCCCGCCGCCGGCCGCGCCGCCCGTAGTCCCGCGCACAGCCCCGCGCCGCCGCCCAGCACCGCGCCCGCCAGGAAGATGGCCACGCTGCGCCGCCACACTGCGGCGCCCGCGCACGCGTCACTCATCGCTCACCATGCTCACCACTCGTGCCGCCCACGGCCGCCGCACGACCATGCACGCTGTTCGCTCGCGACTTACATATGCGTTCATGCTTCCATCTTCAGACACATTCCGACCATATTTTATTATATCCGATTATTTGTTGGTCAGTTTTTGCACCAGAGGGCGACTTTGTACAAAAGTCTGCATGAGTACCCCATACGTGTTTCTGTCGTGAAGCAGTTGAGTTTGCACAGCTGTGTTTCGGTTTGGAGAATGAGGCCTTGGTTCCATTACTAACAATTTTCTTCCCCTTATATACTAGGTTTTTTAATGGCTGATAATGAAATGGTAACCCGCCTGCGCTATCGGTATACGCTGGCGGGGCACCAGTGATTGATGATAGGTGACGATGAAATCAGGCTAGTTAGCCAATCGTGACGAGTTCCACTAAAATTAATTACGATGGTTTCCTAGGGGAACGCCGTGGAGGTGGACCTGATAGGGTGGTTCATTAGACCCCATTACTAACAATTCTCTCCCCCTTATACACTAGGATCGCAACACAGAGAGGAGGCTCACTTCTGTCCTTGAAGAGCGCGACCAGCTCGTCGTAGAGCACGAGCGGCGACAGCGGCGGCGCGCCGTCCCGCAGCCGCTGCAGCGCGTCGCGCGACCAGGCGACCACGCGCGCGCGGCCCTCCGTTATCAGCTCGTTGTGCCACAGCTCGCTGAACGCCTCGCGGATCTAAAAGGAATAGAAATGTTATAGTTTTCAATTAATATTATTTTTAAAGCTTATGCTCATTGCGAGGCGACTCTGTGAAGCGAAGTGCTAAATGCACTCTAAAGGAGACTTCTGGATGAAGTCGGAAATAACAAAAATACAGTGAGTTCATTAATGAATATGGATAGTTATAAGTGCAGAGGAAGACCCAAAAACAGATGTATGGACTGTGTGAAAGATGACACGGCCAAATAGGGAGTGACTAGTGAAATGACTGCAAACAGATGAATGAATAAAGAAAAACATATTAGGCTACTCACAAATAGATATGGGGAAAAAACAGGGAGAAGGAGAACAAGTGCAGATGTAGTTTAGTTACAATTTCATTATTTCATTGCTGGACATAAGCCTTCCCCATAAAGGGAGTTTTGCCAGTAGTTGCCATGCTTGGCAGGCGGGTTGACAACCATAGTTAAGCTTTTAGTGATGTTTTAAGAGGGACGCTGCTGCCCATTCCTCTCCCTCCCTTAGTCGCCTCTTACGACACCCACGGGAAAAGATGGGGTGACGCATTCTATGCCGGGACCATAGATAGATACTCCTTATTGTTTTCTCCAAAAGATTACAATAGTTACTCGGCTGCTCACGTAATCCTGGAATGTGGACTGTGGCTCATCAACGTTTAGAAATCCTCGGAACGGTGAGGTCGCTCCGTGAGACCTGTGATGAACCCAGGAAGCTTCTGCGCTTCTGGGCGGAGCTAGGTTGGCTGTACTAGCCACGACTCATACGCACAACGGCCCAAATGAGAGGCTAAGCGCAGAAAATAGAGTCTTTCACATTCAAGATTACAGTAGTAAATTTATTATAAATATAAATAATTACAAGGACCATATTTCATTTTTTTATTTTTTTTTAAGATAATTGTTTTACCTTTCTAATGGTCTCGGCGGTGTGATTAAAGACATCCTGCACTCTGGACTTGCTATCGCCTGCTGCTATTTTAGCTGCTTCCTACAATTTGAATAACAATAAGGTACATATCATACTTTTAAAGTGACTTCAAAATAAAGGATGTTCCCTAATTTGCCTGTCTGTTTGTAACACTTTATTTGTCATAGTTGTAGAATACTGACGGATCTGACAAATATTACATATATAGATCTGTTAGTATTTTACGACTATGACGATAAAGTCTTAAATTATAGGATACAGAGTTCTTAAGAAAAGTATTAGTACAATGGCTGTGTTTTTTTTTTGTGTGATTTTTTTATAACACAGGGGGCAAATAAGCATGTGGCTGACTTGATGGTAAGTGACTACTGTCACCCATGTTAGTGATGTCTCACCAATATTGATAAGTCGTGTTGTTATAATAATAATAATAAATCTGTTTATTTTCAGGTATATACCCATAGTTTTCATTTTTATATTATTAATTAAATAAATTGTTATTATTATTTTTAAAATATACATCAATTATAAAATACCAATTTAAATTATTTCGTTATAAAATCTCTTGTTGTCAGGTATGCTGTGAGAAATACAGTCTTTACAATATGATTACTTGTTGTCATTAATCTGTCATGAAATTTTGCCTTATAATTACGTAAAATTTTATTCGTTATTCTTAATTAATATTTAATTTAATATATCAACTTATATGTTTTCATTATTAATGTAACTTAATTATTTATTAAGGAAAGACTAAATCTTGAAAACCACTTAAACATTGATCATTGTTTAATTAATAAATTTTAAATCTGATAATGAAAATATATTATTGTGTTAAAACATTTTGCTTATATTAGAAATGTGAAAATAACTTTGTTTGTTACCTCTTAGCGTTTTAATGGGCTAAACATTATGAAATTTGGTATACATATATACATATGGGGACGAGAAATTAAGCTACTTTTAATCTCGGTCAATAAACATATCCATATGCAGACAAACTCATAGGTATTTATTTATTTCTTATTGCATTCCATAATATAATTAGTAAATAACATATTACAATTACTACATACATACATATCTGTCACACCTGTCTCCCATTAAGGTAGGCAAAAACAATGGAATACGTCTCATAGGTTTAAACCAGTTATAATGTAGTTGAGAGTTAACTAAAGAATTGAACAATTAAACATTATAATATATATACTAGCTCATATCCATGACTTTGTCGATGTGACTGAAATAAGTTTACTAATCATGATGGGGGGGGGGGGGGGGGGAGAATTGTAAGTAATGCAGACTATTATTTCATTCTCATCTATCACCTTTCACTGGTGCTCCGCCAGCATATCCCGTTAGCGCACGCGGGGTTACCATATCATTTTCACCCACATGACTTCGATAAATAAAATTGTTCTGAATTTGATAGCAGTTTATTTTCATAATATCACTAATTGTGAACCTCTTTTAACATATTTATTTCAAAAGGTTTCCATGCAGTATGACCTGATATTACTTTTATTTGCTGCTTTTGTATACATATAATAGGTAATTACTAGTAGATAATTACCTATTTGCCACTAAATAATTATATTCAGTTTCTACTTTGAATTATATGTCTTTATCAAATACCTTAAAAAAACATTTTTTTATATCACTGAAGTGGCAAACAAGCATATGGCCCACCTGATAGTAAGCAGTTACCATAGCCTATGAAAGCCTGCAATATCAGGTTTTCAATTCATCATATTTTTTTTTTTATTTTGTTAGCCCATCACTCGGTCAGTTCAAAACCAATTTGAAAAATTCTTTTTTTATCTGAAAGGATATACTTTTAAGATAGTTTTATAGAAATTTTATCAAAATTAATTCAGTATTTAGTTTTTAAATCAAAATAATTGGTTATGATTGAAATAGTTTTTTGTGGGACATAATGTTTAATTGTCTTATTGTCAAATTATATATACTTGTCAAATTATATATATATACTATCAATCAAATTACTTCAAAATTTAATCTGTATGAATTTAATTCTTTATCAATATGAATGCAAATAAACTCATGTTTCAACTATAATTAAAGATTATGTAAGCTCAGGGTCACTTTAAAGTAATGGTGTCAGTGACATAGGAATACCATAACAAAAACAAATGTATACAATTTGATAAACATACAAAATAAATAAATTACATAAAAAACTGTTGTTTGGCGGTAAACTGGTTTAGTACATAAAAATAACTTGCGCGGAAATTACTAGGAGAGCATAACCAATACGTAGTTACTTACGTGCAAAGCTTCGAATTTCTCCCCAGCCCTGTGCTTTAATTCGTCCATATCAAGCACCGAGAGACGCAGGTGGGTCAGCCTACACCGCACTCGCTGTTAATTCATAATAAAACCTTAACCTTTGATCACAATTCGCCCTAGATAACTCGGCGACCAAAATAGACATTTATGTCATCACTGTAACACGTATATACACTTTTGGTGGCAGTAGAACGCAAAAATGTTTAGATTTGTTTATTATGTAATTAGTGCTTCATTTGAAAATATACGGAAAAATATATGAAACAAGAATTTTTACCTTATCCAAACATAACCTCTTTTGGTTTCGTAAAAAAATGTCAATTATGACAAGTATGACATTGACAAGAACTTTATTTCGTTCTATTGATACGTTTCGTTGTAAGTATATATTATTCTTAAAGTATATATATTTCATAATTTCTTTTAGGAAAATAAAACAATTGTATTATTAGTTATTTGTGTACTTAATTCAAACAATAGTTTAATCTACATCATGGGATATGTCGTTTTCTCCGCTGTCAGCACTTTCAGTGCGCTCTATTACTTCTTCCAGAATCTTATTTATCCATAATCTACTATAGGACACCTGAAAAATAACGTTAATTTTATATTGACAGCAAATGAATGTACAAATTTTATACAAAAGTCTAGCCTGTTCAATTTGTGTGGCTGTATTTTACTTGAAACGTGAAATACCACAATTAAATTATCGGATACTGGCATGCATAACACCCTAATAAATCATAAAGAGTCCTAGGATCTCACAGTATAATACTGTGATGACTGTAGGATTCTCTCTGATTTTAAGTTTAGAGCGTACCTTTGCAAATATTCCTGGCTTGGATTTGTACGCGCATTCCTCAGTTCCAGAGAAAAGTGCTATTCCATATAACGTGCCGGCGCGATTTAGGCCACTAAAATGAACTGCTGGGTCACCCGTGTCACCCTGGTACATTAATAGAAAGAGCAATTAAAATTACAAGTACTTAAATAAAATAAAAAAAAATAAAGTTGTTTCTGTCAACAAGTCACTGTGCATACATGGTTGTTTAAAGGGGCTTACTATGGTACCTATAGCAGTGATAGGATACGAAGGGAAGACACTAATCCTTAGAGAGGGTGAGGTATATTTACTAATGGGATCTGACGTACCTGACGTCGACCGCCACATGGTTTCCTTAAGAAACCATCTGGTTAATTTCTCTTGAATTTGCTATTGTAACCAGACTGATTTCAAACTCCCCTATTATCCCTCCTGAACATAGTCCTCCATTATAGATTGTCATAAAGAACGGGACCGAACCTTATGATAGTTTACCAATTATTTTTCCTGTAGTTGCCATGCTTGGCAGGTGGGTTGACAACCGCAGTTTGGCTATTAACAATGTTTTAAGAGAAACACTGCTGTCCATCTCTTGGTCATTAAATTCTTTTAATTGCCTCTTATGACACCCACGAAAAAAGAAGGGGTGGCCTTACATATACGCTCATCTAGTACTAAATTCTTTGATATCTTTGTTTATAGTAAAAAAAACCTATTCCTCACAGCGCACAGAGCGACTCCTTTAACGATACTCTGCAGGCACATGTGGTCATGTTGCAAGTGATAATCATTGCCGTATATCAGCCGGCATTCGGCCCGAGGAACTTCCCTCACAATCATGCGTCTCAGCTCCTGATTTTCGCCTTCCCGTATTTGTCCGGATATCTGGAATAATGTAATAAAACAACAAATAATACAGATACAACAACTGAAACAACATATAGTGCAAATAAAACAAGATATAATACAAATAAAATGAGATGTAATACAAGTAATACAACATATAATACGAATAAAACAACATATAATGCAAATAAAACAACGTATAATACAAATAAAACAACGTATAATACAAATAAAGAAACAAAAAATGGATGGATGTAATAAAACAACAAATGATTTTATTAGTTATCTAGCTTCTAGACCTCAATCTAATTTGTGTTTGCCTTTTGACGACTTTAGTGGCATAACTTAAGGTACATTATTGGTTTGTCAAAAAAGGTGAGGTGAGGAAAAAAAGGGTCTCAACAGACGGACAAATATATTGGCAAAAAAAGGGTCTATTTATCCTTTTGAGGTGCAATACCTTAAAAATGAACTTCTAAATCGACTGACTATATTACACATGATGGAAGACATTAGAGAAAGCTTACAACCAGCAATTTATAGATACGAGCTGAAACGTAAGTTAAGTTATGACCTCAAGTGGTAATTTTTTTTTATTTATTTATTTATTCATTAGTACAAATATGTGTACATGGAGGACTTAATGCTAAAAGCATTCTCTCCCAGTCAACCATAGGGAAGTGTCAGAATACTCGAATGCGGTACTAGTAATAGATGGCGATCTTAGCGAACCAGCGGTTTAATACATTCGCAATTTTCGTTCATTCCTCCATCATACAAACATTTGTCACACAGGCCTATACATTTTTTATTGGTAATGGCTGTATGTTTACATACATAATGTGTATTTGTTTATAATAAAGTAAGTTTTTTTTTGGTCATTTAGTACCTATGTTATAAACTCCGCTTAGTTTGGGACTAAATACTTAATTTTAAATAAGACATCTGAATATTATTAGTAAAAATATTACTATTTTTTTATAATACGAAGATAGCAAACAAGCATGCGACTCATACGAAAGTAAACGGTATCTCAAAAACGGTATCGAACCCTTAAGTCTTAGGAGAGATTTTGCCTCACTCTGCGTGTTCTACCGCCTGTACAATGGATTGTGCTCAGAGGAATTATTGAATTCAATACGATGCCCACAGCCACTTTCTACCATCGTACGGCTCGCCATCGACAGGGAGTTCATCCTCATGTCCTACAGCCTCAATGGTCGCGTACAGCGCGGTTTCAGAGATGTTTCCTCCCACGAACACTCAGGTTGCAGAATAAGCTCCCTGCCGAGGTTTTCCCAAGAGACTACAGCATTCATCAAAAGGGGGGTAAAGAGGTTTTTTTAGGATCGGCAACGCACGCGTAATACCTCTGGTTTTGCAGGTGTTCATAGGCTACGGTAACCACTTACCATCAGGTGGGCCGTATGCTTGTTTGCCACCCCAGTGGTATAAAAAAAACGGTCATTGTAGCCTATGAAAGCCTGCAACCCGAGGGTTGTCACGCGCGCGTTGCCCACCCTGAAGAAACCTTAATACATCCTTTTTGAAGAACCCCATACTGTAGTCTCTAGGGAAAAACGTACTTTCAAAATAAATAAAAACAACACCTAGTTTTTTTTTTATACTGCTATGATGACAAACAAGCAGTCCGTATGATTGTAAACAGAATTACCGTCACTTATGGACACCTGTGATACTAGGGATGTCACGTGCGACCGTGTCGACCGTGAAGGAACCTTAATAATTTAGTTCAACAAAACATCTAGTTCCAAAAATTAAATAAAAAAACAGAAAACTAAAGTAACTTGTAAAGGTTCTTTATATTTTTAAATTTTTTAAGAACTTCTTCTTTTAAGATCTTCTTAAGGTTTATTAGCCATATTGGCATTAAGTATTCAATAAATATATTTTTAAAATTTTTAAGAACTTTTATCTTCTTATATCAGCCATATTGGCATTAAGTATTAAATAAATTTATGTCATCTATTACTTTGGCTCGATAAAAATAGAAATTAATTTATTTTATTGATAATTAATGCTCCTTTCCACTTAGGGTTTGCTGGAAGAGAACTCTTGCAGAGTTAAGCTAGCCTGGTGTATATATTCATTTAATATAAATTATAACACATTGTTAAAAGTTACATACTTTTGTGTACAATAAATTATAAATAAATAAATAATTTCAATCAAGTATCGATATTACCACGGATCCATATCCTGTGACGATTGTCTCCCCAAACATGGCTGGAAGGTCTGCGTCGGCAAGTGCCAGCGCTACCGGCTGCATCCGACTATTCGGGGTTATTGCTAAATTTAACTAAAAATAAAAATAAGTTCCTTCATTACCAAAAACAAAAAGAAAAACAACAATTTTTTTTATACCACTGAGGTGGCAAACAAGCATACGGCCCACCTGATGGTAAGCGGTTACCGTAGCCTATGAATCCTGCAATATCAGAGGAATTACGCGCGTGTTGCCGACCCTGGAGAAACCTCTTTACCCCCCTTTTGAAGAATTATCACATTATAATTGTATAGTGAAATGTCTGCATTGCTCTCAGTCAGTTAAGGATATATTCCGAGTTACCGTATGGTCAACCCTTCCTTTCACACCAAAACAATTCTGAATGGGCACAGCCCATTCAGCTTACTTTTAATACGGCTATGATCATGTATTTGCACAGTTCCATTTACCTCTTGAGATGGACACGAAACAATTTTAGGATGGGCACAAACCACCCGGTTCAAGTTAAGAGCACCTATGATCGGCATTGAGTGGTACCTCGCTAGGAGTTACTGGACTCCGGTGTTATTCCTCTGTTCCCAGTAAATTCACGCCATATCCCACCCTTCAAACTGAAACACAGCCATGCAAACACAGCTGCTTCACGGTTGTAACACGAATGGGACAGAGGTAGCCAAGCAATCGACTTTTGTACGAAGTCTCCCTCTGGTAAAACTTAACTTACACGTAATATTACAATTTCTAACCTGAATTATAGCCAGATTGTGTTCCGGGTAGTACTGGTCCATTCTATATTCCGGGTGCCTCTTGATATCCGTCACCGACAGTATTTGACCACCGAAGTCTCTAAATACAGAGCCCATACGTACTGACACTTCTTCTTTTGTGACGCTGATTAAAATAAATTATATCCATTGAAAATACAACTAATCGGGGGGAAAGGGATTGTTAGGAATGGACATTGACACCCCTATTGTTAGCAATATACCCTATTAGGTCGATCTCCACATGGTTCCCTCTGGAAATCATCGTGAACAATTGTTATTGAATTCGTCACGATGGGCCAACTGACCTGCTTCATCCTCACCTATCATCCTTCACTGGTGCCCCGCCGGTGTATACCGATAGCGCGGGTGGGGTTATCATTCCATTATCACCTATTAAAAAAATACAACTAATCGTACTAGGCAAATATTTGAACCAGTTTGAAATGCAATATCTGTGATTTTTTTTTAATGGATGATAATGAAATGGTAACCCCATCTGCGTTATCGGTATACACTGCTAGGACGCCATTGGGGGATGATAGATGTGGATGAAGTGGTTTAGTTAGCCCAACGTGACAAATTCAACAATGAAATAATCACAATGGTTTCTAGGGGCAACCGCGAGGAAATCGACTTGATAGGTTATTTTGCTAGTAATAGGGTTGCTTATCCCCATTAATAACAATTCCTTTCCCCCAATATCTGTGCTTAGGAATCTTAAAATTTTAGTATTCATCAATATTTCAGCCGTTAACTGTTCACTGCTTTTTTTTATACAACTTAGAATGGCAAACAAGCTGACGGCTCACCTGATGGAAAGTGATAGCCGTCGCCTATAGACATGAGCAGTACCATGGACATAACAGAGTATACTGTTTCGCCCATGATACCACCCATGCGTTGCCATTCCTGAGGACTCGGGTGTTATTCCTCTGTACCCTGTAAATTCACTGCCATATCGCACCCTTCAAACTGAAACACAACCATGCAAACACAACTGCTTCACAGTAGAAACTGAACATAAGCCTTCTCCATAAGGGGAGTTTTGCCAGTAGTTATCACGCTTGGCAGGCTGGTTGGCAACCGCAGTTATACTTTTAGAGATGTTTAAAGAGGGACGCTGCTGCCGCATCCCTTTACTATTAAATTCACTTAGTCGCCTCTTTGTACACCCACGAAATCCAGAAAGGAAGAGGTGGCCTATTCTATACCGGGACACACACGGGAGACTTCGTACAAAAGTCGATTGCTTGTGTACCTCTGTCCCATTCGTGATTCTACCGTGAAGCAGTTGTGTTTGCATGGCTGTGTTTCGGTTTGAAGGGTGGGATATGGCGTGAATTTACAGGGTACAGGGGAATAACACTTGAATCCTCAGGAATGGCAACGCATGGGGGGGTATCATGGGCGAAAAAGTATGTGTGTGTACTGTTATGTCCATGGTACTGCTCATGTCTATAGGCGACGGTTACCATTTTCGAACAGATGGGCCGTCAGCTTGTTTGCCATTCTAAGTCGTATAAAAAAAAATAAAATAAAAAATAATCTAGAAGATGAAAAGAGGTAGTTATTAAAATTAATTAAAGATAATTAATATCGTTACTTACTAGTCAAAACATTGTGCAGCTGTGAGCACCCACTGTTTGCCGACCAGAGCTCCACCGCACCAGTGCTTCCCGTGTAATCTGACCAACATTGTAATAAGCTGTGATTCGTGCCTTTGCCATTGAAGGATAAAAAGTATTTTAAACCTACGATATGCTTCGTTTCTATAGATTTGGATAACATTTAATAAGCATCTTTTGCAGGGGTGGACAACCGGTCTATTAGTCCAACAACGGACTATTAGTCCAGTCGATCGTAGCAAGGCAAAATTTTGCTAATCTACCGGGAGATGGTCAGACTCAATACTCATACTAATATAAATAAGTAGTTATTGAGAATAATTTTCAGTTTTAAGTTATTCCTCTTAAAAAATAAATAATACTACAAAATTGTGTACTGAACTATGTTGTTTCTTTTTATTGGCGATTTTAAGAAGTAAATATATTAGTAGATCGCATAGGGTTTCGTCAGTAAATAGTAGATCTTGGGTCTAGTCAAGTCGGCCACCTCTGATCTAGTGTATTCGACCGCTTGTACATAATCCGTTAGGATTGTGTTTTGAGAAATTATTCGAAATGATAACCACAGCCACTTTTTATCATTGCACTGCTTGCCTTTGATAAAATTCATTCTCATACGCTAGAACTTAAATGGCTGTGTACAGTGCGGTTTTAGAGAGGTTTCCACCCGCGAGTGCTCAGGCCATGGAATTAAGCTCTCTGCCCTGGTTTTCTCTACAAAAATTCTTCAAAAAGAGCTTATTAAGGTTTTTTTTAGAGTCGGCAACACGCATGTTACACTTCTGGTGTCGCAGGCGTCCATAGGCTCGCCGTCGGAGTCTCGGATGACTTCAAGGGGGTTCCCCGCGGTTACGGCAATAGGTGGACGAGGAACACCGGGGGGTTTTAGCCGGTAAGAGTCCGGCAGTACCCACATATCTCCCTCGAGGTATGTGGGTCTGGATGAAACATTTCCCCTCGACAAAAAAAAAAGGCGTCGATAGGCTACAGTGATCATTTATCATTAGATTGGTTCTATGCTTGTTTGCCACATTTGTGGTATAAAAACCAATGTCTCCTTTAAATGCTGGTTTACTGTTAAGCATCGTGATGTTTCAAACCCACCTTCTAAGCAATTTCTTCTCATTTTTATTGCGGTCCAATTGTTCGACCCGTATTTCTTTTTTTTTTTTTTTATTTATTAAATGGTATATACAACAGGTTACAATCAATAACATTATAAACATTTATATAAAGATAATAGTATGAACTAGATTAAGACCCAGACAGGTGTACACACAGCATGGTTAAAGCAGTTGGCAAACAATGTTAAATTATTTTTGCCGAGAACCAGTTGTGTTTGCATGGTTTTTTTTTTGATGGGTGAAAAGGGAATGGTAAACACGCATTTTTTTTTAACGTCAGGAAAAATGCATCATGCAGATCCACACAGGTTAGGGCCCGTGTGGGTACTGCTGGACTCCTACCGGCTAAACAACCTGACAATATACCTCCTAGTCTCTTTAACGACAATGGCGAGGGATCCCCTTCGCAATCTACCACGACATTGCCAGAGACCCACCAAAGGGTAGCTCTGCTCGAGTGTGCAGGGTATATGCTGCACACCGTCCACACGATCCTCTTCCCACCTGGTGAGCTTTAGATGCCCCTAAGCATCCGCCGCCCCGAGGATCAGTTTTGGAGTCCATGTACACCCAGACAAAACTAAGTGTCCATCGACTCTCCCCCCCCTGCGGCCTGCATCGCATTACCGGCCATCGGAGGGCGACACTGTTTGGTGGCGCCCACTCGATGGTCAGCCCTGCGACTGGCCGCTGCACAATACCTACAACTAGGCGACAGCGCAGTGCACGATCCAGACTTATGGCCTGGCTGACCACATCGGAAACACATTCCGCTGCAGTCAACCCTCGCGGTGCACCGCTGGCCCACGTGACCCGTGAGCAAGCAGCGGTAGCATCGAATCGGCCTCGGGTCAATGGATCGCACACGCATGGTAACCCCGCCTGCGCTAACGGGATACGCTGGTGACCGTGACCAGTCACCAGCGAAGGGTGAGAGATGAGAATGAAAACAGGCCAGTTAGCCCATCATGATGAATTCATCAGGAATTAACCATGATAGTATCCAGGGGGAATCGCGAGGAGGTCGACCTGGTTGAGTATATTGTTAGCAATGGGATTTTCAGTCTTCATCACTAACAATCCCTTCCCCCGTGTTTGCATGGTTGTTTTTCGGTTTGAAGATATGACAGTGAAATTATGAACATCATAGTGAGGCTAATTATGGTGCTGTATACTGTCTATGGAAGGGGGGAGGGGGAAGGGATTGTTAGTAATAGAGACTGAGAATCCCATTGCTAGCAATATACAAAACCAGGTCGACCTCGTCGCGGTTCTCCCTGGAAACTATCATGCTTAATTCCTGATAAATTCATCATGATGAACTAACTGGCCTGTTTTCATTCTCATCTTTCACCCTTCACTGGTGCTCCGCCAGCGTATCCCATTAGCGCAGGCGAGGTTACCATACCATTTTCACCCATCAAAAAAATGTCTATGTCTATAGACGGTTGCCACTTTCCATCAGGTGGGCAGTCTGTTCGCCATTTAAGTATCATAAAAATAAATAAGCAGCTAAAGTAGCTGCTTTAAAGAGTACCAGAGTAGTGTTACCTGATGGAGACAGTGTACGGATAGTCCTCCAAGCACACAAGTCCAGTTTCCGTGGTCAATCTCTTCCTCCGCACGTGTGTTAAATCGTCCTCCGTTTTGGGTGGGAACTCGCATTCTAGATCCGCCTTTGAAGTCGTAAATGCTGTGTACAATAAATGCATATATTTAGTTTTAAAAACAAATAAGAATAGATCCTAATAATTTAGAACTTAGATCAAATAACATTTACATGGAATTTATTTATTGTGTTTTTATTTATTTTTTATGATTTCCCTTTATCCCTCAATTCATGTTTAAATAAACACGGCCAAGTGCGAGTTGCACTTGTACACCGAGGGTTCAATAAATTTTTTATACAAAAAAGTTTATTTGTACTTTAAGACATTTACTTTTTTGCAAATTTCAGAATTCTAGATCAACAAGACGTACTCTATAGGTTTTGACTTCCTTACAGTTTGTTTTATGAATGATAAATGGAATAGTAACCCCGTCTACGCTATCGGTATATGCTGGCGGCTCACCAGAGGTGAAGATGAAAGCAGTTCAGTTAGCCTGTCGTGACAAATTCCTCAAGAATTAATTACGATCGTCTCCAGGGGGAACCACGTGGAGATCAACCTGATAGTGTATATTGCTGGCAATGGGGCTGTTAAACGCCATTACTAACAATCCCTTTCCCCCACTCCCTTACAGTTGACGAAATATACGTTATAAATGGCCGTATCTTTAGATTGTGTTGATTTAGAAGTTTGATTTTTTTTACAGCTTCAAGGGATTGCAGACTTATTTGATACTAGCGGCCCGCCCCGACGTCGTACGGGTGGACATTTTTAACATTTTCCTTCACTGCTCTGCTCCTATTGATCGTTGCGTAATGAAAAGTATACTATAACCTGCCCAGGGGTATGAAGAATAATTGTACCAAGTTTCGTTAAAATCCGTCGAGTAGTTTTTGTTTCTATAACGAACATACAGGCAGACAGACAAAAATTTTACTGATTGCATTTTTGGCATCAGTATCGATCACTAATCACCGCCTGATAGTTATTTTAAATAAATATTTAAATATATTTCATGTACAGAATTGACCTCTCTACAGATTTATTATAAGTATAGATTAATTACTGCTTGATATCTCCACGCGTTTCTGAGAAAAAAAAGGGTCTCAACAGACGGACAAATATATCGGCAAAAAAAGGGTCTATTTATCCTTTTGAGGTGCAATACCTTAAAAATGAACTTCTAAATGGACTGACTATATTACACATGATGGAAGACATTAGAGAAAACTTACAACCAGCAATTTATAGATACGCGCTAAAACGTAAGTACCTTAAGTGGTAATATAAAGTTCTAACTATTTCCCGCGGTTTTACCTGAGTGAATTATTATTATTATTACCTCAGTCATTATCCGTCCACTGCTGGACATAGGCTTTCCCTTTGAGGGTTCCCCAGGTTTGATAATCGCGTTGGTCTTTATTAATTTTTTTTCCCAAGGTTTTCCCAAGACACTACAGTATGGGGTTCTTCAAAAGCGGGGTAATGAGGTTTCTTTAGGGTCGGCAACGCGCGCGTAATATCTTTGGTATAGCAGGTGTTCATAGGCTACGGTAACCATTTACAATCAAGTGGGCCGTATGCTTGTTTGCCACCTCAGTGGTATAAAAAAAAAAATTAATAGGATTAAAACAATGCAAACTCTTACCGCTGTTAACTTTAAACCTACTGATATTGAGTAATGATATCCAAAACACCAAGAATCTGTTACACACTACCATTTTCGTTTCCGTCTAACCATTACCTACAATCATTTATGATTGCCCAATAACCGAGTTCCACACAGCGCTCTCCTAAGCAAAATCTAGCTATTAAGCTCATACTATTGTTAAATGAGAACAATGCTGTAATTTCTAATACAAACATGCTTAATTTAGAAAGCTGATGAAAGATTATTAAACATATCGCTCTAAATTTTTATCGTGCTATAAGTTCATTAGATTAGGTAGATTTTTCTAGAGTACTTGTAGTTTTTCTTTTAATGGATGATAATGGAATGGTTACTCCGTTCAATTGACGACGAAAGACCAATTATGTGTAGTACTATCTAAAACAAAACTGATGAAAGACAGTATATTTTGTAAAGCTGTAATAATTTATAATAAATTACCAAAACATATACGAGGATTGACTGAGGTAAATGTTTTTAAAAAGAACCTTCATGACATGTTAATAAATAAATGTTATTATAGCCTGGACGAATATATCAATGATAAAGATAAATAGTCATCATTTGTAAAAAATAATGTCTCATATAAATATATTTTGTTTCACTGTATAATTATAAATGTTATGTTTTGTATACTGTTAACTGTTCCATATATTGTACGCTTATGTAGCACGACATGGAGATACTATTTAACTGATATAATACCTTAATTTGACCCATGATCCACAATAAAGACATTTGTATTTGTTCGCGTTAACGGTATTCACTTGCGAGGTAACAGTGAGGGATGATAGGTGAGAATGAAAAGGCAGGTTACTATCATCGTACGGCTCGCCATCGACAGGGAGTTCACCCTCATACCGTACAGCCTAAATGGTCGCGTACAACGCGGTTTCAGAGATGTTTTCTCCCACGAACACTCAGGTTATGGAATGAGCTCCCTGCCGAGGTTTTCCCAAGAGACTACAGCATGGGGTTCTTCAAATGGGGGGTAAATAGGTTTCTTCAGGGTCGGCAACGCGCGCGTAATACCTCTGGTATTGCAGGCGTTCATAGGCTACGGTAACCGGTTACCATCAGGTGGGCCGTATACTTGTTTGCCACCTCAGTGGTATAAAAAAAATGTTAGTTAGCGCATCGTGATGAATACTCCTGGAGTTCAGGATGATGGTATCGATGGTCGACCTGACAGGGTATATTGGGGGGAAAGGGATTGTCAGTAACGGATACTAGCAATATATCCAACCAGGTTGACCTCCTCACGGTTCTCCCTGGAAACTATCATGGTTAATTTCTGATGAATGATGGGCTAACTGGCCTGTTTTCATTCTCATCTATCACCCTTCACTGGTGCTCCGCCAGCGTATCTTGTTAGCGCAGGCGGGGTTACCATACCATTTTCACCCATTGAAAAAAAAATGCATTTCAGGTCGTCACTCCATCTAGTGGGGCGGATCCTACACTACTATATACATTACTATATTTAGGTCTAATATTTGGTAACTTAATACCTAATTACTAAAATGTTAGTATTTATTTAATTTTTATTGTTCTTAGGTTATAATTGTGATAATATATTAAAGACTCTGCAAAGAAACCTTTAAGATAAAGTCTAAGCCTAGACTGAATTGTAATTAGTAACTAAATGTATTTTGAATCATAATCACAACATTGGATCGATTAGATAGTGTATCTGAACAATGCTAGCATTGTATCTAAAGCAAGCATTGTGTATCTAAACTAAATATTGATTCAGGTCTAGGTTGAGTTGCCAATACAATGCTAGATGCGATAAAATTGCAGTGTTTTTTACAACCTTGACATTGGCAAAATCATCGGAACCCCGATGGAGCCTTATTATAACAAAAGGAAAGACTTTGTACAAAAGTCGATTGCTTGGGTACCTCTGTCCCATTCGTGTTTCAACCGTCAAGCAGTTGTGTTTGCATAGCTGTCGGTTTGAAGGGTGGGATATGGCGCGAATTTACTGGGTACAGAGGAATAACACCTGAGTCCTCAGGAATGGCAGCGCATGGGGGTATCATGGGCGAAACAGTATACTCTGTTATGTCTATGGTACTGCTCATGTCTATAGGCGACGGTTACCACTTTTCATCAGGTGGGCCGTCAGCTTGTTTGCCATTCTAAGTTGTATAAAAAAATAATAATAATAATATTCAATCAGTAAAGACGTGTATTTTGTTATAAAATCCTCTGCAATGGAAAATGAACCTTATTCAATCAATATCAACAGTTCCCATTATCAACAATGCCTTATCCCTCCTAGTGACCCCGTTTTGTCTTTTAATGCATGATAATGGAATGGTTAATCAGCCTATACTATTAGTATACACTGTTGGAGCAGCAGTGGGAGATGATAGACGAGAATGAAAGCAGGTCAGTTGGCCCATAGTGGCGAATTCATAAAGAATTAATAAAGATAGTTTCCAGGGGAAACCGTGTGAAAGTCGACCTGATAGGATATAGCCCCAATACTAACAATTCCTTTCCCCCTTGGTAACCCTGTTTTTTTTAATGGTTGACAATGGAATGGTAAACCTACCCACGCTGTCGGTACACACCGACGATGCACCAGTGAAAGATGGTAAGTGAGGATGAAGCAGGTCGTCCCATCGTGACGAATTCAACAAGAATTGTTCACGATGGTTTCCAGGGGGAACCACGTGGAGTTTGACCTAATAGGGCATATTGCTAGCAATGGGGATGTCAAACTTCATTGCTAACATTCTTTTCCCCCCTGGTAACCCTGTTAGGTACAGAACCTCTTGAACATGTCTTCAACTGATCGTAATTGCTTACCAAAGCAACAGCTACTGAGAAATACTGTAAATAACTGTCAGGTTGACAGGATGTCATTTACATAGTATTTAATTGTTCACGTTTCACAATAATATTATCACAATTATACACAAACCGATGCGATAGCAATGAGAAATTATTTATTTGCACAGTATTACGCAAATTGTCTTTACATATTTACATGAATAATAAATATTAATATCGTACAACATGTATTTGTATTGCGTTTTTTATTTAGTATCAAATCACGAGGTAAAAACCAACAACAATGTTAAGTAAATTACCCTATTTTAATAATGATTTAGTCAAATAAAAAAATGGACCAAGAATAGAGCCCTGAGAAATACCCGTTTTCAATAGACTTAAAAAAGAAACAGGTTCTCAATTCGATTGTATATTTTAAAGTTTGTCATTTCATAACTACGTCAGTTGTAAATCGATTGGAAAATTCTTTTTGTTTGAAATGTATAATATAATATATATGTACTTACAGATTAGTGATACAGAAATTTTATCAATATTAGTTTAGTAGTTTAATTTTTAAACTAAAATAACATTTCCCTTGATAATAACGTTTTTATAGTGCATCCATAAAGTTTGCAGCGCATGGACGGATGACTTCTATGTCATCAGATGCAAACGGATCGCATGTTTTTTATACCGACTGCGTGGCAGCAGTAACAGCATTCTGTGGGCATTATGTAATAAATACGATAGCCCGATCCTCTCATTGTGTGTCAAAATTATTATAGGGGCCATAAAATGATTTTTGTATTTTTTTTTTCTACTAACATAGTTTAAGTCAATTGTTAGTAACAAAAATGGATTTTTGTAATCTATAATAAAGAATTATATAATTAAATTAAATTAAATAAGTGTTGATATATCTTGCAACGTCCAATTTTGCGGTCATCTGGAGGAAAAGGCTAAGATGGCTTCCAAAAAGTTAGGAGTGCTCAATAGATTGAGACAGTATTTCATGCCGGAACACCGCTTGAAATTGTATAAAGCTCAAATCAGACAATCTTAAGTTAATTTCCGATTTCGTATGCGAAAAACGTATTGTTTGCAAACTAAGATTTATAAATAATATGTTTACTGTGATATATAAATAATTTATAATTTACGTTGTAGTAATTTATTGTAAATATATTGTCGACAAGACGTTTGCCTATTTCAAACAACCGCACTATCTGGTTACATTACGTAAAAGCAAACAAATGTTTGTCTGTTTGTGGAGAGCATGGACAGTCTATTTTTAGAAAGTACCTGTTGTCTATTTAAATTGTGTATTGTTATTAGGGTTGCATCTAACAACTTTATTATTTTATATTGATTAGTTTTTATATTGTATGTTGTGGTAATATTGGTCAATTCCATTTCAAACGATCTCTGTTGACGTATCGTTGATTAAAACAAATGATGCTAAATAATACAGTATTTTACATTTATTGTATCAAATATAATAATTTCTATAGTTATAAATTTATTTATTTATTTATTTTGCACTTGACCAAAAGGAGACTTTGTACAAAAGTCGTTTGCTTGGGTACCTCCGTCCCATTCGTGTTTCAACCGTAAAGCAGTTGTGTTTGCATGGTTGTGTTTCGGTTTGAAGGGTGGGATATGGCGTGAATTTACTGGGTACAGAGGAATAACACCTGAGTCCTCAGGAATGGCAACGCATGGAGGGTATCATGGACGAAACAGTATACTCTGTTATGTCCATGGTACTGCTCATATCTATAGGTGACGGTTACCACTTTGCATCAGGTGGGCCGTCAGCTTGTTTGCCATTCTAAGTTGTATAAAAAAAAACTTGAACTATTTATAAAGTTATAAATACAGTTAATTTTAATGAGAAGTGATACAAAAGGCGCCCGTATCGTTAAGCAATCTCTTCTAGACAATCTTTGGGTGGTGAACATTGAGAAAAAAGACAAAAGGTGGGTGGCGCACTATACTAATACTAATATATATATATACATAATACATATATACACATATACATAAATATATACGTAAACATACACATACTTAATAGTATACTTACAACAGAAGAGAATTAAAGTGGAAGATGAAGAGAGAATATGGGAAAATAATACTTAAAGGAAGAGTCAGTAGGACTTAAAGGAGGTTTTGAAGCTAGCGAGAGATTGAGTCCTCATCAGAATCCCTTTTGTTTCGAAATAAAATTCAATGAAATATCGTATGTTGTTTTATTTAATTACTTAAGCGTTTAATCTTTTTTTAAATAGTTTACCTATTTAGGTAATCATTTCTGATTCACACATCTATTTAGATGTGTGAATCAGAAATGAAGTTTAAGACGACGATTCACAAGTGAATATAGAAAAAAAAGTAACTCGATTTTATGGTTTACATTTTTATATTATAATTTTTTATAAATTTTGATAACTTATTCTTTATGTACGTGAATAAAACAATTCCAATGTCTCTATTACACATCTCTTTAATAATTATAAGCTTTCACGAATTTAAAACAAAAGATTTTTTTGTGCAATGTTTGATTTTATCCTATTATATATAAACCTATTGCATTTTTAATTAACATCACTAAATTGTATTTGTTTTTATAATTTTTTTTTATCATTATTTTTAATATTGTTTTTACAGACAGTGATTTGAATAAAATTTTAAATAAAGCCACTAATAAATGTTTATAACTGAACCAAACATTGGATAAATTCACTAATAAATTTTCAAAAACATAAACAAAATATTGTAAACCACAAAATTTACTATAATTAGGCACATCCCTGAACTCTTTTATTATTATTATATGCCTATATAAAAGCGCGTTATATTCAGTATAGTATAATTTTTAATAGGTGATAAAATGGATTGTTACTAGTTACAGTGATTTATTTTTTTTAATATTTTATTTTTATATATAAATTATAGAAAATATTTATTATATTACATTAGTATAAATTTAAAATAAAATGACAGTTGACAGTGAGATGCCGCGTAAACAAGGGACAACGCATATGCAATGGATAATAGCGATACTAGGTAATATATTATGTTTTAGAAAATCGTGTTATAAGCAGATTTTTTAAAACCCACTCAAAACATTTATTTATTTATTTATTTATTCATTAAAAATAATTATAACATTATGACAGCAAAAGCCAAATCAATGTTATAAACCTAGTGTGTTAACATACAAAATTATAATAAAAGTATTTAACCCGATTCCAGATATTTCTGAGCCGCTTCTAATATCTTTGGCAGGCTAATACTAAAAATATCATAAATATATCTAAAAGTCTAACTGCTGTTGCCAACCTGCCTGCCAAGCGTGGAAACTACTGGCAAAACCCCCTTATAGCGGAGGCTTACGTTCAGCAATGGTCAGTTAGCGGCTGATATCCTTATCTTCGCTGATGCCTATTCTTAGACCATTAAGCCTCCCATAGGTGTCGTAAGAGACGAATAAAGGTGTTATTCGTCTCTTACGACACCTATAAGAGAGGAAGGATAGCTTATATCATACCGAGCATTATATTTATTTCAGCCCTTAACTGTTGAACATTAGTCTTCCGTAAGGGGAGTTTTGCCAGTAGTTGCCACGTTTGGCAGGTGGGTTGGCAACCGCAGTTAGACTTTTACATATGTTTCAAGAGCGTTATATATATTTATATAAATTATACTTATTAGAATTAACTTAATTTAGACTATTTCTAAAGTGAAAAAAGTGTTGTCCTCCTCTCTCGTACTCGCTGTGCCCAACACGGTCCATAATTGAAATGTTATCTACAAATTATATTATGGAATGCAATAAGAAATAAATAAATTTAATTGCAGTCAATACAACAACACTCACATATGGTATACAAGCCGCCTGGATCTCGCCAACGACGAAAGTGTTACAATCGGAAACGTCGTTAGTGGTGGACCAACCGATATCTGATGCGAGTTGGACATTGATCGCCAGCACGATGCCTCTAATGGCAGTTTTTGGAGTACCGATATGCTCATATTTAGCAGACAAGTATGGGAGGAAAATGGGCATTCTGGCAATTGCTGTGACCCAAGCAGTAAGTATTTCCTTTTATGGTTGCTTAGTTGTATAAGTTGTTAAACTGTAGGCGTAGTATACAACGACTACTAGAGGGAGTGACGACCTCAAATGCATTGCAGGGAGTCAGTGGATGCAAGTGGCTCAGAACTGTTCCTTAGTTAGACCGTTCAGCAGTGGACAGATAGTGGCTGAGATGTTTTTTTTTTATATCATTGAGATAGCAAACAAGCATACGACCCATCTGATTGTACTGTAGCTTATGAACGCCTGCAAACCAGAAGTATTACGCGTCAACCCAACCCTGAATATACCTCTTGATCCCCCTTTTGAAAAACCCCATTCTGTAGTTTCTTGGGAAAACCTCAGTAGGGAGTTCATTCCATAACCTGAGTGTTCGTGGAAGAGAACATCTCTGAAACTGCGTTGTACGGGACCATTTAGGCTGTAGGGTATGAGGGTGAACTCCCTGTCTATGGCGAGCTGTACAAAGATAAAAAAAGGCTGAGGGCATCATATTGAACAATTTGATATTAAATTGAAGAGATGGAAAAGTCTGTGTTAATTCAAACAGAACACGTTAAATTATGACAGAAGAAAAAAGGAAGAATTGGTTATTGAAAAAATAATGATAAAGAAAAAATTTGATACCTGATATGATCAGATCTAACCGAGAAAGTCCCAGCATAGAATGGGCTATCTCTTCCTGTCCCGTGGGTGCCGAAAGTTAAAACTAAGGGAACATGTAAAGATGGACAGTTGTGACCCTCTTAAAACATCACTAAAAGCTTAACTGCGGTTGCTAACCCACCTGCCAAGCATGGCAAAACTCCCCTTCTGGGGGGGATTATGTTCAGCAGTGGACAGTTAACCGCTGATATGATGATAGTAGGCCTAGAGGTGAACGAAAAGTTTGTAATTTAGACAAGGGAGATTTTGTACAAAAAATCGATTGCATTGCTACCTCTATCTCACTCGTGTTTCTGCATTGAGGTAGTTATGCTTGCATAGTTGTGTTTCGGTTAAAGGGAAATAAAGCAGTAAAATTACATGATACGAAAATATAGCATTGTAATCTTCAGAGAGCCTAGCAAAGTTGCAATCGCTACCAAGCTTTAAGATTTGTATAATCACTAACGATGTCGAAAGTAAAATGGTAGGCAATGTAGATAACATTTGCTAAAAGATCGCTTTTCCGATTTTTTTTATCCAATAATTGAATTAATCTGATCTTTCGATTCAAACGTCAAAGTATCGATAATCGCTATGTGACGTCATGCCATAAATGTCATTTTGTATCTACATATTTTGCTTTTTATTTCGAAAATTTTACCATTAACTTTTAATGACCACTTTTAATTGTCAGGAATGGCAATGCATAAGCGGTATAATATTATATTCTGTAATGTTCATGGTACTGATCATGTTTATAGGTAATGCTTAACACTTTTTACTAGACAAACTGTCAAATTGTTTGCCATTCTAAGTCATCATCTTCCTACCCTTATCCCAATTATTATTTGTGGTCGGCATAATATGGTTTTATCCATATTACAAAAGGATTTAGCTTATAGTTTTACGACCGGCCGCCTGCTTGACGTCAACACTCTTTGGGAATTTTGCCATTCTAAGTATCATAAGAAAAAGAGATGACTATAAAGTAGGCTCGAGAGAATGGATTCCACGTAGTTTTTATTAAACAAGTTAAAAAATCTATGTTATTTGTGAATCGTCATAAATGTAAGAAAGTCATTGTTATTTGGCAAGATCATCTACCTCAATTGGTAGCAGCCATATAAATGAAAGTAGAAGTAGGAAACTCATAATAAAAAAATGCATTAACTATTCTATAATTTTTGCAGTTATGCTGGATTATAAAAATAGTAACGACAAGCGTACCTGGTCTCCTCATAGCCAGAATCTGTGCTGGTGTAGCGGCTGGGGGCTGTTTCTGCATCACTCCCATGTACGTGAAAGAACTCAGCCAGGACAACATAAGAGGCCTGCTGGTATCTCTAATGGGGCTGAGTCAGAATTTGGGATTTTTCTTAATGTACGCAATGGGAGCGTTTCTGGATTACTACACGCTATTATGGATCGTGGTGTGGTTACCTTTAGTGCTGATAGCGTTGCTTATAAAGATTCCGGAGTCACCTGCTTTCCTGATAAAATCAGAAAAATATGAGGTAACAATATCTTTAGTTAGTTAATATAAGTTAATTAATGTCGATTGAAATATATTTGAATCGAAGCATTTGGCGTTCCATTGTTTCTGCCTACCCTAATGGGAGACAGGCGTGACAGATATGTATGTATGTATGTATGAAATATATTTTTAAATTCATGGAATACTTGTGAATAATTTAAAAAATTTTCATGCTATACGCTACCATTGGTTAATACATACATTATTAAATACATACATTATTAAATACATACATTATTAAATACATACATTATTAATACATATATTATTAAATACATACAGTAAATGTCATAATGTAAATAATAAACATAAGTGTTTTGAAAATCCTCTAGAGCCTGTCTATTACCGTATCTGCCGTGTCTACCCGTAGGCGGCTGCATCTACTATCGCCTTCTTTCGAGGACTAAACCCAGAGGATAAAGAAGTTGTCTATGAAATTGACTGTATGAAGAACGAAAATATATACTTCAAGTCATTGCCTGATATCTCTTTAATAAGCATTCGTGAGTATTCATTGCTATTTCTTTCATACTCAGGTTTTATTATTGATTAAAAACGATATACTTAAACCAAGACTGTAAAAGATAGATAGATACTCTTTATTATTTCCTCCAGAAGATTAAAATAGTAAACTTATTAAAAATATAAACAATAACAAGAAATAATCACAATGAGAAAACAATGGGCGACCTTATCGCTAAAAGCGATCTCTTCCAGGCAACCTTTGGATGGAGAGGAGTAATTATAAACGGTTTGATCGGAGGCACAATAATAATATAGATTTATTTTCTCTTCGTGTATGACTTCTAACATTTATTATCCAGTGTTTGTAAATTGTTTTTTATTCTTTTTCAGTAAAAAATAAACCATGGCGCAAAGGCCTCTTGCTTCTCTTGCTGGTCTTCACGTTTCAAGCGGGCAACGGCTGTTTTGCCATTATAACTTATGCGTCGAGTATCTTGGTTTCGTCTGGAGTCACTATCAGTCCAGACATACAGACACTTAGCATACCAGCCGTGATGATTATCGGCTCAGTATTTTCTATAGCGTGTGTTGAAAGAGTAGGAAGGAAGGTGAGTTAGTTTTTTTTTTTATACAACTTAGAATGGCAAACAAGCTGACGGCCCACCTGATGGAAAATGCTAACCATCGCCTATAGACATGAGCAGTACCATGAACATAACAGAGTATACTGTTTCGCCTATGATACCCCCTATGCGTTGCCATTTCTGAGGTCTTAGGTGTTATTCCTCTGTACCCAGTAAATTCACTGCCATAGTACTTACAACATTAGTTGATGCATTCGTAATTGAGAAATAGGTACCAGAAATTAGCAGTTTAATTTGGGACAAGTGAAATAATATAGTTTTAGCGCAGTATAAGTAATAGAAGAATAAGTGAGAAGAAGTGGCAATGGGCTGGTCACATAGTTCTAAGAACCGACAAACGATGGGGAAGAAAGGTTCTTGAGTGGCGACTCTGTACAAGAAAACGCAATGTAGAATGACCCACTACTAGATGAAGCGACGATCTTAAATCAGTCAGTCAGTTAGGAAGTGAATACATGTGGTTCGAGATTGTTCCTTATGGCAGTATATGTGGGAGGGCTACGTTCAGCAGTGGACACTTAACAGCTGATAGAGTTTCAGTAACTGTTAAATACGTAGTTCAGTTTGCTTGATAAATTAATGATTGTTTTGACTTAATTTTAAACTTTGTACTATTTTATATGAAGCAATATTGAAGAATACAAGTTTGCAAGAATGCAAGTTTCGATTTTCTCAACTTGCAAATTACCCAAGATATTTATAAGACCTAAAAGCGATGTAGGTAACAACCAAACTCACTTTCATATTTATAATATTGGCAAGGATTACAGGTATCCTATTTTTAGGGTATAGTAATTATTTAGATACTTTACTATAATGGTACAACCTACCGTCACTACTACCAACATAATAGAACGACCAATCCGGGCCACTCGCGGGCATCCACCCGCTCGTTATAAGTAATAGGCACTGGCGCCCTCTACAGTAGTCTTACGCCGGCCGCCATTACGTTCGCATATGTACTTAGACCTAGAGCGCGCTCCCGCCATTGCTAACAACTGTGTATTACTTGTTGCTCGTATTAAACTTGTTTTGACAATCGGGGTCTTTCAATTCACAACCCACGACTCTGCTATATCTCTATAGTACTTTTTTATAATTAATATAAGAGTAAAATACTGGCTTAAAAGTATGCTGAATAAACTCTTTCAAAATTTATAATCTGCGAAGAATTACAGGAATCCTACTTCTAGAGTAGAACACTGACTTAAAAAGATGCTGGATAAATTCTCTTTCTAATTTATAATATTAGTAAGGATAGGAACATTTTATTATCAAGATTATTTTACGTTTCAGGTGTTATTGGTGACAACTTTTGGCATAACAGTAGCGTCGTTCCTGTGCCTCGCTTCTATAATGCTGGTACAGCACCAGGGCGGCAGCGTCCCGGGGTGGTTGTGCGTGATCGCCATAGTGGCCGCTGTGTGGGCGTACGCTGCAGGCGTCGCGCCAATTCCAAACGTCATTATGTCTGAAATGTTCAATTTTCAAGTTAGTATCTGGCCTTTGTCGTAATTACATTTACTGTCCTATTAAAAAAAAAAAACTTAGGAATTTATACATTTTAATTTGGCAGACGTGTTTATATAATTTTAAATTATTAATAAACTCTTTAATAATATAAGACATACAGTTATAAGACATAATATAAGACAGGCCTGCGATCCTGGTGTAGTAATCACTTATTGGTAAATGTATAAAATAAATATAAGACGTCGTCGTCATACTAGCCGTTAACTGTCTACTTGTGAGGTTCTGTCAGTATTTGCCACGCTTGGCAGGCAGGTTGGCAACTGACTTGATACTCGTAATGCACATCTTTCTTACAAAAAACTGCTATAATATTATTTTACGTATAATACTTGAAACGAAAGAAAATATAATGAAATATCATGATGCAATGGGCTTATTAGATACAAATTTTGACATATAATTTTCATCTAAAAACATTTTCTCGAAAAAGGTATTTATTGGGGTGCGGGGTCCTTAGCCGATAGCGAACCTTTAGGCAGATGCCTACATTGCCTAATAAATAATCCAGCCCTGCTTGTATTAGAAATTTGGTATATCATTTACCACTGAAGTGGCAAACAAGTATACGGTTACTTGATGGTAAGCAGTTACCGTAGCATGAACGCCTGCAATACCAGAGGCGCGTTGCTGCACCCTGAAGGAACCTGTTTATCTCTTTTTTGAGGAACCTTTTGCTGTAATCTCGTGAGAAAACGTCATATTAAAAATGGAAACTATTGAAGGGATTGGAATGAAATTTAGTATGTTAATAGATTATATACACACACACACAGAGAGAGAGAGAGAGACAGACAGAGAGAGAGAGAATAATAATAAAGTACCCTTATTTAAAGTATAATTATTAATTTTAATCTAACTACTAATTTATTTTTAAACTTTCAGATACGTGCAAAGATGTTGGGCTGCATAGTGACATACGGGTGGTTTATATCATTTGTACAATTGATTGCTTTCACGCCGATCTCAAATGTATTAGGAACGTACGGCACGTTCTATTGCTTCGCCGGAATCAACCTCCTTGGTATTTTTGTTACTCTGGTACTCATGCCCGAGACAAAAGGGAAAACAGTTGAAGAAATTACGTTGATTTTGCAGCGATGAAACAAAGGATATTTTTAGGTTAAAATTCGATTTTTTACAATTCTTTGTATGCTTTTTTTTTACCTTATTTGATTTTTGAAAAAATAAATAATTTGAATGAAACATTACGATAGACATGAGCTCTATGGGCAGAGTCCTTTGCCTTTCCCTTTGGGAAGGATGAAGTATATAAATTTGCATTGTTAAAGGAAGAGAAATGCAATAACCTATATGTTAGAGCGAGATAGACAATAGAAAAATAATATGCAAAATATCTGTGCCTCTAGTGAGAAAGGGTATAACTCAAGTTATAGCCTTTTTCTTTTTTAGGCTACTTTAAAAAAGCAAATTTTTCTCTTTCGAATGGTATAAGAATCGTAACGATATCTTTAAAAACAATAGAGATAGTAAACATGTAAAAGGCTACAATTAACAAAATATTTGTGGTAAAAAAGTCATAATTAGAAATAAAACTACAATATTTTACAAAAATTATTTTTGTAAAATGAATCAGTTCGATTTGAACCCTTTTACACCATTTAATAGCGATTATTTTTTTATAGCGTAAAATACACATCATTGTTTTTCTTCAATACTTCAATAAAATAGTTTTAATTCAACTTAAAACTATTTTCACATCATAATTTTAATATTTTTGTTAAGTGTGATTAGGTATAATAGAATTATTTTTAAAACTATAGGTTTTACACAAAAACCGACAATTTCATAAGAAAGAGGAGAAAAAATTACTATAAATGCAATCATTGACTTGTTCAATTAGCAAATAATAAAAGCAGCAGAATTTTTTTTCTTTATTTAAAATAGTTTTTTGGCTCTCCTGAAAAGTGACCATTTTGAATTGAACCCTTTCTCACTAGAGGCACAGATATATGGAACTTGATCGCCGACGGAATTTTGAAATAAAATAATGTAATGTAAACCTAAAGATCTTCATAATACCTTTGAGTACTAGCTTAAAAGTAGATTTATATTTTTTTGGTGTCAAAATTAGTAATATATTGGAAATATAAAGAAGTACCTAATATCAAAAGAAGGGACAGTATTTGAATACCAAAGCATTAGTTTAATACGAATAAGTAGTTTTTTTTTATACCACTGAGGTGGCAAACAAGCATACGGCCCACCTGATGGTAAGCGGTTACCGTAGCCTATGAACGCCTACAATACTAGAGGTATTACGCGTGCGTTGCCGACGCTGAAGAAACCTCTTTACCTCCCTTTTGAAGAATCCTGTAGTCTCTTGGGTAAACCTCGGCATGGAGTATAAAGTTTATAATAAAACAAAGTCTGCTAATCATTCTGGAGTTTGATTTATGTGAGGACTGCCTTTAAAGTTGTGTCGTTTAAAATAAATATAGACAATCTAATAGATTGTAACCATTTATTCAAAGAATTTTTCAAAGAATTCACCGCGATATTTAATATACTTTTGCATGCGTTCAAAATAGTTTTTAAAACATTTATTCCATTCCAAAGTGGGGGTAGTCAAAATGGCCGATTTGTTTGTGTCAACAGCTTCTTCGATTGAGCTGAAACGTTGACCATGAAGACTGTTTAATTTTGGGGAACGCAAAAAAATCGTTAGGGCTTAAGTCAAGGCTGTAAGGCGGATGATCTAAAATTCAGACATTTGGGTGCTCAAAAACACGCGCGCTTCACTTATCCAAAAACGGTATTATTTTATCTGTGGACAATAATAAACGAAGGTCTAATAAGCATATTTTATCTGTGGGTGTCGTAAGAGGCAATTAAGCGAACTTAATTGAAGAAGCATGGTTAGCAGTTTGTCTCAATTTTTTTTTTATACAACTTAGAATGGCAAGCAAGCTGACGGCCCACCTAATCGAAAGTGGTAACTGTCGCCTATAGACATGAGCAATACCATGGATATAACAGAGTATACTGTTTCGCCCATGTTACCCCCCATGCGTTGCCATTCCTGAGGACTCAGGTGTTATTCCTCTGTACCCAGTAAATTCACGCCATATCCCACCCTTCAAACCGAAACATAGCCATGCAAACACAACTGCTTCACGGTAGAAACACGAATGGGACAGAGGTTCACAAGCAATTGACTTTTGTACAAAGTCTCTAAAAGCCAAGCTGCTGTTGTTACCTGGCCTGCCAAGCGTGATAACTACTGGCTAACTATAATATACTGGATAACTAAATCTCCTCCCACCTCACCTCATATCACTCACCACCTCATATCCTTATGTACATAGTCCTATATACAGCAGTAGATAGAGAACACCTGATATGATGATGATGATTATGTAATTTATATATGTAAATATCTGATAAACTTCGGTGGCCGAAATAAATGATATTATTATTAAGTCCCTCTTGTACACATATCTTGTACTATAGAAATAATATAAACATGAAAGTTTGTAAAGAGATGTTTGAATGTTTGTTATTTTATTTTTTTCATGGGAAAGGAAGGATGCCATATATTCTACTTACTACTATATATATATATATAAAATAATCATTAAATACCAATACTTACCACTCCTATACTGGCTGTCAGGATACCACAATACTTTCTTCCAATCGTGTTCAACAGTACACTGGCTATAGGATTCCCAACCAAGGCACCTATGCTATATATATATATATATATATATATATATATATATATATATATATATATATATATATATATATATATATATATATATATATATATATATATATATATATATATATATATATATATATATATATATATATATATATATATATATAATATAGGTTGATATCGTAGCCGTGAAGAAATAAATTACTTCAGGATATAATTTTTTTATTTTACAAAAAAAAAAAAACAATTCAACAATCAGTCCCATTCATGATCCGTACCCGATCCAAAGGTCCCCAACGCGGAAATGCCGCAAAGGACACTTGCGGCATTTCCGCGTTGGATTGCCAGAGATATCCTTTGAGCCAGATACGAACCAGAACGGCGGCGTTATTTTATTACATTTAAACGGATATATTTATAAGTATAACTACTCATAATAAACTTTACTAATGCTCGGTCAATATTGTTGAGATACGCGTACAGTTCGAAAATATCAACATTGTATACATAGGTATATATGGTAGACACATGTGTTATTTATTTTAATTGTCACACACAACATTTTATTTTTTATTGCCCTCATTAAGGTATTAATGCATAATACTTTCACAATTGCATCACCCACATCAGTGTTACTCAAACTTTTTCATCGCGCGACCCCCTCAGTAAGTAACAATATTTTGCGACACCCTACCATTTTCACCCATAAAAAAAAAACACACTTATTACCACTTATATTATTTTTTGCACCTTTTAATTAACATTTATAATTATTAATATACAGTAAAAAGAGAAACTAATGATATAATTCTCAACATCATCATATCAGACTTTAACTGTCCACTGCTGAACATAAGTTTCCCTCTTTGGGGGATTTTACCCGTAGTTGTCACACTTGACAGGCGGATTGGCAACCGCAGTTAAGTTTTAGAGATATTTTAAGAGGGACGCTGCTGCCCATCCCTCGTCTTCCTTAGTTACTCAATACCAAACTCAATTAGTCTTTGGTGATGCTTTAAGAAGGACTCTGCTGGCAATCCCTCGACCATTAAGTGTTTTTATTTTATTTATACCACTGAGGTGGCAAACAAGCGCAAAAACTTCAACCACTGGCCGAAATAATGTCAAAACGCTGAAGTTTCCAATGCATAGTGCAGTCATGGCGACTGTAGACGCAAACGACTTCATCTGAAATTTTAAAAAGAGCTTCTTAGTGTTTCTGATGCCCTGGTATTTTTTTATGAAATGAAAATATTGAGTAAACACATATATTTTGGAAAATAATAATACAGCCCTTGTAGTTTTAACTGCACGCGGCCGCCCCGATCTTTTCTGGTCTTCGATAGAGGAAATGTTGTAGTATCTGTTGATAGTACGATATACGAACATACGGCTGATACCAAGCTTTTGAAGTGTCTGGAACACGACCGACGGCTCCATACACACTTTGTGTAAGCCGATCACTGCAATCCTATTTTATTTTAACACCCCCTTCCATATTGTAATTTGATAATTAACACGAAAAAATATGTAAAATGGCGCGAAATCGAAAGAAGTTTTTAAAATATTAAACGTGTTCCAAATATAAAATGATTAAAAAGTTGAAAAAAAAAAAGAAAAGTATTTATGTAACAGTATTTATGGCCAGACTAGTTATATCAAGCCTTGAATAGTATAGAAAAATAGGAATTTATTATTATAAGTAAACTATGTATAACAATTAAAATAGATCTTATATTTACTGGAATTTATGTAATAGCAATTATTGTAAACATGTTATGGAGATATATAGTTCAAACAACCACACAACATATCAGGTAATAACTGGTTTTAATGCAAATAGCGAACTGTCTATTTGCGGTAGATGTGGAAACTCTATGAAAGCGTTCTTTATTTAAATTGTAGGGTTGTGCTAAATCTTACTACCACATATTGTAAATGCCGATATTTGTGGGATAATGTATACAGAACAGGCCACCTCTTCCTTTCCCGTGGGTGTTGCAAGAATCGACTAAGGGAGGGCAAGGGATAGCCAGCAGTGTCCCTCTTAAAACATCTCTAAAGCTTAATTGCAGCTGCCAACCCGCTCGTCAAGCGTGGCAACTACTGGCAAAAGCATGAGCCTCCCCCTTAGGGGACTAAGGGGGAGGCTTATGTTTACCAGTGGACAGTTTATGGCTGATATGATGATGATGATGTATAGATGTTTTTTTTTATACCATAGAGCGTGAAAACGAACCACATGATATGGTCCATCTGAGGGTAAGCTGTTACCGTAGCCTATGAACGCCTGCAATACTAGGGGTGTTACGCGCGCGTTGCCGACCCTGAAGTAACCATTTTACCCCTGTTTTGAAGAACCTCATGCAGTAACGCTCTTGATAAAATCTCGTGTTGAAAACAAAACCTACTGAATGGATTTAAATGGAATTTAATACAAGGATAGATTGAGAGTTTAATAAAATATTCTTATTTTAAATTATATTTATTATTTTAAATTATATTTATTATTTTAAATTATATTTATTATTTTAAATTAAATACTTATTCACGCGAATGACGCTGCGGGATATAGCTAATATTTTAATAAAAATATTGACACTTTATAATTTTTTTTTATGCAACTTAGAATGGTAAACAAGCTGACGGCCCACCTGATGGAAAGTGGTAACCGTCGCCTATAGACATGAGCAGTATCATGGACATAACAGAGTGTACTGTTTCGCCCATGATACCCCCCCCCCATGCGTTGCCTTTCGAGAAGAGTTTTTGACTTGAAGCTTTTGATACAACGTGAAATGGTAAACAAACTGACAGTACACCTTATGTGAATTGGAGACCATATTCTATACATATTAACAAAACACCATGGCGTCACAGAATATACTATGACCTCTGATGCGTTACCATTTCTGTTAATTAAGGTTAAACCTAGCTGTCTGATCCCGGTATAGAATAAACCACTTCCTTTCCCGTAAGTGTCGTAAGAGGCGACTAAGGGAACTAAACCGTCGAGGGGTGGGCAGCAGCGTCTCTGTTAAAACATCTCTAAAGCCTAACTGTGGTTGCCAGTCCGCCTGCTAAACGTGATAACTACTGATAAACAATTTAAGAATCCCAAATGCAGGGTTAGCACTATTTAAAAAAAAAAAATCAATGTTTATAAATGGGGGAGAAAGGGATTGTTAGTAACGGAGACTAAAAATCCCATTGCTAGCAATATACCCAACCAGGTTGACCTCCTCGCGGTTCCCCCTGGAAACTATCATGGTTAATTCCTGATAAATTCATCATGATGGGCTAACTGGCCTGTTTTCATTCTCATCTATCACCCTTCCGTGGTGCTCCGCCAGCGTATCCCGTTAGCGCAGGCGGGTTTACCGTACCATTTTCATCCCCACAAAAAAATAGTTATAAATGGTACATCCCTGAACTTTGTTATTGATATACACTAGTATGCCTTTATAAATGCTTGATATCCGTTATCATATTATTTCGTATGCGTGACAAAATGTGCTGCTACCTGTGATATTAAGTTATTATTGTATTAATTAATATTATTTTAAATTAATAATTTCAAAAATGTTAAACAATAGTGATTTACCGCCTAAACAGGGGAAAACAACAATGCAATGGATAATAGCAATATTAGGTAAAATATTTATTTATTTAGACTAATACCTAATTGCGTTCTCTATCAGTCAGTTATGAGGCAAGCAGAAAATTAAGCCGGTGCATTTATTATTAAAATATAAATAAATATTGTTACTACATATACATCCATAAATATATATACATACATACATACATATACGTACATACACAAATACATACATATCTGTCACGCCTGTCTCCCATTAGGGTAGGCAGAAACAATGGAACGCCAAATGCTTCGAATCAAACAAACTCTTTCGCTTCTTCCACATTCATTAATCTTTTCATTCATTAATCGCTCGCCGGTTACGGGTACTTTTAATTTGGCCCTTCTTCAGCACGTCACCTATTTGGTCGACATACGGCCGTCTAGGGCGGCCCCTACTGACATCTCCATCCATTCTTGCTCGATAAATCTCTTTCGTAATTCTTCTTTCATCCATCCTCTCCAAATGACCAAACCAAGATAAAAGAAATAGTGGTATAAATGTGTAAGTAAGTAAAATTATTTTTGTTGCATAAATTATATTGCGCTTACATACTTGATTTGATCATGTTGTATATTTTTGGATATAGTTAGCTTGAATAAAACATTATTAAACAGTATAAATTAATATAACATTGTTAATTCTCTGTAATGCGTACTTACTGAAATAAAATAAAATTGCAGTAGCAACAATTATTATTTATATTTAAAAGCATAATGTTGAATATAATTAGCTGCGTGGTCCCGGCATAGAATAAGCCACCCCGTCTTATCCCGTGGGTGTCGTAAAAGCCGACTAAGGGAAGTCGAGGGATGGGCAGCAGCATTCCTCTGAAACATCTCTAAAGTCTGATTGCAGTTGCTAATCCGCCTGCCAAACATGGCAACTACTGGCAAAACTCCCCAAGGAAGAAACTTATGTTCAACAGTGAACAGTTGAAGGCTAATATGATGATGATGATGATGATAGATTAGTCGTGAGAACATATTTTGTAAAATTCATACAGAATAGTATTAGGGTAACATAAATTCGTTGCAGTCAATACAACATTGCTCACGTACGGAATGCAAGCCGGCTGGATCTCGCCCATGACAAGAGTGTTACAGTCGAAAACATCGTTAGTGGTTCAGCAACCAATATCCGATGCCAGTTTAACGTGGATTGCAAGTATAATGCCCATAATGGCGGTCTTCGGAGTACCTCTGTATACATATTTGGCGGACAAGTATGGGAGGAGAATAGGAGTACTGGCAATAGCTGTGCCGCAAGCTGTAAGTTAATCATGGTCTTTTTATTTTTTTTTACATGATATAGAATAGAATGATCTTTTTTTTATGGGTGAAAACGGTATGGTAACGGTAACTCCGCCTGCGCTAATGGGATACGCTGGCGGAGCACCAGTGAAGGGTGATAGATGATAATGAAAACAGGCCAGTTAGCCCATCATGATGTATTCATCAGGAATTAACCACGATAGTTTCCAGGGGGAACCGCGAGAAGGTCGACCTGGTTGGGTATATTGCTAGCAATGGGATTCTCAGACTCCATTACTAACAATCCCTTTCCCCGCAGAATGATCATTATCATTAATCACATCAGCTGTTAACTGTCCACTGCTGAACATCCTATTGCGGGATATTGCTAGTAATGGCCATGTATAGAATGATGAACGGACGGAGGGTCATCTAGTGGTTTCAAGCAGACGCTCTTTACCCAAGCGGCTACTTCGTAGGCTGCCGCCTATGTGTCAAAAGTTTGGGCCCAAGGGGCTGAGCCTGTTTTATTGTAAATAGTACCGGCTAGGGGAAAAATTAAAATTAGTCCCTCTAAAAAGATCGCCGTAGCCTAATTGCGGTTTCCATCCTGCTTGCTAAACGTGGCAATTACTGGAAAAACTCTTCAATAGCAAATACCAGCAAGAAATACCTAGTATATAGTCGGATCGGGAAGGAACAATTTCCTTATGACAAATTATGGGGGAGATCTTCAGCAATGGACAGTTAACGTCCGATATGAATGTATGAATGAATAATTAAACTTGGTTTTTATAATGATGACATTTTCAGATATGTTGGATAATAAAAATGGTAACAACAAGCGTACCTGGTCTCCTCATAGCCAGAATCTGTGCTGGTGTAGCGGCTGGGGGCTGTTTCTGCATCACTCCCATGTACGTGAAAGAACTCAGCCAGGACAACATAAGAGGCCTGCTGGTATCTCTAATGGGGCTGAATCAGAATTTGGGGTTTCTATTCATGTATGCTATGGGCGCATTTTTGGATTACTACACGGTGTTATGGATCGCGGTGTGGTTGCCTTTAGTGCTGATAGCGTTGCTTATAAAGATTCCAGAGTCTCCTGCTTTTCTGGTGAAATTGGGGAAATATGAGGTAAGTGACTTCAATTTGATCTTGGTAGTTTATAATGATGGATGGATACATGTTTGTTACTCTTTCACACAAAAACTGCTAAACGGATTTGAATGAAATTTGGTATACAGTTAGGTTACATCATAACTTAGCACAGGGGTTATTTTATGTATTGATTCACGCAGGTAAAGTCGCGGGATAGCAGCTAGTACTTAATATTTGTACAATTTTTTTTTCTGTCGTAAAATACAATTTTTTTCCATCATTTGCTATATCGTATTTGTAAAATTGAATTCATTGCAAAAAGAATTGCCATGTAGTCCTGGCGTAGAATGGACCACCCCTTCCTTTTCCGTGGGTGTCGTAAGAGGCGACTAAAGGTAGTTGGATGAGCAGCAACGTTTCTCTTAAAACACCATCTGGAATCAACTTCCAGCAGCAGTATTTCCGAACCGATACAACAACATAACCTTCAAGAAAATAGTGTATTCCTTTTTAAAAAGCCGGCAGTACACCTGCAATGCTGCTGGTGTTCTGGGTGGTCATGGGCGGCGGTAGTCACTTATCATCAGGTGAGCCGCAAGCTCGTTTGCCCCGTGTTGTAAAAAAAAATATCATCGAAGCCTATAGTTGTTCAGCTGGCCAGCGTGGCTACTTCTGGCCAAAACCTTACTTTTAAGGGAGGCCCATGTCCAGCAGTGGACAGCAAACGGCTGATATGTAGTTGATGAAAAAGAATTATCAATCGGTAGCGAAGATATTGCTATCTATGTCGCTCTTTCGAAGGCTATTTGAGTCGGGCAGTTTGTGCAGGAAAATAAAATTGGGTTTTTATTTTTTTTTTTTAATTTTGTTTTCTTTATAAGTTTCTTTCTCAGACTTCAACGGAGAATTTTAAAAAATCCGAATTAATCCTCTACGTACTAAAGTTTTAAGTATAGATTCTTTTCTATGTAAAAAAACTGATAATGTACGTAATATAAACCCATAATATAGGGGGGAAAGGGAGTGTTATTAATGGGGTCAAATTGCCCTATTACTAGCAATATATCCTGTCTGGTAGACCTCCACGATGTTCCCCCTGGAAACCATCGTAGCTAATTCTAGTTGACTTCATCAGGATGGGCTAACTGGCCTACTTTCATTCTAATCAGTCATCTATCACTGGTGCTCCGCCAGTGTACACCTAGAGCACAGACGGGGTTACCATACCATTATCACCCATTAAAAAAAAACCTATAATGTAATGTTGGTTATCATGTCAATCCTCAGGCGGCTGCGTCGACCGTTGCCTTGCTTCGAGGGTGGAAGCCGGATGATAAAGAAGTGGTCCACGAAATTGACAGCATGAAGACTGAGGACACATACTTCAAAACGTTGCCTCATATCTCATTTATCAGCATTTGTGAGTAATTGTTAGTGTTGTTGGCTAGCTACAATAATATACACATAAATATATACACCAAGATGGTCCATAGAATTTAAGAGAGTTCGTACTTTAGCCGTATGCGTCCCGGCATAGAACGGGACACCCCATCCATCCCCGTGGGTGTGGTAAAAGGAATTTAATGTTCGAGGGATGGGCAATAGCGTACCTTTTAAAACATCGCCAAAACTTGGCTGCGGTTATAAATCCGCCTACCCAGCGTGGCAAACACTGCCAAAGAACCTTCAAACCGAAACACAGCCATGCAAACACAACTGCTTCACGGCAGAAACACGAATTTCAAATCGGTTTATAAATAACCGAGTCATTCACGGTGATAAACAAAAAAATGCAATCGAATTAAAAAGTACCACCTTTTTTGAAGTCGATTGAAAATGTACGTAATGTTTCAGTAAAGAACAAGCCATGGCGCAAGGGGCTGCTGATGATCATGACGGTCATTACTTGTCAAGCGTTCAACGGATCCTTCGCCATCGTGACATACGCGTCCACCATCTTGGTCACCTCGGGAGTCACCATCAGCCCTGATGTTCAGACGCTCAGCATACCAGCAGTGATGATTGTCGGCTCAGCTATTTCCATAGTGTGTGTGGAGAGAATGGGAAGGAAGGTTGGTTGAGCAGTTGAGCTGAGTATTCTCTTCCAGCAAATCCAAAGTGGAAAGGAGCATCAACGTCAGCGGGTAGAGCGGTGTACAATATTGTGACAATTTTCAGACAAAAAGAACTGTCTATGAATTTGAAATTTATACATAAGTATATCTAATATATAAAATTCTCGTGTCGCAGTGTTTGTTACTTAACTCCTCCGAAACGGCTTTACGGATTTTTTTGAAATTTTGTGTGTATATTGGGTAGGTCTGAGAATCGGCCAACATCTATTTTTTATACCCCTCAATGATAAGGGTGACCCACCTGTAAATTTTTATTTTTTAATTTTTTGACAATTTTTTTATTTTTATTTTATTACTAGCTGACCCCGTAAACGTTGTTTTACCACTTATTGCGAAATATAAAAGTCGCGATTAAAATACAGGGGTTGATCGTAAAATGATGAAAATTTAAAGTTGTATGTATTTTTCAATGCTAAATCATATTTAAAACACAATTAAAAATTTTGTCAAAAAAATATAAAACATATTTTTACATAAACATAACACCGTGACACGAGAATTTTATATATTAGATTATTTAGCATTGAAAAATACATACAAATTTGCACGCTTTTACGATCAACCCTATATAATTTTTATATGCCGTAATAGGGTTGCAAAATGACAATCGAATATAATAATTGTAGTACTATATATTTTCACGTATAGTTCTAGAAATAATGTATATGGTAAAACAACGTTTACCGTGTCAGCTAGTATATATATATATATATATATATATATATATATATATATATATATATATATATATATATATATATATATATATATATATATATATATATATATATATATATAACACACACATGCAAATAAATATGTGTTCTTAAATTTACAACAAAGACTGGTTAAATAAACTAGAAATTCTGACTTGATAGATGTTTTGAATCTCTTGCAGTCTATTATTACATTACATTCATGTTTTAGGTAATGCTGTCATCAGCTTTCGGAATAACAGTTGTATCGCTCCTGTGTCTCGCGTCGATAATGCTGGTGCAGCACCAGGGCGGCAGCGTTCCAGGGTGGTTGCCTGTGTTCGCGATAGTGGCCGCTGTGTGGGCGTACGCTGCAGGCGTCGCGCCCATTCCCTACGTCGTTATGGCTGAAATGTTCAATTTTCAAGTTAGTATTATTTTATATTACAAATAAAGTGAAAAATAAAGGAGACTTTGTACAAAAGTCTTTTGCTTGGGTACCTCTAACCCATTTGTGTTTCTACCGTGAAGCAGTTGTAATTGCATGGCTGTGTTTTGGTTTAAAGGGTGGGATATGGCAGTGAATTTACTGAGTACAGAGGAATACCACCTAAGTGCTCAGGAATGGCAACGCATCGAAATATCACGGGTGAAACAGTATACTCTGTTATGTCCATGGTACTGCTCATGTCTATAGGCGACGGTTACCACTTTCCATCAGGTGGGTCGTCAGCTTGTTTGCCATTCTAAGTTGTATAAAAAACCTCTATTAAACATAACAAGATGAAGAGGGGATAAAGGCCGTTTGTATGGGTATCACAAATCATTTGTCCATACAGCGACACCATACGGGCAAGCGCCGTGTAGAACAATCTCCCACTAGATGGAGTGACGACCTCAAATGCATTGTAGGGGGTCAGTGGATGCAGGTGGCTCAGGACAGTTCCTTATGACACTCTATGGGGGAAGCTATGTTCAGTTTCTATCTCAAGCAGCTGTGATTTTATACTGATTTTATTTTATACTTCAGATTAAAAAAAAAAAAAAAATATATTCTTTATTCAAATAAATTGTATTTTTTTTTTATTTTATATACTTCGGTTTTGGCATGATCCGTTTGAAAGATGGGGTAATGATAGCCAAGTAATAGCACCGAGGCTGAACACCATTTTCCTCATTAATAATAGATTTAACAATCCATGAGAATTACCAATTTACCATGGACATAACATTGTATTCCGTTGTCTACGATACTGTACATTTTAGATATAAATGTAGGCGACCAGTTAGTAATGTATTATTAGCTGACTCTTGACTTCTTATTTGTATTTTTTTTCTTTTCAGATACGAGCAAAAGTATTGGGCTGTCTAGTGACATACGCGTGGTTTATTTCCTTCGTACAGTTGTTTGCTTTCACACCGATCTCAAATGCGCTCGGAACGTACACTATGTTTTATTGCTTCGCCGGAACCAACCTCCTTGGCGTCGTTATTGCCCTGGTACTTCTGCCCGAGACGAAAGGGAAAACTGTTGACGAGATCACGTTGATTTTGGCACGATAAATTTTATAAAAAAAAAATAATATTATTAAATATAAAAATTTAAAAATGTAAGTTTTGTTTTAATAAGTTTGAATTTAAGAACAAGGAATTACATAGAAGGAATGATAAAATAAAAACTATAAGTCATATGGTTGCTTCCTTTCTTCTTATGCAAATATAATTAGTAAAAAGAGGACAAAAGAACCACCATCAGTTTATATTTTTGTCAGTTCATAGTAGGCTAGTGTATAGAAAATGTTTGATATGTCAATTAAATTATTTATCAATGACAAATTTTACATTACTAGATTATATATTCAACACAGTTTATGTAGAAAGTATGCAAGCAGATTGTATCTGAATTTTGTAGAGTTATAAGGCCGAATAACATTTTCTATACACTAGCCTGCTATGAATTGACAAAAATAGCAACTGATGGTGTATCTTTTGTCCTCTTTTTCCTAATTATAATCCCTCCCTCCTTTCTTCTTATTTGCATAAGAAGAAAGGAGGGAACCATATGATTTACAGTTTTTATTTAATCATTCCTTCTATGTAATTCCTTGTTCTTAGGTTTGAATACTTATTTATTCACCCATATTTGCTTATTATATTTTATATCAAGTAAGCATATGGCCCATCTGATGGAAAGGGTTACCATGGCATGTCAAACTGTTACGCCTACTGAAGTTGTTTAAAATTTGATTCTTTTTATTTATTTTTTTATTTTTGATTGTTTATGTTTTTTTTATACCATGCAACTAGTCAACAAGCATAATATTAATTATTTAACTAATAATAGAAGCTTTGCTTAGTTTCGGATTATAGATGGCGCTGTAATATATTCAATGGTATTTTTATACAGCCTTCCTGATAGCAAGTAATTTCTTTATCAACTACCGATTCAGCCCGGCTTCGCATGGGTTTTTAATTAATTTTAAAATGTTTGAAAATAACAGAAAGGCCCATGTTATTCGCTGAGAATGTAGTTTTCTATAGATGAAATAATTTAAAAAAATTTTTAAATACATTATAATGGCCATATTTTGAGAAGATATAATATGAATATTACTCGTACTGTTTCAAATATTTTCAAAGTAAATAAAAACACGCTAAATATAATTTAAAATTGTGTGTCACAAAAAAAATTACTTCCATTGGGACAAAACCAGTTCTTTTAATCTTAAAACTAAACTACTGAATTAAATTTGATAAAATTTCTATGAGGACCAATCTGTAAGTATATCCTTTCAGATAAAAAAGAGAATTTTCCAAATCTGTTTATAACTGACAGAGCTATGAGGTAACAACCGTAAAAAAGTATAACCATCTTTTTGAAGTCTGTTAAAAAATGAATGAATGGATCTATAAAAAAATAGTACACAGATGGACTATATCCTTAATGAATGCATATAATATTTTTATACAATAAATATCGTCACCGTAACCGTAACACAAGTACCCGTCGTCTATAGACATGAGCAGTACCATGGACATAACAGAGTATACTGTTTCGCACATGATACCCCCCATGCGTTGTCATTCCTGAGGACTCAGGTGTTATTACTGTACCATATAAATTCACTGCCATATCCCACCCTTCAAATCGAAAACATGTAAACACAACTGCTTTTCGGTTGAAACACGAATGGGACAGAGGTGCCCAAGAAAATGACTTTTGTACAAAGTCTCCCTCTGGTAAAATTACAAACTAATAAAAATGTAATTATCATGATAAACGTGCAAGGTGCATGTCGATCATGCAGAGTTTTCTTTCTAATAACGATGTATATTTAAACAAACATATATTATAGGTCGATATATAATTCATTTGCATTACTTAAAGCACACAAATTATAACATACACAGATATACATAAAAAGCGAGATAAGAGATATGCATAAAAATAAAGTACATTAAAGCCAACACACAAGTTTTCCATTTTGTGCGTGTGCCATAACAACATCAAAAATTTACTGGTCACAGAGAAATAACACCTGAGTCCTCAGGAATGGCAACGCATGGGGGGTAAAATGGGCGAAACAGTATACTCTGTTATGTCCATGGTATGTTCATGTCTATAGGCGACGGTTACCACTTTTCATTAGGTGGGCCGTCAGCTTGTTTGTTATATAAAAAAAAAAACACAAAATGGTCACAACTCAGTTTATTGCTTTGCCTTCAAAAGAGCAAAACACTGATATTCTGTTACGGCCAAAGGAAATAAGGTAATAGTAAATTAATACTATCAGATTATCTATACAGTAAATAGCATACAAATAAATATTTATTTATTTATTTAACTCTTTATAAATATAAACAATTCAAGTAAAATACAGTAGCATGAAGTACAGATTAAAATATACATATAAATGTACAAAAGGCGGTCTTATCGCTATGACAATCTCTTACAGACAACCTTTAGTTAAAGGAGAACATATAGAAGTGTAGGTAGGTGTAGTGTAGGTGACGCAATAGTGATTTTAATTTAATTTCATTTTAAAATAAATAAATAAATACACTTAATAATATTTGTTTGCTATATTCTTTAAGTGGTACAATAAAAAGTGAATAAACAATTTTTTTTTTATACAACTTAGAATGGCAAACAAGCTGACGGCCCACCTGATGGAGAGTGGTAACCGTCGCCTATAGACATGAGCAGTACTATGGATATAACAGAGTATACTGTTTCGCCCATGATACCTCCCATGCGTTGCCATTCCTGAGGACTCAGATGTTATTCCTCTGCACCCAGTAAATTTACGCCATATCCCACCCTTCCATACCATACCATAACCCCGGCAGTGCTAACGGTATAGGTACGCCGGCCGGCAAGCAGTGAGGGATGACAGGTGAGGATGAAGCAAATTAGTTAGTCAATCGTGACAAATTCAATAATAAATGTAAACAAATGTATAATTTTTGCGATAACACGGTTTCCAGGGGAAAATAATCTTGATGGAGTGTTTACACATTAAAAAGATGCAGATTATGAGACAAAATTTATTGCTAGCAAAATTGTATGAAAAAGTTGAGCTTTTTCTCGAATTCTCATTATTAACAAAATGATCATTTATTTTCTCAAAAAAGAAGGTTGTCCATTCGATTGTAATTTTTTTTTATTTACGTTTGTTACCTCATAACTCCGTCAGTTGTGAACCGATTTGGAAAATTCTTTTTTTATCTGAAAGTATATTACTTACAGATTAGTCTTATGTTAATTTTATCAAAATCGGCTCAGTCATTTAGTTTTTAAATCGAAATAACCGGTTTTACCACAATTTAAGTCGAGTTTTTTCGCGGAAAACAATCGTAACTATTACGCTAAACGCTATTGATTTTTCCATACTTTTTCTTTTGACGTCATAGCATTTATCTAATATTTACACTATAGTATTTTATCTGAAGACATGTCCGCGTGTGTTGATTGTGTGGCTACCAAATAATTGGTGCAAATAATGCCGCACCATTTGTGGAGACGAAGAATGTTATTTGGAATAGGGTTGTGCCAAAAAACAAATTTAAACCAATTTAAACCGTACATACTATACTAACTTTGTGCCTCGTCTGAACATTTAACTAAACATTGTATACGTCATTAGGTAGTAGTGTTATTTAATAAATTAACAGAGTATACCTACTGTTTCGCCCATGATACCCCCCATGCGTTGCCTTTCCTGTGGAATCAGGTGTTATTCCTCTGTACCCTGTAAACTCACGCCATATCCCACCCTTCTAACCGAAACACAGCCATGCAAACACAACTGCTTCACGGTAGAAACACTAATAGGACAGAGGTGTCCAAGCAAACGACTTTTGTACAAAGTCTCCCTCTGGTGAAAATATGTTGTTATATAAATGTTGTAAATAAATCTGAAGACACCACGCCGGCATACACAGACCACCAGTGTATGTACAAAGTTGTTGCCTCCGTGCAGAAAATATGTTGTTATATAAATTGATTGATTGATAAATAAATCAAATCAAATCAAATCAAATAAAAAAAAAATTAAAATTTGATAATTTTCTCTAGAATATGTAACAGCCCTATAACAATAGCAACAGTATTATCTTAATATATAAATAAATGTTTATTTTCTGAACGAATAAAATAGATTGTTCTTATATTTTTGGATTTATTGTTTATTTAATTAGTTGAAATTAAGTATCACGTTTCTTTTATTCTGACTTTGATGTAAAATAAGTAACTATTTAATTTAAATCTATTGTATTATATTGTTTAATGCAAAAGAAAATGGGTGATAAAAAAAGTGAATCATGTATAACGAGTAAAAATAAAGATGGACATACATATATGCAATGGTTGGTCGCAATAATAGGTATGTAAATTGGTACTATTGTAAATAATCCAAGGACTGGTAGAAAGATTTACAGGCAGAGACTGAGAGCTGGTTAATGGATTGGCCTCATCATTTATTGACAAAATTTAAACCTGACATCCAAACAGCAGATTGGATTATTGTTCTATAAGGAACAGATTGCCAATTAGCAGACTAGAAAAAGAAAAAAAAAATCATTAGAAAAACGGTTTGAAGTGTAGGATATGGCAGTGAATTTACAGGGTACAGAGTTATAACATTTTGTTGTGTCAGCCGTTAATAATTCCTTGTTGAACATAGCCTCTCCCACAAGGAGGGTTTGGCCAGTAATTGCTTGGCAGGCGGGTTGGCAACCGCAGTTTGGCTTTTAGTGTTGTTTTAAGAGGGACGCTGCTGCCCATCCCTCGACCATTAAAGGAACGAGTAGCCCATTATATGCCATAGCCACATGCCTAAACTGATAAACATAATACTTCCACATAAGACAATATTTTTTAACATGGCGGACTTAATGCTAAAAACATTCTCTCCCAGTCAACCCATAGGGAAGTTTTTTTTTATGGGTGAAAATGGTATGGTAACCCCGCCTGCGCTAACGGGATACACTGGCGAAGCACCAGTGAAGGGTGATAGATGAGAATGAAAACAGGCCAGTTAGCCCATCATGATGAATTCATCAGGAATTAACCATGATAGTTTCCAGGGGGAACCGCGAGGACCCCTGGGTGGTTCGTGGTCGTTCGTGGTCGACCTGGTTGGGTATATTGCTAGCAATGAGATTCTCAGTCTCTATTACTAAGAATCCCTTTCCCCCCACCATAGGGAAGTGTCAGAATATTCGAATTTAATTGCAGTAAACACAGCTCTATTGAACTATGGGCTTCAAATCGCTTGGATTTCTCCCATGACAAAAGTGTTGCAATCGGAGACATCATCAGTAGTTGCCAAACCGATCTCTGATGAGAACTGGTCGTGGATCGCGAGTGTGGTGCCGATGATGGCTGTGCTCGGAGTCCCTTTCTACACCTACTTATCTGACAAGTATGGCAGAAAAGTGGGAGTTGTAGCAATTGCTGTGCCACAAGCTGTAAGATTTTTAAGTTTTTTTTTTAATAGATAATATAGGAAAGGTGCACAGTCGGTATATGCTGGCAGGGAATCAGTGAGGAATGATAGGTGAGAATTCAAGTTAGAATGTCCTAAGATGGTTTTCAGACGAATATAATAGAAGTGCAGGAACCGCGTGGAGGTTGATCAGATATGACATATTGCAATCAACTAATTATCCCTGTTGTTAAAAAAAGCCTTTTTTCTAGTTTTTGTGTTGTCTATGTTATAGTAATTGATAAGTCATTGCAAAAATTTGATTTGAAATTTTTTAATAGTTTTGGCTATTGATTTGGCTCGGAATGACTTCTGGTGCTACGACTTGATTAACACTAACGAGAGACAATAGACTACGTTCGTTCCATTACAGAAATTTAGATAAAATTTGGGGGAAAAAAGTAAGTCACCACTTTTTATAATATTTAATAACCAATATTTTTAGTTATGCTGGATAATAAAACTACTAACAACGACCGTGCCAGGTCTTCTAACGGCAAGAATTTGTGCTGGCATCGCTGCTGGGGGCTGTTTTACCGTTATACCCATGTATATAAAAGAGCTAAGCCAGGACAACATAAGAGGTCTGCTGGTATCTCTCGTTGGACTGAATCAAAACCTTGGATATATTATAATGTACGCAATGGGAGCATATTTAGAATACTATACCGTATTGTGGATTGTGGTGTGGTTGCCGCTGGTTTTAATATTGTTTCTAATGAAAGCTCCCGAGTCTCCTGCGTTCCTAGTAAAGATTGGGAAATATGAGGTAAACATTTATTTTTTATTGTCAAAATCATATTATTCCCGTATCCTTAAGGTACCTACCTATAGGAATCTATAGGTATGGGTTTTCTCAATAAATGGGAACAATGTTGATTTTTGCTACAATAAACTTTTACTCGAGAGGCATGAAAGTAAATATTGTAAATATTATTGTATCTTAAAATTTATTAATACACCTTTTGTAAGGAGAGACTTAGGATCAGTAAAGGTGTACATATCATGGCGTAGAACCACATGTCTCACAAAATAGAATCTAAATATACGTCCATTAAACGATGTGATCGAAGTGACTCCCCGTCTGTTTTATGTGAGATTTACGTGTGACATTTTAAATAATTTTTTTATTTTGTCCTCCCAAATTTACTTACTATTGATACGATGTGGTGAGATTTAGCCCGACTTCTCCCTCAATTTAAGCTCACATCATTAACAACACATTATTAACAATTCCTTTTCCATTATCGATCCAAGTAGACCAAGAAAATAGGGGATTAAAAACACCATTAGAACATATGGTAATAGAAATTGTTTTATATAACTCGCCTACACTAGTACATTAGTTCGTTAACATTTCGCCTTCAGTGCAAGAGGCCTATTAAACAAATCCTCAAATCCTAACAAATATATCCTCTAACATTATTTGTTTGGCTTTTTAACCCACCTGTCTATTTAGCTTACCGTACCGCTTTTACAGGCAGCTGCGTCGACTATTGCTTTCCTTCGAGGACGGGAGCCGACCGACAAAGAAGTTGTCAACGAGATCACGTACATGAGAAACGAGGATATGTACTTCAAGTCATTACCACCCATAACGTTTTTATGTATCTGTGAGTATATTTTTTATTCAACTTAGAACGACAAATAAGTCGATGGTCCACTTGATGGAAAGTGCTAACATAAGCAGTACCATGGTCATAACAGAGTATATTGTGTCGCCCATGATCCCTGTTACGAGTTGCCATTCCTGAGACTAAGGTATTATGCCTCTGTACCCTGCTATTTTGTTGCTATATGTTCTTCTTAAAACTGAAATAAAGTCATGCAAACACAACTGCTCTGCTGAATCTCATTTAGAATTAATCATAGTGATATCCAGGAAGAACCGCAAGGAGTTCGACCTGACAGGGAGCATTACTGGCAACCCTATTACTAATAGTTCCTTTCTTTTTATTATGCCTCCGTATCTTGCAATGTTACTACCACATTCCATCCTTCAAACTAGAACACAGCCGGATAACACAACTGCTTCACGACAGAAAAACAGATAGGATAGAGGTATCCAAGCATCTGCTTGGATACCTCTATCCCATCTTTTGTATGAAGTCTCGCACTGTCAGTCTATTAAAAACTTTTAATTTACAGTTAAAAACAAACCGTGGCGCAAAGGCATATTCCTGCTCATCCTTTTGGGTGGCATCCAAGCGTGTAACGGGTGCTTCGCCATTATTACGTACATATCCAGCATCCTTGGTTCGTCCGGAGTCACTATCAGTGTAGAGCTGCAATCACTGAGTATACCGGCCTTCATGATATTGGGTTCTATTGTAACCATACTCACCGTAGACAGATTAGGAAGAAAGGTTTGTTTTACATTTTACTATATTTTAAACTCATCATGTCAGCCTTTAACTGTCCACTGCTGAACAAAGCCCCCCCCCTATAAGGGGGATTCTGCTAGTAGTTGCCACACTTGGCAGACGAATTTTTCAAGCGCATTTGGTGACAGGACTACTGGTGATGTTTTAAGAGGGTCGCTGCTGCTAATCCCTTGATCATTAAGTTCCCTTAGTCACCTCTTACGGTACCCATGGAAAAAGAAGAGGTGGCTCATTCTATGCCGAGACCACATGGCTAATTTCAAACTAATTATTATTTTGTCTGTGACACCACTCCCTTTTCTTATTTTTTTAAAACTAACTGCTCACTACATGGAATACGGTAATCGTCACTTATAGACATTCACATGCGGTTGACGCGGTGTAATTCCTTTTTTCTCTTTTGTAATTATAGATCTTCTATTCTATTTTACTCTTTCCTTCTTTACTTCGTCCTATCCTAACCCTACCCTTTAAGGGGGAAAAGGGGATTGTTAATAATGAAGATTAACAACCCTATCAGGTCGACCTCCTTGCGGTTTCCCTTGGAAACAATCGTGATCGAATCATTAATGAATTTGTCATGATGGGTTAACTGACCTGCTTCATCTTCACCTATCATGCCTCGCTGGTGCCCCGCCGGTGTATACCGATAGCGCAAGCGAGGTAACCATTCCATTATCATCCATTAAAAAAACCCTACTCTCTATTACTCTACTTCTATTCAGGCGGAGTAACCATTCCATTAAAAAAAAACCTACCCTCTACTGCTCTACTTTACTTCTATTCTATTCTATTTCACAAGACCAAGATATAATATCCGTACCCTCTAATTTCATTGTCATACCCACCCTTCAAACAGATTTCTGATCTATATTTGGACTCTCCTTTTGGGGAAGCTCCTGTAGTGATGGTCGTAAGAACTGTTTAAAACAAGCACAATGCATATGATAATGTGAAAAAAAATGAGAAAGAAAATAAAATACTTTTACGCCATTTGATTAGCGCGATCATAGGACTGAGGACTCGGGTGTTATTCCTCTGTACCCAGTAAATTCACGCCATATCCCACCCTTTAAACCGAAACACAGCCATGCAAACACAACTGCTTTACGGTTGAAACACGAATGGGACAGAGGTACCCAAGCAATCGACTTTTGTACAAAGTCTTCCTTTGATGATGATGAAACATTTTTTTTAATTTTCAGCCATTATTAGTGATAACGTACGCCATAACAGTAGCGTCGTTCTTATGCCTCGCTTCTATAATGCTGGTGCAACACCAGGGCGGCAGCGTTCCGGGGTGGTTGCCAGTGCTTGCGATAGTGACAGCGATGTGGGCGTACGCGACAGGAGTGACCTCTGTTCCCGGTGTCATTATGGCGGAAATGTTTAATTTTCAGGTTAGCTGTGAGTTTAGAGAAATGTCGTAGATGTATTTTGATATTTTTCACGACAAATTTTTGTCTTTTATAAGTTTGCCTGCTTGAACTCCGTCATATATGAGACGGTTGGCGAAATATAAATTTGACATAAATAGTTTCATAATACATAATAATACTAATTTAGTAGAACAAGTTTTTAAATAAGTTTTAACCGCATTTTGTTTTATTTTTTTATTATACCATTGAGGTAACAAACAAGCATACGGCTCACCTAATGGTAAGCGGTTTTTTTTTTTGATGGGTGAAAATGATATGGTAACCCCGCCTGTGCTAACGGGATACACTGGCGGAGCACCAGTGAAGGGTGATAGATGAGAATGAAAACAGGCCAGTTAGCCCATCATGATAAATTCATCAGGAATCAACCATGATAGTTTCCAGGGGGAACTGCGAGGAGATCGACCTGGTTGGGTATAGCTAGTAATGGGATTCTCAGTCTCCATTACTAACAATCCCTTTCCCTCCAATGGTAAGCGGTTACCGAAGTCTATGGACACCTGCAATACTAGAGGCATTACGCGCGTTGCTGACCCTAACATTTGTTATTTAAACATCTGTTATAGTAATTTTGGATTATTGGCGAGTGTTTTGATGTACCAAATTCCATGATAAGACCTCAAACTCATAGTCTATAGATAGTACTGTTTTTTAGGATATCAAATAAAATAAAATTTTGCACTCGTCAAATGTCGAATAGCAGAGAACGTACAATGTTTTGTTAATTGAGATATAAATTAATTTAAATACTATGGTTTCTAGATTCGCGCAAAAGTGGTAGGCCTCGTGACAATGAGCGCTTGGTCGGTTACCTTTCTCGGCGTGTTTGCTTACACGCCTATTTCGAACATTGTCGGAATGTACGCCACCTTCTATGGCTTCGCTGGTGTCAACCTTCTGGGATTCTTTGTTTGCCTGGTACTCGTGCCAGAGACTAAAGGGAAAACGGTAGAAGAAATCGAGTTGATGTTATCGGGAGGAGATATGATTGAATCTAAAAATGAAAAAAGAGACTCGTTAATATAATTAATAAAATCTATTTTTATTGATAAGTGTTTAATTTTTCCTTTTTTTTTCTATCTCGGCGTGTTTGCTTACACGTCTATTTCGAACATGCTCGGAATGTACATCAACTTCCAAGGCTTCGCTGGTGTCAACCTTCTCGTATTCTTTGTTTGCCTGGTACTCTTAATAGGATACTAGTTTTCAGCTGTGACGTCATACAATGACGTGAGGTTAAGTTGAAAAATAAAAACGGTACAAAATGTGTCCAATCTCTATATGTTTTCGTTTCAATGTCGTTTAACGTGACTTATATTTTAATTTTTTTTTATACAATTTAGAATGGCAAATAAGCTGACGGCCCATCTGATGGAAAGTAGTAACCGTCGCCTATAGACATGAACAGTACCATGGACATAACAGAGTATACTGTTTCGCACATGATACCCCCCATGCGTTGGCATTCCTAAGGACTCAGGTGTTATTCCTCTGTACCCAGTAAATTCACGCCATATCTCACTCTTCAAACCGAAACACAGCCATGCAAACACAACTGCTTCACGGTATTAATTAATACATGTATATTAATTAATAACCAATATATACATATGTACATTTACATAATATAAAAAAAAAAGATCCAAATTCAAATATAACAAATTTACTTGGTCTGAGACATTTTAAATGTAATTATTTGTAACAAAAAATAATTCAAGTTTTGATTAAAAAAAATATGTACATATCAAATAAAATCCACTCAGCCAAACGTCAATCTCGCTGACTGAATGTTGACTGGTTTTTGACATAATACTCTATATAATCTAATCTTAAAATCAAACGAACGAAGTAAAGAACGAAAGAACAAACAAACAAACCCATTTGCAAATTAACAATATTAGCTAGGATACCATACAAATATCATGATCATCATGGCAAAAGTTAACTGTCCACTACTAAACATAGGCCTCCCCCATAAAAAGGGTTTTGCCAGTAGTTGCCACGCTTGGTAGGTGAGTTGGCAATCACAGGCTTTAGTGACATTTTAAGAGTGTAGAGTAATACTATATAACACAACAGAACAGGTCACTTTGTGTAAAATAAAAAAAAAAAAACATAATAAGAAATAAACATTAAAAGTAAAAAATCTGTAATTTACAAATTATAAATGTAGTTGATTTGCAAGAAAATAAAGCAGGTGTACAAGGCAATCAGGAAACAGGCGTTCAACATGTAAAAACAAATTATTAAAACACTAATAAATTGTAATTAAAAATTATGCCAGTTTCCCTAAGTAAAGACAATGCTGATGTTTTTTCGACCACAGTCATTTTTGAGGTCGATAGGGTCTTAGGGTGAGCTCCCGTGTTAATGGTTCCCATACTCATTGCGGAGCAAACATAACTACAAAAACATCTACAATTTAAAACGACACGTCTTATACTGCTTTTTATTGTTTAAAAAACTGATATGTAGAAACAGAAATAAAAAGGATAGAAAATGCATAGAACAAATAGAGATAATCTGGAATCAAAGTTGCTGTATTTTATGGGAATAGAACTCGATAGTAAGGCAGTGTGTTAAATCAACAAAGGTTGTCAATGATATACTAGTTTACATTTCATATCGTAGGTTTATTTCCACGATGCAAGAACCCTTGTTCATACATGTCATGTACGTGTTCGAAGCTGACTCTTCTCGTTTCCTTCATGATGAGGTATGACGTCACAGTGGTGATAGCTCCGACGATACCAATCACAAAGAACGTGCCGCTGAGACCAAGAACTTCAGCCACTGGCCGAAATAATGTCAAAACGCTAAAGTTCCCAATGCATAGTGCAGTCATGGCGATTGTAGACGCAAATGATTTCATCTGAAATTTTAAGAAAAGCTTCTTAGTGTTTCTGATGCCCTGGTATTTTATTATGAAATGAAAATATTGAGTTTTGTAACTGAATTTTTATAACCTTTGTAGTTAGTTCTAAAAGCACGCGGCCGCACAGTGGGAACTCGCCTAAGAAAGCCATCTCATAAATACTTTTTCTAAAACTCCGTGGATATGCATGTATAATACCTCAAATTGTAGCTAAAGAGTTACTCTATCATTATAAGTATGATTCAAATCTGTCACTATTCATACTTCATAGAACAGAGCATCTAAAGTCAAGGAATGAAAAAAATACAAAAATAATTATTTAACTTAAATTTCGTTTGGTATAATTTTATAGTATCAAAACAATAGAAGTCATATAGTGTGATACCATTTTAGAATGCTTAGAATGTGTACTTTACTATAAAATAAAAATATATTTAGTTTAGTACAATATTACTTAACCAAAGATCCATATATCGTTATATGTATTATTTTCTTTTCTCAAACTTTCAGTTGGAGATTTGACAGTTGCCGAAGCTTGCCGAAGTTCTGATTTTGGTTTAGTTTATTAGATAATATAATGTAATTTGAGGGCAAAAGATTTTTTTTGCAGTTTTACTGCGTAATATATTTAAATCTAGTATAATATCATAGTGAGAATGTTTTTTTCTAAGTACGTATATTAAGATTTTTTTCTTTATTTGAGATTATCTGTCTGGAAACTCAAAAAAATACTTTTGTCTCAATTATTACTTTATATTTTATCTTTTGCGTTACTTTTAACAAGTATTTCACACAGTATTTAGTTCCCATTTCCATACAGACTTATTCTTTACCGCATAACCGCATAATGATGAATTTTTTAAATCAAGTTATTTTGCACACGTCTATGATCATTATTAAGTATAAAATAGTGCATTTACATATGAAATATTACAGTTCTTTATAAGCATTTGTCATTTCTAAACAATTGTTAATTACTTATCTCTCCGCAATGAGTGAAGTCTCGTGTACCGGACGCGACTTAAGTCTCTTATTGTTGAAAGTGATACAAATTATATTGATTCTATCTCAAACTATGTACGAAATTATATTACCAAATCTTCAGATGCGAATATAGCAAAAATTATCGCAAGTATTTAGAAGTCCTTCATAACTCAGTTTCTTCAACGCTATACGAAATGTGGTCGAAAGAAAGAACAGTTCTTAAATCAAAATAGCAATTGGTTTAATGTAATTTTCACTGTAAATCTAGAAAAAACTACATGCGAACCTGAACCTTCTACTTCGACAGAGAAAAGAGGAAGAGATACGATGACAGTTCAGAGAGTACAAAGAAACGGAAAAACAAGGGACTGCTTGATATCTGTGGACTTGATTTTATACTGAACTCATATGTACAGGGTTTAAGGTCACGTGGTAAAGTAGATGAAGCATTCATCGTTGATATTTTACGAGCATGGCCGTCAGAAAAAAAGAGTGAAATACGCAGTAATTTTCATAATGAACCGACACATATAACAGCATATTCAAAAGATGAAGATCTTAGCATTTTTGTGGAATTGGATCTGAACAAGGCACAGTATGAAAATATGATGAGTTGTTTGATAGCAAAGAATTGCTTATTGTTTCCATCATACAAGTTGATTCGTGCAGTTACAGAATCTTGCTATGCGCCAAAATCACAAGGTGTTGATTCATTGTGAAAGTGTGATACGTTACTTTTCTGTCTTGCCTCTTGGGCAACTTTCAGAAGATGCTCAAGAGTCACGGAACAAAGACTATAAACAGTTCAGGCTTCATTATACAAGACAATGTTCGAGGATAGCCACTAACGAAGATGTTCTACACGCACTTTTATATACCTCTGACCCATACATAACAAGTTTAAGAAAACCTTCCAATAAAAAATATTTAGAACTTGTTGATGAAGTAAAGGAGCTCTTGAGTGACTTCTAAGTTATCTTTATAAGAGTTTTTGTTTTTTACGCAGATACTTTTACTTATTCCTGTATAAATTTCTTAGGACATAAATGTAAGTCTACAAATTTTATATTTCTTGTATTCCTATATTATTTATAACTATTAGAAATAAATTTTTACTCACAAAACATACATAATTTAAAATCATATATATTTAAGATTATTAGGAAAAAAAAATGTACATATCTTTATTAATACGAAAGTTATAGATTTATGAGATGAAAAGGAGTCAAAGTTCCCACTGTGGGCCGCCCCGATATTTTCTGGTCTCCGACAGAGGAAGTGTTGTTATATCTGTTGAGGGAGACTTTGTACAAAAGTCGATTGCTTGGGTACCTCTGTCCCATTCGTGTTTCAACCGTGAAGCAGTTGTGTTTGCATGACTGTGTTTCGGTTTGAAGGGTGGGATATGGCGTTAATTTACCGGGTACAGAGGAATAATACATGAGTCCTCAGGAATGGCAACGCATGGGGGGGTATCATGGACGAAACAGTATACTCTGTTATGTCCATGGTACTGCTCATGTCTATAGGCGACGGTTACTACTTTCCATCAGGTGGGCCGTCAGCTTGTTTGCCATTCTAAGTTGTATAAAAAAAAACGATAGACGAATATACGGCTGATACCAAGCTTTTCAAGTGTCTGGAATACGACCGACGGCTCCATACACACTTTGTGCACTGCAATCCTATTTTATTTAAACACCCCCTTTCATATTGTAATTTGATAATGAATACGAAAAAATATGTAAAATGGCGCGAAATCGAAAGAAGTTTTTAAAATATTAAACGTGTTCCAAATACAAAATAATTAAAAAGTTGAAAAAAACAAGAAAAGTTTTTATGTAACAGTATTTATGGCCAGACTAGTTATATGTATGTATATATAATGTAGATAATATAAGTATTATATGTATGTATATTATTTTTAAATTATTGTTTTATTTTAATATTGTTTTAATGTATAATTAGTATCAATAATATTTTCTTTTATTCCTGTTTACACTATCTAAGTTTATTAATATTTAATAAATAAATCGAATGTTTGTTACGGGTGCAAACCTCTTCCAAACCATACTACAACATACCAATACATATTGCACAATAGCTGTTCCCACACACAAATCCCCAGAAAGAATGAAGACACACTTTACAAAGAAAATTGATAAAAGGGAATACTACAGGGCAGTGAGAAGCCAGTATAAGTCGCGAACGTACAGTGTATATTTTAGGAATCAATCACGATTCATAGATATAACTAATATTATATAATTACTAATTTTAAATAAAGACTATGTGTTAGATTATATTAAACACATTGTGAACTTAAATAGTATTCGTTTTTTAAAAAACCTATCACCGACCGTCAGAACGTAATTTGTTCGTCAATAGTAAGGTACTAAGTAAATTATGATAGACGATTATGAAGTCAGCAAGTTGGCCCTTAGTGTCGAATTCTAGTCAGCTTGAAAGCTAGATTTTATGTTTTTATATTTTTCTGTGGAACTTTATGATTTCGTATGATCTTACTGTCACGACACAATGAGTGAATAATGTATATATTTATATGGACGCTTTTAAGCTTCCTCTATGGTAATATGGCGGCCGTGCATTTAATATCAAAACATAATTCCAAACATTTTTTTTCTTACCTAAAACTGAAAGTTTTACGTAAATAAAAAAAAAAAATGAAAACAAAATTGAATTTTCAAAAATACAATTGCTGAGAAAAGAACTCACCTCCGGCACAAATGATTCAGCTATTTGCACAAAAGGTATGTTAGCCGCTCCCACTTGATTCACAGAACAGTACACCAGTATGATGGCAGCTACCACCCAGTCTGGTGCCCACGACAACTGCAGTAAAGTACCCAGCAGGAACAAACATATGGTGCATATTGCACAAGATGTGCCCATAAGTATCTGGAAATTAAAATATGATTTTTTTGTATATGACATAAAAGAACGGTAACCCTGCCAGCGCTGTCGGTATAAACTGGCGGGGTATCAGTGACAGGTAATGATGAAAGCAGGTTAGTTGATCCATCGTGGCGATATTAACAAGAATTGACCACGACAGTCCACGACAGTCCACGATAGTATAGGTAGACCTGATAACGTATGTTGGTACCAATCATATTTTAAAAAAATAATTATTTCTCAAACATGCTTGGAAATGTGAGCATTATTTTGACAATCTTCTTCGAGATAAATCAATATTGCCGTACTAGCCAGATACATGCAGGCAGCGGCCGGCAAAAGTTGTATGAAAATCCATATCTGTCGTGTTTTGCGGCCAGATAAATTACTATGTAAATTTATATCTGTCCTGTAATTTAAAAATGGAATGACCTTTTACTTTGAAACATGGCTACCAAGGAGGTAACTAATAAAAGGTTTTATTTAAAATTCGAGCTGACTTGCAAATAGAAAGCTGTTTATTGAAAAAAAAACAAAGGATCATTATGGCGCGTGAAAAATTATTATTGTTCGTTCAATGCCTCATTCGCTGGCCGCTGCAATAATGTACTATTTCTAGGGGTGAGTAATACATAGCAATAACTATATATTATAGTTACAATATCCATGTATCGGTCCAAGATTGGATATATTAAACATCAATTGTCAAATATATATGTCAAATATATCGAAATAAAGAATTCCATCGAAAGAAATATAGATATCCAATTGGTATGGGTGCATTGAAATGGGTAATGACTTTTTTGTCGTTATCAATGTTCAGAGGAAACCGATATATAGATATTCGAGCTGTACTGATATTATCCATGCTTACTTTCTATTAGTTAAAAGCCTAAATGGTCGCGTACAGCGCGGTTTCAGAGATGTTTTCTCCCACGAACACTCAGGTTGTGGAATGAGCTCCCTGCCGAGGTTATCCCGAGAGACTACAGCATGGGGTTCTTCAAAAGGGGGGTAAAGAGGTTTCTTCAGGGTCGGCAACGCGCACGTAATACCTCTGGTATTGCAGGCGTTCATAGGCTACGGTAACCGCTTACCATCAGGTGGGCCATATGCTTGTTTGCCACCTCAGTAGTATAAAAAAAAATGTTACAAATGTTATACTATCTACCAGGAATACATAATTTAATGAAGGTAGTTTCAACTCACCCGCCGATCCACTAAGTCGGTAATGACCGAGGCAACGGCGCTGCCCGCACACATTACCAGTCCCAAAATGATAGAACATAGATTACTGGACAAATTTGGTGCCGCTTTAGTGAAGAATTCCCCGGCGTACACTTGTACTGGTATGGTGCCCATAAAAATTGTTAACAATATATGAGCGGTGATTGTAATTAAAGCTGTCCTGGCCGCCTTTGATGTACCTTTAAGAGATGTGATAATAAATTTTCTAGTAATCACAACGTCGTCAGCTTGTTTCTCATTCTGTCATAAAATAGAATTTGTAGGTACTTACGTAAAATTCGAAACACATTTGTTTCCCTGGATTGTGATTTCTTTTCCGGTATGGATAGATCTAGAAATAAAATGACTAAGTAGTAAAATATTTCTTTCCAAATTTGTATGTATTTGACTAAAACAAACAAAACGTAAGATTGTGGTCTTAAAAACAACTGCGACTTCAATTTGGGCATTATCGAATTTTATTCAATCATGTATTTATTATATACTCTGTTATGTCCACGGTATTGCTCATGTCTATAGGCGACGGTTACCACTTTCCATCAGGTGGGCCGTCAGCTTGTTTGCCATTCTAAGTTGCATAAAAAAAAACTGTCCACTGCTGAATATAGGCCTCCTTTTTCTTTTGGGGGATTCGCCAGTAGTTGCCACGCTTGCTAGGCGGGTTGGCAACCGCAGTAAGCTTTGATTTTGTTTAAAGAACCGTGCGTTTTTCAATTCACTTTCTTCCGCGCACGACCACTCTTTGGAATCAACTTCCAGCAGCAGTATTTCCGAACCGATACGACGACATAACCTTCAAGAAAAGAGTATATTCCTTTTTAAAAGGCCGGCAGCACACCTGCCATGCCGCTGGTGTTGTGGATGATCATGGGCGGCGGTAGTCACTTACCATCAGGTGAGTCGCATGCTCGTTTGCACCGTGTGTTGTAAAAAAAAAGAGGAACTTTGCTGCCCAGTGCTCCATTAAGTTCCCTTAATCGCCTCTTACTATTCCCACGGAAAAGGAAGGGGTGGCCTATTATATGCCGGACCACATGGCGAATTTTGTACAAATCATTGAAAGTTACCTTGTGTGCTGTTGTTATGTATCTCTCGATTTCTTTTCATATATGCAAATTCTTCTATAACGTCTTCTGTTGTCCTGTTACGGTAAAATTTTAGGAATCCCATGCTTCCTGTGAATATTATAAGGTCATATTGATTTTACCTTTCTCTTCATTCATTAACATCACTTCAGCTATTATTGGTCCACTGCTGGACATAAGCCTCCCCCATGGACTGCCATAAAGAACGGTCATGAGCCACTTGCATCCACTGATTCCCTGCAATGCATTTCAGATCCTCACTCCATCTAGTGAGGGGTCGTCCTACATTGCGTTTGACCGTACGGGGTTGCCAGTTAAGAATTTCACTAAAACGTCTCGAATTTAAACTAAGTGAACTAGAAATCAGTGAAATTCTTTTAAAATAGTAATCTTTTAATTGATCTATTGAACATTTTCTCCATAGAAACTTGGATTGAAAAATGGAAAAAAATTTGAGCCTTTTGTTCTTATACACGACACATCTAACTGTCATGTAAGTATTAGTGTCCGACCGAAACAGGTTTTACAGTTAAAACCAAAACCGAAATCGAATTTTCGGCCTTGGTCTCAGTTTCGGCCGAAACCGAAACTTACTGAAACATATTTAAAATTTCTATTCTATACTGAAATCTACTGTATTTTTTACACAATTATTTACACAAACACACAGATAGTTAAAGGGTAATAATAAACATTAAATATGTCATATATATTTATATGTAAAAACATGTTAAAATTATGACTTACTCTTGGAAGTAAACTTAAAAAAACGACTTTCAGTTAAATACACACACAACACAAACACACACACAAAGTTTCGGCGCGGCCGAAAGTTTCGGCTAATTTTTGGCTGAAACCGAAACTAAGACCGAAAGTAGAATTTCTGGCCGAAACCGAAACCGAAAGTTCGGTCGGACACTAGTAAATACAGAAGTAGAGGTATGACCTAATATAATGTTATAATAATTTATTTATCAACTAAGGAATCTCGACAGAAAATAAGCGTATGAGTCTACTAGGAACGTTTTATCCAGAGGCAGGGAAGTACAAATATCTTCAACCGCGGAATATCGTTAAGATAACACGTACATAGGATCTATGAAATGATGGTATAAGGCAGGGGGAAAAATCCTGATGGGTCGACATGCAACGGCTTAGTAACCCCATATGCGAATATAAGATAAGATAAGGAAGCTCGACTCGTTTCCCAATTCGTTCCCTTAGGGATCACAATATATAAAACGCATTAAAATTTAATTATCATTCACTTTTTTTATATAATTTGTTGCCGCTCTGTGAAATTCGACAAATTTAAATACATCTAAATCCGGATACTGATTCATGATCTCGTTAAGTAGTGTCAATACCAATGGAAGAGGAGCCTAGTTTGCTGACTCCATTCTTTCTCGAGAAATACGGAAAAAAAACCTTTTCCCCTTAATTTCCATTTCACCCAGTAATAGAAGTAGAAAAAGAGCATTACCTTGTCCTTCATTTTCCTTATAAGATACACGGGCGATTCCTTCAAGAAACACAGCAAGATGACCAGAACAACTGAGTAGATCAAGATCACGTAATTGATCACTTCATAGGACAACATCCAACCGCAGAGGTACGAGGTGACTTCGCCGATGGTGTAAGCAAAGATCGTCAGTGAAGACATATTGCCAATGATGGAGGGCTCGCAGAACTCGTTGATGAATACGTAAACCACGACCATATGTAATCCAGCTCCTAAGCCCATTATGAGTCTGCTTACCAATAATTGTGCTGGGCTACTGGCCGTCACTATTAGTGCTTCTGCTGTCTGTAAAGAGAATACATTGAGATACATCAGTGCATCAGTTTTTTACTCTGTATTCCAAATAAATGTTCTTAGATTCCAAATTTGAAATTGATTCCAATTTCAAAATTTGGAATATCAGAGGGAGACTTTGTACAAAAGTCGTTTGTTTCGGCATCTCTGTCCTATTCGTGTTTCTATCATGAAGCAGTTGTGTTTGCATGGCTGTGTTTTGATTTGAAGGGTGGGATATGGCAGTGAATTTACAGGGTACAGAGGAATAACAACTGAGTCCTCAGGAATGGCAACGCATGGCAGGTATCATGGACGAAACTGTATACTCTGTTATGTCCATGGTACTACTCATATCTATAGGCGACAGTTACCACTTTCCATTAGGTGAGCCATCAGCTTGTTTGCTATACATTCATGCCTTTACCGTTCCGTTTCGTTTCACGCACAATTCAAATATTTGTAATAATTATCTGTTTATATGAATCGACACTTTTTTAATCGTATTCAAGTATTATCATAGATAATATTAATATATTATATATTGTGTTTTATTAGTTATTTACTTTTTTACTTATATACTATACTAGCATTAAATAATAAAATGTAATAACAAAATAAACGACTTAAAACATCTATGGATCATGTATAATGGAACTAGGTTTTAAGACACTTTAATTCTTACGCGATTAAATCTTCTCTGTTATTAGATTGTTGATAGCCGTATCTATTTTTTTTAAATGGCCCATTATTACCAACTTAGTATAAGTGCAGGGTACCTATTTTTTAATGAGTGAAAATGGAATGGTAACCCCGCCTGCACTAACGATATGCAGGGTGGCCCATAAGTCCTTAGTAATGAAAAAAATTAATTAAAATAAAACTAATTACACTATGAATAATATTTTTATTTGTAAATATAGCTAGAAAAACGGGAATTATTTTTTGTAAATAACGTACGTGATGTCCTTGGGCGACCCAACCGCGGTTTATCTAACGTCAAACCGGTCTCCTCGAACTTAGCAACCCAATTCTTAATCGTTTGGAGAGCTGGGGTGTCATCAAAGTTGTGTAAACCTTTGTGTTCTCGAAATTCATGCCTCGCAACGGTTGCCGAATTGTTGTTTTGATAAAACTCGCGCACACAAAACGCACGGTCCGCTCCTTTGAAACGCTCCATCGCGACTAAATTCCCAGAAACCGAAGTTACTGCTCCCGCTTTCCCTGCACCGCTCACGCGCGCCGTTTTCGTTTAATTCAAATTTTACTTTTCTAAGGACTTTTGGGCCACCCTGTATATTACGTTGGCAGGGCACCAGTGAGGGATGATAGGTGAGAATGAAAAGGCGGGCCAGTTAGCCTACCGTGATGAATACATCTGGAATTCAGCACGATGATTTCTGGGGGGGACCACGTGGAGGTTGACCTGACAAGGTATATTGCTAGCAATGAGACTGGTAGTCCGCATTGCTATCGATCCCTTCCTCCACACTTTCAGGTTAATTCTCAATAAGAGGAGTGCTGACTCCATGGGTGCTCGGGGGCTCCAGAGGTAAATTACGGAGCACCCATGTTACTAGACATCAAAATATATTTATTTATAATTTAAAATAATTACATTACAATTTCCATTATTTATATTGTGTTATCATTCATATTGTTAATATTTTTACTTATTTAATGACATTTAATAATTTAATTCTATTTTAATGTTTATCAAACACAAGGCATGCTGTGGTCGCCTATAAATGTAAGAACAGTTAGATTTAATCTACCAGTGTATTGTTCTAAAATGTTTAGCTGTATCTTATGTTGGTAATCCTATAAATAAATAAATAAATATTATATATAAATAAATAAAATATAACTAAAATAATCCTCATTTCATTATCTATTGTTTAGTCCATTATCCAGTTGCTCGTCCAGCAAGCAGTGTATGTCTTTCAGTTGAAATAATGAACTAACTAAATCTAGTTATCAAGAGTATGAGCGCCCACTAGGTTTAATGCACCCACTAATTTACAGGGTACAGACAAATCTGTGCCTCTAGTGAGAAAGGGTATAACTCAAGTTATAGCCTTTTTCTTTTTTAGGCTACTTTAAATAAGCAAATTTTTCTCTTTCGAATGGTATAAGAATCAGTAACGATATCTTTAAAAACAATAGAGATAGTAAACATGTAAAAGGCTATAATTAACAAAATATTTGTGGTAAAAAAGTCATAATTAGAAATAAAACTACAATATTTTACAAAAATTATTTTTGTAAAATGAATCAGTTCGATTTGAACCCTTTTACACCATTTAATAGCGATTATTTTTTATAATTAAAATACATTACATTGTTTTTCTTCAATACTTCAATAAAATAGTTTTAATTCAACTTAAAATTGTTACATATTTTTACTATCATTTAATGACATTTAATAACAACATTTTAATGTTTATCAAAGAGAGAGAAAGAGAGAACAGTTAGATTAAGTGTGATTAGGTATAATAGAATTATTTTTAAAACTATAGGTTTTACACAAAAACCGACAATTTCATATAAAAGAGGAGAAAAAATTAACTATAATATGCAATCATTGACTTGTTCAAGTAGCAAATAATAAAAGCAGCAGAATTTTTTTTCTTTATTTAAAATAGTTTTTTGGCTCTCCTGAAAAGTGACCATTTTGAATTGAACCCTTTCTCACTAGAGGCACAGAAATAACACCTGAGTCCTCAGGAATGGCAACGCATGGGGAGTATCATGGGTGAAACAGTACACTCTGTTATGTCCATGGTACTGCTCATGTCTATAGGCGACGGTAACCACATTCCATCAGGTGGGCCGTCAGCTTGTTTGCCATTTTAAGTTGTATAAAACAAAACACCCACTAGGTTTCTTAGAACACGACGTCTATGCTCGATAATTAACATATTTATCGATTGTCCATTTAACTGGTGACTTTCAGCAACTGTTCAACTTCAGTAAACCTTTCATACAAAGGTAAAATGCTTTCAAATTTTAATTATCCGAAAAACCGATGTTTTCTAAATGTAAAAACAATCTTTTAAAAAATATATTCTGGAGTACAACTTCTTAAGACTCGATATCGATTAGAGGGGGACTTTGTGTAAAAACCGTCTGCGCACGCACACGCATACACACACGCGCACTCTCTCTCTCTCACACACACACACACACACACACACACACACACACACACACACACACACACACACACACACACACACAGAGAGAGAGAGAGAGAGAGAGAGAGAGATAAAGAGAGAGAATTTTTTTCCACAGTTAATGATCATTTTATCATTTTACACAAACTATATATAATAACTGATGATGATTCCCCCTGAAAAGCATAGTCGTTTAATTCCTGATGAATTCGTTACGATATGCCAATTGACTTTCGTATCATCACTCACTGCTATCCCTTGACATGTATCGATAGAAAAAATTTGTTGCCTTTTAATAAAAAAAAAATTAAACAATATACACATGGTAAAATCATTGCGTTACCTAGGTAATTGATTACACAAATATTTTTCACTCACCACATAACAGAGGGCGCTCAAGATTTCGCTTCTTTTCCTTCCAATCGCTTCTGATATGTAACCGCCAATTAGTACTGCGATTAATGCGCTCGCCATATTCATTGAGCCCAGTAGATTGCCCTCGTGTCTCGTGAGAGCTCGTCCTATGTGAACAGGGCCAGTTGTGTTCGACTCCAACACAGGGAGCGCGTATGAGGGCCATGCGATTGAATACCCCATGTAGAAGTTCGATAATGATACTGTAAAGAAAAGATTTTAAAATACCTTCGTTGTATATGAATATTTTTATTAATGTTTTACTTCTTCATCATTACATATTTTTTATATAACATTTCGAATTTTAATGACTCATTTAACATTTATTCTTTTTAAGTTTAAATATTTGCATGGCTAATTATGGCGAAATATGGGGACTTATACTTATTGTAACATCTATACGCTTACCATGTTTCTTGTAAATAAATAAACAAATTACATAATATAATATAAAACAAAGTCGCTGTCGCTGTCGCTGTCTGTCCGTCCATATGTATGCTTAAATCTTTAAATCTACATAACGGAAAACCGTTATGTAGATTTAAAGATTTAAGCATACCGCTTCAAAAATGAAGCGGTTTTTTTGTAATAGATAGAGTGATACAAGAGGAAGGTTTATATGTATAACACATGCATAATATTGTAGAGAAACACTGATAAATTTAGAGATTTCTAATGTAATGTCGTAAATAAACACACTTTTTTGCACTTACATTGCAAACGCTGGCAGAACCCCACGAAATAAATCAAAATAATGTACTACAGTATTGTACACCTTAAAAAGATCAACAAAAAATTCTGCGATGGTATTAGTTAAAAAGATTGCAAAATATATGAGAAAAAATAAACATAGAAATTGTAAACGAATCACTCATAACAATTTATCACGCAAAATTGTATGAAAAAGTTGACCCGCTTTTCTCGAAGCATTTGTATGGAGACACTCTATCTTTATAATCTAAGGTTATTTTTTTAATGGATGATAATGGAATGGTAACCGCGTCTGCGCCATCGGCATACGCCGCCGGTACTCCAGTGACGGATGATACATAGATGAGGATGAAAAGACAGGTCAGTTAGCCCACTGTGATGAATACACTTGTAATTCAGCACCACGGTTTCCAGGGGGGACCACGTGGAGGTCGACCAGGTTGGGTATATTGCTAGCAATGGGGCCCTTAGTCTCTATTATTAACAATCCCTCCCCCCCTATAATCTAAGGTTGAGATAATATTATATATATATATATATATATATATATATATATATATATATATATATATATATATATATATATATATATATATATATATATATATATATATATATATATATATATATATATATATATATATATATATATATATATATATATGAAAAGACAATTGTAACATTCAGCCAGTTTGGCTGGCAACATTTTTACATGTTATATTGATACAAAAGTCACATTGATATTATAATAATTATTATAAATTATGTATAAATATTAATATCACATGCATATCATTACTTCTCAGTCAACTACATTTACATTACTCACACATTTATGAATATATATTGTATATAACAATTTATATTGAAGAGATATATATATATATATACAATATGCAACTTAGAATGGTAAATAAGCTGACCACCCACCTGATGGAAAGTGGTAACCGTCGCCTATAGACATGAGCAGTACCATGGACATAACAGAGTATACTGTTTCGCCCATGATGCCCTCGCGATGCCATTCCTGAGGACTCAGGTGTTATTCTTTTGTATCCTGCAAATTCACTGCCATATCGCATCCTTCAAACCGATATACAGCCATGCAAACAACTGCTTCTCGGTAAAAACACGAATGGGACAGAGGTGCCCAAGCAAATTACTTTTGTACAAAGTCTGCCTCTGGTGAATAAAATAAATTGTTGAATAAAATAAATTAAAAATTGTAAATATGTTTCATAATATCAGCTGTTTAACTATTGCTAAACATAGGCCTTCCCCATAAAAAGGGTTTTGCCAGTAGTTGCCATGCTTGGCAGGCGGGTTGGCAACTGCAGTTAGGCTTTGGTAATGTTTTAAGGGGACACTGCTGCCCATGTCATTAAGTTCCCTTAGTTGCCTCTTACGACACCCGCGGAAAAGGAACGGATGGCTCATTCTATGCCGTGACCACTCGGCAATATAATAGTAAGTAAATACATCAACTCACCAATCAATGACGCTGCCGCTTGGTACTCCACAGCCATTTTTATAAATATTTAAAAAATAATCACTCATTAAAGCTGTTCGTTCAAAGAACAAGCGTTAAATGAAAGTAAGATTGAGTAGTTAAATGTTTTACATAAAGACTAGCATCGCGCTCTGGCTTCGCACGGATGCAAAATACACACAAAATACGTTTCGTGAAATAATATCTTATTGACACGGTACACATATCAAAATCCGTTGAGCGTTTTAAAAGAAGTAAATTAAGATACAAACAGGCGGGCAGTGATATTTTTTTATCCTACTATTAGAAGATAAAGGTATTAACATGAGTAAGTAATTATCTAATGCTTTAAAATTATTATCACCAGTGCAAATAAAAGAAAATCTCATAGTGACAGTCCTGTGAAGGTATTACAGCCTAGTGTCAATAGAATTTGATGAAAATATAATTAGACATTGTATTAAATTAATTCCAGTAATATTCTCTAAATGAAATTAGTAACATAACAAAATATTTAATTAAATCTTCTTTTATTCTTTAATTTTTTTTATCACAAAAATCAACTTTCGTGTAAATTATCAGAAACGCTCGCAGATTGAATATTAAAACAATTTGGTAATTATATTTTCAAACTTCAATTATTTATATTCGTGTTTCTACCGTGAAGCAGTTGTGTTTGCATGGCTGTGTTTCGGTTTGAAGGGTGGGATATGGCGTGAATTTACTGGGTGCAGAGGAATAACACCTGAGTCCTCAGGAATGGCAACGCATGAGGGGTATCATGGGTGAAACAGTATACTCTGTTATGTTCATGGTACTGTTCATGTCTATAGGCGACGGCTACCACTTTCCATCAGGTGGGCCGTCAGATTGTTTGCCATTCTAAGTTGTATATAAAAAAAAATGTCTATAATAGATTTTTTATTTGTATTATATTATTGAATTATAGAATATTGTCTTGTGAACGGATCAATTAGTTGTTTGTTTATATTTTGATTACGTTTCATTGAAACAAACGATATGTAAATAGCCACAAATCTAATATTAAAAAAAAAAAATAATATACTAGGGATTTTACCTGATACATACATCATAATATATAGCCGTTAAGTGTACACTATTGAACATAGGCTCCCTTTTGAGGGGCTTTCCTAGTAGTTGCCATGCTTGGCAGATGTATTTGGTAATATTTAAAGACGGATGCTGCTGCCTATACCTAAACCATGTTGCCTGGGGAGAAAGGGATTGTTAGCATTGCTAGTAATATACCCAACCAGGTCGACCTCCTCGCGGTTCCAACTGGAAACTATCATGGTTAATTCCTGATGAATTCATCGTAATGGGCTAACTGGTCTGTTTTCATTCTTATCTATCACCCTTCACTGGTGCTCCGCCAGCGTATCCCGTTAGCACAGGCGGGGTTACCATTTCATTTTCACCCACTAAAAAAAAAACATGTTTCCTTAGTCACGGAGAAAGAATAGGTGGTCTATTTTATGCTGGGATCACATGGCGAGTCTACCTGCTTTAGAAAGTTGTAACAAACACTAAGGTTACTTAAAAAAATTGTGGTTAAAAAATGCACTCGTTCTGAGTAACTAAAAAGAGCGAGTTAGAATCCCGTCTGAATGAGGTGTTGAGAGTCTAATGTAAATATTAAAGGTTAAATATCAATATTTTTTGTTAAGTTCTCAAATGCAGAGTTAGTAGTAGATTGAATACCTATTTGTATTACAGGTAAATGTAAAATAATATCGTAGTAATAAAAAAAAAATTGGGTGTGGAATAATGGTCTGAATTCACTGTTTCAGTTTTTATCAACCTGTCCCTTACATCCCGTATATTTTTTTATTTTTTTTTTGTGCCATAGCACTTTTTTATATTTTTTTAATGGCAACCTTGAAAGAAACTATAATTGTCAATGCCAAATTGTCAGACTGTCAGATCATTGACATTCAATATAAGACAAACAGCGGTTTGTTTTAGTCTGTTAGCTGCTTCTGTCTTTCTTTTATTTTTCAATTTCATAGTAAATTACACTAATAATTTTATTATAATGAATGAATAATTCTTATTGACAGTAGAATTTAGTTATTTATATAATTATAGTGTTGTAAATTATCACAATGGGTCTCTTATCTGACCCCGAGTATGGTTCGGTGAAGTGGGTGCGCCTGTTGAATAGAATACACGGACCCCTGTGTCTCTTGTGTTACGCTGGAGCCCTGGTATGGTTTCTCATGTTAGGAAACAAGGAGTTCAACAATGAGACCTACTTCTCCGAGAACGCGCTGCTACCCGGATTGGTTACTAACGAATTCAACGCTGAGCAATCTTCAAGGCAATTTTACAATGAATTTCTGCAAGAACTTGAGGTAAGTTAGTTGATATTAGAACTTAGATTAAAATTTATATGTAGTACCAAAAACGAGTTGTTCATTTGTTGACTGATGCATATTTTTTTCAAATTAAGTAAATGTTTAAGTTTTGCTTCATTAATTTGTACATAAATGAATGTACTATATTTTTAATAATAAAGAGAACTAAAATTACAATACTGTGATATTAATTTGTAGATAAATATCATATAATTGTGTAATATTCCTTTTTAATATGTTATTGTACTCATGCTTTCCTGGGTGAGCGTATTGGAAGACTGTAAGGCTCACCCAGTGGATGTAATAAATAAATAAATAAATAAAAAATTATTACTTATTGTTCAGAATTAACATCCCATGACTTTGTCTACATTATAGCAAATAGTTTGTATAAGTCTAATTTCTTGACAATTGGATGAGTTGTTAAGAAACCAAGAGGTAACATAAACCAAATAAATTCTTTTACTTTCAACTTTGTCACAATACATACAATTTGGTGATTGTTTCATTCCTATAAGATGATAAAATTTGTTGAGTGGAACATGACCAGATCGCATCCTGAACGCTATCACTAAATACGGTCTTGAAAGACTTGTTGTTTGAAACCAGGGTATTAATGAAGGCATTTGCTGTATAGTTTTATACCATATCCCCTTTGAACCTGAACAGTTTTCAAAGTGGTTTCTCCATTTCGTGACACAATCACTGTGTTTCGTAATTCTACCAATGAATTCATTTGCATAAGGGTTACAAACAATTTCTGTTCCATCCTCAATAGCCTGTTTGGCTGCCTGATCTACTGTTTCATTCCCTGGCACTATATATGTGATGGTATCCATTGAAGTTTTACGGCTACATTTCTTTGTTGTAATATACATACCAGCTTTAAGACCTCATAGGCTATCGGCATACCTCGTGTACCCGAGACACACCGAGCCAAGTGGTGGAGGGCACTCTTTGAATCAGTCAGTATAACAATTTTTTGTATATTTAAGGTGACAGCGTATGCCAATGCTTTAGTAATTGCTATCAATTCAGCTCTCATTATACAGATATTTTTATTAAGTTTCCAAAACATAGTTTTTCCAAACTTCGAATCAAATAGTGCCGCCCCTACACCTCGAGAATCTTTTGATCCATCTGTATATATTTTATGAAATTCCTCATAGTCCGTCTTTAACATATACATAGTGAGATATTTCAAAACAGAACCATTAATATTACGTTTTGCATTGTTGACATCTTTAACATTTAAACACAAACAGGACTTCACTTCATCAATGGATGTAACCCAGCTATTTAAACTATACATATCAAGTAAAGGACTTCTGTGGATATCCTCCTCTTTAAGGCTATTGTGTACATCAATTAAGATAGGCTTTGTTTTACTATACCAATAGTTACAGTTATTTGACGATAAGTTCACTACCGATTGCATGGTTTGGTTATTGGAGACAGAAGCCACTCTCAACCAAAATTTGTACCCCAGCCAATGCCTACGCACAAACAGGGGAGGGAGAGCAAGTTCGGTCTCCATTACATGAATGGGAGTGCTTTTAATAAAGCTGCCACATATTCTTAAAGCCTTATTCTGTACAATGTTTAATTTATTAAGATGAGTTTTGGCGCCAGTTGCATACAGAAAGCTAGCATAATCTATACGGCTTCTAATGAGCGAAATGTAAAGTTTACGCAGATGTATTGGATGAACCCCCCATGAGCTTCCTGCAAGCACCTTTAGAATGTTCAATAATTTGTAGCTTTTTTTCACAAATTTCATTTATGTGTGTACCCCATCTTAGAGATGAATCCATCCACATACCTAGATATTTAACTTTTTTTAATAACTGAAGAGGCTTTCCATTAATATCAATGGTAATATTAGGTGTCTTTCGAGATCTACTAAAAATACATACATTGCTTTTTGATTCAGACAGCCACAAACCTATCCCTTCCAAGTAACTGGTCGCTTGTGCGAGACTGTCTTTGATATCGTTTTCGGTATTATGAATCTCCTTATTCTCACTGGTTTTATATAGTACAAAGTCATCAGCATATTGGCTAACAGTTACTTTGTCAATATTTTTACTCATTTCCATAGTAATGATATTGAAAAGCAGTGGTGATAATGGATCTCCTTGCGCGAGACCTTTTCCTGTATAACGTACGAGGCCTTCATTACTTTCATTTGCTATGACTTTACAACGTCTACTAGATAGGAAATTCCATAGATATTTACAAATTTTGCTGCCAATCCCGATTCTTTTCAATATCATTATCATGGAACGAATGTTTACATTATTATAAGCATTATCGATATCTATAAAACACGCAACAGTTGACTTATTATTCGTAAATCCAACCTGAATACCATTTACTAGTCTGGTAAGGTTGTCTAAACAAGATTGTGCTCTTCTGAATCCCACTGTAGACTGTGGAAAAAGATAGTTATTTTCTACATACCATTCCATCCTTTTCATTAGAATCAAGTGAAATATTTTGCAAGGACAGACCATTAAGGATATAGGCCGTAATGACGAAGGATGGTCCGGATTGCGGCCTGGCTTCAAGATTGGTATTATACTTATATCTCGCCATTGGTGAGGGACTATGCCGGTCTGTAATATCTGATTATATATATGAAGCAGCACAAATTTTCCAGATAGCGGTAGATTATAAAGCATGGAGTATGATATATTATCCATTCCAGGTGATGTGTCTTTACGTTTTAGTAAATTGTTCAACTCAGCTATGCTAATCTCTTGTTCCACGTATCCAGTGGATGCGTTAGGAATATTTGGAGGTTCTTCCGGAACATAATCTGGTGTTATGGAGTAAAGAAGATTTCTAGCATGGGCATTATTCACTGGTGCATTTCCACCATATCCTCCTTTCATCCATCTCATTTTCCTCCACATATCTACGGGTGATGACTGCATGTCTAATTCTGAACAAAATTTAGCCCAACCTTTACATCTTTCTTTTTTTATTAGTTTGCTAGCTTTATATATTTTTTCTTTGTATTGAAGATAATTATCAGGGGTCGGGTTTCTTCTTAATTTTGCTAATGCCAGTCTTCTTTCTGCTACTACCCGGGAAAGATTCGAATTCCAATAGGGCTTGGGTTTAAAGCTAGATATAGGGCTGTGATTAATTTTTATCCATGGAATTGTCTTCTCAGCAACTGACTCCAAGGCATGTATAAATGCATCATAATGTAATTGAATATTATTGAAGGGCGGAAAATTGGTGAAAGCTTCCTCCAATTTATTTTTATAATCTTGCCAACGAGCTTCTTTTAAGTTGCGCTTTTTATAATAGTTACTGGATTTCTCAAATCCATTATCAATTTTAACAATGACATGGTCACTTCCCAAGGATTCGTTTGTTGTATGCCATGTCAGTTTTACTGCAATGTCTGTTGTTGCAAAACAGATATCAGGAGCTGATTGTTGTAAGAAGCCACTGACCATTTTAATTCTTGTCGGGTTACCATCATTCAAACAAATATAATCGTTCTCAAACATAGACTTGTAAATAATATCTCCTCTTCTATCATTTTTGTATGACCACAATGAGTGATGAGCATTCATGTCTCCGACAATAATGGTTTCAGAGCTAAATAACTTAAAGATATAGTCCCAGTCCTGTTGATTAGTATTTGCAGATGGTGGACAATATATAGAAATTATATTTCTTATGTTTGGGACGTTAAGAATTTCAAGAATCAAAATCTCAATTTCAGAGTTAGGAATGTTATAGTTTTTAGGGATTATTTTAATTGAATTATGTGACAGAATACATATGTCACCATATGAGTCACCTCTATCCTATCTCGTAATGTTATAATTTGGTATTCGGACAATATCCTCTTCAGATAGCCAACTTTCAGTTATTGAAGCCAGGTGTATTTTCTCTTGAATTAATAATGCTTCCAAGTCTTTCAATTTAGGTTTTAAACTATTTGCATTCCACTGTATAATTCTTACATTATTTATTTTATTGTGTCTGGTCATTTTGGTTTAGTCCTAGAAGTCGTAATGTTAAATCAAGAATAGGATGACTTTCTAAAAATGTTAATATTTCTTGTAATATATATTTAAAAAAGGTCTCCAATTTACTTTTGAATGTATTATTTGAAAATATGATATCCTTTGTACGTTCTAGAATTCTTTTTATAGGGAACCTTTTCTTCATTTTCTTTTCAACCTCTACTTCAGAGTCATTACTATTATCCATGTAATTTAAGTTATTAGTGTTGTTGGAATCATTGTCTGGGAGCTTATCAAACTGTCCACATATTTTCTTGGATTTCTTTTTACACAGTTTCTTTTTCTTGCTCTCATTGATAATAGGTTGTATTGTTTCTTGGTCGCTGCTTATTTCTTTACTTTCCTCATTAATGTAATTTTCCTTCATCCCAGCTACCACGTTAGCATAACTTTTTTTTTTACTGAATACCGGCTCTGAACTTGCATTCTTACTGTTATTTGTGTAAGGTTGAGCCAACAGCCCAGTGTTTCTGTGCATTGCTTTGGCTTCATTAATTTTATTTAGTGCGACTTTATATGTGCAATTGTTTTCAGTCATGACTTCTCGTATTTCTCGTTCTCTATGAAATGTTGGGCATAATGTTTTCACTATTGACATATGGTTACCTTTACAGTTCACACATATGTAGTTTGTTGTTTCACAGTTTTCATGATCTTTGGCACATTTAGGGCATATTTGTATTTTAGATGGACAGTAGTTCTTTATATGACCATATTTCCAACATTTAGAACATTGTGTCACTGGAAAAGTGAAAGGGTCCACCTTAATGCGGCAGCCATATGCATGTACATATGGAGGCAAGACAGAACCTCTGAAACATACCCGAACTGTCTCACTTTTAATCCATTTACCAACCTCGTCTTTTTTGTTCAGTCTTTTTACAGCTAGTATCTCCGTTTCACTTTCTAATATATTTTTGATATCATTTTCTTCAATTTCCATATCTATTTCCCTAATTAACCCATAAGAATAAGTGACCTCACTGGTTTTCCTACAAGCCCAAGCCCTTTTTTCCATATTTTTACAGTTTACAAGAGTGTTTGCAGCCATCTCCGATTTGAACCTAACCAAAACTTTATAGGGGCTTTTATATGTAACTTTTAATATATCTTGAATTTGTTCTGTTTTGAGTATTTTTGCTAAACCTATCTGTTTGGGTAATATATCCTTGGATGTAATTGATACTTCATGCATGTATATATCATTTTTCTTTACAGAGGGTAGGTTCAAATTAATATTGGGTGGTGACTTACTCAAATTTAATTTCTTGCTCCTACTAACAGTAATGAAACCATCTGAATCATCTTCCAAATAGGACTCCCTTCTTATTCTCTTATTTCTAGAACTAACCCTTTCTTCTGTTATCTCTGAATTTATGTCATTACTATCCCATTCCAACTCCGATCCATAAACCACTCTGTGTATGTCTGCTTGAGTGTAAGTATCTTGAGATAGAAACTGTTGTTCTTCTTCTTCATCATCCATCCTTTTATTTTATTAATACACCACTATAATTTCACAAAATATTTCGGAGGTAGATAAAAGTTTTTGTTAAATTCTTCCCAAAATATTTTAAACCACAACTAAATACCACATAATAAATATCACACTATATTATCTTAAAGTTAAAATGACTTTTATGATTATGTAATTTTACTAACTTCAACTTAAAAGGTTAAAAAATATTTAATTATTAGCACACACAAGATTGCGTCAATACCCTGCAAATTCTTGACAAGCACGTGTTTACATGTTATCAAATGTTTTTTTCAAAATAAATATATTAAAATATTGTTTTGATTTTTTACTATTTTTCCCCATTAGTAAACACCGTAAAGGGTACACTTATATATTTTTTTAATTTGATTTAAAAAATCAGGCTTTTAAGGGTTAAGAACCCTATCAAAATGAATATATATATCTGACTGGTTATGGGTGACATTTAATGGGTGATATTTTGTGGTGTTTATTCTGTCTTCAATAGTTAGAGGTACCTATTACATAGATATTGAAACCATACCAATATTAACCATGCCTAATAAATACAATTTTAGATACACAAGAGATAAGTGTGTTATATTTCAAATTGATTCCAGGACAAATATTATGATACAGACGAGATGCCCGTGCCGTGGCTGGTCGCCAAGATGTCACAGCTCCATCTGGAGGTGTACACGCACAATTTTACACTCAACTATCCCTTGGGACAAGGCCAGGTATTATTTAAATTAAAAATAACAATTATTTATGTACATATATAGTGTTATTTTACATACAAACCCTTTAATAGATTTTTTTTCAAGTTCTTAACACTGACTGGGAAAAGTTTTTGCAATTCAATTATTATAGATAAATAATCTGAACATGAGTACAAAGGGGGGAAAGGGATTGTTAGTAATGGAGACTGAGAATCCCATTGCTAGCAATATACCCAACCAGGTCGACCTCCTCGCGGTTCCCCCTGGAAACTATCATGATTAATTCCTGATGAATTCATCATGATGGGCTAACTGGCCTGCTTTCATCTTCACCAATCATCCTTCACTGGTGCTCCGCCGGCGTATCCCGTCAGCGCAGGCGGAGTTACCATTCCATTTTCACCTATCAAAAAAACATGAGTACAAAACATATGTCCTACCATTTCCTTTCTTTTTTATATATAATATTATAACAATATTACATTGCAAAACAATGAGTTGATAGGTGGAGGCCAATGTTCAGCAGTGGACAGTTAATGTCTAATATGATGACAGTTTTGTATACTGTCATAATCACAAAGTATGTATACTGGCTTATCATGAATAGAATTTGAATTAGGTGATCTCATTCATACATTAAAATTTCTACATATTCTTTTTATTTCCAGATATACAAAGGCACGAATGTGTATGGAATTCTCAGGGCTCCTCGCACCTCGTCACTGGAAGCTCTGGTAGTGACGGCTCCGTACAGATCAATATCTTCACATCAGAAAGGCACAGCAGCAGGCATAGCCCTCATGTTGGCGTTTGCTCAGTTTGCAAGACGTAAGATATTTTGAAAATTATTATTTTCATTGACATAAAAGTAAAACTTTGTTTTTAACATTTTTAAATAGTTATTAGTGGAATATATTTTTTAATGCTTTTTTGACTCCACTGTTTTGATAGATTTTTTTCACATAGTTACTTTAACTTAATTTTATAGCAAACAATCTACTTTTTATTGTGCTATGTGGAAATTAGTATTGTTTGAAAATGAGTCTTATCATTTAATTTATTTTATTTTTAATTTCAGCACAAAAATATTGGGCCAAAGACATTATTTTCCTAGTAACAGAACATGAGCAACTAGGAATGCAGGCGTGGCTAGAAGCTTATCACGGATTACAAAGTGATGCTGAGACTTTTTATACAAGTCTCGGTAGCTTCTGGAAGCCTGATACACCAGCGTTCGATTTTGGTCGTGTGGGTGATGTATTTAATTGGGGAGGTGGACATCAGAAATGTTTGGATCCTGGTAAACTGAAGGGAAGATCAGGATCTATACAAGCAGCTATTAATTTAGAGTTCCATGCACCTAAAATTAGTAAGTGATTATTTTTATTTTTTATGCCATTTGGAATACAAACAAACTGACGGCTCATCTGTTGAAAAGTGTAATGGTCAGCTATAGACATAAATAGTACCATGGACATAACATTCGTGTTTCAACCGTGAAGCAGTTGTGTTTGCATGGCTGTGTTTCGGTTTGAAGGATGGGATATGGTGTAAATTTACAGGGTACAGAGGAATAACATCTGAGTCCTCAGGAATGGCAACGCATGGGGGGTATCATGGGTGAAACAATATACTCTGTTATGTCCATGGTACTGGATATGTCTATAGGCGACGGTTACCACTTTCCATCAGGTGGGCCGTCAGCTTGTTTGCCATTCTAAGTTGTATATATAAAAAAAATATATATATAACATGTCATCCATGATATTCTTCTTGGGTTGCTATTTTTGAAGACTAACATGTTATTATTTAAATGGGTGATTATGAAATGGTATATGCTGGTGGGGTACTAGGGAGAGATTATAAGTGGGGATGAAAGCAGATCAGTTGACCCATCGTGACAAATTCAACAATTAATTAACAACGATGGTTCCAGGGGGAACTGTGTGGAGATCGACTTAATATTGCTAGCAGTGGGGCAGTTTTTTTTTTATGGGTGAAAATGGTATGGTAACCCCGCCTGCGCTAACGGGATACGCTGGCTGGTAGTGAGGCAGTTAGACCACATTACTTACAATCCCTTTCCCCCCGGATTAATGTGTAATGCCTCTGTACCCTGTAATTTTATTGCCATATTTCATTTCTCTAACCGAAACATAGCCATGTAAATACAACTGCTTCACGGCAGAAACACGAATGCGACAGAGGTACCCAATCAGATTTTATACAGTACCTCTCTGATATCATGTAATCATTTGCGTAAGGTTTATTATTTTAACCCTTCGAGTGCCGACGAGCGCCATCGCGCTCGTGCGCATTGCAACTAAAAGTGCCACGAGCGTCATAGCGCTCGTGAAATCAGTCGCTGTTTAGCTTGCTGTAAAAAAAATAATATTAAAATTGGATAATTTTTAGAGGAGATACAGTTTTGTTAGAGACAAAGGTAAATGACATCAACACGACAAAGATTTCTTTGGCATTTTTAAGTAGATATGAGTAAAAATCAATGGCACTAAAAGGGTTAAAGCTGAGAATGTAACGTTTATGGTGGATTCGCACTACATGGACCTGGCCAAAATGTCAAGACAGAACTACCATATAAAATATTTAAGTTTAACAAAATATTTTTTATAACATTTCTACTATACTATTAATTTGTAAATTTTTAACAGAGTACATAGAAGTCAAAGTGGAAGGCCTAAATGGTCAGCTGCCCAACTTGGATCTAGTCAATTTAGTGCACAAACTATGTGTTAAGTCTGGTATACATCACTCTTATAAAAACAGGTTGGTTCCAAGTACTACTTTTTGCCATGCTACTTCTTACATGTAGATTTCAGAAATAGGAAAATCCATGAATGATACTGATCGCTTCTAGATGAAGTATAAAGATATTTTAATAGTTATCTTTGTTAATTTTAATTAATTTGCATCTCATTCATGTTGTGTTAACACGTTTTAGGATATCATTTTTGTCTCATGAAACATCATACAAGAGTATGTTTATAATTAGCTATGTACATTTTTGATTGTTGTCTGTCGTGTTTTCTAAATAAAATAAATAGAATACATAAATAGATAAAACATGTACCAGATTTTAAATTATACCTTTAGGAACATAACTCTAAAAACCGCTTTCAGTTTGGTACAGTAGTTTGTTTAGTGCATGATGCTGACACAAACATACAGACCGACAAAACCCCTAAAAATTATTTTGTCTTCTATCGTTTACATTAATATCCCTCATATAAATTACTTTAATTACTTAAATATTTCTCATGTACAGACATTGTCTAGTTATAATTTTATTATATTAATAAGATATATATTTTTTATAAAAATTTCCAGTTACTCCTGGATGCGCACGCGCAACAAGATGGACGAATGGACCAATGGCATCTGGACAATGCTCGGTATGGTGTCTGCACAAATTGCTGGGGTAACCACACGTCTTTATTATATATACTAGCCGTGCCCGCGATTTCGTTTGTGCGATCCAAATAAAAAATAGTCTAAGTATTTCTCCGTGTCGAACAATATGTGTATATTTAATTTTATGACAATTAGTTGAATTGTTACGGATCTATAATACAATAGCCTTTATATTCTGAAGCTCCTTTCATATCATCATCATCATCATCGTAACCGTTATCTGTCCACTGCTGAACATAGAATTCCTCCATAAGGAGGGTTTTGCCATGCTTGGCAGGCGGGCTGGCAACCACAATTAAGCTTTAGTGATGTTTTAAGTAAGAACACTGCTGCCCATTTCTTGTTCTCCCTTAGTCGCCTCTTACTAAACCAACAGGAAAGGAAAGGATGATCGATTCTATGCCGAAACCGTACGGTAATGCCGTGTAATAAAATATATATTGCTTTATATTGAATTCTTATTGCCTCGGCTACGCCTCGGCCCACATCTGCACGTTCGTCCATCAATGCCTCAGTTGCTGGCCGCTGCAGTAATGTACTATAACATATTCATAATTGGGCCAGTATAAAAACATTGATATTAAAATATATGCTTCTTTAAGGTGCCAAATGGCAACCACGGCCTGTTCCACCGGTTCGGAATCGAAGCCGTCACCCTGGAGGGGCGGGACGCTAACGACCCGGCGGGCATACCGCCCAAAGTGAACGCCCTCACCACCGCCAACTTCTACCGCCTTGGTGTCGCTCTAGAAAGCATACTCAGGTCTTTGAATAATCTTCTAGAAAGATTCCACCAGAGCTACTTCTTTTATTTGCTGGCGGCTACAAACAGGTTCATATCTATTGGTAAGTTGCCTTTATATATTTATTTTTTTATAAGATGACAGACAAATGATGACTAGATGGAGTGACGGTCTAGTTGGGCCTTGGAGGTGTTTAAAGAGGGACGCTGCTGCCTATCCCTCGCCTTTCCTTAGTCGCCTCTTACGACACCCACGGGAATGGATGGAGTGGCCTATTCTATTTCAGGACCTACACGGCTATATTAAATATTGTAAAGCCGAAATTGCCTGTTAATATTAAAAATAGTACAATGTTATAAGCTTTATTGAGCTATAGATTTTTTAATGATTTTTTGCAATATTTAGAATAACAAATAGGTGAGCGCCCGTGAAAGTGTTCTGAATGAAATTTTACATGCACAAAATATATAAGTTAATAATTAATAATTTACCTGAAGATGCCTCGTTTAGAGGTGAAACACTTATTGCAAAACGTGCGTGGATGAAATGGTGGTCGGCGATTAATGGCTAATATGGAAGGTTGTGGAACTTCTGGTAATAATAGTAGTCAATCTTCGAGTCGCACGCATAATCTGATCAAATGACCTTCCTTATCGAAGCACAACCACGCGTTGCTGGGGGGGGGGGATTACTAATAATAGAGATTAAGGGCCCCATTGCTAGCAATCTACCCAACCTGGTCGACCTCCACGTGGTCCCCAGTGGAAACTATCGTGCTGAATTCCAATTCCATTCCAATTATCATGATGGGCTAACTGACCTGTCTTTTCATCCTCGCCTATCATCCCTCACTGGTGCCCCGCCAGTGTATACCGATAGCACAGGCACCCCGCCCTACCATTCCATTATCATCAATTGAAAAAAAAATCTACGCGTTGCTTCACGGTAGAGACACCGGCGGTACATAGGTACCTGCCCATTGGTAGAAAATCTCCCTGTGGTTTTTTTTTATGGGTGAAAATGGTATGGTAACTCCGCCTGCGTTAACAGGATACGCCGGCGGAGCACCAGTGAAGGGTGATAGATGAGAATGAAAACAGGCCAGTTAGCCCATCATGATGAATTCATCAGGAATTAACCACGATAGTTTCCAGGGGGAACCGCGAGGAGGTCGACCTGGTTGGGTATATTGCTAGCAATAGGATTCTCAGTCTCCATTACTAACAATCCCTTTCCCCCCGTCTCCTTGTGGTAAGATAATCATATCTATATAGGTTACAAAGTCTGCATGAATCTTCTATCTATTTCTAAGTTCCTCATAGTCTCCACGAGATGGCGTCTTACGAGGAGATGTTAAAACTTGATCTAATCTTATGTATATATATTTTTAGGTCAGTATATGCCATCATTATGTTTACTATGCGTCGCAATATTAGTTCGCGCTCTTTCGATGTGGGTCAACATACAACAAGATGGAGATGAGGAGCCAGAAAAAAGCGTAAAACGGAAGACATCCGACGCCTGTGTACCAGGCGAACATGAATCCGAGGAGAGATCTGAAGAGAAAGTGAAAACAATACCAAAGGGAAGGAAGATAGAGGAGTCCAACATGAGCATAGTGAATATAGGAGCCAATTATTTGCTAGTACATTTACTTGGTTATGTTGTGATGAATTCTCCAATGGTTTTCAGTAAGATAGGTTAGTACCTGATTAGTAGTTATGTTGTTAGAAGTTTGTAGTTTCAATTTATATTATAAAACGAGGTTTAATTTTATGAAATTTGTTCTATGAATATGCAATGACAGAATATGCAAAATTGATGTTATTATTTGTTATATCTGAGTTTATGGCTTCGTCAGTATCAAAATCTTAGATTACATAGATAGAATGTCTCCATACAAATGCTTCGAGAAAAACGGGTCAACTTTTTCATATAATTTTGCGTGATAAATAGTTATGAGTGTTTCCTTTATAACTTCTATATTTATTTTATATTATAATTTTTGCATCTTTTTAATGCGTAATTACACATTGTTTTTACTAAATAATAAAATATAGATACATCAAGATACATTGTGTGCGTAATATAGAACATTGATAAAAAAAACGAGTTAGCAAATTTGACAATTAGCTGACAAAAAGATAACCGTTTTTGAGACTCGTTGTATGCATACTGTAAATTGTATGACACAATTTTTATTAAAAAATCGTGCAGATAAAGAAACTGTATTGATTTTATGAAATTAATTTGTGTATGAAATTAATAACTTATGTTATATACTTACGTATAATATATGTTGATATTTTCAATATTTATTTAATTTACAATTGTTGCGTCCACACCTGTAATCGTAAACGAATACATTCCAAAATCTTATTAATATTTTTGTAAAGAAATGTAATAAATAAGTTTATCTCAAACGTGCTTGGAAATGTGGGCATTATTTTGACAATCTTCTTCAAGATAAATCAAAATTGCCGTACTGGCCAGATACATGCGGGCAGCGGCCGGCAAAAGTTGTATGAAAATCCATATCTGTCGTGTTTTGCGGCCAGATAAATTACTATGTAAACTCATATCTGTCCTGTAATTTAAAAATGGAATGACCTTTTACTTCGAAACATGGCTACCAAGGAGGCAACTAATAAAAGATTTTATTTAAATTTCGAACTGGCTTGCAAATAGAAAACTGTTTATTGAAATAAAAAACAAAGGAACATTATGGCGCGTGAAAAATTATTATAGTTCGTTATTCGTCTTTGAACTTAAAAAGTAAAAATGTGTTTTTTGATTTCCGCGCATTGTTTGAGAAAAGTACTATACAAGCCTTGGCCACAACTAGACATTGATCGACTCGCGTATGTGTGCCTCGGCCACGCCTCGGCTCACATTTGCACATTCGTCCATCAATGCCTCAGTTGCTGGCCGCTGCAGTAATGTACTATAATTATATTGTTTCATTAATCCTCTACAGGTGCAACATATTATAACCAGCCATCAGAAGTATCAGTGTTTTATGGGCTGATAGTGGCATCAGTATTTTTAATTTTTCTGACGCCATTAATGCCGCGGCTGCTCCGCACGGGGCGCATGACGCACGAGGAGTTATCCCTAGTCAATATACTGCTGCTAATAGAGTTGGCAACTGTATGCCTTTCTGTGGGAATGCACAATTTCCCACTTGGTCTAGTCATCGCTGTCCTGTACACTCCTCTTGCCCTGGTAGTTGGCGTCGAGACGACGGGCGGTGGTAAGAGAAGGTACGATGTTTTCTCTCATTTATACATTACTAGCTGATGCCCGCGACTTTGTCCGCGTGGTATTTGTTATTCCTGTTTAGTATGTATATATGTACCTACTTATTTATTATGTCTGGGAATACTGTACCAAAATTAACACTCACACTTTGCCTTAGGTCAAAATGACTTTACTTAAGTAGGTTGTGTACTAAGTTGTATAAGTTAACTTGTTTCAACTTTCCCACGGGAACTCTTTAATTTTCCGTGATAAAAAAAAGTATCTAATATGTTGACCGGGGATGTAAGGTGCCAATATGCAAAATTTCATTTAAATCAGTCCAACAGTTTCGGAGATTAGCCCGTACAAACAGAAAAACAAAAATCTGGATGCCTTCACTTCTAACATCTCCTTGACGCTGATTTTTAACGTTTTTTTCTATGTACAGCCATTCATTCTCTACAGTTTTATTATATTATATGTATAGATGATACAAGTGATAGATGCTACTTGTTGTCCTTGTCTGGCAGAGAGGCATAGAGATATTTAGTTTTTTTTTAAAGAAGTCTCATATTGATCTCTTTTTCCTATTTTTTTTTTTCAGAGTTATAACCATTTTCTTGAAGCGTGTCTTGTGCCTATTGTTGCACCCACTATGTATAGTAACAGTGGGCATGGTCACATACAGTCGCGTTTTATTCCCGGAAGAGAACCTTTTGTCTATGGCTGGCCGGGGCCGAGACGCGGCTATGCAGGCCATTATGTTCTCTATTGTAGACTCACTTGTAAGTTCCCTTAATTTGTTTCAAATAAATTTGCTAACAACTGAAATCAAATATAGGTTTTTTTTTTTATAAATAATGAAGTTTATTGTGTGTGTGTGTGCGTGCGTGCGTGCGTGCGTGCGTGCGTGCGTGCGTGTGTGCGTGCGTGCGAGTGTGTTAGTAATGATTTTAAAGCTTCAGCCCCATTGCTAGTATAACCTATTAGGTTGACCTCCACGCGATTTCCCCTAGAAACCATCAGGATTAATTGATGAATTGTTCACGATGGGCCAACTGACCTGCCTTCATCTTCACCTATTACCTGTCACTGGTGCACCGCCAGCGCATACCGATAGCGCAGGTGTGGTTACTATACTATTTTCACCCATTGAAAAAAAAAATAGTTTTCACACCATCTCGCCTTCATATGGTTGCGGGTTTGAGTCTTGTACAATACATATATTTGTATTGATGACTGACTGTTTGTATTGCTCCAGAAATTTCGTATGTATAAGATCTAGGTATTTGTAAAACAATGAAGTTTTTGCCGAAAAACAGCGTTGTAGCGCTTCAAACGCTGCAGCAATACGCTGCAATACTTAGTTGATAGAACATTGCGACACACACATGCACACTAGTACATATTTACGTTTAACTGTATATTTTTTAATTTAGGTTTCATTTGAGCTGGGAATGATTTTTAAATTGTATTTTTTTTTTTTTTTTCTGTTTGCTTTATAATTAATACTGTCATATATAGTTTTCTCATTTATGCTCCTGTGCGAGTTGCATAATATTTTTAAACAAACATATACGGCCCACCTGATGGTAAGCGGTTACCGTAAGAATAAATTCTTTTTTTTATCAAGTGTCTGGTTTCCATAGCTCTGCTTAGTTTGCGCTAGATGGCGTTGTAACATATTTAGTGGTATTTATTTATTTGATTTACTAATTATTTTCAGATTTACGGCAACTGGCTGTACAACGTGGCCACAGCAGTGATACTCCCCATATGGATCATATTCTGGCAAATACTGTGCATCAGGATCGACGACACTGTATAATTTGTTACGCCACCAATTTTAATATATTCATTCCAAAGTATTGAAATAAAACATTTTTGTTATTAAAATAAGTGTTTTTCTTGTTATAATCGATATTTACATACTTATGACTTATATCTACAATTAGCTAAACAAGTTAGGGGCCCAGTGGATGGAAAGTAGTAACCGTCGCCTATAGACACACACAGCTCTATTAACAATAGATAATACAGAATCACCTTATGGTTCTAGCATAGAATGGGGCCAACCTTTTTCCGTGGGTGTCGTAAGTGGCGACTAAGGGAACTTAATGAAAGAAGGATAGGGGCAGCAGCTTTATTCATGGCGTTAGATCACAAAATACACTAACGCCTGTGGTATTCCTCATTCCTGTTCACCCATAAAAGATGTCCTATGATTAATATAATAAAAACTTTATTTTAACAAAAATACGGGTACAAAATTTTACCATCAGTGATTACTACACTAGGCTGGGAGGAAAGGGATTGTTAGTAATGGAGACTGAGAATCCCATTGCTAGCAATATACCCAACCAAGTCTCCCTCCTCGCGGTTCCGCCTGGAAACTATCATGGTTAATTCCTGATGAATTCATCATGATGGGCTAACTGGCCTGTTTTCATTCTCATCTATCACCCTTCACTGGTGCTCCGCCAGCGTATCCCGTTAGCGCAGGCGGGGTTACCATACCATTTTCACCCATCAAAAAAAACTACACTAGGCTCGCAGACCTGTTTGGTAGTAATCGTTAAGTGATTAATTAAATTAGTACATAGTTATTGCCATTTATTTAGAATTAAATACCCAACTTCTGTTAATCCATTGACACTTATTTAAATATAGCTTCTTTAGGACTTCCATCAACAATAATTGTGATATATTTTATATAATGACCACGTGGTTCACTATACTTGTTCACTCTTGATACGGCAGGGAGTTCCATTCTGTTCAACGGTTGGGCAAGAAGTATCTCCCCACCCAAATGACAATATTTTATATCCACACGGCCGAATTCGAGTGAACAAGTCAGTGAGAACACGTGTTCTTACAATTTCATTACTTTTTATTTAAGTGTCATGATAATAAATAATTATAAAATCAATTAAAACATAAATTAGTGTTCTATATACATTACAATAATAATCCATTACAAAATTTGGTATAATAACAATTTTAATATTTTATTATATTTAAAGTTGTTATGCTTATTTTTTTAAATAAATGTAGGTACACATTTTGACACGAGATGTTTAAGAAAATTAATATAATTTAAAATAAATATCTAACACGCTTTTACAGTAACTGCTCCATAATATCCTTTTTAACTCTTTTTCCCCTTGTTATCTAAAGGAATGGTTTGATTTTTTACATTCCGTCAGTTCTTTTAATCTAAGGTCTTTTGAGGGCCTCCACCTGAAGACTCCAGTACACTATTCTAGTTTTTACGTTCACGGTGCAAGCTGTATGGCTGTGGAATAGTTTACCACTTTCTATTCGAAATTCAAAATGTCTGCTTAGTTTTAGAACAAAATTTAAGGATTTTTATTTGAGTAAGTTGTCATTCTCTTAATTTGTTTATTTGTCGGGTTAGTATACTTATTTCTTTAGATATATAAAAATTTATAACTTTGTTTTTTACGTATACATATTATATATTTATATGCATGCGTATATATATATATATATATATATATATATATATATATATATATATATATATATATATATAATCCCATAGTAAGTAGGGATATATATTTACATTATTACATGTATTATATCTCTATATTTAGAAATAATAGGATCTTTATCGTGCTTCCGATCAAACTGTTCTGTTTATAATTACTCCTCTCCATCCAAAGGTTGCCTGGAAGAGATCGCTTTTAGCGATAAGGTCGTCCATTGTTTCCCCACTGTGATTATTTCTTGTAATTGTTTATATTTATAATAAGTTTACTAATGTAATCTTTTGGAGGAAACAATAAACAGTATCTATCTATCTTTCTAACGTATACATACATAATTTTTTTAATTATCTCTTACTACTTATCATCAGTGTTGCGCCATCGTCTAGTGTCAATATTTTTAAGTCATTCATTTATCACATATTTCTCAATTCGCCAATTTCTTTTATCTGTAAGTGTGTAGGCAGATTTACATTCTTTCCTGATGAATTCATCATGATGGGCTAACTGGCCTGTTTTCATTCTCATCTATCACCCTTCACTGGTGCTCCGCCAGCGTATCCCGTTAGCGCAGGCGGGGTTACCATACCATTTTCACCCATCAAAAACAAAAAAAGACTATTCCATTTTCATCCATTAAAAAAGCGATAAGGATTACTCTTGTGTTAGCTCCATACTAATTGCATTGCGATTAATGTAATTTTTGATGGATGTATGTATCAGCCGTTAACTATCCACCGCTGAACATGAGCCTCCCCCATAAGGGGAGTTTTTTTTTATGAAAATGGAGTGGTAGCCCCGTCTGCGCTAATGGGATACGCTAACGGGGCACCAGTGAAGGGTGATCGATGAAGATGAAACAAGCCAGTTAGCCCATCATGATGAATTCATCAGGAATTAATCATGATAGTTTCCAGGGGGAACCCCGAGGAGGTCGACCTGGTTGGATATATTGCTAGCAATGGGATTCTCAGTCTCCATTACTAACAATCCCTTTTTCCCCCCATAAGGGGGGTTTGCCATAGTTGACACGCTAGGCTATCGGGTTAGCAACCATAGTTTGGCTTTTGATAATGTTTAAGAGGGACGCTGCTGCCCATCCCTTCACCATAAGCTCCCTTAGTCGCCTCTTACGACACCCACGGGAAAGAAGGGGTGGTCTATTCTATGCCGGGACCAACACGGCAAATATTGATACGATAAATATATAGGTACGTATGTATATAATTACCGGAGTAGATTAAAAAAAATACAAGTATATGCTGTCGTAATGCCTATCGTGATAATGTAAAAACATCTAATAAATAGATTAACCACGAGAATTAGAAAACTAAATGTAATTGCTTTGTTAAACTAGACAATATGCAAATAGTTTTTAAATTACAGTTTATAAACGCCTTATTTATTTATTTTATTTATTTATTCATTAGTACATATATGTGTACATGGCGGACTTAATGCTAAAAGCATTCTCTCCCAGTCAACCATAGGGAAGTGTCAGTCATTACATAATTATATATACATACAATAAAATTAATATATAAACTACATATATATGATATATACTATATTATACACGAAATTGAGAATAATATAAAGCACTTACTGCTCGGATAAAGATAAAAAGTGAGCGTGAACGCTTTTTTTGAAAGACAGTTTAGTCGGTAGTCTCTTAATGGCATCAGGAAGCACGTTCCAGAGTCGTGAAGAATGTAGGAGAAAAGAGTTTGAACCATAACAGCTTAACCAAACACTGTGAAGTTTGGTATCATCATCATTTCAGCTATTGTCCGTCCACTGCTGGACATAAGCCTCCCCCATTAGGGGGAAAGGGATTGTTAGTAATGGAGTCTAACTGACCCATCGCGGGAGGGAAAGATTGTTAGTAATGGAGACTGAAAATCTTATTGCTAGCAATATACCCAACCAGGTCGACCTCCTCGCGGTTCTCCCTGGAAACTATCATGGTTAATTCCTGATGAATTCATCATGATGGGCTAACTGGCCTGTTTTCATTTTCATCTATCACCCTTCATTGGTGTTCCGTCAGCGTATTCCGTTAGCGCAGACGGGGTTACCATACCATTTTCACCCATCAAAAAAAAAGTGACCCATCGCTAGCAATGCACCTCATCAGGTCGACCTGTATGTAATTCCCCTGGAAACCATCGTGGTTAATTTTAGTGGAATTTGTCATGACAGGCTAACTGACCTGCTTTCATCACCACCTATCATCCTTCACTGGTGCCCCACCAGTGTATGCCGATGGCGTGGGCGGCGTTACCATTCCATTATCATCCATTAAAAAAAAACGCTTCCCAATAGACTGCCATAAAGAACGGTCCTGAGCACATGTCCACCTGCACCCACTGACTCCCTGCAACGCATTTCAGGTCGTCACTCCATCTAGTGGAGAGTAGTCCTACACTGTCTGAAGTTTGGTATATACGTACTAACTGGGATGTCGACCTGATGGGGTGCATTGCTAGCGATGGGTCAGTTAGGCTCCATTACTCACAATCCCTTTCCCCCTTATGGGGGAGGCTTATGGCCAGCAGTGGACAGTTAACGGCCAATACAACAACAATCTATATCAATGAGAGAGAATTGTTAGTATGGGGATTTTTTTCATAGGTGAAAATGGAATGGTAAACCTACCTGCGCTAACGGTATACACTGGCGAGGCATCAGCGAGAGATGATAGGTGAGAATGAAAAGGCAGGTCAGTTAGTCCATCGTGATGAATACACCTGGAATTCAGCACGATAATTTCCAGGAGGGAACACGTGGAGGTCGACCTGACAGGGTATATTGCTAGCAATGCGACTGGTAGTCCGCATTGCTAACAATCCCTTCTCCCTACAACAATCCATTACTTATGTCACCATATACTTAGAATCAAACGCTAATTCAACGCTATCCTAACCATCTGGACGAGTGGCGGTCCTCCACCGTGCGTTTTTCAAGGCACTTTCTTCCACGCACAATCACTCAACTTCCAGCAGCAGTATTTCCGAACCGATACGAAAACATAGCCTTCAAGAAAAGAGTATATTCCTTTTTAAAAGGCTGGCAGCACACCTGCAATGCCATTGGTGTTGTGGGTGATCATGGGCGATGGTAGCCACTTGCTATCAGGTGAGCCGCATGCTCTTTTTTTTTATACAACTTAGAATGGCAAACAAGCTGAAGACCCACCTGATGGAAAGTGGTAATCGTCGCCTATAGACATGAGCAGTACCATGGACATAACAGAGTATACTGTTTCGCCCATGATACCCCCCATGCGTTGCCATTCCTGAGGACTCAGATGTTATTCCTCTGTACCCTGTAAATTCACGCCATATCCCACCCTTCATACCGAAACACAGCCATGCAAACACAACTGCTTCACGGTTGAAACACGAATGGGACAGAGGTGCCCAAGCAAACGACTTTTGTAGAAAGTCTCCCTCTGGTCTCGTTTGTTATAAAAACAAAATTCATTCAAGATTGCTTTGTCCTTTAACTACATAATTAAAAGCGAGTAATCAATGTATTATTGTACTATTTTAGGTGAGATTACTAATGTAGTCTATCGCTTAGCGTTGGAAAGAAAGTTAGCTGACGGTTAGTTGACAGTGGCAGCAGTGTTGGAAACATGGCAATTTTGGTACAACTACTTGGCACAATTGTTGGTGAGTTTCATGAATAAATTTACATAATATACGTATTTACATATACAGAAAAGTAGACATGAATGTAATTGAAAATTGAAGGGAAAATAATTGAGTGTTTGCATGGGAGTTTTTTTTTCAAAAATACTTGTCTATTCAGAGTATATTTAGAATAATTTTAATTGTGTATTATGATTAATTTTGTTTTATTATGGTGTACATTTCCCATGGATTAGATTATGTTTAGACAGCGTCATTGTGAGTATGGTAAAATAATTATTTTTATTTTATTTAATACTAGCGACCCGCCCCGGCTTCGCACGGATGTAATGCTGATACTAAATAGCCCCCCATTATATTACGACATCACATTAGAAACCCCTAAAATTATCAGTGTTCCTCTACTATATTATGCATGTATTATACACATAAACATTCCTCTTGAATCACTCTATCTATTAAAAAAAACGCTTCAAAATCCGTTGCGTAGTTTCAAAGATTTAAGCATACATAGGAACGGACAGACAGCGATAGCGACTTTATTTTTTACTATGTAATGATGTCGATATTGAAAACGAAATATAAATAAAAATCCCGTTTACATACACACCAATACATACATATACACGCATGTGGTCCCGGTATAGAATAGGCCACTCCTTCCTATCCCGTGGGTGTCGTAAGAGCCTATTAAAGAAGGTGAGAGATGGGCAGCAGCGTTCCTCTTAAAACATCTCTTAAAGCTGACTGCGGTTGCCAACTCGCCTGCCAAGCGTGGCAACTACTGGCATAACCCTCCCAAGGGGAGTCTTATGTTCAGCAGTGGATAGTCAAATGCTGATAGGATGATGAAGTTACATCCCCCATTACGTTTACTCTCTTGCGCTACATAATACATACCCATATATGACACGTCTTACAGCATACACAATTTTTTATTAATTTATTAGTAGTTTGTTTGAATCGAAGCATTTGGCGTTCCATTGTTTCTGCCTACCCTAATGGGAGACAGGCGTGACAGATATGTATGTATGTATGTATTAGTGGTAAAATCTCATACGAAAATAATTTCTTTAAATAAAAACTAGTAGGTAAAAATTATCTGTAGGTACTACTAGAAAGCCGTGTGGTCCCGGCATAGAATAGGCCACCCCCTTCTTTACCGTTGTTGTAGGGGGCGACTAAGAGAGTTTATGATGCAAGGATAGGCAACAGCGTCCGGGGGAGACCCTGTCACCGAAGACTTAGTCGGATATATAAATTGGCGTACAAAGTTTTTTTTTATTCAACTTAGAATGGCAAATAAGCTGACGGCCCACCTGATGGAAAGTTGTAACCATCGCCTATAGACATGAGCAGTACCATGGATATAACAGAGCTGTTTCGCTCATGATACCCCCCATGCGTTGCCATTCCTGAGTATTATTATTCCTCTGTACCCTGTAAATTCACTGCCATATCCCACCCTTCAAACCGAAACACAGCCATGCAAACACAACTGCTTCGCGGTTGAAACACGAATGTTCTTGTGTGTGCTAGATTCTATTTGATTAGATATCTATAAAATGCCTGTAACGTTTTTTTTAAGGAGTGATGATGGAATGGTAAAATCAATTGCTTGATGACAGGTGAAAATGAATTCAGATCAGTTGTCCCACGAAATCACGATGGTTTCCAGGGAAACCACGTGGATGTCGACTTGATAGGATATATTGCTAGCAATGGGACTGTCAGATCACATTACTGACAATCTCTTTCCTCCCGATGCCTTTAATTTGGAGTAGTTTACTATAAAACGAAAAATAATCGATCTCCTCATTTCCTCCAGTGTGCTTCTTAACAATGACCATGGGTTTGATATTCACGTGGCCATCGTCAACTATTATACTCTTCAAATCTGAGAATACAACGCTACACAGAGTGATAACAGAGACAGAGGCCTCACTAGTGGGCAGTCTGTCGAGTATAGGAGCCTTATTCGGTACTCCATTAGCCGGACTACTTTTGGACAGGCTTGGGAGGAAAGGCACTGGAGTTTTATTCTCGCTGCTGAGTGTTGTAAGTGCGTCATTTATATGTTAATATTTCACACTGAAATCCATATCACTGGTTATTTGATTATAATTATTTTATTTAATTCTGCTATCATTAGTATTTTTTTTTTTTATCCAACTTAGAATGGCAAACAAGCTGACGGTCCACCTGATGAAAAGTGGTAATCGTCGCCTATAGACATGAGCAGTATCATGGTAACAGAGTGTACTGTTTCGTGACATCTCCTATGTGTTGGCATTCCTGAGTACTCAGATGTTATTCCTCTGTACCCTGTAAATTTACTGCCATATCCCACTCTTTAAACCGAAACACAGCTATGCAAACACAACTGCTTCACAGAGGTGCCCAAGTAAACGACTTTTGTACAAAATCTCCCTCTGTGTGTGACTGTCAACACTCGAAGATTGGCCACCGCTATTACTACCAGAAGTTCTACAACTATCTATTTTAGTCATCAATCTCTGACTGCCATTTTGTTCACGCACGTTTTGCCACACGTGTTTGAGGCATCTTCAGGCAAATTGAAATTAAATTGCAAGGCTAATTGTGGTGGTCAATCTTTGAGTGTTGGCATATTTTTTTTTAATGGATGAAAATGGCATAGTAACCCCGTCTGCACTATCGGTATACACTGGCAGCGTACCAGTGAGAGGTGATAGATGAAAATGAAAAGGCAGGCCAGTTAGCCCATCGTAACGATTACAACGATAAATTAGTCACGACAGTTTTTCAGAGGAAAACTGTGTGGAGGTCGACCTGATAGCGTATATTGATAGTTTCCCCCCAGTATTGGCATGTTAACAGTTTGTAGTTTTTTTTATCAGAGCTCTTATTAAGAGTATTTTTCAGAATTTTCGTATGTCTGTCGGAACGCAATATACATATTGTATTATAGGGTAACGCAAAAACTGCTATACCAAAAACTGCTATACCAAAAACTGCTATACCAAAAACTGCTATACCAAAAACTGCTATACCAAAAACTGCTATACCAAAAACTGCTATACCAAAAACTGCTATACCAAAAACTGCTATACCAAAAACTGCTATACCAAAATCAAGCCAGAAACTAGTATAGAAATATCTTTTATTTATTTATGCTTTATTATATACATTAATAATACATAAAGAAATATGAAATGTGGAAAGCAAATGTGCAAAGGCGAGCTTATCTCTACAAGAATTCTCTTCCAGAAAACCTAAAATGGAAAGGAATTATTCTTGCAGATAAAGTTGCGAGCTACAAATAGTATTAAAATAATTATCCTCGCAGGTATGCTGGACTATGGTTGCAGTCAGCAACCGTGTGGAGGTAGTGCTGGCTTCTCTATTCTTGTCAGGGTTAGCTGGCTCGTCCTTTCTCGTCGTGCCGGTGTTCGTGGGGGAATTCTGTCAAGATTCCATTAGAGGGTCCATGGTGACGGCTGCCATAGTGTTCTATGGTGTGGGAATGTTGCTCTCATATTTGATGGGGGGCCTGCTTTCTTACTGGAACATGATATATGCCTCCCTCACTCTGGCCACTACTAATGTGTGTTTGCTGATCATTCTGAAGGAGTCACCGACATTTTTGTTGTCCAAAGGTTTGGAGAAGGTGAGTTGCCATTAAAATAATCTGCTCGTAACTATAATTTATTTATTCACTAGCCATCGACGCGACGCCAGCAATTTCGTCTTAGATAGATAGATAGATACTCTTTATTGTTTCCTCCAAAAGATTACAATAGTAAACTTATTACAAATATAAACAATTACAAGAAATAATCACAATCAGACAACAATGGGCGACCTTATCGCTAAGAGCGATCTCTTCCAGAATTTCGGTCGTGTTTCGTTGCGGACGCGATAATCGGACAGTTACTTTCGTGGTAGGCCCGCAGGCAACCTTTGATAATAAAATTAATCATTTATTATTTGGAATTAATAATTACAATATCCTCGGTGTCCACATCTCCAGCACCGTAGAGTTTCAATGTCATCTAGAAGGGTCAAGCTGGCGTCCAAAAAGCTCGGGGTGTTCAATAGAGCGAAACAGAGGGCAAATGGCAGAGAGGAAATGTTTTCCGAAATTTCGGGTCCGAACGAAACACAAATTTGATGTTAAAATTACATAATACATACCGTTTTAAAATATTTAAAATGCTAAAATATCGTTCCTTTGGACTTTTAGGGTAGGATTTATGACAAACGAAATGTTAAGCTCCATTTACTGGGTCGATTTCGGTATGAACAAAAATACGAAATTGAGTCCGAAAGTTCGGAATTTCATTTAATGGTACACCTCCAGAACTTGACCCTGAGACAAAGAACAATTGTACAAGTCGCAAATCCGGGAGGAAAGGATTTGTTAGTAATGGGACCTAACAGCTCCATTGCTAGCAATGTACCGGACGGTGTTCTCTACCAGTTAACCATTGAGCAAACCAAGAAATAAGTAGGCGGTGCATTATTGAATTTAATATATACTTATATTATTATATATTCTTTATTGCACAATAAATTTTTGTACAAATGGCGAGCTTAATGCCATATAGCATTCTCTACCAGCTAACCGTTAGATATAAACAGAAAGCGTATGAAGGGCAGATGTGGTGAAAAATATGTGACATAATTATAGTAATATACTGAAATAATTATACAGAGTAATACATAAGAAATACACATATAACGAGTAGAATTGTATATTTTAATGTATATATATATATATATATATATATATATATATATATATATATATATATATATATATATATATATATATATATATATATTTGTGATTAATATAAAAAAAATCTGTAGAGAGGTCAATTCTGTACATGAAATATATTTCCAAAATAACTATCAGGCGGTGACTAGTGATCGATACTGATGCCAAAAATGCAATCAGTAAAATTTTTGTCTGTCTCTCTATATGTTTGTTATAGAAACAAAAACTACTCGACGGATTTTAACGAAACTTGGTACAATTATTCTTCATACCCCTGGGCAGGTTATAGTATACTTTTCATCACGCCACGATCAATAGGAGCAGAGCAGTGAAGGGAAATGTGTTTGTTACATCAAAACCACTGAACCGTGAGGAAGGACATAGACTACTTATTTTACGAAAACCAATGTCGCGGGCAACAGCTAGTTAATAATAATAAAATAAATAAATAAAATAAAAAAAAATTATACAGAAAACACGTACCTATCGCGAAACAATAATAATATGGACATGTACAATTTCAATGCTTTATAACTATAATATCGACTATTTTTAAATGTTGACATAATTAACTAATTCAATGTAACAATTAATATGTATTTAGAATAATTATTTGGACATACGTAATTGATAAATTTTTACTTAACACGTGCTAAGACAAAATTTGCATGCGTTTAGATAAGGCGAAATGTGTAGCTCAGTTACCATTTAAGACTTTTGTACCACATTTCGAGCAAATAAATTATTTTTATTCTTATTCTTAACGATGTTAATTATTGAATAATATTGTAATAAACTCATTAAATATTTCTAAAATAAAAAAAAAAGTTGTCCTCCTCTCTCCTACCTGCTGTGCCCAACAGGATCCACAATTAGAGTTGTTTTAATATCTACCAACCACATCATGAAATGCAATAAGAAATAAATTGGGGGGAAAGAGATTGTTAGTAATGGAGACTGAGAATCCTATTACTAGCAATATACCCAACCAGGTCGACCTCCTCGCGGTTCCCCCCGGAAACTATCATGGTTAATTCCTGATGAATTCATCATGATGGGCTAACTGGCCTGTTTTCATTCTCATCTATCACCCTGCACTGGTGCTCCGTCAGCGTATCCCGTTAGCGCAGGCGGGGTTACCATACCATTTTCACCCATCAAAAAAAAAATAAGAAATAAATTATCTTGTTCTCTGTACATACATTCGTATACATGACGATGATGTTTCCAGGCGGCAGCGGAGTCTGTAGCTTTCTATAGAAGCGCGAAGCAAAATTCGATGGAAGTGTTGCAGGAGATGGCATTGATCAAGCGAGTGCTCAACGCGAACGCCGATGGTAGTTAGTATAATTTAGTTTATACCATTGAGGTCGCAAATAAGCTTATGGTCCACTTGATGGTAATTAGTTACCGTAGCCTTCAAATTAAACAAGTACATGATCTTACTAGGCTTATGTCCAAAAAGTTTACAAGAGGGAGACTTTGTATATTTATTCGTTTATATATGTAAGTAAATTTTAGTATGTATGTATATCAATAATTAGTAGTACCGCATTCGAGTATTCTGCCACTTCCCTATGGTTGACTGGGAGAGAATGCTTTTAGCATTAAGTCCGCCATGTACACATATATGTACTAATTAATAAATAAATAAATAAAAATAATAATCCAGTGCTTCAAAATGTATATCAAAAAATAAAAATCATATTCGTTAGTGTTCCACGTGAGATCTCATAAAACGTAAATTGTGCTGATTAACTGAAAATATTTTGTACTCAATCAATCAATCAATCATCTTTATTCATATACATCTGTTACAGATACTTATGATACGTCAGTCTATAATTATAATAATTACTATAGAAAATAATATTGATTTAAGAAAAAATGCAATAATTACATTTACAATACAATTCACATTAATACAAAATTCAAATCCATGCAGTTTTGTCATTTAAATAGTCATTTAATTTATAATATGCTTTTGTACAGAGAGTCCTTTTTATATATGTCTTAAATTTTCTTTCATTTAATTGTAAAACGTCATCTGGAAGTTTATTATAAAAACGTATACAGTTCCCCATGAAAGATGTACTGACTTTTCTAAGGCGATAACAAGGAACATTCAATTTGTTTTTATTTCTTGTATTGAAATTATGTATGTCACTGTTATTTTTAAAAAGATTTATATTTTTACGTACATACATAATGTTTTCGTATATATATTGCGAGGGAACAGTAAGTATACCTGTTTGCTTAAAATATTCTCTAAGAGATTCCCGAGAAGGCAAATTAAATATTGACCGAACTGCTCTTTTTTGCAGTACAAAGATTGTATCGATGTCAGCAGCCCTCCCCCATAATATAATGCCATATGACATGATACTGTGAAAGTAACTAAAATATACAAGCTTAGCTGTTATTGTATCAGTTAATTGTCGGATTTTTCTAACAGCATAAGCAGCTGAACTCAGCCTGTTGGCCAATTCAAATATATGGGAGCCCCATTGCAACTTATAATCAACTACTATGCCAAGAAAAGTGGTTTTATCTACAAAGTCTAAATCCTGGTGGTCTAATCTAATAGCGGTATTCACTTGCTTAGTATTAGATATGGAAAATCTGATATATTTAGTTTTTTTTGAATTAAGTACTAGATTATTTGACGTAAACCATATCAAAACCTTAGACAAAGCAACATTTACATGGTCAAGGTTATGTGTATTTCTATTCACTTTAAACATTAGTGAAGTGTCATCAGCAAATAATACAATATCAGACAAATCTTGAACATGATACGGTAAGTCATTCATGTATACAAGAAAAAGAAAAGGACCCAAAATAGATCCCTGAGGCACACCCATTTCAATATAAGATCCACTAGAATTGACACCGTTTACTTCTACTATTTGAATTCTTGAATTTAAGTAAGATTTTAAGAGATCTAAAGACTTATTTCTAACTCCATAATGTTCAAGCTTCATTAATAAAGTTTTATGATCGACGCAATCGAATGCCTTAGAAAGATCACAAAATACACCAATTACATCTTGTGAATTCTCCCATGCACTGAAAATGCATTGCATTAAATTAATGCCGGCATCAACAGTGCATCGTCCTTTTGTAAATCCATATTGTTGCTTGTGGAGTAAGTCACGTAAATTGAAATGGTCTAACATTTGTAGAAGAATTAATTTTTCGAAAATCTTACTAAATACTGGTAGAATTGAGATTGGCCTAAAGTTAGTAAGGTTTTCCTTATCACCAGACTTAAATAACGGCATTATTTTACTAACTTTCATTAGATCTGGAAACACTCCTTGATCAATACTCTTGTTAAATATTATAGCCAGATGAGGAGCAATTTCATTTATTACAGATTTCATTACCTTTACTGACATACCCCAAATATCTTCCGTATTTTTCAAATTGAGAGAGTTAAAGGCTTTTATTATACAAGAAGAATTTATGTAATGAAACCTAAAATCATAGATACAGGAACTCACAGTGTTTTTTAATAATTGTTTAGCTAAATCAGGTGACGAATTTAATGATTTTGTTGCTTTTAAAGGTATTGTTGAGAAAAAATTTTCGAAAACTTGAGCAACTTGATCATTTTTATCAACGATACCATTTTCAGTTTTCAGCCTATATTTTAACTGACGAGACTTTTTGTTACCTATTTCCGTGTTTATTATGTTCCACGTAGTCTTTATTTTGTCTTTAGATGTTGTAATTTTGCGTTTTAAGTGAAGGATCTTAGCAGCGTTACACACTCTTTTAAATATTTTTGAGTAATTTTTCACATATTCAACAAAAATAGGTTCTTGCAAATAGCTCTTGATATCATACAGTTGATACATATTCTCTCTACTTTTTCTAATACCAAACGTAGACCATTCACTAAATTTTGAATTCTTAATCTTTGACTTCTTAATTGGAAAATTATTATCAAAATGAGATTTTACTATATTGAAAAATCGGTCATATAATGTACTAGGATTTATATTATTATCATCATACTTTAAAAAAGGTAGGCTTTCCTTTAATCTATCCCTGAATTTCTGCAATTTATATGCTGTTGTTGGTCTATAAAGTTTATAGGTATCTTCCGTAATTTCATTACATGTAAATGTCACACTTTGTCCGCAATGGTCCGAAGGTAAAGTATTTATAATAGATTTATTTAAAATATTAAAATTACAATATATATTGTCAATACATGTTGCTGTATTACATGTAATTCGCGTCGGTTCTAAGAAGACATGAACTAGACCAAAACTTTTAAACAAACTATTGATTTTTGTCTTCATAGGACTATCAATTAGAAGGTCCACGTTAAAGTCCCCGCATACTAATATAGATTTATTACTTTTAAATGCTAATTTCAGTACATCCTCCATGATGGACTCAAATTTGACGTAGTCTGAGTTTGGGGGTCTATATACACATATAATTATATATTTATCCAACTCTGTACATGAGATTTCAACAACACATTCCTTAGAAAGTGCTACTATATCTTTACGCTCTTTAACTTTAATATTTCTATTTACAAAAATAATAGACCCTCCTCTTATAGAGTTTTGTCTGTTGAATACACTCTGGATTTTATAATTCGGTATGTGAATTGACATGTTTGTCATTTTTAGCCAATGTTCAGTGAGGCATAGAATGTCAATATTAAATTCATTTAAAAATAATTCTATTAGTAATTCTTTGCCAAGAAAGCCTTGAATATTTTGATGAACTAGTTTAAGATGTTTTGGCTTTCTCTTTGTCAGTAAACTAAGTTTAAATAATCATTAGTATAATTACTAAATCCTATACAATTTTTATGTTTAACTGTTATACTATTTATAACAGGACTATGTAATATATTATAAGCTAACAATGTAGCTAACTGTCGTTTGTAAAATTGTGAGAGGTACAATGTACCTTCAGTCAATTTAAAATTATTTACAAATTTATTTGTATCAAAACAATGAATATTTTCAACAAAACAGCTCATGTTATACATTAAAGTATTAAGTCTATAAATTTGTTGGTTCTGATTTCGAGACAATGAAACCGAATAAGGAAAAGTACATATAATAAATTTTTTTATAGTCATATTTGAGACAGATTTAAGAAGATATCTCAAGTCCTTCTGAGAAACACCTATACTATTTCCTATCAAAAATACAATAGTAGTGTGTTTATTGTAATTGTTTTGATTACATAACATTTGTTTTACAATATAATTAAATGGGGCATCGGGTATACAATTATTTACGATTTGTTCTGACATACAATTATTCATAATTAATCCTAAGTTAATTCCTATTCTATCTGAGTACAATACAGTATTACTATTATGTATCTGTCGTCGGGTAAAGTCGTCAGATGATAAATTTGACTGTGTGTGAGTAGCAATTGGTACCATAGGTAAAGAAAGACTATTGGGTTTTGTGGTGCTGCTTGGTTCTTCTTCCACCACTTGTTCCAATATACCACTTGGTTCTCTTGAATTGATTTCAATCAATTCCTTGACCACCACATTATGTTTGTATATTTGAATTTGGGCACTTGTGTATTTGTCACTAATAGACTGCAATGAAGATTCCAACTCCTTTATATGCAGCAATAATTTAGTAGTGTTTGTATCAAACTGTAATTTGTTACTCCAGAATTGATTTTCATAATATTTCAAGTAGTTATCGAATTTTTTCTCAGTTTCTATATCTGTTTTTAAAACACAGTTTTTATATTTTGTCAAATATTTATTACATTTCTTAATTTGTTTACTTATTTTCATATATTTTCTACTTTTTTTTTCTCTGTTAATAAGATATTTCGGTTTTTTCTTCGAAAATATAGATTTTCTAGTCTTGGAAGTATTTTTGCTGCTGTAAAGTGGGTTATCGCATAAGCTGTGGTCCATTAATTCGGCATATAACGTCATAGTTTTTTCAGCTTCTTGGTCACACATTCTACTATTTAATGTATTTATTTCATTATAAGCTTCGGCAAGTTGGCATTCCAACTCATGGATACGGTTTAACGCACTATCGTGAGCATGTCGACACTGGTCAAATGAATCGATAATAGCCTGCAGTTCGTCGCATTTACTTATCGTACTTTGATGTTGGTTGTCCAATTCCACCAATTTTTGTTTTAATATAGTATTTTTCTTTAAAATATTTGTGATTTCCACTTCCCCTTCATCTCGCTCCTGTATTAGCTTTTCACATAGCTCTTTCTTTTCTTTTAACTCAAGTACGGCCTTTTTTAATTTGAGTTCCAAGTCCTTACTGCGAGTTACCATTTTATTCGAAATAAAAAAACAACCAAATATAAAAATAAAAATGTTAAAAATATAGGTTTATAATACATATACACATACATACATATATATATATAAACATACACATACACACACATACACATACATATACATACACACATAAATCTATTATAGGTACTGGTGAGTTTTTCTTGTCTGCTAAATTCTAATTTTTGTATCTCTAGGCTTTAATTGTGATATAGGTTTCACGTTATTAAATAAGCTTTAACTTAATTTACGAATAAAATAACAGCGCGTGTATTGTTTACACGGCGATTCATTCATGAGTAATAATTGAACAATCACATCAAAAAAAAGTAATTATTATCATACAAAGGTTATATATATATATATATATATATTTATATATATGTATAAAGAAAGTTCAATGACGCCACGACACCAATTCAGTTATGAAGTTGTCGGTGAAATATTCAATTACAATCTTCGCTATTTGACAGTTTATTTTCTTGAAATTTTCAGTTACTGAAGGTGATTGAAACAATTAATTATACACTTTAACCATCAACCGTCACTTGCACTTTTTATTAATAATATACAAAATATTTATTCACAATTCTCTACAATAACACTTGTATTGTTGATTGTAAGTATATATTCATTACATTGTAACTTACTTATTATTATTTATTTATACTTATGTGGTTTAGAATTGTTACGTTATCTTTAAAACGACCAGAATGAACTCAATTTTAACTTTAAGTTTTCTTCAATTTGGATGAACGGTTTTTATCACAAACACGAACACAGGAAATTTAAGTACTAATACACAGTTTAATCGCGTATAATTTAGGTAAATACAGAATTTTCTATTTTTAAGAATAAAAAATACACGAGCTCAATGTTTATCTGTCAGGTGGCGCCACCTATCCTCTCATGCGATTTACATGCGATGTGCATTATATGAAAGATAATATTTAACGGCATGCTGTTAAACTTTATAATACCCTAGTACTATGGAAATAGTTACAGTACGTATTTAACTGTTATCTAATATTATCTAAGTAGATACCAAAATAGTTTATGAACAAAAATAAATTTTGAATGTGTTTTTACAAGAACATCATAATGAAAAGTGTCAAATATTTTTTTTTTATGTGTAAAAGAGTCAACAAGGAGTTTATACCAATTAATAATCGAACAGATTATGATCAAAGTTCAAATTTTTTGTCTATAGTCCATGTATGACTAATTATGGTTGAAATTACATTTATTTATTTATTTATTACATCCACTGGGTGAGCCTTACAGTCTTCCAATACGCTCACTCAGGGAAGCATGAGTACAATAACATATAAAAAGGAATATTACACATATATAACAAGAATAATATAAAAAAATTTAACTGAAACAAAAAACGTCTGAACACAAATACTCTGTGGTCACTCGACGAGAACTCCAGCAAGTTGGAGGCAAATACATCCAATTGCGGATACTGGCTCAAAATATCATTGAGTAGTTTCAATGCAAGAGATGGGGGAGCCTGCTTAGCGAACTCTGTTCTTCGTAATGGAACATCGAATAAGTGCCGTCGACGTGCTCGCACGTACTTACTGGGCGCTCCTATTGATATTGATTCCAGTACAGTTTGGTTAATGGCGTTTTTTGGCATGTTCTTAAAATTTATTATATCCTAGTACTTTGGGAATACTTCTGTATGACTAACATTTTCCAAGTAAAAAAAATTGTTTTCGTCAGTCATTTAGGGTTCCGTACCAAATTTTACATTTAGGGTTCCGTACCAAATTTTATATTTTATATTTACATGAGTAGATTATATTATTATCTGTCTGTCACAGTGCACTTAAACACTACTAATCTTGTTGCTTTAAAATTTGGAATAGTTTTAGATATTACTAAAATTCATTATTGTAGCATATTTTTTTTTTAGCGGATTCATTCAGAAGAGATAGTCGAAATTCTGAAATATGATAGAGTTTCATTTGCACGTTATGAAACTAATTTTTATTTCTTATTTTTATTTTACTTTCACAGGAAAACATACTAAAGCATCTGTTTATATATATATATATATATATATATATATATATATATATATATATATATATATATATATATATATATATATATATATATATATATATATAACAATAATCAATTTTTAATTTTTTAATCCTCTCTAATTAAACAGAGGTTTCTCGAAGTCCCTCTCTAACGTGTTTTTTATATAAGTTTGGATAGATTAGCTGTATGTAATTATTTTTAAAGCAAAAAACACAACACAATAATTTAAAATATTGTCAATTTTTCGTAACATATACGGGTATATTTAAATATACCTAATATTCATAGATTCATATCCATCATTAACTGTCCACTGCTGTACATAGTCAGTAGCTGCCACACTTGGCAAGCGGATTGGCAACCGCAGTTAACCATTAAGTTTAGGTTACTATGTGTAAGTTGAATCTGATTAAATTTATCTTTACTATGCATTTCCGATGTCTTTCAGGTACCACACCTATTGAGGAGAAGTTAAACCCATCAATGGAGAAAGAGAAATTACCCGTGTGGCAATATTTCAGTAAGTATGGCTACGCGTGGGCGACACAGTGTATCCTGTGATCTCCATAGTTTTAAATAGATGATGATGGAATAGTAAGTCAGTACGCGCTATCGGTATGCGTTAACAGGACACTGCACTATTTAAATATGCACTCTGCAAAAATTTAATGTTTCGAAATTGGGTACAGAGGAATAACACCTGAGTCCTCAGGAATGGCAATGCATGGGGGGTATCATGGGCGAAACAGTATACTCTGTTATGTCCATGGTACTACTGCTCATGTCTATAGGCGACGGTTATCACTTTCGATCAGGTGGGCCGTCAGCTTGTTTGCCATTCTGAGTTACATAATAGAAAATTCGAGAGGAAACCATGTAGATATCGACCTGATATTGCTAGCAATGGGCATTAACATCTCCATTGCTAACAATCCTGCTCTCTTTTCGCGGAAGTTATCTTGGTAGCGATTAGTCGTGATAATATGTATTTTATTATAATGTAGGGGGCAAACGAGCATGCGGCTCACCTGATGGTAAGTGATTACCACCACCCGTAGCCACTTGTAACATCACAGAAATTGCAGGTACGTTGTTGGTCTTTTAAGAAGCAATGTGCTTTGTTTCTTGAAGGTTCCAATGCTGTGTCTATTAGGAAATACTGGGAGTATTTTTTTATGGATGATAATGAAATGGTTGCCCCACTTGCGCTATCGGTATACACTAGTGGGGCACCAGTGAGGGATGACAGATGAGGATGAAAGCAGGTCTGTTAGTCCATCGTGACGAATTTCACAATAATTAATCAAGACAGTTTCTAGGGGGAACCGCGTAGAGTTCGACCAGATAGGGTGTAATGCAAAGAAGCTGTTGGCTCCCAGTTACTAACAGTCTCTTCCCCTTTGCTGCTGGGAGTTGGTTCCATGCTTTGATTGTGCCTGCAAGTAAATATTTACAGAAACGCACGGTTGAGGATCGACACTCTACGAGTACAACTGTCAGGGAAAAACGTGATGAAATTCAGCAGATGGTATCAATCGGAATAATTCCTTTGAACGTTCCCCATACAATATGCCATAAAAACGCAAATAGACGCAAAGACATGCAACGATACGTACGTAGAGGATACTTGATGGAAATTTTAGCTTTTTGTTGAAAGTATCGTAACCACACATTATTTATTATTAGATCGAAAAGGCTCGACTAGTTTCGGATTCAATTCGTAATCCTTAGTCCTTAATTTCCTTTTTTAGGCTCGTTCTTGCGTCACAGTCACTCATGACTAAGGATCACGGATTGACTCCGAAACTAGTTGAGTGTTTTCGATGTAAGTTTAATCGGTAGTTATTAAAGTGTTAATTTTTTCTTGCTAACTTTCAGAGAAGTCAAGATCAACCCGTCGGGCGATGTTCGTGACCCTGGTGCTGGTGACGGCGTCGATTCTCCAAGGTCTGATCGTGGTGCAGGTGTACGCGCAGCCGCTATTCTTGTCCGCAGCGCCGGAGATGTCGGCCACCCTCGGCAGCGTTATATTCGCATTATCGGCGTCTTGTCCGGTATTCCTGCGGCGTACATGGTTGATGCGTTTGGACGGAGGGTAAAGATCTTTATATCTGAGATGATATCTTGTAACTAACTAGTTAACCAATTTGTTTTTTTTTATGTGACTATTATACTTATATATACTTAATACTTATAATTATTTTCCTTAATGTTTTATTCTGTAAATTTTTTTTAATAATACAATACCTACTTGTACAACAATTAGTCCATTACCCTAAAGTTGTCTTGAAAAGATCGCTCTCAGCAATAAGACCGCCTTACTGTACTTATACAATTGTATCGTTATATTTATTAATTGTCTTCTTTATTTCCTATACTGTATAATGCAAATAAAGTATACTCATTCATTCATTCATCTTTTAATTGCAATAATTCATGTTAATTTCATCAAAGATTTACAATGCCGACTGCGCTCGCGGTGTAACAAACAGCGTGCTGGTCGCGCATTGCTGCTCGCGACACAGACGTTAACCGCGCTCATAAATAAGAACTTCTATTTAGTTAGAAACTAGTCGGACATCTCCCAATTGGGGGGAATGGGATTGTTTGTAATGAAATCTAACAGGATTGGGCCTGTTAGATCTCATTGCTTTACTAGTAGTAGCTAGCAATGTACCTTATCAGGTCGATCTTGTCAAATCTTGTTGAATTTGCCATAATGGGCTAACTGATCTGCTTTGATCCTTGCTTATCATCATCTCTCGCTAGTGCCCCGTCAGCGTATACCAATAGAGCAGGCGGGGTCACCGTTTATTAAAAAAAAAAAGAAAAAATATGTGCATCTGTAGTTATCATAAGCGCGGGAAAATAGAGTTTGGGTGTTGATGCGTTTTCGAGAGGGGGTGAGGTCAGGTCGCAGCGGGCAGTGGGGAGTGTACATACTGTACTTTAGTTTTCGTTATAATTTTTTATTTATTTATTGTTAAGTGTATTAAGTCTCTTATCCGAAAAATCGTCATAGTCGACGGATCTGACAAAGAATATATAGATGACGGATAGCAAAATCAATGCTATATAGGTACATCTCGGTGTGCATATACGAGTATAGCAACAGCTGAGGCGGCTCCAGCAACCAGCAAAATGAATTGTTTTCTTTTTTATTGTTGTTTTTTTAAATATTATTAGTGATTATATATATATATATATATATATATATATATATATATATATATATATATATATATATATATATATATATATAATTTTTAATTATTATAGATGTGTGTATGTATGCATGTGTATGTGTATGTATGTGTGTATATGTATATATGTGTATGTATTTTGCATATATAAAAACCGATCATTGTCATTACGCAAATGTGAAAACGATTCATGGCTTAACATAGATGTAAATTTGATTATGTATTGACTGTAATTCAGCTGTACGTTTTCCAAAAAATAAATAAATAAATAAAATAAATAAATAATAAAGACCATTCACCAGAGGGAGACTTTGTATAAAAGTCGATTGCTTGGGTACCTCTGTCTCATTCGTGTTTCAACCGTGAAGCAGTTGTGTTTGCATGGCTGTGTTTCGATTTGAAGGGTGGGATATGGCGTGAATTTACTGGGTACAGAGGAATAACACCCGAGTCCTCAGGAATGGCAACGCATGGGGGGTATTATGGGCGAAACAGTATACTCTGTTATGTCCACGGTACTGCTCATATCTATAGGCGACGGTTACCACTTTCCATCAGGTGGGCCGTCGGCTTGTTTGCCATTCTAAGTTGTATATAAAAAAAAGACTATCTATCTATCTAGTAATTTTACTTATACTACAATAATATCAAGGATTTAGTCTTAAGGTGCATAGAAATTAAAAATAATATAAATTATAAATAAATTAAGACCGTTTCCGACGGCCATTAAATATAAGCAGGTGTCAATAGGTCTTATTCATATAAAATATTCATAAATATAATATTATGACATATAATTATGGTAATTATTACTAGCTACATATAATTACTGTTTACTATTTATATAATAAAGGTCCTGCTGAGGTCGACAAAGGTTGTTTATTGTACAATCTTCAATATAGCATACACTTATAATATAAATATCTAATGGCGCTTTTAGGTCATCTATATGTCTACATTTTATGATTTCCTGGTTACTTTACTTTAAAAAGACGTATGGTCTTGGTAATGGATTGGGTCCGTACCTTTCCCATGGGTGTCGTAAGAGGCGACTAAGGGAACTTAGTGGTCGAGGGATGGGCAGCAGTGTCTCTTTTAAAACATCACCAAAAACTGCGCTTGCCAACCTGCCTGTCAAACCGCGCCAACTTTTTTTTATATATAACTTAGAATAGCAAGCAAGCTGACGGTCCTAATGATGGATAGACTGAGCAGTACCATGGACATAACAGAGTACTGTTTCGCCCATGATACCCCCCATGGGTTGTTATACCTGAGGACTCAGGTGTTAGTAACTATACCCCATATAATCCATAGAGTTTTACATATATATATATATATATATATATATATATATATATATATATATATATATATATATATATATATATATATATATATATATATATATATATATATATATATATATATACATATTTATATTTTATTTGCATTACTTACAGCACACAAATAACAACAGACAAATATAGACATGTACATACAGTGAAAATATAGATAGCAAAGAAAATAAAAAAAACATTCTTCCAGTTGTTTCTATATGCGAACCTATATGTAAAAATGTTCTAAATTTCAAATCAATAATAGCATTAGTAGCGAACGGACAATTGGACGGGCATTGAGGTTCCTTTTGCACATTCTTGGTACGGAATCCTAAAAATACCTATCCAAAAATGCTTAATATTTTAAATTAATACAAAAAAAACTTTTTTTGTCTTCATTTTCAGCCTCTGCTAATCTACGCATCCATCGCCGATGGTCTGTGTTGCGTCATTTGCGGGTCCCTGATCCATTTGCAGTGGGGTCCGAGCTATTTGACCCCAATGTTTATATTCATATTCTGCAGCGTGTACACTATTGGGCCAGGAAGTGTACCTTACGTGTTCTACGCTGAAGTGTTCCTGCCAGAGGTAACATACCCTGTATATTTTATAATACCATTTTTCTTACTAAAGCACGACATGTAACCTCACGTTCCTTGGCGACTAAGGGACCATAATGGTCAAGGGATGGGCAGCAACGTCCCTCTTATTTATTTAACTCTTTATTGCACCATAAATAAAAATATACAATGACAAGTGAATAATTCAAGTGAAATACAGTAACATAAATACAGATTGAAATATACACATAAATGTACAAAAGGCGGTCTTATCGCTAGGGCGATCTCTTACAGACAACCTGTGGTTAAAGGAGAACAGATAGAAGTGTGCAGGTGGTGCAAGAGTGAATTAATAATTTTTCGTGCATAAAATACAAAAACCTGTAATGCACAAAAATATCAAATACATATAATTTATTAAACTACTTACTATAACAATATATATATATATATATATAAAAATCCTTTTCGAGCTTATATAGTGCAGGTGAATGACCTAAGACTGACCTATAACCACTTATATCGAAACTATGATTGTTGTTTTCTTATAGGTCAGAAGTTACGTAAACATGGTAGTGGTGGAATGGGCGTGGCTGTGTAACTTCCTCATCCTGATAATCTTCGACCCCCTGGCTCGTGCTATCGGCCTGGGACCCGTGTTCTACCTCTTCGCCGTCGTCTGCTTCTTCACGGCGCTGTTCTCTGTATATTACATGCCAGAGACTAAGGGATTGGCGGCGGACGAAATTCAATTGTTGTTTACACCTAAGAAACGTAGACGGCATATTCAGACTTATGAATATTAGTGATTTTTTACGCAGTGCAGTGCAGTGTTGCCAAATTGGTTCATTTTTCCTCAATTTACGGTAAAACTTTTGTATCTCGAAAAAATGTTTTCGACATTTTTGGGAAAAAATAAAATCGATACAGAGCAATTCAGCTAATTTATTTGATAGTATTTGTAAGCATATATAGAATAATTACAAAGTTTTCGATTGGTTTAAAGTGAAGGAAATCAAAGCGAAGAAGGAAAAATGTTTTAGATTTGGGGATAATTGCACCTGACAACATTGGTGCAACGGTCCGTATAATTGAAGACCCGTTTTGTCTTTTTTTTTTATACAACTTAGAATAGCATACAAGCTGACGGCCCACCTGATGGAAAGTGGTAACCGTCGCCTATACACATGAGCAGTACCATGGACATAACAGAGTATACTGTTTCGCCCATGATACCCCCCATGCGTTGCCATTCCTGAGGACTCAGATGTTATTTCTCTGTACCCAGTAAATTCACGCCATATCCCACCCTTCAAACCGAAACACAGCCATGCAAACATAACTGTTTTACAGTTGAAACACGAATGGGACAGAGGTACCCAAGCAATCGACTTTTGTACAAAGTCTCCCTCTGGTAACTGTCTATTCTAGAGAAGGATTTTTAAGAAATTTTAGACTATGTGCTGTCTGTAGAATTGTTTAAATCTAATAGTATATTATAATATAATTTTAATTTTAGTAAAAACTAGCGACCCACCCGCCCTTGTACGGGTGTACATCACATCACATTAGAAACCTCTAAAATTATCAGTGTTCCTCTACAATATTATGCATGTATTATACATATAAACCTTCCTCTTGTATCACTCTATCTATTAAAAAACTGAAACAAAATCCGTTGCGTAGTTTTAAAAATCTGGACAGACAGACAGAAAGCGACTTTGTTTTATACTATGCAGTAATAGTAATAATGCTTACTAATTATTTTTTCTTCATTATGTCTAGATAGTATAATCTGTACCGTGTGGTCCCGGCATAGAATAGACCACCCCTGCCTTTCCCGTGGGTGTCGTAATAGGCGACTAAGAGAGGGTGAGGGATGGGCAGCAGCATCCCTTTTAAAACATCTCCAAAGCCTAACTGCGGTTGCTAATCTGCCTGCCAAGCGTGCTGCTGGCAAAATCCCACAGGGGGAGGCTTATGTTCCGCACTGGACAGTTGAAGGCTGATATGGTGATGATGCTGATGATGAATATGTTTACACATCATTTTTTACGTGATTTTAATGTCAATTTTGTGTTTTCATTCGGCTCCAAAATTTCGCAAGAATTTTCATGATAAACCCTCTGTTTTTATTGTCACCTATTGTATACCTCACTGGTGCCCCGCCAGCGTATACCGATAGCCCAGGCGGGGTTACCACTTCATCATCATCAATTAAAAAAGAAACATAATCAGCTTACCACTTTTCAAGATGTTGTTCTTTTTTTATAACATAGCAGTGGGCAAACGAGCATGCGGCTCAACTGATGGTAAGTGACTACCGCCGCCCATGATCACCCACAACACTAACAGTATTGCAGGTGTGCTGCCGGCCTTTTAAAAGGGAATATACTCTTTTCTTGAAGGTTATGATGTCGTATCGGTTCGAAAACACTGCTGCTGGAAGTTGATTCCAAAGAGCGATTGTGCGTGGAAGAAAGTGTCTTGAGAAACGCACGGTGGAATTTCGTCGTAGTAATAAAATCTGTATATACCAGGAGATAATAACATCAGAGAGGATGATGTAAATACCAGGACGCAACGACCCCACCGCATAATAACTAGTCAAGGTCGCGATAAAATCTCTATTACCGCTATTTCGTAATCTCATCATAATTTCTACAGTACATACTTTTAAGAGTGTTCGTGACGAAGTCTGGCAACGTCGTTACATGTCAATTGTTAAAAACAATTGAACATTTATTTATTCTTTATTGCATATAGGTAAAAACAAAAAGCGTATGTAGGGCAGTGGTTGTGAACGTACATTACACAAGAAATTAAATTTACCTATATTAATATAAATTGGCATTATAATAAATATATATATATATATATATAAATATATTTATTATAAATATAATATATGAAATGCAATAATATAAGCTAATAAATAAACTAAATATTATTATTATTATACCTATTTCATCATCACCATTATGTTAGACTTTAACTGTCCACTGCTGAACATAAGTCTCCCCCATGGAGGGTTTCGCCAGTACTGCTACGCTGGGCGGAAAAGGATTGTTAGTAATGGTGGTCAAATAGCCCCATTACTAATAATATACCCTACTAGGTCGACCTCCACGCATGATGCCCCCTGGAAACCATCTTGGCTAATTCTAGTTGAATACGTCACGATGGGCTAACTGACCTGCTTTCATCCTCATTAGTCATCTATCACTGGTGCCCCGCCATTATATACTGATAGCGCAGACGGGGTTACCATAACATTGTCACCCATTAAAAAAAAAAGTACTGTCACGCTTGACAGGCGGGTTGGCAACCGCAGTTAGGCTTTAGAGATGTTTTAAGGGGGACGCTGCTGCCCATCCCTCGCCCTCCCTTAGTCGAATCTTATGACACCCACGGGAAAGAAAGGGGTGGCCTATTCTATGCCGAGACCATATGGCAACCTATATAGCTATTTAACTATTAAATAATACAATGACATAGTTATCGAACTAAAATGTTAATCATGAAAGAATATTAAGCTACTATTGAAAACTTGCATTTTGATAGCAGAAATGTAACTGAAAAATTTCGAACTAAGACATGAAGTATGTAATTTTTAATAATACATATATTTATTTTTAATGTATTTATTCTATGATTAACATGTTACTTTGCATGCAGAGAACTACCAGCCAAAACTTACTATCAAAGAGGAATATAAAAAAAAAAAATAAGAAATAATTAAAGTTTTTGAAAATGTACACATAGTTTGGACAATCAATAGTTAAGAACGCTCTTAATACGAATTCAAAACTATGTCATGATTATGATTATGTACAATTTCAAAAGAAACCAAAGTCAATAATTATAAAGCCACACTGTAAAGATAAGATACGATTGAAGGCATCAAACGGGCAGAGAATCGCGCGTGAAACACATAACAATTAGTATCGCAAATCTTTTTATCACTGCAATATTCAAGTGATAAAATAAAAAAAAAAAAAGATTTAACAAATATCTCCCGATCCCTTCACTTTTCATCCGTCCGCTCGGCTGGTAGAACTGCTAACGGAACGCTTACAAATTGTGCTCAAAAAGGAGCTAGTGTGAAACAAAACAATGGGGGTGATTGTACAAGTTATTGCGACATTCATATGTGAGTATTGTCAAAATTCTATTTTATTTATTAAATAATGAAGCAATCGACACTAGAGGGGGACTTTGTACAAAGTCGTCAGCTTAAATACCTCTGTCCCATTTGTGTTTCTACTGTGAAGCAATTATGTTTGCATGGCTGTGTTTCGGTTTGAAGGGTGGGATATGGCGTGAATTTACTGGGTACAGAGAAATAACACCTGAGTCCTCAGGAATGGCAACGCATGGGGGTATCATGGGCGAAACAGTATACTCTGTTATGTTTATGGTACTGCTTATGTCGATAGGCGACGGTTACCACTTTCCATCAGGTGGGCCGTCAGCTTGTTTGCCATTCTAAGTTGTATAAAAAAAATATGGCAATGAAATTATAAGGTACAGAGGCATAACACCTTGGTCCTGGGAGGAAAGGGATTGTTAGTAAAGAGGATTAGCAATCACATTGCTACCAATAAATCCTATCCGGTCGACCTCCTAGCAGTTTCCCCATAAAAACAATGTGATTGATTGTTTGTTAAATTCTGTCACGATGGGCTAACTGACCTGATTCATCTTCACCTCATCCGTCATTGGTACCCCGACAGTGTATACCGATAGCTCAGGTGAGTTTACCATTCCATTATCATCCATAAAAAAAAACACATCCTAGTTCTTAGAAATGGCAACACCTGAAAATAACTTTGATATCCCTCGACATGTTTTTTTTTAATAGGTGATATTGGTATGGTAACCCCGTCTGCGCTATCGGTATACAATGGCGGAGCACCAGTGATAGATGACTAATGAGGGTGAAAGCAGGTCAGTTAGCCCATCTTGACGTATTCAAGTAGAATTTGCCTCGATTGTTTCCAGGTGGAACCACGTGCTGGTCGACCTGGCAAGGTTTATTGCTAGTAATGGGGCTATTTGACCCCATTTACTAATAATCCCTTTCCCCCCTCCCTCGACATGTTGTACTGATAGGAAATGAGTGCTTATTTTGCGAGTGTAACGTACGCAAGGGGACCGGGAGAGTGACGATTTCATAAATAATGGAACGTAAGCTAGAATAGGCGTCGCAAGTGGATGAAGGCCATCCTTTGAATCTAATTCAGGATATAATATATGTCTTCCGATATATTATTTACTAACTATATCCCGTGGCTCTGTCCATATGAGTTAGTACATAAAGTATCCTATATGAAAATTTAGGATATACTCTACCCATGTACCCAATTTCATTCAAATACATTCAGTAGTTTTTGCGTAAAAAAGCAACAAACATATATTCATTTATCATTATAAACTATCGAATAAAGTTTTTTTTTATGCAACTTAGAATACCAAACAAGCTGACGGTCCATCTAATGGAAAGTGGTAACCGTCGCCTATAGACATAAACAGTACTGTGGACATAACAGAGTATACTGTTTCGCCCATGATACCCCCCATGCGTTGTCATTCCTAAGGACTCAGGTGTTATTCTTCAGTACCCTGTAAATTCACTGCCAGATAAATTATGATATGAGGTTATATAACTAATGAAAGGAAATATAATGTGGAATATATAATATATGTAAATTTTTATATTGTTGAACATTTGCAAGCCGACACAGAGGCAGGCAAAAGGCTATTTCATCTGAAAACTACCTACATTCTAACAAATTTAATTCATTTCATTTACAATATATATATATATATATATATATATATATATATATATATATATATATATATATATATATATATATATATATATATACAAGAAAAGAAAAATTCGAAATAAGAGGAGACCTGGTGGTCTACCATGAAATGAAATTCCGAATTTTCGGGCTTAATTTCGTGTTTTCGTTCGTACCGAAATCGAGCCAGTAAATGGAGCTTAACATTTCGTTCGTCATAAATCCTATCCTAATAGTCCAGAGGAACGATATTTTAACATTTTTTAATAATTTTAAACGGCATGTATTATGTTATTTTAACATCAAATTTCTGTTTCGTTTGTCCTTGAAATTTCGAAAATTATTTCATGCAAGGCCCTCTGTTATTGTCCCTGTCTGACAGTTGAGTTACTATAGAGTGTATCAACAAACAAATTTATAATCAATTCCACTATAAGAGTCTGCTGATGTAGGAGGACTATCAGTCCCATTGTTAGCAGTATGCCCCATAAGGGCGATCTCCACATGGTCCCCCCTAAAAACCATCGTGCTAAATTCCTGGTGAATTCATCACGATGGGCTAACTGACCTGCCTTTTCATTCTCACCTATCACCCCTCACTGGTGCCCCGTCAGTGTATACCATTAGCGCAGGTGGGGTAACCATCCCATTAGTGGGAAAGGTATTGTTAGCAATGGAATTTGACAGCCCCATTGCTAGCAATATGCTCTATTAGGTCGACCTTCACGTGGTTCCCCCTGGAAACCATCGTGAACAATTCTTGTTGAATTCGTCACGATGGGCTAACTGACCTGCTTCATTCTCACCTATCATCTCTCACTGGTGCCCTGCCGGTGTAAACCATTCCATTAACATCAATTAAAAAAAGTCTGCTGATGTTTAACAGTAGTGCAAAATAAAATATAGTTTGATTGATTGTTTCTGTTTTTACTGATTTCATTTCATCATCATGATCATCAGCCATTAACTGTCCATCGTTCAACATAGGTCTCCCTTATAAGATTGGTTTTGCCAGTAGTTACCACGCTTGGCAGGCGGTTTGGCAACCGCAGTTAGGATTTTGGTGATGTTTTAGGAGGGACGCTGCTGCCCATCCCTCGAACTTTAGGTTGCCTCTTACGACATCCACGGAAAAGGAAGGGGTGGTCATTTCTATGCCGGGACTACATGGCCATAGAATGTGTAGAATAACTATATGTATAGTTTTGTTGAATCTTTGATTTTCTCATTCCCAGTGTCGTACAGCAGTTTAGTTATGGGTCTTACCTTCGCATGGCCTTCATCCACATTCCTGATATTCACATCGGAGAACACAACATTGAATCGACCTATGACTGATGGAGAGACTGCGCTATTGGGCAGTCTGTCTAGCATAGGTGCCTTGGTTGGGAATCCTATAGCCAGTGTACTGTTGAACACGATTGGAAGAAAGTATTGTGGTATCCTGACAGCCAGTATAGGAGTGGTAAGTCCACATCATCATCATCATATCAGCCCTTAACCATCCACTGTTGAACATGAACCGTCCCTTTGGCGGGTTTTGCCAGTAACTGTCACGCTTGGCAGGTTGGCAACCACAGTTAGGCTATGGTGATGTTCTAAGAAGGACGCTACTGCCCATCCCTCGACCATTATTGTTCTTTATTTAATTTTTATGATACCCAAGAGAAAGGAAGGGGTGATCCATTCTATGCCGGGATAGACATGGCTACTAAAAAGCACATTAATACATTAAAACTGTAACATATGGGGTTTCAATCACAACAGAAAATTAGTGATTTGCCTTTTTGATGACCCAGCAATAAACTGAGTGGCCATCTCGTGTTAATATGACACACATAGGAAAATAAAAAGTAATGATACTTCATTTATGTTATTTCCTTTTTTTTTTGTTATTTGTGTACAAATAGAATATATATCTATCTGTCTACATAACATATATATTATAACAATAGGAAAATTTCAACTCCTCGTGAAATTTAATCGAACACACAAGTGACAGCCCTCCATACTGGGAGAAAAGGATTGTTGGTAATGGGGTCTAATGAACCCAATGCTAGCAATACACCTTATCAGGTCGCCCTCCACGCGGTTCCCCCTGAAAACTATCATGGTTAATTCTAGTGAAATTCGTCACGATGGGCTAACTGACCTGAATCTCTCCCTGGTGCCACACCAGCGTATGCCGATGACGCAGGCGGGCCTACCATTACATTATCACCCATTAAAAAAAAGCCCTACATACTTTTGACACCGGCCGAATCCATTTTGGTAAATAAATAACCAGGGTAAGTGTCACGTTTAACTTAATCGCTCTTTTTTAATATACTGTACTGATTAAAACAATTTCTTTAAAATAATAAATAAATATAGAAATAAAAAAAAAAGAATCTTTGAATATATTTTATTTCACTCAATCACTAGGCGAACATGAATTGTGAGAGTTCACAAGAGAATTGAATAGAATGAAAATGCTTAAAAATTAGATTATAAAATGAAATTAGGACCTATTGAATAAAAAGGGTTTATCCTTTCTTGTCTCTTATGACCATGAATAACACCATGGATATTAGAGAAAAACTATGACACTTATATTCCCCATTATAACTTGCTACGAGTATTTCTGAGAAATAAAGTTTTATATTTCGAATGAATAAATGACTATAGTTTTTTGCATTATACAATATAGGGAATAAATAAGACAATAAATGTAACGATACAATTGTATAAGCACAGTAAGGCGGTCTTATTGCTGAGAGCAATCTTTTCAAGACAACCTTAGGGTAACGGAATAATTGTTGTAAAAGTAGGTATGATGATATTGTACAATTAAGCAATATGTATAATTATTTCAGATATCCTGGCTAATGATATCATTCAGTAACCAAGTGGAGGTTATTCTGGCTGCCTTATTTATATACGGCATCAGTAGTTCTGTGTTCCTGGTAATTCCGGTTTTCATCACGGAGTTTTGTCAGGAATCAATAAGGGGCACAATGGCTGCTTGCTCTGTAACCTTCTTCGGGCTGGGGATGCTGGTGTCCAATCTACTCGGAGGGTGCCTGGAATACCATACTCTGACTTATGTTAGCCTGTCCATGAGCGTTTTTGGGGTAGCCATGTTTCTGTTTTTGAAGGAGTCGCCAGTATACCTTATGACAAAGGGCAGAAAACAAGTAAGTTTTTTATCTTGTTCTTACTAGCTTTTAATCACGACTTTGTCTGTGTCACCAGGATAAAAAATAATCTATACTCTTCTCTAACTCTTATAGTACGCATATTGTAGTGATTGGTTAAGGCGATAAGAGGTAACAAATAGACTTACTTTCACATTTATAATATTCGTAAGGAGTAAAGATAAGTGAGTACACAGTCCACTTTTTCCCATCAGGTGGACCATCACCTCATTTGTCACCTACTCATCATCATATCAGCCTTTAACTGTCCACTGCTGAACATAAGCGCCCCCTTAGGGGGTTTTACCAGTAGTTTCCACGCTTGACAGGTGGATTCGCAATCGCAATTAGGCTTTGAAGATGTTTTAAGAGGAACTCTACTGCCCATCCCTTGCCCTCCCTTAGTCGCCTCTTACGACACCCACGGGAAAGGAAGGGGTGGCCCCTTCTATGCCGGGACCAGGGATGTTATTCCTAGTACTAGTATAAAAGGGGAAAGTGTTATTAATGCGAATTATCAGTCACATTGCTAGCAATATACTCTATCAGGTCGACCTCCACGTGGTCGTCCCTGATAACTATCGTACTAAATCCCCGGTGTACTTATCACGATAGGCTAACTGACCTGCCTTTTCATTCTCACCTATCATCCCTCACTGGTGCCCCGCTAGCGTATACCGTTAGCGCAGGTGGGGTAACTATTCCACTATCTTTAATTGAAAAAAAAAAAGTACTAGTATATAAAAATAACAATTAATATGTTATATATTTTAAAGGAGGCCATCAAGTCGATAGCTTTCTACAGGAACGAGAAACCAAACTCAAAAGAAGTACTGCAGGAATTGGAAAAGATAAGAAGGATCCTAAATCCTGATATAGAAGGTACGTTAAAACATTAATTTCATTACTTACTTACAGACAGGGAGCAATTAATGGGGTTCAATAATTTACACACATGTTCAAAAATAAAAATATTATAAATGTAATCTATTTATCTACAGCACGTTTCATCATGGGAGGATTGTTAGTAATTGTATAACCATCTTTCAGGTTAATTCTTGTGAAATTCATCATGATAGGCTGCCTTACCTGCTTTAATTCTCACCCACCTCCTCCACCGTACGTTTTTCAAGGCACTTTCTCCCACGCACAACCACTCTTTGGAATCAACTTCCAGCAGCAGTATTTCCGAACCGATACGACAACATAACCTTCAAGAAAATAGCATATTCCTTTTTAAAAGGCAGGCAGCATACCTGCAATGCCGTAGGTGTTGTGGGTGACCATGGGCGGCGGTAGTCACTTACCATCAGGTGAGCCGCATGCTCGTTTGCACCCTGTGTTGTAAAAAAAAAACCCATAATTTCTTACTTGATGCCTCTCCATTATAAATCGATAGCGTAAGCAGGGTTACAGTTCCATTTATATCCATTAAAAAATATCTATCAGAGATGACAATTATAAACATAATCATTGAGTTTTTTTATATATCTCTATTAAATCCTTAAATCCTATTATCTCTTTCTTTAAGTACTATTTTCCCATGTTCTCTCTTCAGCTTTTGTGTATGTTTATGTATATATATATATATATATATATATATATATATATATATATATATATATATATATATATATATATATATATATATATATATATATGTATATATACATATAATATTTGTTTATATATATTAAGGTTGCCTGGAAGAGATTGCTTAGCGATAAGGCCCCTTTTTGTATCAATTCTCAGTACAATTAAATGTATTTACAATTTTATAAATGGTGCAATAAAGTGTAATAAATAAATAAATAAACATTATAAGTTTTTCATATAGGGAAGTTTTTAAAATAAGAGGAAGGATATTATTAGAACAATTTCAAATTATCATGATGATAATAATGATGATAATATCATTAGCTTAGAAGACTCTTTCTGTGAGATAACAATGAATTGTTATACTAATGATGGTCACATTTATATATCTACATAAGAGTACATAGACATATAAATATGCGGAAATAAAAGTCATAGTAAGCGTTATCTGTGATAACATCAAATACGTTTTAATGTAATAGTGTAATAAAACAATGCAAAAATAATACTTGTGGAGTAGTTTTAATCTGTATCATCTGTGTTTATCTGCGAGTATTTATCCTATGTAAGAGCTCTTGTCGGTGGAGCTCTTGCCACTCACTACGATTTTCAGCGAGTCTCTCCACCTCTTGATACGACACGACACCGACTCCTCCTTCCTTGATCTGCCTGATGTAACTATGCCTCGGTCTACCTCTTCCCCTCCTTCCTTCTATTTTACCTTCTATTAAAATGTTTGTAAGTTCGTCGTATCGTATTGTCGTAGTGTCATTGACGGGTATGAAAAATCGATGTTGGTCGATTCTCAGACCTACCCAATATGCACACAAAATTTCATAAATATCGGTAAAGCCGTTTCGGAGGAGTTTGGTAATAAACACCGCGACACGAGAATTTTATATATATAATATATGTTTTTTTTATCTATCTATAAAAATATATAATCATGGTCACTTAAGTTTGAAACAGTTTTAATACGTTATTTTGTACCAAATTAGTGTTAGAACCCAATAATGTTGGTAGCGTTTCTTATTTCCAGATGAACTACCGGAGAAACAGAAATTAAATTCAAATTTGGAATCGACGACGCAAGAAAAAATAGGCTTTTTCAAATTTCTCAGTAAGTATTTTTTTTTTATGTAATAATATTAGATTTAAATATGTCAATTTTATTTCTGAGGGTCAAAACCCGTCTTCACGTCAAGTACCTTGTTGAATAGACAGAGAGAACTAAACGCCAAAGGCCATCCTTATATACATAGAAAAAAAGGAAGGATTCTTCCTTCCTTTCTTTCTATGAAAGAAAAAATAAAGAAGGAAAGAAAAGTTTTAAAGATGTTTGGTCCACTATCATAACTCGCTTTACGCATGCATACCAGAGGGAAACTTTGTACAAAAGTTGTTTGCTTGGGCACGTCTGTTCCATTCGTGTTTCAACCGTGAAGCAGTTATGTTTGCATAACTGTATTTCGGTTTGAAGGGTGCAATATGGCAGTGCAATTACAGAGTATAAAAGAATAACACCTGAGTCCTCAAGAATGGCAACGCATGGACGAAACAGTATACTCTGTTATGTCCATGGTACTGCTCGTGTTTATAGGCGACGGTTACCACTTTCCATCAGGTGGGCTGTCAGCTTGTTTGCCATTCTAAGATGCTTAAAAAAAAGTAAAAGAAATGTATACCGGTTTCTTTGACTTCTTCCTCAGATAAACCTACTCTTTCTGATCATAATAGATTAGTATACGTTTCTACATTTATACACTATATTCTACATATTTTTTTATTTTATCATTATTATATCAACCATTTAGTGTCCACTGCTGAACATAGATCTTCGCCATAAGAAGAGTTATGCCAGTAGTTGCTAGGCAGACGGGTTTTGCGAACGCAGTTAGGCTTTAAATTTTAAAGCGGATGCTGCTGCCCATCCCTCTGCCAAGTTCCCGTAATCGCCTCTTACAACATATACGGATAAGGAAAGGTTGAACTAGTCTATTGAACCTAAATGGTCACATATAGTGCACTTTCATAGGAAATATCTACAGTGGTATCCTGCACTTTGGTTGTTTTGTTAAGAGAGGGACTGGCTGAAAGCGCTGTGCAGCTGTTCACATTGCGCTGGGACACTCACAGCATCAGCTGAGCCGGTCCCTTTTGCCGAGTATGGGCACTTTTTGTATATGTTATTTATATTTTATATTGTAATTGTATGGCAATAAATGTTTCTATTCTATTCTATTCTAAATATCTACCGGGAACGGTCATTTCGAGATTATCTCTAAAGAAATGAGAGTTAGCCTCCAGGCTTTGGAATAAGTTCCCTACCGAAGTTTTCTCTAGAGATTACAGTATGGGGTTCATAAAAAAGGATATATTAAGATTTCTTCAGGATCAGTAACGTGCACGTGATACCCCTAGTGTAGCATCCATAGCCTACAGTAACAATTAACTATCAGACGGGCTGTATGCTTGTTTGCCGGTGTCGTGGTATAAGAAAAAATGCCAGGACGATACGGCAATATTTATTTTGCTTTCAGAGAAATCTCGTTCCACCCGGCGAGCCATGTACACGATACTGACTGTATTGACAGCGGCAATCTTGCAAGGCTTGAATGTAGTGTTGGTGTACGCCAAACCGCTGTTCCACGACGTGGTCTCTGAGGAGGTTATATCTTCAACGCTGTGTAGCATTCTTCTAGCAGCGACGACGGTGGTCAGCGGAATAATTGCTGGATATCTGACCGATCTGGTCGGACGGCGGGTAATGATCTTTTGTTTTGGTAGCATGGATATCTATGTACATTTAGTCATATAAAATATATGGCTGAAAGTATATAACGGGAAGAGAAGGAGAAGGGTAAATAGAAACAAGAGGAAAGACTTTTTCGTCATTCATTTTGGGGGATATGGCAAAAGTATTTGTACAAAGTCTACCAGAGAGAGACTTTGTACAAAAGTCGTTTCCTTGGGCACTTCTGTCCCATTCGTGTTTCAACCGTAAAGCAGTTCTGTTTACATGGCTGTGTTTCAGTTTGAAGGGTAGGATATGGCGTGAATTTAAAGGTTCTCGGGTACAGAGGAATAAGACTGAAGACTCAGGTGTTATTCCTCTGTACCCGAGAATCAGGAATGGCATCGCATAGAGGGCATCATGGGCGAAACAGTATACTCTGTTATGGCCATGGTACTGCTCATGACAGGCGACGGTTACCACTTTCCATCAGGTGGGCCGTTAGCATGTTTGCCATTCTAAGTTCGCCCATGATATACCTCCCATGCGTTTCTATTCCTGAGGACTCAGGTGTTATTTCTCTGTACCCTGTAAATTCACGCTATATCCCACCCTTCAAACCGAAAAACAAAATATGATTTAAATTTGTTTTAATTTCAGAACCTGCTAATATATGCTTCGTTTGGCGCCGGTATATGCTGCGCGGTCATTGGCTTCCAGATACACTTGAATTGGGGTCCCAAATGGTTGATAGCTATTCTTATTTATTTGTACAGCGCGGCCTACACCCTAGGCGCTGGCACTATACCGTTTGTGTTGCTCTCTGAAGTGTTCCTGCCCGAGGTATGTTCTTACATATTTATGATAGCCTGGTAGTTGAGAGCGTTAAAATGTGGCAACATCATAATTTACTGTCAATTATCAAAAATAAAAAAAAACAATCATCATAATCACTATTTCGAAAATTTTCAATTTTTTAAAATAATTATTGGTAAAAAAAATATATTTAATAATAACTTTCAATATTTTTTTTAAAAAGTGCTCTGCTAGCGAACAAACAGCCTCTACCACCAAAAAATGAGCAAATATCAAGTTAGTTTTTAAATACATTTTTGCTATTGATATCTAAATTTTCAAAATATTATTTGTAACACTTTATTGTACAGTAGTCTTAAACTATAAGATACAGAGATCCCATAAAAGGAATCTCTTTTTATATAATCAATCGAAAATTGTTTAATTGTTTTTGTAAATTGACAGTTTTGCGATGTCGCCACATTTCAGTAAACTAAAGTTAAAAATTATCATAACAATGAAAAGATTTTTACAGACTGAGGTTTTGATAGAAAATGTTTTAAAATGATACTAGGGTTTTTCATACAAAGAAAAAAGAAATGCATATACAAAAAAAAAAAAAACAATACATAAAAGAGTAATATAATTTTTCCTTTCATTCCTGTTATTCGTATTTAATACAAAATATCGTTAGTGTTGTGTAAAATAAAACTTTAGTTTATAGAATTTGTTAACCTGCATTTAAATTTTAATTTCAGGTTAAAAGCTACATGTCAATGTTAGCGCTGGAGTGGACGTGGCTGTGTAACTTCTTAGTTTTATACGTATTCAACTCGCTGACGAGTGCAATGGGCCTGGGTGGGATCTTCTTCATCTTCTCCGTGGCGTGTTTCCTCACCGCCGTGTATTCCATCTACTTCGTGCCAGAGACTAAAGGATTAACTGTCGACGTTATACAATTGCAGTTCTTGAAATCTGGAATCAGGCGTTCTGATATAGAGATATAAATTATATATATAATAATCAGTAATAATTATACTCATACATTGTTTTGTTATAACCTTTCATTTACATCAAAATAGTGTTTTTTTTTGTATACAACTTAGAATGGCAAACATGCTGACGGCCCACCTGATGGAAAGTGGTAACCGTCGCCTATAGACATGAGCAGTAGCATGGACATAACAGAGTATACTGTTTCGCCCATGATACCTCCCATGCGTTGCCATTCCTGTAAATTGACGCCATATCCCACCCTTCAAACCGGAACACAGCCATGCAAACGCAACTGCTTCACGGTTGAAACACGATTGGGACAGAGGTACCCAAGCAATCGACTTTTGTACAAAGTCTCCCTCTGGTTCTGGCATAGAATAGACCACCCATTACTTTCCCGTGGGTGTCGTAAAAGAAGACTAAGGAAGGGCGAGGTATAAACAGCAGCGTCCATCTTAAAACATCTCTAAAGCGTAACTGCGGTTGCCAATCCGTCTGCCAAGCGTGGCAACTCTGTATATATATATATATATATATATATATATATATATATATATATACTCTACTATTGTACTGTTGTACATGACCCTCCCCCCTAAGGGGGGCTATTCTATTTTATATATATACATATATATATTAGTATTCTAATATAATTTATACCAATATAATTTTTAAAATTCCATACAAGTTGTCACGTTTGGCAGGCGGGTTGGCAACCGCAGTTAAATTTTAATGATACTCCGTAACTTTATCGTTCGCGAGAGAAAAAATCTCTGAAACCGCGCTGTACGCGACCATATAGGCTCTAAGTTATGGGGGCGAACTCCCTGTCTATGGCGAGCTGTACGATGGTAGTAAGTGGCCGTGGGCATCATATTGAACAATTCCTCTGAGCACAGTCCGTTGTACAAGTAGTCTAGTATAAAATGAGTAATAACAGATAACAACATCATTTGGTATAAAAACATTAGGTAAGTAATAAATAATAAGTAGCAATAGTAAACAAAGAATAACGTTTAATCTAAATTAAATTTTATCAACAACACCATATGGTCGTGTTTCCGTTGTATCAGGAACTAGTGCTCCGGCGCAGCGTCAATGACCATGATAAAATCTATCGAGAGGGGAGAACAAGACAGATAATTGAGTTAGTGTAGTGCTGTATGCATTTTAACGTAACGAGTTATAACCAGCTGTTAACAGTTATTGACATTTTGTTGAAACAATAAATTATCGTTAGTAAACTAATTGATGAATCATTTATTATCTCAACTTTGTAGTTTATTTTCTATTTGTATGATGTATAAGAAAGTTATGGCTATGTAATAAATAAGATAAATAAATAAATTTATTGATACATTACCTATTAATAAAATTTAGTATTATTAACATATTTTTTGGTCCTGTAAAAATTAATGGTAAAGAAAAGTCGTACATAGACCTTTGATGAGACCTTTGATGCTCGGCTTCTTTTACCTACCACATAAGGGATCTGACTTTAAAACGACTATATGTTTTGTAACTACGGAATTAGTAAATAAAATTAATAATTTATGCCTATATCGAAAATACTTACCGCAGCAAGCACGCTACTTAGAAGTGCAGTTAGTAGGTTCACATGTAGTCAGGCAACTTTTTACACAATCTTGTAAATTTAAAATAAATTAATTATGATATTTTTATGCAACTTGGAATATCAAATTGATAGAAAATGGTAACCATCAATAAGAGATGAACGTCATGGGCATCAAAGAATACACTGCTGCTAGTAAAGAAGTTACTAGAAATTAGTTGTGTAACGAAAATACAGAGTACGAAATTCTGTATTCTAGTTTCCATTCACCACCTTTCAAACCAAAATATATGTGCGCATTTGCATACCTTGCTGACAGAAACACAAGTAAGACCAAGGTACTAAAGCAAGTAACTGGGGGGAAAGGGATTGTTAGTAACGGAGACTGAGAATCCCATTGCTAGCAATATACCCAACCAGGTCGACCTCCCCGCAGTTCCCCCTGGAAACAATCATTGTCAATTCCTAATGAATTCATCATGATGGGCTAATTGGCCTGTTTTCATTCTCATCTATCACCCTTCATTGGTGCTCCGCCAGCGTATCTCGTTAGCGCAGACGGGGTTACCATACCATTTTCACCCATCAAAAAAAAGCAAGTAACTTTTATATAAAATCATTGCTTTTCGTTTTCATATTTTTTATATTCCATAATAAATATGAAAACGAAAACGGATAAAACGAGCGTAATAACGAATAACTGTTATTCAACTGTCCGTGTCGATAGCTTGCATCATTCACATTCATTCATTAAAACCCGACGTTCGTCGCCGCTGAGGTCAGTTGGTAGTACATGTCGTGCGATCGTGCTATGCGGTTATATTAATCGGCTTAAATAACAGTTATTCGTTATGTGCTATCTGATATAAGAATTAAGTGATAAAAGGTAAGTGTTTGAATTTGTCCTACATATTTACTCATAATAGCAACTTAATTCGATATATTTAAAGGATTTTATTATATTCGATTTAAAGGGACATTAAAAGACAACATTTTTTATTCATTATTATGGTTTTTAAAGCCTTTGCTGTACATACTGTATGTATTTTAAACTACACTAACTAACTAACTTCAAACAAGCTGACGGCCCACCTGATGGAAAGTGGTAACCGTCGCCTATAGACATGAGCAGTACCATGGACATAACAGAGTATACTCTCTTCGCCCATTTTTTTCTGATGTATGCTGTTAAGTATGTGTATGTTATGTATATATTTAATTGTGTATATATTATATATGTATGTGTATGTATGTATGTATGTATATATATTAATTGTATATATTATATATATATGTGTATATATGTATATATATATATGATGTATGTATCTATATATGTATATGATAATATTTATATAATAGTGCCCCCTATGCGTTGCCATTCCTGAGGACTCAGGTGTTATTCCTCTGTACCCTGTAAATTCACTGCCGTATCCCACCCTTCAAACCGAAACACAGCCATGCGAACAACTGCTTCACGGTAGAAACACCAACGGGACAGAGGTGCCCAAGGAGACGACTTTAGTACAAAGTCTCCCTCTGGTGACACTCATAAATGGGTGCTGTTTGTAGGAACTAATCTATTTATGACGACTGCGAACGATTTTTTTTTATTATGGGTGAAAATGGTATGATAACCACGCCTGCGCTAACGGGATACGCTGGCGGAACACCAGTGCAGGGTGATAGATGAGAATGAAAACAGGCCAGTTAGCCCATCATGATGAATTCATCAGGAATTAACCATGATAGTTTCCAGGGGGAACCGCGAGGAGGTCGACCTGGTTGGGTATATTGCTAGCAATGGGATTCTCAATCTCTATTACTAACAATCCCTTCCCCCCCTGCGACTGACATTAATATCTTTATAGTTCTTCTATCTATTATTTTTTTTTTATAAAACCCGTAAAGCTAAACTTTTTTTGTTCACTTTTTTCGGTTAAAATTTTCTTCCGTTGGGATATACATGCCCTAGCAATGGGATTCTCATCATCTCTATTACTAACAAAAAAAATAGTTATTTAAAAATGCAGGTTTTTTTTTATATTTAAAGAAATAATGATGAAAGAAAACATTTGGTAACACAAAAATACAATTATGACTACAAAACGTTTAAAACTAACTGAGCCGCCCAGGCTTTGCTCGCGTAAATATATCGTACGAGAAGGAACGCAATAGTCAATAGAGTAACGTAACAAATAAATAAACAATTTCCTATTTATAAAAGCTGACCTCTTAGCTTCTTAGGTCACTTCCTACCATGAGATTCGTATTAACATGACATCCAAACTTTAGAGTTTTGTTGGATTACCTTGGGGGGGAGGGGGGGGGGATTTAGTAATGCGGACTACCAGTCCCATTGCTAGCAATATACTCTGTCTGTCAGATCGACCTCCACGTAGTCCCCGTGGAAACCATCGTGGTTTATTCTAGTGGAATTCGTCACGACGGGCTAACTGACCTGCTTCATCCTCACCTATATCATCCATCACTGGTGCCCCGCTGGTGTATACCGATAGCGCCGGTGGGGTACTATTTCATTATCACCTATAAAAAAAAAAACATATATTGTATTGTTATCACAATGGGAAACTTTGAAAGTTTTGAACGGAAACAAATAAATAATTGTGATTGTTTTTCACAAAAAAAAGGACTTGAATTGTGGCAACACCAGTTATTTTGTTTAAAAAACTAAACTACTAAATCAATTTTATTAAAAAAAATCTATGGCACTAGTCTGTAAGTATATCCTGTTAAATAAAAAAAAAAAAGAATTTATCAAATCAATTTACAACTAATGGAATTATGAGGTATTAAATAAAAAAAAAAAAACACTCCTTTTTGGAGTCGATTGAAAAGTAAAAAATGGCATAAGAGAATGAAACTTCTTATTAAAATTTTGACTACGCGGAATTTTGAAATCGGAGAAACAGATTCTTTTCAATATTTCGGAATTACTTATTTAAACAATGCTCTGGATAAGTCCATAGGCTGGTAGGTACTGTTTTACTTTTTTGTAGTATCTGTGGTTCAATTAAATGAAAAAAAAAAAAAATATTGTTACAGAAAAATACAAATGAAATCACTAGGATGACAGAAAAGACAGTGGTTAAGTTCGAGGAGGCTGAGAGGAGAAAGGGCGTCATAATAGGGACAGTTGGCTTGACTTGTGCCGTGCTAGGATGGCTGGCGCGAAATACTCCAGCTCTTGTCGGCGCTGTTGGCCTAGTAGCTACATATTTGATGACAGGCGACAGATACCAGTGGATCTACATTTGGAAGAAAACCTGTAAAAGGGACTGGCTGTGAGTAAATTTTTAAATTTCGAATAAATATTTTTTCTTAGAGACGTCAAGTTATTATCGTAGATTAAGTATATTGCATGCCAATATCTTTGCATAACATGTTTCCAGAAAGTTTTGTTCTTTTTTTAACCTTTTTAAAAAGCCTGGAATTTTGTTTATATCACCAAATATGAACTGATTTTCATAACTCTTCTTGTGATTGAGAGAGTTTACTTCTACGTTGAATTTGGAATTAAAGTTACCATTTTTTTCGTGAAGCAAAAACTGCTTGTTACGTAACAAAATCTACGTGTGTTTAAGACTGGAATCGCTTTTTTATGGGCAAAATGTACAATACTAGCTTTTACCCGCTACTTTGTCTGCGTGACTGGGATATATTTACTGATTGAGATAAAAGTAGCCTATATCCTTCTCCATCCCATAAAGTTGCATGTTATAATGATTATAGTTGAGCCGTTAAGGGGCTAGAAGGTAACAAACTCACATTTTCATTTATAATATTAATAAGAATATTTGTTCATATTATATATATTTTGGTTTTTGTAAATTATAATTGCGAGTCCAGTGAAATTCGCTGAGTGAAAAGTATTTTAGAGTAAAAGAGATGAAAAATAATAAATAAATGAGGTTATCGAACAAAAGAGTCCTTATTTGAATGACTATATAACATTTTAAAAACATCGTAGTACCAGGAATACATATGTCTGTGGAGTTATCGCAGCCAGAGGTCGCCGTACTACCATAACGAGTACTAATGATTGTTGTTTGTACCTAAGCGCGCTCAAAGTCCGACCATAGTTTATAAATAATCCACATGTTTAGTAATATCCGATCTCTTTTATTAATCACCTGCTTATTCCATAATCATAATAGGTACAATGGAGGCGGGTGCGTAATTTTGTAAACGTCTTAAAAACAAGACTTTTTTTATACAACTTAGAATGGCAAACAAGCTGACGGTCCACCTGATGGAAAGTGGTAACCATCGCCTATAGACATGAGCAGTACCATGAACATAACAGAGTATACTGTTTCGCCCATGATACCCCCTATGCGTTGCCATTTCTGAGGACTCAGGTGTTATTCCTCTGTACCCAGTAAATTGACGCCATATCCCACCCTTCAAACCGAAACACGGCCATGCAAACACAGCTGCTTCACGGTTGAAACACGAATGAGACAGAGGTACCCAAGTAATCGACTTTTGTACAAAGTCTTCCTCTGGTAAAGACTAAGCACGTCATAGTATTTGTGATTGTTGAACCACCACTTCCCATTAGGTAGGCCGTCAGCTTGTTTGCCATTCTAGGTTGTATAAAAAAAAAAGATTTAAGACCAATAAGTTTCCACGAGAAAGGAAGGAGTGGCTTACTCTATGCTTGAATAATACGCTAATAGTAATACACGTTGAAAAAAAAAACACCAGAAACCATACACATATGATAGTTGTTACGCCGATAAGAAATTAGACTCGATTTTTTTATTAAAGCGGCTCAGTTGGGCCATTATGACAAATTGTATAGGAATTAACCAAGATGGCTTCTACGAGGAACTACGTGGAAGTCAAAGTGATACTATCAGTGGTTGGTAATCGCCAATCTCACCGTACTGGTTACGCTTCAAACTCTTTTCTCCTACATTCTTCACGACTCTGGAACGCGATTCCTGATACCATTAAGAGACTACCGACTAAACCTTCTTTCAAAAAAAAAGCGTTCACGCTCACTTTTTATCTTTATCCGAGCAGTAAGTGCTTTATATTATTTCCAAATTCGTGTATAGTATAGTATATATCATATATGTGTAACTATATTTGTTATTCATATATATTTATTCGTTTATATATGTAATTTTAGTATGTATGTATATCAATAATTAGTAGTACCGCATTCGAGTATTCTGACACTTCCCTATGGTTGACTGGGAGAGAATGCTTTTAGCATTAAGTCCGCCATGTACACATATTTGTACTAATGAATAAATAAATAAAAAATAAATAAATCTCTCCATATGGAACCCGTAGTTGGCGCTAGGAAGCAAAACAATGCCTGCAGGATGAGTTAGTATAGTATAAAATGTTATATTTCATTAGATCACGAGAGGCCAAGGTTCACTGCGCAATTGAGACACCTTGCGTGCGCGCACAATCGAGTTATCACCCACATCCGGCGCAAGATTGTTACATCTGTTATGTATTGGGTCGCCCCCTACTCTACCTGATGGACAGAGTGACGTCAAACGGACCGCAGCTTAGAATCTTCAACTGTTTCTTTAAAACAGCGATCTTAATAATCTTAACACTAGATACAAATACAAACTTGCTGTTCCGAAGTATCGTTTAGAACAAGTTAATAGGTCTTTTATGGGAATGGGCATTAAATGTTATAATACTATACGTATATGTACCTACACAACGACTAAATGTATTGAGTACTAACGCTTACTGCATCACAATACGGATATATAATCATTTGCCTGAAAGTATCAGGAATTGTAATAATTTATCCTATTACAAAAAAAATGCTATTTAAGCTATTTATGGATAAATGTTATTACTCAGTAAATGAGTTTTTATATGATAAAATAATTATAAATGATTAGATATGTGTTCGCTTTGTGTTGTGTATATTTTTAATGAATTTATATTACAATGAATTGTCATGAATAGATACAAAAAGTGACAAAATATTATTGCAATATGTATATGTTATTATGATGAAATTATTTTAATGTTTTGTTTAATAAGTTTTTATATTTGCACGCCTACAGTGTGGCAGAATAAGATTGGACTATTTTTCTTGTAAAGTAAACACCTATAAAAATGTACCTTATTCCAGCAAATAAATGATTTCAATTTCAATAAGATAATGTTTCAATAAGTTTCAAACTGTTATTAGAAAATATTTATTGAACAAATCCTATTACACACTAAACGATTACTTGAATGACAGATATGCATGGTATTAGTCGATTATGCATGAATTTTTAACGACCTAGTACATTTAATTAAATATACATAATGTTAACAGAGATTTAAAAGAGTAACTGTTGAGTTTTTTGCGGGTTCTTTCTAACAGATAACAACATTCCGAACGCTGCAGTAGATTAAAAAAAATACGATTTAACTAAATGCTTGTAGACAAGTCTATTTGGATAAAAAATATTTGAATTTAAATTTATTAGGGCTTCTAACCTTGGATAATTAAAAAACAAAAAATTACCCTGTTGAAAGCATATTGGCCTTTATATTTATATATTCCCTTTTAAAAGGCCGGCAGCACACCTGCAATGCCGCTGGTGTTGTGGGTGATCATGGGCGGCTCTGGGCGGAATCTGTTCATACTGCAGATCTATTTTGCAGATTAATGAGATATATTTAATAAACTAATATTAAATTTAACTTAAATTTATTCCTTAAAATGCTAACCACAGAGCAAGTTCTTACTACGTCAAGAATCTGCAATGCCCTTATCTGTATAAAAATTAAAACAAAATTGGAAAATTGAATATGAATAGAATAAAAATCAATTATTTATATTATACACAGAAGACTATAAATACATGACTACTTAATTGCATAAAATCTTCGAAATTAATAAAATAATTACATAAATATTTAATATAAATATATTTTTTTGTTCGAAATGATGAGATTTTTAATAAACCACCGATATTATAATTTAGGTCGTAAATTTGAAATTGGAACGTCCACAATGTTATAATTTTTAAAATAAAACAAGTATCTATAGCTGGCCAGTGTTTCATGACTCTTCGCTGGACTAGTATGCGCTCGCCCATAGGATTAGAGGTACTTATCCTTAATCTATGCCCTTGTCAATAGAACGTAAATAAACAGTACCAACATAAGGAAACTTGACACTGGATATCACCCGGAATACTAGGATAGCAGCGGACTTCGGCCGCTAGTGGAGTCACTTTCAATGATTGAATGATTGGCCCGCTCTCGTACCAGTATCACATTACGTGTCCGCTCTAGCTTTATTGTGTGAATAGTTAGTTACCTACTGCCTCGCTCTACATTTTATATTGATGTCGAATGATTAGACAATGCATAGTGTAATATTAATTTAATACATTAGATAGATAAACACTTTATTTGAGCTATTTATGACACACGTAAATTAACAAATGGGTTTATACAATCAGTATATTTATACCTTTTTTTTTTTAATAAAAAACAAAAGATAAAATGCGAAAATATGATTTGTCATGTGTGTCGCAGTTTTAACATTACATGTATTCTTGTAAAATTGTAAACTTGTAAAATAATATTGTAGAAACAGCAATTATAGCAAGATATTATATCGACAATATATTTTTATATCGCCGTGTGGTCCCGGCATAGAATAGGCCACCCCTTCCTTTCCCGTGAGTGTTGTAACAGTCGACTAAGGGAGGGCGAGGGATGGGCAGCAGCGTCCCTCTTAAAACATCTCTAAAAGCCTAACTGCGGTTGCCAACCCGCCTGCCAAGCGTAGCAACTACTGGCAAAACTCCCCTTATGGAAGGGTTATGTCCAACAGTGGACAGTTAACGGCTGAAATAATAATAATAATAAATAAAAATATATTTATAATACGTAGATTATAGTAGATTTTCTTATATTACACAGGTGACAAACAAGCTTATGGCCCGACTGATGATAAGCGGAGTTACCGTAACATAAGAACGCCTGCAGTGTTAGGGATGTCACACGCGCCTTTCCTACCAATAAGAAATCTTATTACGTGTTATATTATTATAAAGAATTTCAATTAATTTGAAATTCTCATGATATTCTTATTTTTTGGGATTGTAAGACACTATTATTACATTGTTAAGAAAAAAATGTGTGTATAAAAAAAAAATATATAAAAATAATTATTAAAAAAAATCAAAAAATTAACTTTGATCTCGACTTAATAATTAAATATAAGTATTAATTAATCGATTTTTTATTGATTCTTTTTTATTTTATCCATTTGAAAAATCATTAAAATCAGTTCATAATTATGGAAGATTACGCGAAATGTACATACACACATAAAAATAGTGTTAATTTGAGAACGTACTTGTATGATATCTACCATACCAGGAGGACAGCACCCTTAAGGTATGGGAAATAATAAGCAATAATATGTCTCAATGTGACTCACACGACCACCCGCCCTGGCGTCAATCAGAGGAGTGGTTTGGAGCGCGAAGATTTTTTTTAATGGGTGAGAATAAAATGGTTACCCCGCCTGCGCTACCGGTATACACTGGACACCAGTGAGAGATGATATGTTAGGATGAAGCAGGTCAGTTAGCCCATTGTAATGAATTCAACAATAATTGTTCACGATGGTTTCCAGAAGGAACTACGTGGATGTCGACCTGATAGGGTATATTGCTAGCAATGGGGCTGTTAAACTCAATTGCTAACAATCTATTTCCCCGGAGCGCGAGCATTTCAATCCAAACTTTAAAGAGTATATCACAGGACTCTTTTTGAAAGTTTGTGTAAAATGTTTACCAGAGGGAGACTTTGTACAAAAGTTGATTGCTTGGGTACCTCTGTCCCATTCGTGTTTCAACCGTGAAGCAGTTGTGTTTGCATGGCTGTGTTTCAGTTTGAAGGGTGGGATATGGTGTGAATTTACAGGGTACAGAGGAATAACATCTCAGTCCTCAGGAATGGCAACGCATGGGGGGTATCATGGGCGTAACAGTATACTCTGTTATGTCCATGGTACTGCTCATGTCTATAGGCGACGGTTACCACTTTTCATCAGGTGGGCCGTCAGCTTGTTTGCCATTCTAAGCTTTATAAAAAAAATGTTACCATAACCACATTCTAAAATGACTGTACAATAAAAATTACCTGAAATTGATATTATGCATGATAGTCCAAACTCCGACATGAATATATTGCTGAAACACTTTGTACAAAAATATAATTATAATATTATATGTATATTTTTTTAATAATTGTTAATTTAATTCACTGATTATCGTATTTACTGATATTTACAATTCCAGTTATATGTATATTTCCATAACTTAATAATGTAACTTTTATATTTTTGTATTTAAATTTGTATTTCGTTTCATACTGTATAATTATGTTAAAGTAAATGCTGTGAATACCTTTAATAGGCATGTGCATTAATATTGTATTGTATTTAATGTATAATGCAATATGCTGTTGGTGTTCTTGTAAATAAATAAATAAATTGACGTTATATCAATTGACTTACTGAAAATAACATCCTTTTTTTACAGCGGTTTTCGAGTTCTTTTAAAAACAATAGTGAGGATATGGATCTGGGAGCGCAACGGTACCACGGTGGTCAGCAGGTGGGCAGAGATTGCCAAGAAGTCGCCCAACAAGAAGGCTTTCGTTATGGGCGACAGATCTTTGACTTTCCGCGAGGTATGCTATCCTGGTAGTTTGGAACAATAGTTTTATTCGAGTTTTAGGTTATTCATGTCTCCGCCACTTACTTGATCTTTGATTTTTCGCAAAGTATGCTGTCCTGGTAGTTAGGAACAATAATTCTACTTGAGTTATTCAGCCAATCAAATTGTTCACTGCCTGAACTCCCATAGACTGCCATAAGGAATGGTCCTGAGCCATAACTTGTTTATTCTTTTATACCTGATATTTTATGGACTATATCAAGGATAACATCAATACAAAAGTGATAGATCTTTCGTCAGTAAACAGTAGACCTTGGGTACCGTTCCCTAATTAATCTAAGGCAAGGCCCTATCCATCAATCAATGGGGGAAACATATATCAGGTCTACAGATGACCAACCAATTGATCTTGATCGACTGAACAACGTTATTTATTGAACGAATAGCGCATTATGAACGAAACAGTATACTTTGTTATAACCATGGTACTGTTCATGTTTATAGGCGACGGTTATCACTTTCCATCAGGTGGGCCGTCAGCTTGTTTGCCATTCTAAGTTGCATAAAAAAAAACATTTCTCTCCCAGGGCGATGAATTCAGCAACCGTATAGCGTGGTACTTTAAAAGGCAAGGATTCAAGAACGGTGAAGTGATAGCTCTGTTTATGGAGACTCAGCCAGAGTACGTGTTCGTGTGGTTGGGTCTTGCCAAGCTGAGGGTCACCACGGCTCTCATCAACACAAACCTTCGGGGAGCACAGCTGATACACTGTTTGAGAATAGCTGGATGCAAGGCTGTCATATTCGGGATGAGATGGTCGAAGGTGAGTGATTATGGTTGTTGGAGAAACAATCACCAAATTGTATGTATTGTGATAAAGTTGAAGACCTACATTTGCTGGTGGAATGTGGCCGGAATTGTAACAGCGGATTCTGGGCGATATGCCATTATATAACGGTAACATCAATTTAACACTGGGTCAACCTGGCAGTCGCAATGCAAAACGGCTATATATGTGGGTAAAGGTGTCCCTGACGGAGGGACAGACTGACTTTCAGGCAATCCCTATGAGGCTGGCATAGTTACTCAGGTGTACAGTTGAAACTGTCATAAATCACCTTTTTATTTATTTACAGACCCAAAAATTCAATTTAGCCATGTTTTATCATCATTTTAAATGTACCTAACAAAACAGAATTACGCCCAAGACTTTAAATTACGTCCCTTCCCAAAGCACCCCGGATGCCCTCTAAACTAGGACAAATCCGGGGAAACCCGGACGGATGGCAACCCTGTGTAAGGACCAGAGAGATAGAGGCATTTATCTCTTTGTTATATGTACAATACGACTATTATTATCACATATTCATATCGTGTATATGTGCTCCAATTTTTTATTACTTTCTAAGCTTTGGGTTATCGAAGTTCTTTTTCTTAGTTCGTTTGGGTTATCAACATGTTACAGTTGTCATGGTGACTCAACTTTTTATGAATTAGGTACAATTATTTCATTTTAATAACTGCCCACTCATATAAGTAGGTATTATCAGTTCAGCCTTTAACTGTCCACTGCTAAACATAGGCCTTCCCTATAAAAGAAGGTTTTGCCATTTGTGATACATAATCTTTTGGTTTTATTCTTTTCTTTTCATTTAAGAGTTTCCTCTTGTCGGTGCAACTAATTCATGCATCTTCCTCCAGCCAGCTCTATCCCAGGCCATATCCTTTATCTCCCTATACGACATGACGTCTAGTGTTTCCTTTATCTGTCCCATGTAGTTAATCCTCGGTCTTCCTCTTCCTCTTTTGCCCTCTATCTTCCTTTCTATTATGCTCTTAAAAAAATCGTCATGTCGTATAAGGTGTCCCAGCATTTTGCCTCTTCTATTCTTTATTATTTCAATCAATGTTCTCTTCTCGTTTATTCTTTTTAGGACTTCCTCGTTTGTTAGTTTTTCTGTCCAGCTTATCCTTTCCATTCTCCTCTATGTCCACATTTCGAATGCCTCAAGCATCTTTCTTTCCTTCTGCGTCATCGTCCATGTTTCACACCCATATTGGTTTTATTACCATATGTAAAATATATTTTATTACCTACATTTCAGCTATTACAGAGATACAACATGAAATCAGAGACATACCTCTCTTCCAATATAACTCACCGGAGCGCAGCACAAGCTCAGTACTGCAGGATACGGCGCCTCTCGCCTCCGAGCTGAAGGAAATGTCCTCAGAACCCTTCCAGGACGCAGTGCAAGCGAAACCGAGGGACACATTGTTGTATATTTACACGAGCGGGACCACTGGGTTCCCAAAAGCTGCTATTATTACTAATATCAGGTAACGTTTTTTTATATTTATTTTAAAACATTAGTAGCTCTTTAATGGGTGATAATGGAATGGTAACCCCACCCGCGCTATCGGTATACACCGGCGGGGTATCAGTGAAGGATGATAGGTGAGGATGATGCATGTCATTTAGCCCACCGTGACGAATTCCACTAGAATTAACCACGATGGTTTCCAGGAGAAACCATTGGAGGTCGACCTAATAGGGCATATTGTTAGCAATGGGGCTGTCAAACTCCATTTGTAACTATCCCTTTGCCCCCACATAGGTAGGTTGGTAAGGAAGCAAAATTTCTCACCGTAGCTTCACAATACGTATACGCAAACATTTTGTATATACATAGGAATCTTCAACTGTTTTTTAAAAACAGCGATCTTAATAATCTTAACACTAGATACAAATACAAACTTGCTGTTCCGAAGTATCGTTTAGAACAAGTTAATAGGTCTTTTATGGGAATGGGCATTAAATGTTACAATAAGATACCGAAGGATATTTTGGATCTGCCTTTTAATAAGTTAAAAACTCTTATTGAAAAACACTTATTGAACAAAGACTATTTATTTTACACACTAAACGATGATTGAATGACAAATGTGCATAGTGTTAGTCGATCATGCACGGGCTCTTAACAACTATGTAATTTTAGACATAATACATTTAAATAAATACACATAATGTTAACAGAGATCTAAAAGAGTAACTGTTGAGTTTCATGCGGACTCTTAAAAATTAAAGCGCGCCTGTATTGCAGGTGTTCATAGGCTACAGTATCCGTTTACCATCGTGCGGGGTGCATGTTTGTTTGCCACCTCAGTGGTATAAAAATATAAAATAAAAAAAGATCTTACTACATACATACTTATTCAGTCGCATGGAGATTTACTATATTTACCAGAAGACTTTGTACAAAAGTCGATAACTGTCCCATTCGTGTTTCAACCGTGAAGCAGTTGTGTTTACATGGCTGTGTTTCGGTTTGAAGGGTGGGATATTACAGAGGAATAACATCTGAGTCATGGCAACGCATAAGGGCAAAACAGTCCATGGTACTTAATCTTTTCCACTTTCCATCAGGTGGGCGAGATCCATTCTAAGGTATAAAAAAAAATTATATCAGAAAGGGCAACTGCAGGGGGAGATGGTTTAAGACTATTAAGTTCTCTTAGTCGTTTCTTACGAGATCCACGCGAAAGGAACAGGTGGCCTGTTCTATGCCGGGACCACATGGCAAAGAACAGGAGATATTTATGTATTCCCTTGTCAGAAGCAACCTCAAACAGTTCTAATTTTTTTTTTTTATCAGATATCTGCTGATCCCACTAGGAGTGTATAACTCGGCGCAGCTAAATTCGAGCGACGTGATATACGACCCGTTGCCATTACACCACACAGCTGGTGGGGTGCTGGGGGCTGGACAGGCGGTGATACTCGGGTGTACAGTGGCACTGAGGAAGAAGTTCTCCGCCTCAAACTACTGGAGCGACGCTGCGAAGCATGGATGCACGGTTAGTGGAAAATATTTAGAGGGGATTTCCAACAGAATTTATTGAATACAAGCTGACCCGGCACACTTCGTTCCGCCTAACAGTCGATTCTTTTTTTTTATAATACCTACTTAATTTCATTTTTTTATACAACTTAGAATGGCAAACAAGCTGACGGCCCACCTGATGGAAAGTGGTAACCGTCGCCTAGATACATAAGCGGTACTATGGACATAACAGAGTATACCGTTTCACCCATGATACCCCCCATGTGTTGCCATTCCTGAGGACTCAGGTGTTATTCATCTGTACCCAGTAAATTCACGCTATATCCCACCCTTTAAACCGAAACACAGTCATGCAAACACAACTGCTTCACGGTAGAAACACGAATGGGATAGAGGTACCCAAGCAATCGATTTTTGTACACAGTCTCCCTCTGGTTAGACCCCATTACTAATTACTAATAATCCCTTCCCCCCGTTAATTAATTTTATATAATTTTTAGGCTGCCCAATATATAGGCGAGATTTGCCGCTACCTCCTAGCTGTACCTCCTGGTCCGAATGACCGGGCGCACAGGGTAAAAGTAATGGTGGGGAATGGACTAAGGCCGCATATTTGGGAGGAGTTCATACAAAGGTTCAACATACAGAGGGTAATGGAGTTTTATGGAGCCACCGAGGGAAATAGTAATCTCGGTGAGAAAGTTGCCTATTTTTTGAAGTTTTTTTTTTATATCGCAGGGAGCAAACGAACAAGTGGCCCACTTGATGGTAAGTGACTACCGCTGCTCATGAGCATCCACAGTAATGGAGGAATAGCAAAGGACCTGTTGACCTTTTAAAGACGAAGATTTTTAAATGCAACAATTAATTTTATTCACTAATACCATATATAATATATTTAATTTTTTACTGGGTATTATTTAGTTTAGCTGTACGGTTATTACCCTTGTAGATTCTACAGTTTTCTTTCAGCTTCTGAAAGGTTAAACTGTAAGAGATCCCTTTATAATTCTGCCATTGTATATTAAGTTTTGCTGAATTCCATATGAATTTTGTACAATAAAGATTAAAAAAAAAAATGTTGTTAGGATTCTTAAGTACATATTATATTTTTATCGTGCTATTTTTTGTACCCGAAGTTTTCCGAAAGCCATCTTTCTTATCTGAGACGGTGCCGCGAACGCCTAGCTCGCGTTGAGCGGATCGAGGCGCGCAGTCAAACTCGCGCTCACATCGCAGCCGTTCTCGATTAAGGGTCCCAGATGGTCCCGAAATTACTCGAACTTTCTTTACCTAATTACACAAAAATTAAACCGGTAGTTATTATATTAAAATAAAATATTTGTTACTTACAGTGAACTTGGACTCGAAGGTCGGTGCCATTGGCTTCCTGAGTCGATTGGTGTCATCAATTTACCCACTCATTCTAGTCAAGTACGTAATATATATATTAAAAAGTGAATGTCCGTTCGTTAGTCTCGCTAAAACTAAAAAAAACGACTTGATCGATTTGATTTTTTTTTTTTGCTTTATTCCTTTTAATATTAGGTATAAAAAAGACTACTTTTTTCACGTTGGTGTCATTAGAAATGACAAGAGAATAATCGAGGGATAGGCAGCAGCCTTTCTCCATAAACATCACCAAAACCTAACTGCGGTTGCCAATCCGTCTGCCGAGAAAGGTATATGTTCAGTAGTGGTGGAAGGGTGCGATATGGCGTGAATTTACTGGGTACAGAGGAATAACACCTGAGTCCTCAGGAATGGCAACGCAAGGGGGGTATCATGTGCGAAACAGTATACTCTGTTATGTCCGTGGTACTGCTCGTGTCTATAGGCGACGGTTACCACTTTCCATCAGGTGGGCCGTGAGCTTGTTTGCCATTCTAAGTTGCATAAGAAAAAAATTGTAAAATACTGGTATTTTTGCTTTCAGATGTGATGAAATTACCGGAGATATTTACAGAGACAGCAATGGAAGATGCATAAGCTGTGGTCCGCACGAACCAGGTGAACATAAATGTTCAGAAGTTATATATTTTAGGCCTATTCAGTATAGTTTATCGGGGGGGAAAGGGATTGTTAGTAATGCGGATTACCAGTCCCGTTGTTAGCATTGTCAGGTCGACCTCCACGTGGTCCCCCTAGAAACCGACGTACTGAATTCCAGGTGTATTCATCACGGTAGGCTATCCGACCTGCCCTTTCATCGTCACCTATCATCCCTCACTGGTGCTCCGCCAGCGTATACCGATAGCGCAGGCGGGGTTACCATTCCATTATCATCCAATGGAAAAAAATATGGTATAGTTTATCTGGTGTAGAATTTCTTAAAGTTTGTAGAGGGAGACTTTGTACAAAAGTCGATTGCTTGGGTACCTCTGTCCCATTCGTGTTTCAACCGTGAAGCAGTTGTGTTTGCATGGCTGTGTTTAGGTTTGAAGGGTGGATTTGGTGTGAATTTACTGGGTACAGAGGAATAACACCTGAATCCTCAGGAATGACAACGCATGGGGGTTATCATGGGCGAAACAGTATACACTGTTATGTCCATGGTACTGCTCATGTCTATAGGCGACGGTTACCACTTTACATCAGGTGGGCCGTCAGCTTGTTTGCTTATCTAAATTGTATAAAAAAATTAGCTTCTCAGAAGCATATTTGCTTCGTTGACCGACGTCATTGTTCTAAGCTATTATGTATATTGAAAGTTGAAAGAATGGATGATAATGGAATTGAAACGGTATATGGTGTCGAGTACGCATGGAAATAATTGTTACATTTAGTTCATTATCATTTAGGAAAATTATAATTTTTACTCACTGTGATATATTTGATCACTGTGATATATCACTGTTATATATTGATTGTAATGACAAATCACAAGAAGTGATTTTCGTTCGCAATGACTTAATATCGCACTTGTGGGGGGAAAGGGATTGTTTGACTATTTTTTGATTGGGGCTATTTGACCCCCATTACTAGCAATATGATAATAATAAGACAGGGCGTCAAGTCGACCTCCGCGTGATTCCCCCTGGAAACCATCTTGGCTAATTCTAGTTGAATTCGTCAGGATGGGCTAACTGACTTGCTTTTATCCTCATTAGTTATCTATCATTGGTGCCCCGCCATTATATACTGATAGCGCAGACGGAGTTACCATACCATTATCACCCATTAATAAAAAAAAAAAAAATAACGCACTTGCTACTATTGACTGTTTTTGAAAGTGAAGTACGAATTATGATTTTTATGATAAGAGCGAGCGAATAGACACTTTAATACAGTGTGATAAAGTCTCTATTCGCCCGTCTTCTACTGGTTGTATTTATCACTTCATTGCTAACCGAGCACAGCCGATGTTTCACGAATAAATCCGAATATAGCGTCTTTCTGTGATTTCACTTCACTTCCTTATAATATTACTATAGACTAGCGATCCGACCTGTTTTCGCATGAGTAGACAAAAAAAAAATTCAGTCTATTCGACTGATCGGTTATTTTATAGCATTTTATATGTGATTTTTAGATTGATATAACTTTTTTTATTTATGAACCAATTGAAATAAATCAAACACTAAGTGTTAAGTGGTACAAACCGCAACGCATTAGTAAAAATCGCATTAGAATCGGTTAAGTAATTTTTGAGATTAACGTGCACGAATGTATAGACAAAAATTTAAAAATCCTTGTTTTGGATTCCATTGCATTCATAAAACCTAAATATAATAGTTTTTCTTATATATTTTCCATGTACAGACAGCGACCAGTTATGATTTTATAATATGTATTAATGTACTAGGGGTAATAGAGACTGAGAATCCCATTGCTAGCAATATACCCAACTAGGTCGACCTCCTCGCGGTTCCTTCTGGAAACTATCATGGTTAATTCCTGATGAATTCATCATGATGGGCTAACTGGTCTGTTTTCATTCTCATCTATCACCCTTCACCGGTGCTCCGCCAGCGTATCCCGTTAGCACAGGCGGGGTTACCGATACCATTTTCACCCATAGAAAAAAAAATGTACTAGGGGGACTTTTTTATGTAACTTAGAATTAAATTAATAATAATGGTGATATACAAATTTATTTATTTTTTTAATTTCTAGGCGTACTCTTAGGAAAAATAGACGCAAAGAAAGCAATCCTAACGTTCTCCGGATACGCAGACAAGACTGCGTCCGAGAAGAAGATGGTGAGAAACGTGAAGGAGGAAGGCGACTGCTACTTCAACACTGGTGATATACTGGTCATGGATCACTATGGCTATTTTTACTTCAAAGACCGCACTGGTGATACGTTCAGGTAAGATTTTTAAATAATAAAATAAAGTAAAATAATAATATAAATTAAAGTAAAAGAATTTAGAATAGCAATTTATGTCTTTCTTGTAATAATTTTTTGAGCAATAATTTAGCTGATAATAAATAAAGTCGTCTGCATGGGGACCTCTATCCCATCTGTGTTTCTGCTGTGCTTGCATGTTTGTGTTACCATTATCCAAGGAGGAAGGGATTGTTAGTAATTGGGAGGTTAGTCCTCATTGCTATCAATATCTAACCAGGTCGACCTCCCCGTGGTTTCCCTCTGGAAACCACCGTACTGAATTCCAAGTGTAATCATCATAATGGACTAACTGACCTCTCTTTTCATCCTCACCTATCATCCCTCACTGGTGCCCCGCCAGCATTTACTGTTAGCGTAGGTGGGGTTACCATTCCATTATCATCTATAAAAATTATCTCTCACTGGTGGCCCGCTAGCATATACCGGTAGCGCAGGCGGAGTTATTATTCCATTCTCACCATGAGGGGTAGCAGAGTGTTCTGTGACACCCATGATGTTTCACATGTCTATAAACAACGGTTACCACTTTCCATCAGATGGGCTGTCGGCTTATTTACCATTGTAAGTTGCATAAAAAAATCTGTTTACAGATGGCGTGGCGAAAATGTGTCTACAGCGGAGGTGGAGGGTGTGATCAGTTCTATAGTGGGCTTGAAGGATTCCGTTGTTTATGGTGTTGCGGTAAGTTGTTAGATTGTACCGTTAATCCTCTTCACTCGAACATACATTCTATTACTGCATAATCCATGGCTGCCGCAAGGATCGTGAAGTGTGGAGCAAATTGCGACGACCTACCAATCGACAGCTGCATTCATGTCATTGGTTGTATTTTACTGAATGCAAAATACCGTCGCCTTTTCTTTTCATATATATAAACATATAGCCTAAATGGTCGCGTACAACGCGGTTTCAGAGATGTTTTCTCCCACGAACACTCAGGTTATGGTATGAGCTCCCTGCCGGGGTTTTCCCAAGAGACTACAGCATGGGGTTCTTCAAATGGAGGATAAAGAGGTTTCTTCAGGGTCGGCAACGCGCGCGTAATACCTCTGGTATTGCAGGCGTGGCGTTCATAGACTACGGTAACCGCTTACCATCAGGTGGGCCGTATGCCTGTTTGCCACCTTAGTGGTATAAAAAAAATCATATTGTTATATATAATAATATTATAATAAAAATTACAATTTTAAATAAAAAAAATTTAATCAAAACAGTAACTGTTGCGTTTTGCGGGCTCTTCTCAACAGACAACAACCTTCCGAAACCTGCAGTAGATTAAGAAAAATGACGATTTAAAAGTGCTTGTAACAAGTCTATTTGAATAATGATTTAAATTTGAATTAAATTTCTTCAAAATATATATTTACCTTTAATTTAATATTTACCTTCAAAATACTCACAATTACTTAAATTTTTTTTGCAGATACCAAACGTGGAAGGCAAAGCTGGGATGGTAGCTATCGCTGATCCTGAGAAGAAATTAAACTTAACAGCTCTAGCGAAAGGTCTAAGATCGTCATTGCCCGCCTACGCTAGGCCGCTGTTCGTCAGAATACTACCTGAACCACCATTGACAGCGACCTTCAAGTTGAGGAAGAAGGAATTAGTTGAACAAAGCTTCAACATAACTCTTTTCGATGATCCCACCTACTTTTTAGACCAAAAGACAATGGAGTACGTTCCATTGACTCAAAAATTATATGACGATATCAACCAGGGTGTTGTCAGGCTGTGATGGAATTATTAGTGGTGATGGAGATTGTTCCAAATTGTATAATATTAAATCGAGCGTTTTTAAGAGGTGACCTGATCCTGTTTTTAGGTAATTAATTATTATAAACTGTGACCCCACTTAGATAGAGTTGACAGTAGCACTAGAGAATTTCTGTTGGAAAAGAGCTTATGTTGTAGGTACCTACTCTCTTATTTTTTTATTTTATTTCAATTAGATTGTAGTCTGGAATAATCAACTAGAATCCAGAGACGAAATATTAAAAAAAAAATCCACGTTCACAGATAATACTTTCCTTATCATATAGAAGGTACTAGGATAACAGAAGCTTATTGAGGATGGTTCGTTCATTTGAAATAAAAATTGAAATTTAATCTGGAATTTTGTTTTCTCTATACTCTGTTTTATTTGTTTACTTACAATTTGATTACTTTTGTGTTTTATGTGCATTCCGAATTTATTGAAAGCGTAGTTTTACAGAAAAGAAGGATAATAAGCTGTACTTGTCTTTATTACACCATAAATAGTTACATTTGGAAAAAAAAAAACATAAATAGAAGTATTTAAACGAACTTAGGTATGTACGTATGTAAACATGAATTAAAAATACTTTGTACAAAAATCAACATTTAAACATGAAATAATAGCAAAGAGTGGGGTTTAGATAAATATATAGTATATAAGTAATATATTATTTAATTTTAGAGAACCATGTGATATTATTTACTTGAATGTCTGTAATTTTTTTGGTAAATAAAATATGGATTTATATAAAAAGTTTATTGCGTTAATTACTAGTCGTAGGAAAAAAAAAATAAAATAAAAAAATATATTTTTAAAGCTCCTGGATACCAGTTTGGTTCTCTTGACTCCTTTCAGCTATGAGAATGGTCGACGATTCCAAGCTCACAGGAGGTATTAAGCCCCTCTCGGAGGAAGGGATTGTTAGTAATGGAGACTGAGAATCCCATTATTAGTACAACCAGGATAAAAAAAACATGGAAAAATTCATCATATATATTCTTCTATCACCCTTCACTGGTGATCCGCCAGCGTATCCCGTTAGCGCAGGCGGGGTTACTATACCATTTTCACCCAACAAAAAAAAAATCCCTTAAGTCTAAAGCGAGACTTTGTGTGTTCTACCGCTTGTACATATAACGGATTGTGTTCTGAGAAATTGTTAAAAATGATACCCACAGCCACCTCTTATAACCGCACTGTTCACCATCGACAGGGAGTTCATCTTCACACACTTGGACCTAAATGTTTGCGTACAGTCCGATTTTAAAGGAATTTTCTCCCATGAAGACTCAGGCTGTGGAATAAGCTCCCTGCCGAAATGAATTGAAAAGAAATTTATTTGCTAGAAACATTGTAGAAAAGGTGTTGCATTTGTGAAGTTTATAAGATGCCCATTATGTTTCGCCACATCAAATGGCATGCAAATATTAATTATTGAATTTATCCATTGGCCATTTTATACGGGTACATTATATATTTAATTTTCAATTATTTACTACATTATAAAATGAATCACTACTAGTATCAAGTGCATACTTTGTTTTCTCAAGAGACTACAGTATGAGGTTCTTAAAAAAGGGTTTATTAACGCATTCAATACGGAAAGCGCGCCAGGGCGCTCTCCAATGTTATACCTTGTGACAGCAAGCGCCTCGAGGCGCTCTCCCCACCCTTACCCAATGACGGCGGTTTCCTTTAGTTTCAAACGTGCTTTAGACCGTTCCAGTCACTTGTGGAAGCCCGTTATTTACTGGCAGTCACTCCTAACAATTAACTAAGCCATATACGTAGAAAAAGTTGTGCCGTCAGTGACGGCCGTTTATGAAAAACTAAGCCGTATACTGCATAGGGATCTCAATATGGCCGCCGTATTGAATGGGTTAAGAATACTTCAGAGTCGTCACTGCATCTAGTGGGGGTTCGTCTTACTCTGCGTTTGATTGTACAGGGTCGCGGATAAAGAAGAAAAGAAAAAAATTTCAAAGAAATAAGATTAAAATTTCCGAGTGAAGAAATTAAAAACATTGGACATTTAAAGCTCTTTACTCATTCATACAAAACATCGCCGCTTCACAATGATTCAACCTATTTAAAATTTGGCTCTTACGGCTATTGATATACAGTATAAAATCATTTGTGCGGTATTACTATCACTGTACCACGTGGTGTGTGCATTGTTTTACTTACAATAACTATCTTTGCATAACAAGATACACAGTCGGCGTTAAGCGAACTAATAAATAAATAACAATAATTTATTTAAAAAACTTAGTAAAAACACATTGATGTCGTTTCTATGACGGTATTTCTCTAAATTTATGTCTTAATCTAATATTTTAATTGGAGGAGGGGGGGGGGGGATTATTAGTAATACAAACTACCAGACGCATTGCTAGCAATATGTTATGGGAGGTTGACCTTCACGTGGTCCCCCCGGGAAACCATCGTGCTCAATTCTAGGTGTATTCATCAAGGTGGGCTAACTGACCTGCCCTTTCATCTCACGTATCATTCCTTACAGGAGCCAGCGTATACCGTTAGCGCAGGAGGAGTGACCATTAAATTATTATCCATCGACTTGCCTTTTCATCCTCACCTATCATGTGTCCCTGGTACCTTACCTACGCTGGCAGGGCTCCAGTGATGATACGTGAGATGAAAGGGCATGTCAGTTAGCCCACCTTGATGAATACACCTGGAATTGAGCAAGATGGTTTCCCAGGGGGACCACGTGAAGGTCAGGTTGACCTTCACATGGTCATATTGCTAGCAATGCGTCTGGTAGTTTGTTACCCATTGCTAGCAATATGCTAGCAATGGGTCTGGTAGTCCGTATTACTAACAATTAGTATTTAAATGTTTTTAGAACACGAAATGTGTATCTTATTGCTCAAAGATTATCACACATAATCATACATTTCTTCAAATCTATATACACTATAAAATAACTACACCTTATGAAATAGTCAACAACTATTTTAAAATTTGCTATTTTCTAATTTATCCAACATGGTATTCGATTCTAGCACTTAGACATTTCTGTAAGTATCTACAGTTTGTACATTTGTAAATGTGAACACACTTATTATAAATAATTCATCGTCAATCGATCGACAAATTAATAATTTACGATTTCAATATAAAGTTAAATTACGTGAATAAAAGTTGCAAGTGTGAAAGCAGTCTAAGAATCAATGTATAAGTTTCATAAGAATTATACTTATAAGCCGATTCTTAATGCCGCTTACAGACTGACGTATTAGTACGCCATATGTACTTGAATAAATTTAAATTAAAAAATACTAGAATCAAATACCATAACAGTTAAGTACATATTTTTCCACATATCCCATACAAATAACACATTTATAAATTTATTAGAACACATTCTTTTTGGCAGTAGCCCAATTTTATGATAATATTAAAACACTATAATAATACAATTGTCATGTAATTGATTATTCTCAATACCATTATATGATGCGGTGTGTATTGGGGGCTTAATTCATATTTCATTTTATGCAACTTAGAATGGCAAACAAGCAAAGTGCCCACCTGTTGGAAAGTGGTAACCATCGCCTATAGATATGAATACTATTATGTACATAACAGAGAACACTGTGTCGCACATCATACCCTTCATGCGTTGCCATTCTTGAGGACTAAGGTGTTATGCCTCTAATAATTAATTAATTATTAATTGCTAAATTACATTACACAGAATGATTTTGAAATATTAGCATCCTTTTAAGGGAGTGTTTTATTCTTATATTAATTATAATACAATTGTGATATATATATATATATATATATATATATATATATATATATATATATATATATATATATATATATATATATATTTAAAATATGTTTCTTTTGTCGATAAAATATTTTGAACTCTCTGCATAAACATGACAATTGAATCTGCTATTATGGTTACGTTTTCAAAATTAAAACTGTGTATTGTATATTTAATTGCTGGTAAATCAGGAACACCATTAACAATTACATATTTAAAAAATAGGAGTTTAATATTTTTTATCGTTTTTCAGTTCTTTTGTTATTTGGCTTCTCTGGTAAAATATCCTAGAAAAGGATGCTAAGGTTTTCGAATTTTCTGTATTGTATAGGATTATAAAAAATAATAAATTAATATTTAAAAATCATCACTAGATTATTAATAAAATATTCTAATTGCTTTAAATATACTAATAACTGAGTTTGTTGCGTTTTCTGGTTCAGTAAATAACAGTCTGAACCCAGCATTAGAATCGTTCCGGCATAGAATAGACCACCCCTTCCTTTTATTTTTTTGGGTGTTATAAAAGGCGACTAAGAGAGGGCGAGAGATGACCAGCAGCGTTCCTCTTAAAAGATTTCTAAAGCCTAACTGCGGTTGCCAATCCGCTTGCCAAGCGTGGTAACTATCGGGACTCCCCCCCAGGGGGAGACTTATGTTAAAGGCTGATATGATGGATCTATTGATATTTCGTTTCTTTCAGCATTGATTCTAATACTGTTTTCTGTACATTTCGAGACGAGAGATTTAATTGAATATTGCATATTTAGGCACTCGACTTATTTAAAATTATATCGGTACAAACACAAAAATAATAACTATCGTGAGTCATACTGTATTATAATTATTTATGTCGACTTTACTCACGTTTTAATTTCGGAATTGCTCGTCTAATTTCAACCTCAACAGGAGCAAAAAACACAAGACGAGACCACCGAAATGATTCAGATAGATAGGTAATTATTATTTATATGTATAGGTAGAACATTCCACAACATTAACGCCACAGAGATTTACGCCATCTATTGGTTGCTTACGCAACTAGTAGTCATCGGTAAATTAATTTATTAGCCCGAGCTGGCGGGCGGCTAGGAAAGTAGCGGCATCTAGCGCACATATGAACGACTAAAAATTTAACCGGAGAATAAGCCGGCTTAAAGCTTTTCACTTGTTCGTTCAAGATGATGCATCTGTACTAGTATAGTATTATATTACCTGTGACAGGAGCTCTTATTCATGAGCGTGGTCCACGGCTGTGTCGCAAGCAGCACTACGCTACTAGCGTGCTGTTTGTCACCGTATGCGTACAGCGCATGCCTACGGTCAACGGTAGTGGTAGTGATGGTGGAGCTGATAGTGTATCAACAATGCAGTCGAGTTCTCGCATCGTCCGTGATAGATTTAATTCCCGAACAGATCTATAGGTTTGAATGGGAGTATCCGTACAGTGCTGCTCATAGCACAGCCATGAAAAGCGCTCATGACTAAGAGTTCCTTACGAATTGGGCATTCCCAAATGTAAAGTGTCAGTAAAGCCGATATAAGTAATTAACACACAAAAGTTATTATAATAAATTACTTTTCTATCACAAAATACGTGTAGATTTGAGTTACCATAACATTGATACACATTTATTTATATTTATATAATTATTAATAAATAAATAAATATTTTTTTCGAACGTACAACAATTAGGTGATATTTATTTATTTCTGTGTTAATTCTATAACATTATAATTTGCAAAATCTCACCAGATTTATGTATTATTTTTACTTATGATCGAATATATCTTATTATTATTTTTTTTTTGTTGGTTACTACAAATTTGGGGCTTTATAATTTAATAGACTAGTATTATATTTTAAAAATATATTTCTAGATTACCTGCCATTTTTTTTAATACATATTTTTATTAAAAAAATAAAATAATATATTTTCTCGAGTATATTCATATGGAATTATCGAAAAATTGTTCCGTAAGTACTGAAAATTTACAGCATGATCATGCATGTTTTTCTTTTTATAATATCTATATTTGATATATTTGTACTTAATATTAATAATTGTTTATAACATAATTATAAAAAAATAAATACCACAAACGTTTGGGAGAATCGTCATCGCTGATTCTTTCTTTTCTTCTTCAACACTATGAGGGGGCCGTCCAAAGCCTTGTCGATTTGCTCCTGGCTTCTCCCCCTCGTTTCTGGTATAACGAAGAACGTGTACAAGGAGCCCAGAAGTGTGATAGAGGCGGAGATGTAATAAGTGCCGTGGAGTCCGAGAGAGACAGCAACAGTGCCGTAGTAGCGTAGAAGGAGAAAATTGCTCAGCCACATCCAGGATATAAGTAAACTCGAAGCGAGACTCCGAACCTGCAAAGTATATTTATTTATTTAATAATTTATTGCACCAAAAACATAAAAATAAACAATGATATATAAACAAATCTTAACAACATCAAGAAGTGAAAAGACTCGCTGAAAATCGTAGTGAGTGGCAAGAGCGCCACCGACAAGAGACCAGCTTTTAAATAGATTATCTTAAATAGAAATAGGATAGATAGATAAACAAATCAACTGAAATTCAGTAGCATGAAGTAGAATTTAAAATATACATATAAAGGTACAAAAAGCGGTCTTATCGCTAGGGCAATCTCTTAAAGGAGCACATATAGAAGTGGGTAGGTAGCGCAAGAGTGAATTAATAATTTTTACGTATAATGCACAAGAACATCAAATACATATTGTTTATTAAACTACTTATTATAATAAAAAATATATACTACATATACATATAAATATATACATAGCACGCGCTAGGGAATATGACGAATCTAGTAACACAATATAAAGAAATAGAATAATTAAGGAAAAGAGAAACTACATTATTTATTTATCAAAATCATTTTGTAAAAAAAGCGAACTTGACGCGACTTCACGGTAGAAACACGAATTACTTACACATACAAATATACATACATGGGGGGAAAGGGATTGTTGTAATGGGGTTTAATTGACCTGTTGCAAGCAATACATCCTATTAGGTGAACCTCCAAGCAGTTCCCCTGGTAACTGTCATGGTTAATTCTAGTGGAATTCGTCACGATGGACTAACTGGCTTGCCTTCTCATCGTCACCTGTCATCCCTCACTGGTGTCCCGTCAGTGTATTCCGATAGTGCAATCGGGGTTACCATTATATATATATATATATATATATATATATATATATATATATATATATATATATATATATATATATATATATATATATATATATATATATATATATATATATATATATATATATATATATATATATATATAATATACTATATTACCAATAAAGCAATGAGAGACATCAAAGGTGATGATGATGAAGACAATAATGACCTACTTTCACAGTTTCCTCATAATATACATGTTTATATTTTGAACAGATTTGTATAGATCTCGAGGGAACATTTTAAGAGATTTTTTTTTAAATTGTAAAATGAATCAGAAATAATGTGATTGAAATAAAAACTTACATTGATAGTAAACAGCTCGGATATAAGTACATAAGGCACGGAACCCAGTCCTATGTTGTACAAGAATAGTACGACCGAGAGCAACATTGCCGGTGTCCACATCGTAGCGTCTAAACCTTGTTCAGAAGCATTGAACTTCGGTGACCAAGTGCTAGCAGTCAGGTTATAATTGTCGTAAAATCTCCATGCTTTTATTTCTTGAGTCTGATTTTTCAACACTTCACCCGTGATATTCTCGGGGTAAGAGATGTTTACCATCATTTGAGATATATTCAATACCCCCTCTTGGATATCTTTGTCGGGAATCCTTTTGTAAGGCCACCACCGGTGCGTGTACCAGGAGAACATACGAAGTCGAGGGTCGCAGTACACACCGAGTATAGCAAGGCAACACGTTATACCGGAGCACGACCAAAGCAACAGCATCTGTAACAAACAATTGGATTTTGTTTTACAAAAAAAAAATGTCATAGCTAAAATAAACCAGTTGATTTTAAACTAAATTTACTTTTTTTATTTAACTAATTTAAAACAATAGGATATAAGAAAGGTAAGAAATATTTTTTTATCTGTTTATAAATGTAAGAATTCTGAGGCAGTAATTAAAAAAATATATACAATCGAATTAAGCTACTCCTTTATTTTTAAGTCGATTCAAAAAGTAGCAATGTAAATTAAATTTAAGTATATACAGAAAAAAAATATGAAAAATGTGTTTTATATATGTATATATATATATATATATATATATATATATATATATATATATATATATATATATATATATATATATATATATATATATATATATATATATATGTTACAGACTGTATTAAAAAACAAAGAGATTACTGACAAGTACAACTGAGAGACAACTGAGAGACACTTTGAGCTGTCTTTCATAACACTGTTCTTCACTTCTGTTCCCCTAGTCATCTCAAATACCCTTGGAAGTGGTACACACAAACGAACCACGCTATTTTTTTTCTTAATAGCGTTCCTAACAGGGGGGGGGGGAAGGGATTGTTAGTAACTATGGAGACTGAGAATCCCATTGCTAGCAACATACCCAACTAGGTCGAACTCCTCGCGGTTCCCCCTGGAAACTATCATGGTTAATTCCTGATGAATTCATCATGATGGGCTAACTGGCCTGTTTTCATTCTCATCTATCACCCTGCACTGGTGCTCCGCCAGCGTATCCCGTTAGCGCAGGCGGGGTTAACATACCATTTTCACCCATAAAAAAAATATAGCGTTCATAACTTTAACTCACCGACAATTAAATTTTTTTTTTTATACAACTTACAATGGCAAACAAGCTGACGGCCCACCTGATGGAAAGTGGTAACCGTCGCCTATAGACATGAGCAGTACTATGGACATAACAGAGTATACTGTTTCGCCCATGATACCCCACATGCGTTGCCATTCCTAAGGACTCAGATGTTATTCCTCTGTACCCAGTAAATTGACGCCATATCCCACCCTTCAAACCGAAACACAGCCATGTAAACACAACTGCTTCACGGTTGAAACACGAATGGGACAGAGGTACCCAAGCAATCGACTTTTGTACAAAGTCTCCCTCTGGTAAATTATTTACTATTATAACGTAATAATTTATGCACTTGTGCACATGCATTTTTTTTAAATCGATTAGAAACATTGAAAAATATTCAGTTATTATGAAATTGATAAATACTTCTAGTAATACAACTTTTACCAGAGGGAGACTTTGTACAAAAGTCGTTTGCTTGGGCACCTCTGTCCCATTCGTGTTTCTACCGTGAAGCAGTTGTGTTTGCATGGCTGTGTTTCGGTTTGAAGGGTGGGATATGGCAGTGAATTGACAAGGTACAGAGGAATAACACGTTCTCAGGAATGACAACGTATGGGGGGTATTATGAGCGAAACAGTATACTCTGTTATGTCCACAGTACTGCTCATGTCTATAGGCGACGACTACCATTTTCCATCAGTTGGGCCGTCAGTTTGTTTGTCATTCTAAGATGCATATAACAAAAAATACTTCCAACGTTGCAACGTTTGTTATGTACGCTCTTAGTCAATTGTTACCTTCCTTCCCAGTTTGTCGACAGTAACTGTGGCGACCGCAGCACCCAACACCAGTGCCGCACCACACACCACGGAGCCAGCTGACGAGGTCTCGAACAATGGCCTGCTTACTACTGTTCTGTAATGTACCATAACAATAACGACTTCGATCCTAACAACAAGAAGAACTTAACAAGAAACCTGTACGAATATATTTATTGCAGAAAGAATTATTAAAATCTGCTAAATATTTATTAACGGTATTGAAATATATAAAAAATACTTTTGGTTAAAATATAGACGTTAACTGCCCACTGCTGTATGAAGTTGCTACGTTTGGCAGACGGGTTGCCAAGCGCAGTTAGGCTTTTGGTAGTTTCATTAGAGGGACGCTACTGCTCATTTCACCAACATTAAGTTCCCTTAGTCGTCTCTTACGACACCCACGAGAAAGGAATAGTTAGCCCATTCTACGCCGGGACCACACGGAAGAGTACACGCTCTATTCTTTTTAGAAGTCGGTTAAAGTGACTTCATCATCATCATCATTATTTCAGCCATTATCCGTCCACTGCTGGACATGGCCTTAAAGTGACTTACCCATTGTAAATGGTGAAGTTGTACGCAGTGATATTCAGATGGGGCACAGTGTGCGCTGAATGCCGAAGCACAGCTGCAGCGAAGCTGTTGACAGCGCCTGCGCCGCTGCCCGCTGCTACGCATAGAAGCACGAAGCAGGAGAAGAGGGCGCGACGGGTGCGACCGTGGCGGACTGGAGTCCACAAAGAACATGAGCATTTAGCTTGCCGAAGTATTCTGACACTTTCCTATGGTTGACTGGGAGAGAATGTTTTGAGCATTAAGTCCACTGTGTACACATATATTACCAGATATTACCAGAGGAAGATTTTGTACAAAAGTCGATTGCTTGGGTGGGAATGGGAAACACGAATGGGACAGAGGTCTGTCCCATTCGTGTTTCAACCATGAAGCAGTTGTGTTTGCATGGCTGTGTTTCGGTTTGAAGGGTGGGATATGGCGTGAATTTACTGGGTACAGAGGAATAACACCTGAGTCATCAGGAATGGCAACGCATGGGGGGTATCATGGGCGAAACAGTATACTCTGTTATGTTCATGGTACTGCTCATGTCTATAGGCGACGGTTACCACTTTCCATCAGGTGGGCCGTCAGCTTGTTTGCCATTCTAAGTTGTATAAAAAAAAGGAATAGGTGGCCTATTCTATGCCAGGGCCAAATGGCACGAATAGGTTAAAACGATCATGTATCAAAAAACATACACAATTCTTTGCAAGGTGAAGGTTCCGCTTTCTTTTCCGAGTTGGAGTCCAAACCGCTGCTCCTCTTCAGCATTGGCTGGAAGATATCCGAGTCCTGCCGCCGCACGGCCTCCCTGCGTCCGTAGCACTCTGAGGTTCTGATGCGGACCTCTTGTTGTTCTATGACGTCAGTCAAGTCCTCTTGGAAGTCTGAACCGTCGAACCAGCATATTACTTTTGCTGCATCCTGTGAAATTATTGATTATCAAATTAGCTATTAACCTGTTCATTACTGAACATAGACCTCCCCTATAAAGACGGGGTTTGCCAGTAGTTGCCACGTTTGGCAGGCGGGTTGGCAACTGCAGTTAGCCTTTGGTGATGTTTTAAGATGGACGTTGATGCCCATCCCTCCACCATAAGCTCCCTTAGTCGCCTCTTACGACACCCATGGGAAAGAAAAAGGTTATTTATTTATTTACTTACTTAACTTACTTACTCTTTCTTTACTTTATCTTACTTATTTTAGCTACAATATACTTTGATGTACCAAGAAAACATAAACGGTAGAAGTTCAACCTGTATTTTTCCAACGCTGATGAGGTGGTATGTAACCACAGCAGGGAGACCAGTAACAGGTATATTAAGTTCATTTATTATTTTAGCTGCAATATACTTTGATGTACCAAGAAAACATAAACGGTAGAAGTTCAATCTGTATTTTTCCAACGCTGATGAGGTGGTACGTAGCCACAGCAGGGACACCAGTTTATTTATTATTTTAGCTACAATATACTTTGATGTACCAAGAAAACATAAACGGTAGAAGTTCAACCTGTATTTTTCAATGCTGATGAGGTGGTATGTAGCTGTTCATTTATTATTTTAGCTATTTTTGATGTACCAAGAAAACATAAACGGTAGAAGTTCAACCTGTATTTTTCCAATGCTGATGAGGTGGTATGTAGCCACAGTAGGGACACCAGTTCATTTATTATTTTAGCTACAATATACTTTGATGTACCAAGAAAACATAAACGGTAGAAGTTCAACCTGTATTTTTCCAACGCTGATGAGGTACGAAGGCGTTTCCTGTAGCCACAACAGTGACACCAGTAGCACTAAAGGTGGTATTGCCATCGACAAAGACAGCGCATGCGCGGACAGCATGCCACCTGCGGTGTACGCGAACAGGATCCCACAACTGCAAAAAACAAGTAAAAAATAATATCATATATGTCTTTAGATTGTCCAGAAAGAGACTAAAGCATGGGTCTCATTTGTGTTTTCGACGTAAAGTAGCTGTTTTTGCGTGGCTGCGTTTTAGTTTGAAGAGTGAAACATGCCATTAAAATTACAGGATCATAATGATGATGATGATGATGATGATGCATAATACCTATGGGTAGGCAATATATAGTAATACCTATATATTTTAGTTACAATATCTATATATAGATTAAATAACGAATATGTTAAAAGGCTGTTATCCAAAAATATTGGATAATATTGAATAACAGGGGTATCATGGGTGAAACAGTATATAAACTGTTATGCCCATGGTACTGCTCATGTCTATAGGCGACGGTTACCACTTTCCATCAGGTGGGCCGTCAGCTTGTTTGTCATTCTAAGTTGTATAAAAAAAAAACAGATTTTTAACATATTCGAAAATAGATATCCGACCGATATGGATGATATCGAAATGGGTGATCACTTTTCTCCGACCTTGACCTTTTTTTTTGCCAACCCGCCTGTTAAGCGTGACAACAATTGGCAACCTTTTATGGATGAGGCCTATCTTTAGCATTGGACAATCAACAGCTGATAGCATAGCTGATTTTTTGTATACCACTTAGGTGGCAGACAAACATACGGCCCACCTGATGGTAAGAGGCATATTATATTGTGCGGGGTCCAACCTACGACCGTCGTATGATAAAACGGTGAGTTAAACCTCTAGACCAAAGAGATCACCATTAGTATTGTCCTAAAATGTTAATTATTTCATTATTAGTAGGAACATTCGAAGGTATGTACCTGCAAGCCAAAGCAGGCATGGCGGCCAGACCCCTTGTTCTGGGCGCTATCTCTGCACAGTACAGCGGTGTCAGGGCTAATGCACCAGCACCTCCTGCACCCGCTGCGATCCTGGCAGCCCACACACCGCGCGGACCACACCATGCCGCTAATGACCAGCTAATCTAGAAGTATTTAGTTTTAGGAGTAAGTATTTAGGAAAAGGGGCTTGGTCAATCTTGGCCTTCTATCCACTCTTAGGTGAAAAACATGTTAGTACTTACTATAAAACTAACACTAATGCAAAACGCCCCAGCTTTCCTGCCCTTAGCATCAGCTAACACAGCAAAGAAGGGTGCTGCTGGGAGCGCCACCAAGCACGGTAAAGCTGCGAGCCATGCACCTCCTGTTAACGCCTCCGTTCCTAGTACACCTGACACCCAACCAGTGCTGCACCCGTGGGTGAAACATGAGAGGTTATCTGAAAGTGACATTAGATGTACAATTTACAATTCTTGGTCTTTCATGTGTCCCTAGTACAAAGCATCGTGACAATTATTGTTTCCACCATTACTTATTGAAAAAACCAATAATTTTTTTCTTGAAGACCAATAATATTTTTTTTCTTCTATAAAGACTTATAAATTGGCTAAACAAGCTCCCCTATCTCTCATTAAATTGCATTGAAGCTACTTAATGATATTTTGAACCAGTATCCGCAATTGGATGTATTTGCCTCCAACTTGCTAGAGTTTAGAGAGAGAGGGCCGTCAGCTTGTTTGCCATTCTAAGTGGTATAAAAAAAAAACCTAGGGGTGGGCAATATATAGCAATACCTATATATTTTAGTTTACTTAGTTCCTATGTTACTTCATTATGCCCTGCATTGATGAGAATTATTAGTTAAATCTTTAATCTAATTAATGGAATTATTAAACCATAGAGTTTATACGAGTCGATTTATGTACTTACAAACAGAAGCGGAAAGTATACGCCGTACTGAACCTCGCCATCGTTTCGACGCGCTCTTCTCGATGCGATTTCTGGAACAAAAACATAAAAATTAACCCTTCTTTGTATGATTTTTTTATTGGTGAAATAAATCAAGGTGATATAATTCACGTTCAAAATTAAAGGAAAAATGGTTAAAAAAACAAATATGACAGCTATGTTTTTTTTCTGCGATGGACATTAAAATGTATCCAGACACGATCAAATTAAAGTGAACTTGTTCTTTTATATAATTTTTGTCCATTAAATGTTATGATGATTTCGACCATTATGCAAAGAAGGGTTAAAGAGCAATCATTTTTAGACTCTGGAAACGATTACTGGCCTAAGAAATGTTCACAACCAGAAAAACAATAAAATGTCAAAAGCAGTTTTAGACCCACTTTCAGAAGAAGAAAGTAATTTTTTTCCAATTGGTTTTTTCATGACATGTCTTTCTTTTTTTTTATACAACTTAGAATGCAAACAAGGCAAACAAGCTGACGGTCCACCTGATGGAAAGTGGTAAGCGTCGCCTATAGACATGAGTAGTACCATGGACATAACAGAGTATACTGTTTCGCCCATGATACCCCCCATGCGTTGTCATTCCTGAGGACTCCGGTGTTATTCCTCTGTAGCCTGTAAATTCACGCCATATCCCACCCTTTACACCGAAACACAGCCATGCAAACGCAACTGCTTTACGGTTAAAACACGAATGGGACAGAAGCACCCAAGTAAACGACTTTTATACAAAGTCTCCCTCTGTTGGAATAACAGAATTTGTGTATAAACTTAAAAATACAAAGAATTTTTAGAATTCATGTTGTGTATTTTTAAACTTTATTTATGTAAGAGGTTATGTAGTTATGTACTCAAATATTTATGTAGCCAGAATTAAGTTGAATTGTTTTCAAGCAGTCTTTTATGTAAATTTTGTGAATATATTTAACGAATGGACTAAATTTATAGTCGGAAGAAGTTGGACATTCGTTTTTGGTAGATTGTCTAGCCGCGGTTGCCGGATATACTTCGTACTACTGAAGCTAAAAATTTTAATGAGTTTTAAAATGAAGGAAGTACCTATTTAAGCAGAATTAACTATGCAACTATGCAAATATTTTGCACAAATGTTACGCTTGGGTGTCTCTGTCCTATTCGTATTTCTACCGTGAAGCATAGGGGGAAAAGGGATTGTTAGAAATGGGGTCAAATAGTCCCATTACTAGCAATATACCCTGGCGGGTCGATCTCCGCATGGTTCCCCCTGGAAACCATCGTGACTAATTCTAGTTGAATTCGTCAGGATGACCTACTTTCATCTTCATCTGTCATCCTTCACTGGTGCCTCGCCAGTGTATACCGATGGCGCGGACGGGGTTGCCATGCCATTGTCACCCATTAAAAAAAATACCGTAAAGCATATTTTCAGTTGTGTTGTGTTTCACTTTGAAAGGTTGAATAAAAAACAATCGAATTCAGATAACAGGATATTGTACAATTATCTTATCATGTTAGCCCTTTACTGTCCATTGCTGAACATAAGCCCCAGAAGGGGAACTTTGCCAGTAGTTGCCATGCTTGGCGGGCGGGTCGGCAACAGCAGTTAAGCTTTTAGTCATGTTTAAAGGGGACGCAGCTGCCTATCCCTTTACCATTAGATTTCCTTAGTCACTTTTTTTCTCCATTCTATGCCGGGATCGACACGGCGATATGGCTATATTGTAGAATAATGTATTCGACATTCGACGACGAAACTTCTTGTATATAGAACAGATTTCAACGTTGGAACTTCAGGGATACAAATGTGAAAACCGCATCCAATTTGGTGCATTAGTTTTTGCATAATGACATTACAGACAGACAGTTTCTATAACGTCTTGTTTTAGCTTCCATTGATCTTTTTAAGACACCTCATGTTATTTTTTCTTTAATCCAATATATTTATATATTTAAACTTTAATGCACAATAAAATTCTATGTACATTTGGCGGAGTTAACACCGGACGGTGTTCTCTACCAGTTAACCATTGGGCAAACCGAGAAATAAATAGGCGGTGCATTTTTTAATAGAGAAAAAAAATAAAACAATATTTAATAAATTCATATAATATACACATACACATATATTAAATAAATAAATATATACATACAATAAATAAATACATAAAATATTACTATATAAAACAATTAAATAAAACAACTGCAATAGAAGAGCAAATAGTAAAGTACGACTCAATAAGAGTAACCAGCAGGAGAAGCTTAAAAGGCAAGTGATTTTTCTATGAAATAGGTGCGCAATTTGTGCGCAACAAATATAGTGTAGTAACAGATTACTCAAACTTGAATATCAAGTAATGTTAATGTAGCGTAATAAATCTGCGTGGGAAAATATGAAGCGAGACCAAACCATCTACATATCTCTAATATTTTATGTTTCCCCAAGATTATATCTCGAATATCCCAAGGGATCACAGGTATCTATCGATGTTCTGGCATCACTAATGCAACAGCAGCGATCCGATCAAAGTTTTGCACAGTTGTGCGAGGGTTTTGTGGAACTTCTGGGACGTGAGGCGTATTATCTGATATATGTATAAACTTCTTACATTTGATGTTGTCCTAGTAAGTAGCCACGGAATGTTCTATGTTCTTAACAGACAACTTTATTATGAGTTATTTATTTATATAAGTTTGTTTATTAAGTTCATACATTTTGGAAAATTTCGACTTCCAAAAGGGGGTGGGTTTTAGAAAAATACAGGAGTTTGTGAAAGAGTTTCCAATAACGTCTCACGTGAACTATTTTATTCCTATTTAATTTCGTAAAAAAATATGCATAAATATTACATTACTGCAGCGGCCAGCAATTGAGGCATTGATGGACGAACGTCCAAATGTGGGCCAAGGCGTAGTCGAGGCACACATACGCGAGTCCATTAATGCCTAGTTGTGGCCAAGGCTTGTATAGTACTTTTCTCAAACAATGCGCGGAAATCAACAACACAATTTTACTTGTTAAGTTCAATGACGAATAACGAACAATAATAATTTTTCACGCGTCATAATGATCCTTTGTTTTTTTTTCAATAAACAGCTTTCTATTTGCAAGTCAGTTCGAAATTTAAATAAAACCTTTTATTAGTTACCTCCTTGGTGGCCATGTATTGAAGTAAAAGGTCATTCGATTTTTAAATTACAGGACAGATGAGTTTACATAGTAATTTATCTGGCCGCAAAACACGACAAATTTTCATACAACTTTTGCCGGCCGCTGCCCGCATGTATCTGGCTAGTACGGCAATTATGATTTATTTCTAAGGAGATTGTCAAAATAATGCTCACATTTCCAAGCATGTTTGAGAAAAGTAGTTTTTGCCGAGTGGAATAGTCTGTGCGTTGATGACCTTTTAAATGTTTATAGGCACGTTTTTTGAAAAACTCCCATATTATATTGTAAGGGATAAACTGCAGAAGAGAGCCCAATCCACAACTCAGATGTACGAGATCGAAACGAACGGGAAGCATGGAGTGGTAGTGAGGGGAGAAGGGATTATTAGTAATGGGGTCTAACTGACCCATTGCTAGCAATACACCCTATCAGGCCGACATCCACGCGGTTCTCCCTCGAAACCACCATAATTCTAGTGTAATTTGTCATGATGGGCTAACTGCCCTGCTTTTTCATTCTCACCTATCATCACCTATCACCTACCATTCCATTATCACCCATTAAAAAAAATACAGTGGTAGTGAATTACGCACCCAAAATGTGGATCAACTCCAGCACTATGGTAAGAGGTATGGTAATAAAAAGCTGATGAAGCCACCAGATCGTATAATTGCTTTAAATACTCCCCATTATACAGACGTAATGAAGAATGCAATAAAAAGTTAAACAAATGAGATAGTTCGTGATTCGGATTGCTAATAACCAGTCTGATGCAAATACTGCTTATTAGCTTGATATTTTTTTATACCACTGATACCACTGAGGGTGGCAAACAAGCATTACGCGCGTGTCCAAATGTTGATTTATAATATAGGTAAGCGGTTACCGTAGCCTATGAACGCCTGCAATACCAGGGGTATTATGCGCGTGTTGCCGACCCTGAAGAAACCTCTTTATCCCCCATTTGAAGAACCCCATGCTGTAGTCTCTCGGGAAAACCTCGGCAGGAAGCTCATTCCACAACCTGAGTGTTCGTGGGAGGAAACATCTCTGAAACCGCGCAGTACGCGACCATTGAGGCTGTAGGACATGAGGATGAACTCCCTGTCGATGGCGAGCCGTACGATGATAGAAAGTGGCCGTAGGCATCATATTGAACAATTCCTCTGAGCACAATCCATTGTACAGGCGGTAGAACACGCAGAGTGAGGCAAAATCTCTCCTAACACTGAAGGGTTCATGATCTATGCTAAAATGTTTTTTTATACAACTTAGAATGACAAACAAGCTGACGGCCCACCTGTTGGAAAGTGGTAACCGTCGCCTATAGACATGAGCAGTACCATGGACATAACAGAGTATACTCTTTCGCCCATGATACCCCTCATGCGTTGCCATTCCTGATGACTCAGGTGTTATTCCTCTGTACCCTGTAAATTCACGCCATATCCTACCCTCCAAACCGAAACACAGCCATGCAAACACAACTGCTTCACGGTAGAAAGACTAATAGGACAGAGGTACCCAAGCAAACGACTTTTGTACAAAGTCTCCCTCTGGTGACAAATTATGATAAATCTACAAGTACATTAGCTCCGTAACGTTACATTCGTGCCGTTACTGTACGCGTAAACATTTGACAAACGACAATTTAATAATTGAGCGAGCCGCGAGCGTGCACGGTTGTTTACGTAGACACTGATCGCACGCAAACTAGGTATTTTTACTTATCTAAACAAATATAATGTAGCTAGAGGCACAGTATAAATGATACAAGGGGAAATAGAAATGACCACTAAATACCAACAATGTATGACTGACTCCTCTGACCCTTTAGTACTGTAATTGTTTTGTCGCAAAAAGATATACTTGCGATAA